TTCTCCTACTCTTACTATAGTTAGTATTATTTAATATTCTTCTATAATAATTATTTATATACTTACTTTTAAGAGTATTAGAGTATTTTTAAATACTTTAATAAATAAATAGAGTTTAATAGATTATTTAAAGCTTAATACTTTTATTTATATAGAAGTAAGTAGGTTTAAATTAACTATATAGTTTATTTAATTTTAAATTAACTATTAATAATTATTAAATATAATAGAAATTATAAAAACTTAAATTACTATTTATAATACTTTATAAACTCCTTTTAAATAACTTTTATTTAATTTATTAAATTTAAAGGCTTTAAATTATATTTATTAATAAATATATTAAATTTAAATTATTTAGCTATCTAATTAAAGTATTTAATTTAAATATTAATATACTTTTTAGTAAGAAGAGTGTTAAGTATTATATATTTTAAAAGATTTAATAGTATATTATTAAATTTAAAGGAGTTTAAGTTAATAATATTCTATATTTTTTTAAATATAGAGTAAAATTAGAGCTAGATATACTATTTTAAAAAGCTTTTTTTATTATAAAGGAGTATTATTTTAGTAGGGATATATTTAAAGCTTTTAAAAGATATATTAAGTAATATAATTTATTTATTTTAAATTAAAAAGTATTTAAATAATGAAAAAATATACTTAAAAGTATATATTTAAGGGGAAATTAGGTTAGAGTTAGGCTTATAATTGTTATAATTTTAAGTAGGGTATATTAAATAGAGTAAATTGACTAGTTATTTAACTATAAATAGTGAGCGTGGGAAGCCCATTCTTATAGATAATAGAGCGTTACAATGGGTGGACCTGATTAGTCACCCACAGCTCGATAGTAGGCAATGATCTACTCGTGCAGCCGCCTCCAGCCGAAGGCTGCCGAGCAAATCACTTCGCTAATTTTCGGGGCTTGGTCGCGGTGATGGGGTAACAATGGTGGGAAAGAACGCATGGCACATGGTCACATCGCGTGTGTGGGTGAACGATCTGCAATGGCCTCTGGTCCGTAGTCCCCTGTCTGGCTAATCCCGTCGGCAGTTTGAAAGCTCTGTTGGGCTTTTCTGCTTTGTCTCTACCGGGCTGTTACCGTCAACTGGTGTCTCTAAGACGTGAAACCTTTTCAAATTTCCTCGTATCTGTTTACTTAAGCCTTGTATATAGAACACTGGTTACATTGCGAGAGGACTACAGGAATAAATTAAAGGCAGTGCTGTAATGCTTGGTGGTAGCATTAGGAGAGCAAAGAAAGTTGCCGTTCACCTAGGCGCAGCATGAACAGAACTTCAATCCTATTGAACATGGGTTTACTTGGATTTGAGGTTTGATGGATTCCGATGAATTGAACGCCATATGGACCCTGGGCACCAAGTATCTAGGTAGTTTGTAGATATGAGCAGAGAGAGAGAGAAAGACAGTGTGTGTGACGGTTTCATAAGTGGTAGATTCCAAGTTCAGGCAACTTGGAATTGTGGTCTTTTGACCGGGGCGTCTGTGGCGTGCCACTCCACGGATCCGTCACACACACACACACACACAGACAGACAGAAAGAGAGAGGGAGAGAGAGGGAGAGAGAGGGAGAGAGAGGGAGAGGGAGAGGGAGAGAGAGAGACAAGAAAAGTTTCTTAAGTAGATACTGAAGACGAGGATCAGAATAACGTTCTCTATCATTTAGGCAGGCAGCTATTATTCTTATGGGAAAAAAAGTGTGGTGAGTCTTGTACATTAACAAGCAGAGGAACCATAAGACGTCGTTATTCTTGTGTTTCCAGATGTATACACGCAGACAAACGAGGATGGGCGCACTTCACATTTTGTATGAGTTTGTCAGTCGATTTCATCAGGAGACAACACAGCTTTGCAAAAGATATCTACCCTTACATGAAGGCGCCGTGTATGGCTTCGGACATATACGGAATATAAGCAAAACCAGATAAGTTATCTAATGCAACATGCTTGGCCCAATCGGGGACCCTCAAAAGGCAATGTCCAGTTTCAATGCTATCCCCCATCCTTCGCGATGTATCAATCTCTCAGATAGGTAACTACGGAAACCACTTTGGTGCGAATCAACACACCATTCGCCTTCCAGTGTTGTGACGATCTGTCCAGGAACCACCAAGAAGTCAGAATCAGTTAGTTCTGGTCGCATAATTAGCTTTCTCAAATGATCATATTATATGGCTCTTCTCTTTCTCACGCGGGGCAACGCAAACAGCCTTTTCCTACGGATGTACACCCTTTTACGTCAGGCACTTGTGGGCACTTCGAGGTTCCTGGGAAGTGAAGGGCAGCGTGCCTTTTAAGAATATATTGTGTGTCTTCGGGAATTCGAAAGTATGTGCAATATAAGGATTCAAAATATTTTGCTATTGATGGGCTTGCGGTTGATTCTAGCAAACCGTCTCGGAAATAAACCCATATTAGGCAAAGCCAGAGGACATGCTTACACACGGGAACTGACATGATACAGCGTAATCGAGAAGAATGCCAGAGAGTGTATATTACTTTACCATGTGTCCTTGCTTGTCCCTTCAAAGTTACCATTGTTGGAGATTGAATAACAAGGGTGCGGGCGTCTGGCACAGCGCTGACTTGAGTTGAGTGGTCCCCACATAAGCATAGAAGTACCTGAGCGTTCCCGTAGAAGATCAAAATGCCCTGAAACACCCCAAAGCCAAATCCATCCGGTCTTCAGACTAACTGTGGAAGTCCCAGCACCGTTCCATCGAAATGCTGAGGGGACCGCGGACAAGACGAAACGAATTTTGGTTCCAATTGTGGGCTCTCACCCTGGGACGCAAGCCGCCTGACTTTGGCAACATTTATCGTCTTGGTGTCATTTTCAAGCGCTGGGTCTTGAGCGCTTACCACCGTATGAAGGCGTCACGTATGTCCTCGGACATATACGGGATAGAAGCGAAACCACTTATCGTCTTGGATGTCTGCATTCATACTCCTTACAGGCTATCCTGATAAACAAGTGTGCTAATTCTGCCACAAGAGGCGTTATTCTTCAACATTTCACCGTCTTCCAAGTAGGATAAGAACACCCCAGCGTTTTTGCTCTGCAGCAAGGTGTCGTTTGTGAAGAGTGAAGAGACTAAACACCTACAAGTCTCGTATACCAGTTGGAAGCAATGGAAAGAACAGTATGCCATGGATCTGTAAGCTGATGATCCATGTTGTGGGCTATTGATATCATCCACAAGAAACATGCCCGCCATTGACATCTTCAGTTGATGAAAGAAATATCGAAATCCCTAAAAAACCTCACGTGCCTGCACGTCTGGTGTTTCGGATATAAAGTTTGGCAACATCCAGCGCACAATTGGCCAGAGCGACAAAGGAGAGCAAATAAACTGGATCAAACATGAGTCGCCACTGAGCGAATTATCGGCGAGGGCGGTGAATCGGGGTCTGGAACTGTCGAGCGCGCGCACATCTTTGCAGCTAAAACAGAACGATACAGCTTCTCCACCTCTGTCCCAAGGACCTTGCTGGGACGGCCTTGCATAATAGTCATCATTAGGAGGCCACGAGGCAAGAAGTCATGTACTCGGAGGCGACAGAACCGGCCTCCCCATGGCAGGAAGGTATCACAGGCGATCGATCCACCAACCCAACCCAGGCACGCAAGAGCATCCTGGACACTCGAACACACCGGCATCATCATCATCGGCGCCACTAGGCCCGAAGAGTACAATCGACCAGGTGACATCAGCATGGTGCCTCTGTAGAATGATGGGCGAGGAAAGAAAGGACAAGGAATTTGTCAGACCTACCGCGAGGAGAACGCCAGCTGGCCCAGTCACGTTCCCTGAGCACATCTTTCCACTCTGCCTCCGTTCTTTTATTTTCGCGGATCTTTGTGGGGAGGGTCCTCTGGGGGCGATCCGGCCCGGTTCGAGGCGCAAGACTCTGCGCCAGGCATGTTTGCGAGGGCGGGCTCGCGGGGCGGTAACGTTATGGCGCATGAGCATGGTACCGGTACCTACACACAGTATTGGCCAACTGCGCCCTGGAGGGGGAGGAGGCCCACAAGGGTCGGAGGCAACCAGCCAGCCTTCCTGCCCCCATGGCCCCATCACCTCCCTGATAGCACAAAAACGTGGCGGCAGCAGCATCAAGCAGTGCTCAGGGGCAATGTCGACCGATCCTAACCAGCCCCCTTGAAAGCCCGACGAGGAAAAGCGTTCGTTTCTTGTCCGACCGACAAAAGCGCGCAACGATAATGGATCCGGGGTATCATACTCGTACCCAGAGTTGCAGCAGATCTCAACGGCTCGAGCGCCAGCCTCAGAGCCAACGGTATTTTTCCTCCTTACTTCCAAGGTGCCCTTGCGCTAGGATCTCCCTTTACCCCATCTTCCTATATGCGTGTCAGCCCCCAGACAGACGCTTCGTGTACATACATACGCTACACTGGAGAAGAGCGAAGCGGGAATGGAAAGAGAAAGAGGCACGGCCGATCGAAATATATTTAGACTCGTTTTCTCGGCCTACATCCGTGAACGGCTCCAGGACGTGCTATTTTTAAAAATAACCTCAAACATTGACCCTCACCGTAAGACTGGGAGAGCCAGGAAGGCAGGAAAGGGCCAGGAGTGGCTGGTGGGTGGCCCCAGGGGGGCCGCGCTCCTCGTATTCACTCCCGCATCCATGCTGGCGTGCCTGCTTATCCACCCGACTCAATGCCACAGACGCGGAGACAATCGGGGACTAGGGCTACCCAAAATCGACAGCCAGACGACCGACTGGCCTGTTGGGGCGTTGTCATGGGAAATCCACATGCTGGAAAAGGTGGCAGGTTTCTTCGGAAATTGTTCGTGCGTCATTGCACGGTCAACATGGCAGGCCAAGAGGCTACGCGATAACTACTGTGCAAGTGGTTTATTGCGCAACCCGGCAACGAACCAGCCCAAGCGCATTCGATATCGCATTGACAGACGAGACACAAAATGCAAGTCATTCTCAAATGCGCACTGGACAAAAGATTATCATTAATTATTAGATCCCTGCAGACACTCAGGCCGTTAGCCGACCTTGAGCCCGGCATCAACACCTGTTTTGTCGAACCGCGATCTGTTAGACACTTCTCCTGGTTTCGCACTCACTCAACCGGGAGCTCCTTTTTGCATAAACAAGCATATAAACAAACAACTATTTCATGCGATGTCTGGGATCTTCTTTTGATCAAGGGCTGCTTTTACGCCCAGAACGCCATATACCCCCCCATTAGCAGGTCACAATCTGCTCTCAGCCCTATCGCTCCCTCCGTGATCCAAAACAAAATTAGGACTAGCCGAACGGCAAACCAAAACGCCGCGCCATGCATGCTGATTGCCACCGCCCCGGTTTCCAGTGGGTATGCCGACCCCATCCCACCAAGTCCGAGCCTGCCTCCGTAGTGTGAAATCCAAAAACAACAGTCGCTTATGCAGTCGGGTATCATGATCATCATCCGTAAGGAGTGTCGTCTATGTCGAAAGGTTCCGCCATAAATGTGTAGCAGCTAAAGGAGTGTCTAAATATGCATTCATCCAGGCCGATGTTGTGAGAAAGGAACGTCTAGAGTGGGTATCATCGCTGTCGAACAAATGAGTGTCGAAACGTATCTGGTGATACGTTGTAAAATCGAACAAAGTGGAACAAAGGAGCGTAGGCATGTATGTTGTGTACATGGCGAGGTTCGTGTGCTAATCAAAAGGAGCGGCTGGGCGGCGATGCGCACCCGAGGACAGGGGTCCTGTTGAAAGATAATCGATCGTGGTGGTCGAAGGAGTGTGTCGTGCAGTTGCGGCTGTGTTGGAAACGAAAGTCGAGCGACAGCTCGAACATCATTAAAAGATTATGAGAGTATCGAGGTCTCGTGGCAAGAGCCTCCAAAGCAAGTGATAGGTCAAGTCTTATGGCGTGCTCCTCCTCTCCCCAACCTGATGGTGATAACTTGGAGGAGCCGAAGCCGTGGAGATATTCCGATGGTGTGTGAACGGGTGCGAGTACGAGACGACTGGAGATTCAGGGACTGGAAGCATCGAAAACCCCCCCGGGGTCAGGAAAGGAGAATGAGGGCCTGCTGAAACCGGTGGAAACAAGGCGTTCTCTGGTACTTGTTGAGTGGGTGTTGTGCTCAAGAAAGGCGAGTGAGTCCTGTCCACGAACAGTCAATTCACTTTCTCGGTTTCCGAGCGGCTGCGGCCAGATGGACCTAGTTCCACACAGGCTGGAGTTGTGGAGTGACGAACCCAACGCCGTAAGGCCCGCCCAGGTGGGAGTGGGTGCCGGCGAAACCCATATCGTAGGAGCCATAATCCTCGTTGTCACTGTAGAAGACCGGTGACGCCTCGTAAAAGTCATCCCCGACGCTGGAGGCCTCGCAGGTGCTTGAGACAGGGCTGTAACAACCATTCATGGGGGCCGGGATGTTCAGGTACTGCTGGTTGCTGTACGGGGAGGGCATGGCCATGGGGCTCACAGGGACACCTGGAGCGCTGCCTTCCGTCTTGACTGACAGGTTCTCGGTGCTGTAGCTGAAGATCGGGTTCTCGGCATATTGAAGACCGTCCGGCATTGGTGCTGTTGTCATGGGCAAGCTGAAGTCTTCGAAGACACCGAAAGGTGACGGAGGCGCGGGCGCGTACCAACCCATCCGGTTGCGGAACTCCTGTACCAGTTGGGTGGCGTAGTCCATTAGCTGAAACAGAGACTGCAACTCGGGATGATGCTCTCCCCCGTAGGCCAAGCTGATCGACTTGAGGCGCCGAGAAATGTCTTCCAGGGGCCCGATGGAGAGGCTGCCGAAGTAGGCGGCGCCTATCTCAGGGAACATGCGCTCCATCAGGAGGGCCACAGCGTAGTAGTGAGCAATAATGATCAGCGCGCTTGGAGAAGCCTGCGTTTGCTGGAGCTGTCCGACAGGGAGCCAGAAGAGCCAGTCCCTCAGTGGCTTGAGGCGTTCGAACTGGTCCGCAACCTGCAAGGCGGGGTCCACCTTGCGGGTGCCTTTGAGGAAGCTGATCAGTTGAGCAACTAGCTTGGTGTCCTCCCGATTCTGCTTCAGTTGAGCCTCGAGCTTCTGCAGGTGCTGAAGCATGCGAGCCAGGGAAGGCTCAACATCGTCTTTGGAAGGCAGTCTAGGTTTGTGATCGGGCGTGGGAGACGGAGGAGCCGTTGGGAAAGTGGTAGTCTCGCCGATGAAATCGGCGAACTGGGACTTGTCCTTCCAAGAATCCATGAGTTCGATGATCTAGAAGACGTCAATATACATGCCAAAGGCTGCCAGCGATGAAGAGCCATGAACTTACCCGACGGGTACCCTGCATGTGGTTTGTCCAGCTGCGCCTAAGGGGAAATCAGTCACTTGCCCACGTACACCTTGCCTCTCAGCTGCGATCCATGACTTACCAATCAGTAGCCTGCCAAGACAGCACAAGACCTGCGCCTAGCACAGCATCTGAATTGGCTTGAGTGAAGGTGGCGATGGCCTTTGAGAGCCCGGTGAGGGCGTTGCCGCGGTGCTCGAAAGCCATCTTGCCAACCATGGGGCAATTGGTAACGCTGGAGATGTGCTCCGCGGAGAAGGCCAAGAGCGCGTCCATGACGAAACGATGTGTGGTGCCGATGCCAATCAGACTAGTTGATTGTTAGCTAGTACCGAGATGCGCGATTATGCAGTCCTGCTCAAGCCTTACGTTGGAATCTTGGAAGTCCACAGTGTGAAGCCATTAGCATCGAGAGCATTCAGTCGGAAGCTGATCGAGGCGACATGATAGATCAAGCGCAGCTCCTCGAAGGAGTAGTACTGCGGGGCCGGGACAGGATGGATATCAAGGTCGAAGGGGAAGACGCCTGACTGGCGCCACTGGTTGATGGCCATTTCGACCTCGGGTGTCCACATCAGGTCCGGGGGCCCGTTGGGGCGAGCCTCCTGAACGGGGATGTCATTGTACGGACATCGGATCTTGTGCTTGGTGCAGTTCTTGCACTGAGGGAAGCTCTCGTCACATCTAATGTGCCGCTTCTTGCAAGTTTCGCAGCCCTTGCGAGACTTGGTGTGGCTAAAAGAGGGGGAAAGCAAGTCAGTTCGCCATATGCCGCCATACTGGGGACTCGGTGCTGACGAACCTTCGTCGGGGGGGACCACCGCCGGGGCCAGCCATTGTTGCCAAAGGGTTTGACGGAAGAGCGAGTTGTGCCTACAATCTCGAGTTAGCGTCATGGGTACGGTCTAGATACACGGAAGAACCAAGGTATGAAAACTGACTGTCTTGAAATATCACACGCAGGATCGCGTGTGATGCGTGCGAGAGGCCGTGTGATTCACGAGAATGGGCACAGGCGCCGGATATTGGGTTCAAGCGAATTGCAGTGCTCGAGAGTCGGAAGACTACTCGAATATTCCAGATGGCGGCCTAGTACAATGTGGAGCCTCGGAAGCTACGGCGAGACAGAACGTTTGGCAGACAAGCGGTAGGAGTTGTTACTCGAAGACTTCTGGCCACAATCCTATTCCCGTGGTCTTACTCCCTAGCTTCCTGCTAAGCGGTAGCGAACGTGGTTGTTGTTGTTATTGTTGACGGGGGTTTCTTTTTTTTTTTTGGGGTTGAAAAGCGAGTGTGGGCAAGATCGAAGACTTGGGTTTTACAGGAACATCAGGGAAGGGCCCGGTTGACGTGCACACAGCGGAACCAGGTTGGGCGTGAGGCTGGAGTGAGAAGAGCTGATTTTTCCCCTTGGGACCAGAGATGATCTGAGGCCAGGAGCTGCGCTGTGTTGGGATGGGTTGATGGGGTTATGATGATCGGTGGGTGATGGCCGGGACCTTGGATGGTGGACTAGACGATGCAGTTATGGGATGTGGAGAGCCGAGAGAGCCCCTGGATGGATGCCGAGAGTCGAGTTGAGAGAGAAATGCGGGTACTGCTGCTAGTAGAGGTTGCCACGCGGGGTCGAGAGGAGATCTGAGGAGCCTGAGGAGTCTTTCTGGGATTTTACGACGGGTCAGGAGACTAAAACAAAAAACAAAGCGAATGACAGGAGTCAACGAGGACTTCCTAAGGGTGTTTGCAAAAAGCGAACGTGGGTTAGATGCAGCAACAGCGGCTGAGACGGTTTCTTTGGCGTGGCGACGGTTTGGAGATGATAGAATCAACAGAAAGGGCCGAGGGGCAGCGGTGGGAAACCGCAAGTGTTAAATAAACCTTGAGCACGGAAACAGGAAAGCGCGGGTTCGCTTTGGCGGCTGGCTGGCTGGCTGGCTGCTCCCACTGCACACTGCACACTGGGCACTGGGTACTGGGCACTTGCTGCTGTGCTGGCTGGCAAGCTGGCTGGCTGGCTGCACCGACGTAGCCTCCTTCGGGGCCCCCCCCCTGGCGCCTCCTTCCCCGACTGCATCGCCCCCCTGCCCTAATTCCTCGGGACGGTACCACCTGGGCAGGCTGTCAGCGAGCAGTACCACACACAGGTATTTCTGCCCATGTCGGTTACTCGGTCTCGTTACTCGGTGGTTCGTCGTTAGCCGGTACTCCAGTACCCCCGGTACTCCAGGACTCCAGTACTCCAGTACTCCAGTGCATGAATGATGTTGTCGAGGGGCCCCGAGCACTCCCGGCCCCAGCCGTCGCACCCGGAACGCGCCCAAGCCCATTTGCCTCGCAGCTGGACACAACCCAAGGTTGGAGCTATCTACCTAGGCCCTGCGGACCGCCAGACCACCAAAAGGCTACAAACAGGACCGTACCGGTGCAGTGCTGGTGTGGTGGTGCGGTGGTCACGATTGGATGGGGCAGAGAGGGGGGGGCAAAGCCGAAGGAGCTTAGCGGCTCTTCTTCGGGGCACAAGTTGCTCAAGTGGTGCTGTACCGTGGGAAACAGCGCAATGACAGTGACAGCGACAGCGATGGCGACGGCGACGGTAACATGCCCCCTCCTCCCCCAGGGCGAGCGAGGCACATGGTGCCACAGCAGGCCTGACGCATAATGAGGCCCTGCAGGGAAAGGGCTGCCTCGACGACGGTGACGACGGGCGACAGCCGTGCCGCACTGGACGGAGCGACTGGTACAGCAGGACAGTCTGGACAGTGTCCCAAGACATCAGAGGTACCTAGGTACAAGCAACACTGCACACTACTATGTACTCGACCACCACCTCACTCCTCACTCGTCGAGCCAGCTTGGATTCCCCACTAGACAAGGCGATGCCCTATTTTTTTCCACCCCTTCTCCCTCCCATGCTGGACCCGGCTGCTCGGTAACTATAATGTTGACTGCTCCCCGGGTCTGCGCTCGTTCCTTCGCGGCGCAACGTGTGTGTGCCGAGCGGCCAATGTCTGTCGTCTGTACCAGGATGCTGCTCCCTGCATCAGTCGAGCGAGGCAGCGCCAGGCTCACGGGCTCGTTCGAGGGCTCAGGGTCATCAGGGGGCCCATCAGTCAAAGACAAGAGGCGAGGAGATGCCCGGCCAGTCTTGGTCTGGTACCGTGACTGATGGATCGTCTTGGGTGGTGGCCTGAGCCAATGTGCAGGTGGATCCCCCCAAGGAAGAAGGGACTTGGGTACATTGGCATGCTGGTACAGTGTGGCCATGACGATTGACGACCAGGAATCGGCGGGAGCAGCCCGTCCCTGGGCATGGGGGGGGGGGACACTGGGGCATTGGGGCATGGGGCAGGCGTGAGGCAGGCATGAGCGCATGTACCACACTACTGCGGTACACTGGCTGGCAGGAGGCATGAACGGGAGCATGATCTACCTCGGGTGCTGGGGGTACACAGTGCCGTCGCCTCCCACTTCCCTTCCCCTTCCCTTCCCCTTCCCAGGCTTCCCTTCGCTTCCCTTGGCCTCCGTGCTGTACACTACTGCATATACCAGGACCTACGCAGCTGGGCAGTTACGCTAGTGCCCTTTCTCCCAACCCCGGTGCTGGGCCACTGGGGCTCCTGGCTTCCTTCCTGCTCCTCCCCACACAGACGTCCAGTCGTCGGGCTGCAAAACCGCACCGTCACATTCTTGACCATCGCCCGAGCCCAGGCGACATCGCTACCCACCAGCCCACCCGCCCACCAGCCTGCAAACCCACCCCAGGGGCAGGGGGGCCAAGCCGCACAGGATTGAGCAGCAGCCCCGTCGAGTCCCTCTGCAGCCATGCATACCTTGTGGGCACCACGCTACGGCAGAGACTTGCTGACTGACTGACCGACCGACGGGGTAACTGACTGACTCAACCAGCTGATTTCCAGAAAGACCTCTCAGGCTTCGGTTGCATTTTCAAAACTAACCCCATTTCTGCACCAGCGTGGCTGGAGACACCACACAGATGGCCGGTGACCCGACTCCAGTCTCCCAGAGCAACATTGGAATTCGCTCAGCACCAATCGAGTCGCCGTGGCGCTGTATCGACGACCTGCCACGAGACGAAATAGGGACAACAGCGTCACGCCGTCCAAGCTTACACCACTTCCGCAGCAGCGCCGTCCACGCGCGCGCACACACACACACACACACTCACCCAGAGAGACCGGCCATTGAGGCTGTGCTGTCCCACGATCCCCATCCCCGTCCCCCCTCCCCCTGGCGCCTGAAGGCCATCTCCCCGAACTTTGTTTCCGAACGACCCCATTGTTACAAGTACAAGATCTCCCATCGGATTGTTTTGATGTTTCGAATCTTAGTCTCTTGTGGAAAGGGGTGGGCAGATCCCGAAAATCCTGTCCCAAACGAGGGAAGGAAAAGGAAAAGCACAGAACTCCCAGTGGAAGGGGCAGGACAGCCCAACTCCACTCACCGTTACTGGAACGCTTATTCCTGCATGACATCTGCACGCTGGCTCCACTGCACACAGTGCAGGGGCTACAGAGCCTGAGAGCTTCCGTCGCTTGGCCGCCCTGGTGCTTGAACGTGGCCTACAGAGCACCCATACTCACCACAACGAGCATGTCACCCGCCTCGCAGCTTGCTTACTTGCTCCCACTCTTAAAATGCAGCATTAAGCATCGCATAATCATATGGGCAGACAGGCGCAGCACCCCAGAGGCGTCAACTTTCGATGGCTTGTTACCTCCGCTTAATACTTCAACGACCATGCAGGCGCAGACCCCAGCACCCCTGGCAAAAGGACGACGATGGAATCATTTTTCAGCCACCTCTTGCACTTAGTTAGCCCTATCGTGCCCGGCCACGGGCCTTCGTCAACGTCACACGGTCCGTATTCTTCTGTCTGCGCCGCGCCGCCCACAACAGGAGCACATTGAGATGCCACCTTAGTCCCGCGCGCTTTGGGTGAATACCAGTCCTGGTCCATCAGGCAATTTCCATTAAGCACCTTGCATGGCCTCGCCGACTCCACTGCTACTGGTGTGGTGGCATGCGCCGATAGAGCGCTTTCAACCCAGGCCCGCAGGCCAATCGCGGCAGTGGCAAGTCCCTGGGGAGGTACCTCAGAGTCACCGGAGATTGAATAACTAACCTACAGCGAGCCATGGCCTCCCCTTCCTGTGTATCCCATCTGAGCCATGACACGGCTAGCCGAGTGCGAAGCCTTCGGTACAATCAGCAGGGTAAAAGCAATACCAATACCTGTGTTTAATGCCGGTCAGGACCCTCCGGACGAAAAGTTCACAAGAGTCGCCAACAGATGCAGCTTTTCTTCCCAGACATACTGTATGTGTGGACCATTTTCTTCTAGAGATGACTAAAAAGGGCAGCCCAGCGTCCACCATGTAAGTGTTCAAAACGTCACTGCACCTCGCACCGTCACCACTACCCGTGGCTCCTGGTTCAATTGGACACGAGCAGAATCGAGCATTATATTACGCAGAGCATCACGTGGTTGTGAGACCCAGCGCACAATTCGTCATGGAGCCTGCTTGTGCTCGAAGAGTGCGCCTGCACTTGCCCGTCGCAGTGCATACTTGGAGGCACGGTTTCGAATCCACCACGTCTGGTCCAACCAGCTCCGGTGTGACTGATCTGTCGTCTCCAGACACAGATTACGTATTGCTACTGCACCTTGCCCATGGTCCCGCCGCAGGTGAGATTTACGCGGTCAGGCGTACGCAGACAGGCCAACGGTGCCAACAACATAAAGCCAGTGCGAAAATGGGCAGCCCCCTGCCCGCTCCGTTGTTGACGACTTATCAGGGACAGACCTCGGCCCCGGTCAGGAGGATTCTGTCAACTCAACTCAAAACAGGCAGGGTGTTCAGTGAGACGGGGGATTTTATGATCCGCCTGGTTTAAAATTCATACCACGCTGCGCGGAGCTGCCCAGGAAGTACCGGGCACAGCAATATTGTACCCGGCAAAAGGCCGGGCACCCTAGCCGCACCCTACTGTAAGCCAAGGTCTGCGGCGCGGCACACCTTCGAGTGGTAGCCGCGGTCCACGCGCCGTGGAGCCTGTTCATTTCAACCCGGGCCATCAGGCAATGAAGCTACAGCGGCCGTGGAGATCCGAGCCGTTGGCAAGTGGCCACCATCATACAAGTCTCCTTGCCAGGATTCTGACTCTGTTGATATGTCATTCTCAGGATGGGACGTTGTTGTCCACAAAGGGCGATGCGGTGGCAACCAGCACCAAAATTCTAGCCATGGGGTAAAATGCTCCGGAGCCAAAAGCTTAATGCTTGGCTGATGCCGATCTCTGGTTACCCGATGGCTATTTATTGACTGCCTTATTAATGTGTAAATCCAAGCTGGCTGACAGAGCTCCATAGATTTCATGGTTCCCTTTGCCATCCATGGTCGTGAGGTGGGCCTTGCTTTGAGATTATGGGCCCCGACCAAGTCACCATTATTGCCTGAGCTGTAAAGATTCAGCTTCCATTTCTGACCCATTATAGCAAGCGAGGCATGCTTTTGGCACCTCATCACAAAGATTTTCCAGTCCCTCACCTCACGGGGCAAGATGCCGGGTTCGTTGCCACGGGGGTCGACGAAAACTCCGCCCGATGCCATGGTGTGTGTTCTCGGGCACACAAGGGTGCCCTGTTTCAGGCCTCGCAGTTCCTGGTCAAGGAGAAGGGGTTAGTGGTTCTTCCCGTCACCTGCTGGCTGCCTAGGTGAATGTTGAGGAGTATGAAACACACATTTCTCGTGTCCATTCTTGACGGTGGTTTCGAGCAGTGGCGGTTGGTTTTGCCGGCAAGGACGAGGTCGGCAACAAGGAGTTGAGACTGATGCCCTTCGCGCTGGATCTGTTTGTGGGGTCATGACCAGAGAGGCCCGCGTCGGGATTGGTTTCAATGGTACCTTTTGAGATCATCGCGGCACTTACCAGCAGCCCTGCGAGATTCGCTCTCTTCGTCAGAGCTGTGAGCACGACTAGGAGACTGACCTTGGCCCGATCTGGAATGGCCGGGCGTGCCGCATCGCGCAAGCCTTACTCGGCGGAGATGAGATGTCGTCGGATTAGGTTTGAGACGTGCCATCGCTGCCAACGAGCCTCAATCATGCCTTGAGCCTTTCTGGACCATCGAACTTATGACTTGTGAGTCGCTCGGTTCCACGACTTTGATGCAGTATTGACCACTGAGCATTGTGACAGCTCATTAGGCCGAACCCACTACTTGCAGCTGCTTCTGCCCAAAACTTTGTACTGGGGTCACGTCCACCATCCGGCTACGTGGAGAAGGATCAAGACGCTCCCCTCCTCTTGTCAACGTTCGCATGCCAGCTTGCCAGCACGACTCATGGCGAATGCAGTGCAATTTCAGCCTTTGACTGTTTACTGACACTGGAGCCCCCCCCCCCCTTCCTCTGGCAGTAGGGAGTCCGTGGGGACTGTGACAGCAAGAGAAAACTGACGCTGGGTTTAATGAAATCACACCGCGAATGTCCGCCCGAGGGCCCCGAATTCTTGCCAAAGTCCATTTCCCGCGGTTGTGGGAGAAATACCCGCTGCCGCTGTCGGTCGAAGTGGAAAACTCCAGGGGACCGAGGTTCTGCATCTGGTTGTCGTCCGAATACAACATGACGCTGCTCGGGTTGCCTTGTCCAGCCACGAGGGATGATATCCACCTCAAGACAACCAGTCCATGTTGTTCATCAATCGTGCAATGCTCGTCATATTGTGGGTGGATGGGCTGTGTCAAGTGGTGGACATGGGCAATATGTTGACGATCCCGTGGGACTGGCAGGCACCTAGCACAGGAGCAAGGAGCTCATCCACGGGGAAGAGGGCCCTAAAGCCCTGAGACGGGCGCGAGATGTCAAGGGCAGCCCCCCCCCCCTCAAGCTGGGTCGCGCACTGTGTACTTCTGAGCTCCAAGTACTGCCAGGCTTTGGGGCCAACTCGCAGATCCTAGCAGCTCGCTGTGGAATCAATGCCGCGATGCTCCAACGCTATTCCTCTTAGGGCAAGATTTGTTTCTATTCTTAACTTAACCTTCTTTGGGTTGCTTTACTAGCGTTATGTTTCCTCTTTTCCACTTTTCCTCCCACTGCACCGTCGGCCGATTGATTTCGCTCTGCCCTGCGGCTGCCCTGCCCCCTGTCCCCTTTACCTCCCGTTGCACTGGCTGACTGGGCATTTGTTTGTGGCCGTGCCGCCCGAAACTCCGGCACGCCCATCGAGAAGCAACGTTCCATGCTCTTTTGCATCCACAGAGCCATGAGAAGAGCAGCAGCAGAGATGTGTCTTGCAGATGACGTCTTGGCATTGGCACTGGGGCTGGGTTTCAATGTATTCGGGTACCCGGATGTGCTGGTCAGGACTGGTCAGGACTGGGTATCGCCCCATGTCGACTCATAGTTGCCGTGCGGCGCGGCGCACGGGCTGATTCAGTACTCTTTTCGACAGACAATTTTTCCCCGAGCGCGTTTACCAACCAACCAGCGCGTCACTGAAGCCCTTTGGGTCAGACTGCTGGTCGCTCGATCGCCGTCTTCCCTCGTCCGAGCGACATTGATGGGGCCGTTCAACATCAGGATACCATGACGAACGAACGAAAGTCCGTCCTCTTACGCCCGGCGGGTGTTACCTGCTCGGTAGGCCCAGCAACAAGCGACGAGCCGCACTAATTACCAATCTGTGACCTACCGCAGTCAATATCGGCCGAGTTCCGACCAGGACAGGTCCTTCTCTGCACCAGGCAACCCTTCGGAGCAATTGCTGTTTTGCAGCTCTGGTTGCTGATCCTATGACCTCAGTCACTGAAGATCACAGCCTTCCCAGGTCTTGGGCCGAGATCCCTGTGAGGACGGAGGCTGGCTTGATTTCGGGGCCGTCTGACCCGACGCACCATCGGATCGCCGGTGTGGTGAGATGCTATTCCCGCGGCGGGGTTGTTTTTCGCGCATCTCGAGGATGCCTATTGTGCATCAACACGCCTTGCGTTTAACAAGTCTGCGCCGTCTCTGATCGCTGGACCCAGTAGCGCCTGTCAAGCATTGAGCTACTATGCTTCTGCTCTAGTCTGCCCAGAGTGATCTCACGTCGCGGGCGATGTCACATAGTCCAAAGTGATAGCCAAGACCGGGCCTTTCTCGTCACAATAAGCTCGCCGACTTGGTCGACGTGGCGAAGGATGGGAACAGCCCCAGGAGAACATGTTCGGCTGACAGACAAGACGAACCAGTTGAGGGCGAAGGACGAGCATCGCCAACCCCTCGACTAGCACATCGCCAGCATTAGTCTCGCGGCATGACTGGTAAGTCGGATTGCAAACGCTGTGCGCCGTGCCACCTGTGCATGCCAGATTTCCTGATTCTGCTCTGTCAGGGGATCTGAAGATGGACGCAGCCGGCGGCAGCCGCTGTTGTTGCAAAACCCAGGGCGGTGAGGCGCCTTGCCTGGCATACCTCATACTTGCGAATGGCTGAATTCGACTGGAATGCGGCAGTGATCCACCCGAAACAGAACTATTACCGACGGTACCGAGTCACCTCGTGGCCGGCGAGCATGATGGCATGGGGGCATGGGCATGGCATCGTGCGCCGCCCAGCTAAGGTAAAGCATGCCACGACACACCAAATTAGAGGGGGGGCGCAAGACCTGTCTCGCGCACCGGCGCCGCAGCTAATTGGCCATGGCGCACCTGGCACGGACACATCGCCTCGGTGGATGTCGCGGAAGCTTGAGCATGCCCGGGCAACGGCGCAACGAACCCCCTTCACCTTCCACGGGGCGCCGGCTCAACGGGGGCACATCGTGAGATCTATTGCGACAAGGTAATCTCGGGAACCAGGGCGAGTAGTGATCATCGCGAGACCCTTTATCACTCGGCTTGTTCGACCCTCGCTCTCCGCACCGACAGGCCCTTAGGAAAGGGACCGGAGTGCTGTGAGCGGTAGACCCACTCCCAAGAAACAGTGGACGAACCAAGCCCCTCCATCCTACAAGGACCAACTTCGCTCAATGGCATTTGTGGTTAGCCGATTGCTAAAAATAGTAGCATCAGCGTGCAGTCCCAAGCTGGCCGTCCACGGCCGACCCACGCAGAACTGGGCAGACAGCTCTTTCGCCTGACCGCACTCGCTCTGGTGGTGGTCGGGTGGCCTGCTGGCCTGCTGGCCAGTGGCCCATGGTCAGTGGCCCATTACTCCTGGATCAGAGCTTGCAGAGGAGCACAGCACAGTCTGCCGTGGACGACCGCCACGCAGCCACGCAGCCACGCATTTCGCACTACTGCTCCTTGGGCTCTCTGCTCCATGACGGACAGCAAGCCCGTCGTCCGACCTCAGTAAGGTTGTGGATCAGAGGCACGACAAACCTTGTGTCAGTCCAATTAGCGGCCCAGCTTCAGGAACCCGAACACCAACGAGCATGCAACTTCGACGACACTGCAGCATAGCACCGAGGCTATCTAAGCTTTTCATGCGGGTTCATGTGCATTGAATGATCACGCGGCTTCACGCGGCTTGGGATCGAGCAAACCACGACGAGGGGCCGGTATCCTTGGCGCGATGACCCCTCTGCTCAGCCATGTACTGTCGACGATTGTTTTCCTTCGGTTCGACCTTCCAGGCCCAGCGCGCGGGCGTCGTTCGGACAGGCGATCGGACAGGCGATCGCACAGGCGGGCAGCACAGGCGGGTCAGACCCCAGGAAAAGCTTCCACCTGCACTGCAAGGACGTTGCTGCCAGGTTCAAGCCGCCAGCCTGCTGCCCGCGAGCAGAGGGACGACGCTATTGTGAGACAACGAGGCCCATGAACTGACCGCTTTTCCTGTGGCCTATATTACGATCACCATTTCACAGCAGCTTTCACGTCCAGTAGGGGAGGATTAGGGGTTGATCGATTGGATACCAACCACCTATGCGAGGGTGAGTTGAGTGACCTTGGGCTGTTGTTGAGTAGCACGCTGTTTGTTCCTGACGTCCTTCGGGTGACACCCTGTGAGGTACGGGCTCCCCATCCTTCTCTCCCCACGTACCTCGTGCGGCAATGAGCAGCAGGCACAACGAAGCTGAAAGAACGCCTGCATGTGGACTTGCGCATTCTCGTGGGGACGCGGCAGATTAACGTGGTTAATGGCGAGCATCCACCAACCTCGCCCCCCCCCCTCCCCTCCCCCTCCCCCTTGCCCTCCCCAAAAGCGGACAGCTGCTTTCAATATCTCTACGCAGGCGCTCCGGTAAGCAGCGCGACACGATAGGAAATCTCCGACGTGGGCTGCCGCCGGATGCTTCATTAAGGTACCCGTACGGAAGCCGCCGCCGCCTACTCTTCGATTCTGCTTTCCACTTTATTTTATGATACATTTTCTATTCTTTTCTTGGGCGGGGGCCCTCTTCGGCACATGGTCGAGGGCGATGTTACCATTGCCGGGGTCTCTCCAAAGCACTCCTTGGCAAACCGTTGAATAGGGCCAGGCTGCTTGGTAGAGGGTTCGGGGTGGAATGGGAGACCTTCTGCCGCCCCTCTATCCGTTATTCCTTTTTTTTTTTTTGGGTGGGGGGTTCTGGTTCTCATCGAGACTCACGGTGACTCACCCTACCGCGGCGTGACTGTCAGGTAGATGTTTTTGTAGCGTGGCGGCGAGACACCCATCCTTCCCAAGCTCATGTCCAATATCGGGGTCCGTTGGGTGGCTCAGCCCTGCGAGGCTACCAGGATGGTCAAGCTGACAATCCACATTCCTCGCCTTGGTCGTGTGTGGTCGCATTGCCTGTTCCTTACCTTTCCGGATCAAGGCATGACGAGAACGTAGCCACGACGCGGCTGAGCTGACGGACCGCGTCATCCGGGAACTCACGTTGTTGAGATATTGGCCTGCGCGGGTTCGCTGTCGAACCCGGGGGGCAGGGAGACGAAACAAGTCACCCAACCCATCACCGGCATCCAAAGTCCGCCGTGGCGTACATTTGGCGTCGTCAGTCTTCATTTTTTTGCCCGGTTGCTTGAAACCCCCCTTTGGTGTGTTTTTTTCTTTTTCCTTCTTACCCTCCATCCCCCGGTGTAGACGTCCTATCGGGTCCTGTCTTCATCTCACCGCAACAATTAGTATACCGTCATACTGGAACTTGGGGGCGCCGCCCAAGTCTCGCAGGCCCGGTGCCATGGACGAGAACAAACGTTTGCCTGTCAAAAGCTGTACTCTATCTATATTTGGGTTGCTTTGCTTTGCTTTGCCTTCCCGCCATCCGGTTTTTCCCCCGTAATGGCAATGCGGGATCCGGATCGTCAGGCACTCTTTTCTCTGGGGCCTTGCATGTAAGACGGTTAAGATATCAGGTTGCATGCTTATTCGCCGGCCGGGCGGCACTCATGCACGAAGGGGGTGGCCGTGCCCATCTCTACATACGGGCTCTCTCCCTCTCTCTCAGAGTGGCTTTCCGCTTCGAGTTCCCTTCTCGTGACCACTCTCTGGTCATTCCTGCCCTCTTCCACACCGCCCCGCAAGATGCTCCGCCGTCATCTCGAGGAAGCTTGAACCCGGGCGGGCTTGCACGCAGCGATGTTTCAGCTCTGTGATGTGCCAACCATGGTTTCCGCCGCCGCCGGGCCGATTGGATGGGACCGTCTCGGACGGGCGTGCCTTCCTCCTATGGCGTCTCCATTGTGACCTCGGTGTTGATGTCAGCTCAGAAATTCTAGTGCCAGTCTGTCTGTCTGCCCATGTGTCTGTCAGAAGGATCTGTGCTCACTCACCAACGTGGCTGGGTCGGCTACGTGGGATGCTGTGAGGCCATGGAGAGACAGTATCTAGATATGCTAGAGGTGATACTACCAGGTATCTGATCCATGGTCCCATATGATATAGTATACACTCGCTAGAACGTTGGTCTGGCCGAAGTAAACCCATATCTCCAATAATGTCGAGTGTGCGGCTTACACTGAACAAGGGGCTACAGTCAGCTGTAAATTGTGTGTCCCCATCGCCTTGGTCCGTAGAAACCAATACCCATCGACCCTAGAATCAAGATTCCGGCAGTTGACTGGCCATCGAGAAGATCCCCCAGTCACCGCCGTGCCTAGCATGGCGCCAGGAGCAGTAGCTACTATCCATCTCAACCCCGCCGGATGACAAGTCGGCCAGTCAGTAAGCGCAGCGTCGTGATTACTACCCTCAATACCACGTGGTATCAGTCTTATTCGAGGCTAGACATCATCGCTTCGCCCCGCCCCTGGTCCGTTCTTTCTGCAAAACGTGGCAAATCTCACCATCGCGGCACCGGCTGCATCAAGATAGAGTAGAGTGGGCAGATGCAAGTCAGCTGCCTCTAAGATGGTGCTGATGCTGGCAAGACAGGGAGGGCGATGGAGGGTGTTGGGTGCAGCAAGATGCGCGACTTGGGGCAGGCGTCTCTTCCGCAGGGCATCTTGCTCGCTGTCTTGGTGTGTCTCATAGCAGTGTCTCCCCTTCTCTCTGGCGTCCCCTGAGGCAGTCCAGATGTCCATCGGGGTTCTTGCCTGAAAGTGGTGCTCGCTTACCTGTACCAGGTCAACATGAAAGATGGGTACAGGCCAGTGCCCATGCGTGCCAAATATTCAAGAACCCGACTCCTGTCATTTGTAAGCCTAAAAGTCTCGAGGATGGGTAGAACAGTACCTAGGTAGGAGATGGGAAGTGGATTCATGAGAACAGATACATATTACAGTATCGAAGTCTACATCACATACAAGTGCAATACTAAGACGCGGACGTCCTTGAGCGTTGTAACTATTACTCGATATTCTTCTGAAGAACAGGAAGTCGCCCGCTAGAAACAAAATATCAATACATCACCACATCCGCCTACTCCCCGCTGAACCGGCGTACGCTTGCTTCGTGTATATGCTCGCTAACGCTTCTCTGTCCTCATGAACAATGAAAGGGGATATCATATCTTGGACAAAAAAAGAAATACGCATTGAGGCGTCCCGATCCCGATCCCATGACTTTCTATCAGGGAAGGCCCTCGCCCTCCCTGCCAGCCGACCAAAGCCACCATCCTACCGGCTGGCTGTCCTTCTATGTCTCCCAACCCAATGTAGGACGCCCGTAAAAGACGGCCGGCCATCCGTCTAGCCTTGTATTAATGCAAAGAAAGAGGGGATGAGCGTAGAGGGTATTTTTCGGCCCGGCTGTCTGTCTTGAAACAGCACTGTCCTCGTGACCAAGGAACCGAGGAACATAACAATGCATAGCCATGCATAACATCCTTTAAACACCTCGCAATGCCGATTCGGGGACCGTTGAAACAGACACAAGCAGCAAATAACATATGGGAAGTAAAGAAAAGGTGGAATCCGCGCATCGTGAGGCGTGTGTCGGTCACCACATAGAGCCCCCCGGCAGCAGAGGTTCGCCGAGGCCGATGTTGACCTCCTGAGCCACCAACCCGAAAATCCAGTTCGCCTCCATGGCGCTGCTGCACTGGAAGCACCATTTGGTGACCTTTCCTGACAGGCCACCTGTCTTGGGCGCAAGGCCGATGTTGTTTTCCTCATCACGCACCTCCTCCCACACGTTGAGGATGATGCCTCGACTTCCCAACCGGCTGAAGCACTTTGACCCAAGCACGACGTCCAGCACGATCATGGGCTTGTCTTTGTCTGGGTTGGATGATCCGAAACCAAATGTCTTCTTAGGAATCTTGGTCACGATCACACGCTTTTCCATGCCGTGCTTGATTCTCAGTTCCTGCCGCATCCCAGGAGGGGGCCGCGTGATCTGTAGGTTGCAGTTGCCGTGGTCCTCCCATTTCGATGAGGTGACAAGCAGGTGGCAACGGATTCTGAGGTTGTCGCTACCCAAAACTTGGGTCCGGCCTGTTTCCGCCAGCGACACTGACGGGGATCGTGGGGTTGACATGCCATCAGCTGAAGAGGAGCTGCTCGTATACAAGGAGCCCGCTCCACCCATCGCAGAGTTGGGACGGCTGTGACGGTCTACATATGATTTGTTAATGTTGAAGGAGAGATTGCCGGTGCCAGTCAAACGCTTGAGCAAGGACGGCGCCGAGATGCTGGATGACGTGCCCTGGGATTGAGACAAGGACTGAGACGGAGCCCTGGTCGAAGCACGGTAGCTGTTCTTTCTACCAAACAAGCCACGTCGGTTACTGCTGCTGGACTGCGACTCCGGGCCTTGTGGGGCTGTCTGAGGTTGCCCGAAGTTACGGAATCGGGACTCTTCCTCCAAAGCCCTGTATTTCGCGTTGTTGAGGCGGGCTTTATGGACAGCCTGGTAAAGATCAGTTCCCTCGTTTCCTGAGAGTGCGCGGAAACGGAAGATCTTGGCGTCGATCTGTGAGAGTTTGCAGTATGGCCGGACAGGTGAGCGAATCTCAAGGTCAAGGGCCGTGCTCTGGCGGATCATCACGATTGGCGTGAGCTCAAGCGCAATCAAGGGCTGCGTGCGCGCAGGGTCGGATTCGTTAAGCTCGGATGAGCCCGAGGAGTTTAATGCTCCTGGAGCAGAAATAGAGTGCGAAGCAAGTGGGTAAGCCTCAATGAGGCCTGGAGTAATGTTGATGGAGCACGGCTCAGCTAGGGCTTCTGTCCACTGCCCCTTCTTGTTGGACCAATACGAGATGGTCGCGATGGCCTTGACAATGTACTCGGGATCCTTGGCACCTCCTGGGCCCAGCCGCCCGTACAGACCAACCTGAGAAGCCGACTGCGAAGGGGCAATGCTATTGTCAGAGACGACGGTCTCAGCGCCTGTGATCTCTGATTCCTGCTTGATACTGATGGCTGGTTGGGTGTCTGGCACGTCCACCTCATCGAGTTCATCACCGGAGGATTCGACTTCTGAAGCCGAGTCGCTCTCAGTCTCTGACGAATCAGATGAGACGTCAGATGGACGATATTCGTGTTTTAGGGGCGATGATCCCCGGCGCCTGACTCTCGATGCCGGAGGGGGGTTGAGATCCACTGGAGGACCAAGTGATGGGGACTTCTCAGAAGAGAAAGTCCGGTGTACCGGAGGCGGAGGAGCCCCGTCTTCACGGAATGGCTTGTTGTTCGGGGGCGATTTGGTAAGTCTCCTAGGCTCTGGTCGCATGTCCTCCCGCAACGGCGTCGTTGGTAGGGAATTGGGACGCGCCGTTGCATGAGAAGAATTTTGCGTGGGGGTCCTCTCCGGGGACTCGCTGCCCAAAGGATTCGATGTTGCCGATGTCGTAGTGGTGGGAGTCACAGGGGAGCTTGCATGCCGTGAGTGATAGCGACTCGGTGTTTTGTTCTTTGGTCGATCCTCGACCTCGTTGGAAGTCTGCGATGCGGTCAAGCGAGGATCATGGGACCTGCGCCGCTTGGACGTGCCTGTGCTTGTTCGCTCGCCCAGGGGAACAGAAACATCTGACCTGGACGAACTGATCTGGGTGTTCTCTTCAATTAGATGACGATCTGGAGCTGGTGGCAATGGGTTTGTGCCAAGTATCTCAAGCCAGTCTAAGACCTGGTCTTCGAGGTCGGTGAAGAGCGTGAACACTTCGTACCACTCCTTTCCATTGTGTCTGCCACGGACCATCACGACAAGGGCGCCCGGCTCCTCACCCCGGCGAGCTGAAATCGCGGTCTTTGGTATGGGAGGGAACATAAGGCAGCATTTTGCGTGGCCAATATCTCGTATAAGGATGTCGCCCCGGTCAAGGGGATCCTTTGGCTTGTCTCGGTAGATCAATTCGACCCGGCACTCAAGTCTCTGCCCGGTAGAATGGGCAAGCTCCAACGAGAAGTAGTCTTTGGCGTTGACTTGCCTGCTGGGATCAATGAGAATGCGGTCCATAACGTTCAATGTCCGCAGGTCACAACATCGGCTCGTGTCGGTATTGTTTGCATCCTCGTCCGTCTTGCGAGCAACCTCTTCACGGTGCCGTCTTCGTGCTTTTTCTTGGAGCGCTGAGAAGTCATCCATCACCGCTGGAAGGTCTGGGTGTTGGGAGCCAAAAGCTTCTGCGTTCTGTTCAACAGTCAGTTCCATCCCACCTCCACATGCCAAGGAAATGAATGGTATGTTACCTTGAGGAGCTTCAAGAGGCCTCTGATCCGAGTAACCGGTCTGGTCAGGAGATGTTGAAGATCGACAGGCTGTCCTTTGGTGTCTACAACATCTCCGTCCTCGTTGCGAGGCATAGCATTGACCAAGGAGTCTTCGTCATCGGCTCTCCCTGGTGCTGGCGCAAGATTCACAACAATACCCTCAAATCCGAGACGCCATACGTCCAGATACTTGTCGTAGACAGGGTAAGCGGTCAGGAGCCAGCTGAGTATTTTGTTGACATCGTGTAAAGGGGCCCATTTGTGCAGGTTCCTGAGTTTCTCTAGGGCAATACCCATGTTGACCACTGTCTTCCCCATAGAGTCCGCCTGCCCGTCTATTGAAGGGCCGAAAAGATCATTTGCGTAGTCTTGTCGCCCCTGCACTACTTGGTTCAGGAGGACCGGGATAGCGCCATCTACCAGAGTCTTCAATTCCCGTTGATAGAAGTCCTCATCGACCGCAAACTCTCTCAGGAGATCATCCACGGTGCCCTTTCCCAGCCTGCTTGTCCGCCTCCTGAGACTGCTCGTTGATCTGATGCTTCTGTTGCGTATCGGAGCACCGTCGTCCTCCGGCAGAGACAGGACCGAGACCAGGTCTGAGTGCTTGGTGAGACGGCGTTTTAATCCGGAGCCTTTGCTTCTCCGCGAGTTGCCAGTGGACCTAGTAAGTCCTGTGGTCTGTGTTACGGTGGTCTCGGACAGCATCGACATGGTCTCAGACCCAACTGTGCTCGCTGACTCCTCTGATGCGATAGTTGATAGCTCATGCAGTCCACTTGTTGGTGGCGGTTTGCGCCGTGGAATAGCAGGTGTCATGTATGGGCCCTCGGTATTGCTGCTAACATCAGTGGAGACGAACGATGATTCTGGCGACGGGGAACGCCTTCGATCTTCAGCGGAGTACTGGTGAGTATCTTGTTCCGTGTGCGCGTTGTCGCCGTCGACCTCATCCATATAGCTGAGTTCCGATTCAGGGCCCATGTCCTGGTAGCTGGAATAAGCCTTGGGGGGTAGTTTGTGCCCACTGGACTCTCCCCTGAAGAGGTTATTCAAAGTCTCGCGCAAAGGCCTCTTGATAGGGCTTGGCTTCAAAGGAGAAGAACCAGCTCTAGTAGCCTTGCTCCTCTTCAGCCCTGCCGAAGGACTAAAACGTGGCTCTGTGGGCTTCTCTGGGACCTCCGTTTGATCGTCATCGTCGAGCCGGCTCGAATCCTCTGGGTCTTGCTGTGGCGCGGCGGCTGTAACGGCTTCTTTCTTTGCCGGCAGCTCTTTCGATGCTTTCCTTCGTGCAGGTTTCTCGGCCGGTTTCTCGGCGGGCGTTGTCCGAGGAGCAGACTTGTCAACAAACGGGTCAACTGTCCCATTCAGCCAGCTTTCGATGCTCGGTGGCTGGTTTGTGACCGGCTTAGGTGGGTCGACCCGCTCATGTACGATCTCCTTCGCTCCAGTTACAATCTTCTTGAAGGCTTTGGGCACAGCCTTGAAACTCGAGGTCCTTTGCGCCTTCGGTCGCCTGATGTGGTGGTGATCCGCCCCTACCGGCAAGTCAAGCTCGCTGAAAGCTGAGTAGCCGAATGGCACTTCCGCGAGAGACTTTGCGGGAGCACTTGATGGTCTGTCAGACTCGTCTTGCGACGCTGAATCCTCGCTCGTCCACGACCGGTCATCCTCGGATAAGCTCCCAGTCTGTGTGGTGGCCGTTTCTGTCATGGTCAGAGTGGGACCCGAAGCACTACGCATCCTTCTGGGCGGCACTCGGGACTTTGACTTCCTCGTAGGAGTTGTCTCGATGTCTGTTTCAGGCTCTTCAATAACTTCGATCCTTGTAGATGGCGACCGATCCCGTCTCGTGCTAGGGACCCTGGCCCTCTTCTCCTTGGACGCTGTTCTTGAAGAAGCTGCATGAGCAGGCGCAGCATCTGACTCGATAGGGCGCACTCTGATCCCGTCATCCGGTAATGGCGGGGCCGTCTTGATCGGCCTAACTCGGATCCCGTCGTCGCCAGCAGACCTGGGACTGGCCGTACGCACTGGTTTGATTCTGATTCCGTCATCTTCTGCCTTACTACTCTGGGTCTTGACAGTGCTTGACACCCCGCTAGCAGCTTCCTCGACCGTTATCGTCTCTCCACATCTAGTGTTGTATCGTTGCGTGGGCTTAGAGGCCTTCGGAATCTCAACCTTGGGAATCTCGGGAGGCTCTGGAGAAGCTGGTATCTCCACTCTGCTTGCCCAGGCTTTGATTTTATCCTGCTTATTTGCCGGTGCGGCGGTCTTCTGCAGGAAGTCCTTGGGGATCGGGCTGGGGCTCAGACCCACCGTGGCCCCCGGTTTGGTACCAGCTGCAGCAGCTTTGGGAATGTTGTTACCGCTGTTCCTTTTCATCCAGTGCTCATCGCTAACTATTCTCTTCTTCGGGGGACCTTTGATGCGTGGATCATCCTGTATTGCCTCCTTGGATTTCGCCATTTCTTTCGGCTCTGCAGGCGTCTCTTTCCTATTCTCGACCTTGGCAAGAGGGGAACCCTTGGGCGAGGTTGCGGACTTCCGCCGGGGCTTTTGTCGGGATTTGATTCGGACACGGTCTTCCTCGGTCACGCTGTCGGCATCGACATGTATAGCAACCTCGGTCGGCTCACTGGCAGCCTCATCGGGGTTTCCTTGCACCATGGCGGCAGCGTTGGCCTTCTGCCAGGCCTTGACCCGGGCCTGAACCTTGCCAGGCTGTTGTACGCGGCGAACGGCATCCTGGCGCATCTGTTGGTGCAGCTCGGCCCTCACGGCGGCGGCATCGAGGCTCTTGCGCTTCGCAGCAGCGACACGGGCGGCCGAAGGGCGGCCGAGTAGGAAGTCACCCAGCAGAGTTGGCTCGACGGGTTTCTTGACAGGAGGCTTCCGGACTCCCCCAGCCCCGGTCGCAGCAGGAGCACTCTTAGGGGTCTGGTTGGAGTTTCTGCGGTTTGGAGGTGTAGCGACGCCATTATTTCCGGATCGTTTTGTGCCAGGGGACGGATTCCTGGCGGCCGAGGCGCGGCGCGGAGTATAGGGCTGTTTGTCCTTGTCTTTGCTGGCCTCGTCGGTTGACGGTTTCGCAGGGGCCATCTTCTACATTCGAGCCTGTCAGCACGGCCAATGGTCCCCATTGCTTGGTGGTATATATGTGCGCCTCAAACGGTCAATGTCCCATCTGGCAGGTGGCTATGTTTCGCGGTGAAGGGAGAGAAGTGGACCGGGTAAGCAGGGCGTTATGACGTTGAGGGTCGGCCCACCAAGATTGGTCTAGAAGGTGGGTTGAGGATTGCACGAACCTAGAAGAACCACATGCTGTCATAACGGGACGGCAGAGCAATGGAAGCCACGGCAGCACAGGACGAAAGGAAGTTGTCTGTGTTGACAGCCTTGCATGTGAAGGCCCACGCAGTATTTCGACCACGAAGGAGTGGGATCGACAAGGCGTGTCTGTCGGTCTGTCGGTCTGTCGGTCTGGCTGTCTGTTCGGTCCGTCCAGCACCTCGAAGCCCGAAATGCAAGGGGATGAATGGAGCGGCAGGCGGAAGAAAGCGTGGCAGGGCCAGGACCCAACAAACAAAAAGGATAGGTCGATTGGGTGCTGCAAAGTGGGCACGGGGCGTATGTTACAAAATGATGCACCGTAGTCGAGAATGACAGGCAGAGAAAGGCCGGGACTCGACAGCGCAGATGGCCAGGGCAACAGCAGATGGAGCTATGCGCCAATGCAAGGAGTGGACGAGGGAAGGAACGGCCTCACTCTCTCACGCGCACTCTCGGCTCACGGCAAGCGAATCGATGCCATCTGACACGGTAAGCCGGACTCGAGGGAGTATGTACATACAAGTGGGAGCGTGCGAAGGTTGTGGGTATGGGTTGTAGGCGTGAGCGCATGAGCGCATGAGCGCATGTTGGAGGAGAAGGCCGGGCGGCTCGCAGCTGCAGCAACCTGAAATGGAGGCTAGGCTGCTAGGCAGGCCGCTGGCAGGGCAGCATCCCCAAACAACAAACCGCAAGATGGGGAGCTTTGGCCAATGACGAGGCGCGGTGAGGGCTGCAGACGGCAGCAAAATAAACAAATGGAGACGGGGTCGCCCCTGCGAGAGCCTACAGTAGCTCCAGCCAGAGATGCGGTTTTGGGCGTTCAGCCCCACTACCAGCCTCCATTTTATCCTGACCAAGTTGCAGCAGCCCTGCGCGGCGGGCCAGGCCATGCTGCCATATCAAGGCACAACCCTGCCAGGATTGCATGGACCATCAAGCTTGTTGCTTAGACCAAAGCTTGCTCGACATTCGACATTGGGAAAATGCCATCGAGATATCTACAGTACTCCGTACCCCGTACCATGATATCAATCTTGTGCTGTTGACGCTGGTGCTGTGCGAAGTGATGCGTGTGATACGAGATGAGCCATCATAACAGCTTCCCCCCCTCAGTCCGAGATGAGGGCGCATGTGGTTTCACAGCGTGCGCAGGATGCGATGCCACCACTCCCTCACTCCTCTCCGCAGGCTTTTCCATGCCCCAGCGACGCCAGCAAGGCCACCGAGGCCACCTCAGTCTCCATTCTCAACAGCTGACAGGCGAATGTTGTTGGGTCATGGCACGCGCCCATCTTTTTGTTTGGTACAGCGAAACCATAAAGCCCTGGCAACCAACTGTCTTCTGCCTTGGACAGGCCATCCTCGTCCCCCACAAAACAGCCAGCCAGCCAGCCAGCCAGCCTCTTGAATTCGACCTCCTATAATGTTTCGAACCCGGCAATACAACCCCACAACCAGTCTCTTTCCTGCTGGCTCTGCCAAGTTTCGTGTGTGCATCCCTCCACCCTCATGATAATGGCAATCTTCAAAACAATAGCAAAGCCTGGCGGCGCCTGCTTGGGCAGTTTTGGTCACCACTGCGAGCTCCTGCAGACAATAATAAGCCCATTTGTTCACGCTGGTCAGCATTGGCGAGTCTTGGCGCGATAGACCAGATAGACCAGCTGAACGTCTGCACCCTGTCCTTGACCGGTGGGGTCCCGATGGCTTGCTTCCCATGTGCTGTGCAGGGCCATGCATCAAACTGCGTAAGCATCCACACAGCTGGATACCGACCATCATCTGTGCAGTCGCTAGCCCCGGCATGCGGGGCACCATTGTCTATTTAATGGTGCTAGGACAATAACAACAATTATCTGATCGAGGAGATCGGGAACAGAGGTGGTTCACTACCATGTCTCTTGTTGGCATCTCGGGTGAGATGAAGCCGACCTTCCTATTCCTTTGGGCAAGCGAGCGCAACGGTCTACTCCATACGACCCGAGGCTCTGCTCCCAATGGAGATACACTTGCCCATTGCATGTGGACAGTCAGTGGACACAGGCCGCGCGAAAGGGTCCATGAGAGGACGTCGCGCAAATGTGTTTAGCCGACCGACAAGGCCTACGTACTTCACCTTCCATTTCATGTTACCCCACGTTTCATGGCCTGCACTCACGGGATTGCTTTGGCTCGTTCGGGGAGTAGCCATCTCACACATATGCATCGACATGCATAGATAAGATAACCATGCTTGCCATGCACAAGATCTTGTGGGGTATGACTCCCGGTGACAGGACCCATCCCAGGTCCTTTCCATGTATGCTTAAATGATTAAGCATCCGATCCTAGCCCAGCCTCAGATCACCTCCTTTTGCTTTCCCTCTTTGGAAAACATGAGAAACCCAACAGCCGACACAGAAGCCCCACATCATTTTCTTGGTACTGATCGTCCCTGACGCGAATAACCTCAGGGGCAACACATGTCTGCCCACTCCGCCATTGTGTATATATGGGTAGCAACCACGCTTGCAAAAACTGGTCATGTCCAATGGCCAATTTCTTGAATCACGGCTACACAACGTTCCCGTCTCTGCACGAGCATTGATTGGAATCTCAGCTGCTCTACTAAAGACCGAGAAATGATGAATGACGATTCAGTGTAGGAACCAAGTCCAACCAATTCACTACAGAGAAGGATTCGCTACCAATTAATTGGTCGAGACTCTCAACCGGGTTTTGCCCCTTTCAGAGGTTCCTCAGCCAGGAACATGCACACTTTACATACGTACAGCACCGGCCCCAGTAGCTTTCAAGTCGCTCCTCGCCTCTAGGCTCTTCTAAGTTTTCCCAAGTACCAAAAAAGACCGCCAAGTTGTGACCTTGTATTCCGATATTGATTGATGCTGTAAATACATTGCTTCCACGAACTGCACCAGCGCTACTCATGGTGTTCATGATTCTTCGCAGCGTTCCTGACTACCTAGGTAAAGCATGGCAAGGGTCTCAAGACGGCACCGCCGTCTTCTAGAAACACCAAGCCCCGAACTAGCCATATATAGTACCAAAACCACTTAAACACCACCAGGTCGCATGACGATTGACTCGCCGTCAACGGCTCCTCTCCCTGTACCGACTGCCCCCCGTCCACTTACATCGCCTCGATCAACGCTCGGGGCTCCGCCTGGCGGGACGCACCACTCCGCAGTCTGCCAACGGCCTGGGTAAATGCTCTTCCACCTGGTGTGCAGCGCTCAAAATAGGGCAGCATCGCCTCAGTGCGGAAATTGCAGGTGGGAATGTGTCTCCTCAGTACGCGTATGCACCTCTTCAGATATCGACCATGACGGATAGTCGGCTCGGCGGGGCACATGTTGCCTCGAGAGCACTCGATGCCGTTGCTAATACATAAGTGAGATACCTCGCTGACTTCATCACGATGGGTTTCTTGTTGGAGCACTGCACCACGCACACATTCTCTCATTCTCTGTTTATTCTTCCCAGTCTGGTCGGAGACAATCACGACCATGGCAGTCACTCTTTCACCACTGCTTCTTCTCGCTCTCGGCGCGGTCTCGACCGTGTCCGCCGCCAACTCGACGGCATGTAACGCCGAGACTTTCAAGGCCCTCACTCTGGGCAACATCAACATCCTCTCCCTCGATGTCGCCGCCCTGCGCAACCAGTCCCTGGCCACGGGCCAGGCCGGTGGCACGGGCGTCGGCGTCGGCATCATCTCCGCCTCCACCGGCGAGACGGTCTCGACCGTGGACATTTGCAAGGTCTCGATCCAGTACACCCACCCCGGCCAGAACGACAACGTCAACACGTGGGTCGGCCTCCCTCTCGACCCCAAGAACTGGAACACCCGCTTCATGATGACGGGCGGCGGCGGCTGGACGGCCGGCAGCGACAACTCGATCCTCGCCCCCGTCGCCTCGGGTTACACGAGCTCCTCGACCGACGGCGGCCACAACGCCACCACCACCCAGGCCCAGTGGGGTCTCGTCAGCGAGGGCAACACCAACTGGCCCGCCCTCAACGACTTCGCCTCCGTGGCCCTCGACGAGGCCGCCAAGCTTGGCAAGGCCGCGACGAAGCTGTACTACGGCAAGGACCCCCTCTACTCGTACTGGAACGGCTGCTCCACCGGTGGTCGCCAGGGACACATGATGGCCCAGCGCTTCCCCGAGCACTTCGACGGTATCCTGGCCTCGTGCTCGGCCTTCAACTGGCCAGAGCTCCAGGCCGCCTCCGGTTACGCCAGTTTCCTGGCCCAGCTGCTGGGTAAGTTCACCATCCCGAGGTCCCTATACTATCACTGCCCTACTACGACATGGCAGGCAGTTGCTGACCTAGAATAATCAGACGTTGTGCCTCCCCAGTGTGTTCTCGATGCCTTCTCCAACGCCGCTCTCGACGCCTGTGACGAGCTGGACGGTGTGAAGGACAACATCATCGCCCTCCCGGGCCAGTGCAACTTCAACGCCTCCGACATCGTCGGCCAGGTCGTCTCCTGCACCAACCCCAACGGCACCGTCACCATCACGGACAAGATGGCCGAGTTCGTCACCGGCTTCTGGGAGGGACCCCGCACCGGTGCAGGCGACTTCTTCTGGTATGGCTTCGGATACGAGGGCCCATTCACCAGCGTCTTCCAGCCCAACTGCACGACTGTTGACGACTGCACGTACACCCCCTTCTCCGCCGCCGACGACTGGTACGGCGCGTTCCTGGAGCGCAACTCCACCTGGAAGCTGGCCACCGCCGGTCTGACCCAGGAGCGCTTCGACCGCCTGAACCGCATGGCCGTTGACCAGTACACCTCGACCATCGGCACCAACAACGTCGACCTCACCGACCTCAAGGCCCGCGGCACCAAGCTCATCACCTGGCACGGCACCCACGACGGGCTGATCCCCTACAACGGCACCGTCGACTACTACGACCGTGTCATGGCCTGGGACCCCGATGTGCAGGACTACTACCGGTTCTTCCTCGCCCCCGGTGTCGGCCACTGCCGCGGCGGTCCCGGCTTCGACCCCAACAGCGGCGTCCTGAACGCGCTGATCAACTGGGTCGAGAACGGCACCGCGCCCGAGTTCCTGCCTGGTATCGGCCCAGCCACCAAGAACGCTACTGAGACCAGGACGGTCAACCTGTGCATGTACCCCAAGGTTCTGACCTTTACCGGTACCGACCCCGATGACGCCGCGTCGTTTGAGTGTATTTAAATTAGCGGAACAACCTGTAAATATCTTTCTTTGACTTCCTCTGGGTGGGAGGCTTCAAACTATATATAACTCATTTTCCACGTGCACAAATAGTGCCTGCTAGTCTGGCCGGTGATTTGATGTGACTGGATAGAACAGAAGTTCTATTGTAAAGACTGTCTTGCAGGGATATAATAAGCCTGGTTCCAAGGTTGTCATAGTCTGCTGTGGCGCATCTCCTGTCGGCACCACAAATCCTCGACGGCTCCGCGAAGCAGCGATGGCTCAATCCCTGATTACTCAGGTTGCACACACTGGGCTGCGTCTAGATGTCGTTGGACTGTGAGGCGGTGTGACGGCAACATTGATGGAGCCAGTTGTTGCACAAAGCACCCTGCAGGCGGCGCTTGGAGGCTCACCTGCTGACCGTTGCACAAGATGACGGGAGGATGCGCCAGTGTCCGAAGAGGGTGGTTAGGAGGTATATGTATATTGGTGCTGCCGTCAGCACAGCAGCACCAACTTTGAGATTGCGGGCACTTGACATTGTGGTAGCCGCCGTAGGGCGGCCGGTCCGCATGGCCGCCAAGGCCGGAAATTGAGCAGAAGTGTACGGGCCGACTACTACAGAGGCCTGGCCACAACGACATCTGGAATTGTTGTGGAATCCTTTGTTGATGGCGGCGCCTCCGCCTCCATGCAACCACCTGTCTGAATGGTGTACGGCACAGCACGCGCACGAGGAGAAAAGCTTTTGCTCCGGCTCAGCAAGGTCATTGTGTTCTGACCAAGCAGGCGTGCTGGTCACTCGGGACTGCTCCACCGGCCTGATGTCTGAAAGCGTCGATTGCCGAAGTGGGTCGCCGGCGGACCGAGACGGCGATCAGGGCGGGACCCCGGGCAGTGGGGCATGGAATATCTCCCGAGGTGCGAGGACCGCGCTCGTCATGGCAATTCCACTCATGATGCAGCCCACGAAGACCAAGACCAAGGTTGAAAAGGCCCCCACGAACCATGACGCGGGCGCGGTTTTGGAATATTCAATAACCACGATAGCCGCCAGGCGTTCTGGGCCGGGATGCCCTTTCGAGCATGGGCCGATGAGGCTCGAGTGGGAAAGGAGGCGTTCTCGCGACACAAGCATCATAGGACGCAGTCTCGTTATGCACATCGTACCTGCTTTTGAGGCTCAAGACGACGAGGTCTGACTCGCCAACGCGCGAGGGACAGGGCGGCCGGCAGGCAGATGAGATTATGGCTGCTGGGAATTGGGCCTGTCATACGCCAAAACGCCACGTCGAGTCCTAGCACGGCTTGGTGCTCGGCGCATGTGTCCTCACCGAGAGAGGCGGCAGGCAGCCACGAACAGGGCTGGAGGGCCGATGGAGGGCAGATGGAGGGCAGACGGAAGAGTCACTCGTTGATGCGCCACGGAAGACGCATAATGCAGGTACGATTCCCGGTGAACCCTGGGCGATCCGGAGGGTGAGTCCAATGGGCAGCTGGACAGCAAAAGTGTCTCTGGGCGGGCAGGTTGACAAAGCGCAGTGTGCAACCTTGAGTCAGAAGACGACGCCCTCTGGCTGTCTGGCAGACGGCTTGCGCGGGAACAAGAGATAAGGCGGCACACCTTGGGGCGGTGGTGATGGTGTGCTGCCTGGTCAGGTGGTGTTGTGGTTAGTGAGTGGTGATCATTGGCCTCTTGCCTGCCGGGAGAAAGGTGCAATATAGTGAGTGGTATTAGTGTGAGTGTGGGATGCAGGGAGACGAACAGGGAACGCACGCCCACGGGCCAAGATGCAGGTAGACAGGCAGACAGATAGGGTGGGTGGCGGGGTGGGTGTGCTAGTGCTCAATAGATACGGGAGCACGTACGGAGTACGTAGTACTGCATACTGTGCTATACTCCGTACTACTACTCGGTACGGCAGAGCTCTCTTGTCTCACATCATCACACAGCTGGCCCAGCACCCAGCACCTGCCTGCCTGCGTTGGTTGCCCTTGGCCTCGCAGCTGCACCCGCACCCGCACCCTCTGCTGATTATTTACGAGGGAGAGACGGGCAGGGCAGAGGGGGAGACACCTCTTCGCTCGTTTCACCCTGGCACCCCCAGGCCGGAAAAGCCTATCACGGGGTTTTGTCATACGCGCAATTGGCGATGCTGCTCCACCCAGCTGCCGCACCCGACATGCCTGCAACGCTTGTTTATTCATCGACAATCTGCCGTCGTCCGTGCATCGTCACCATCGCCTGCATCGCTCTCTTGCTCATGCAGCCGGCCTAATGGGGTCCTCTGCACGAAGCATGCTTAAGTATTATCGACTTGCTGCCCAGGGTGGAGCCTGCCGGGCAAGCAGCCCCCCACGGCGTCTGCACGCAGGATGCCGTTTTGGGCGCAATCTCGACCTCGATGCGCCTCCTCCACGACTGCTATTGTCTCACGCTCTTGTGAGGCCGACATGGGCCCCAACCGTGATGATTTCACACACGGTGGCACCCCCGCCCGCAGACTCACACTCTCACACACATGCATGCCCTCGGCAGGCGCAGCTGAGAGGTGATTCATCTCGCTGCCCGTCGCTGGCCCCTCCCATTGGTGACGCCCACGTGGGAGGCCTTGGCCCGCCCCGCAAATCCATTTGAGACCTTTGGCCAGCTGAGAGCCTCCGCTGCTCCGCCAGCCGGCTCTGGAATGTCAAGCGCAATATCGACCTGCGCCGGTGACCACCACCCTCTCGCTTCCCAGCCGCGTCCACGGCCCCAGCCCTCGCACCCAGACTGCCACGCCCAAGGCTTTCCGCTTCGGGAAGGGTGGTGACTTCACTAGTCAACTGCGCAAATCAGCACTGTGTCTCTTGGCCGGGGCCGGGGTTCCACCGTTTTGCTACCTGCCAACACCCGACCTGTTCTGAAAAAAGTCCTACTGATGCCTGTGATGGGCCTGCCTGTGGGTGTGGGTGTGGGTGGTGTGGGTGGTGCGCGTTCGCGTGGCTCAACTATCAAACACCCAACCTTGGAACACCCACCATCTTCGTATATATTCCCATCCTGTCCCCCCTCCTCCTTTTTTTCCTTTTTGGCTTTTCTTATGTCTCTCTACTCTTACACTTCCTCTTTCTTGGCATTCACAGGACGTCTCTGATCCTGTCTCAACTGTCCGAGGGGAGGGACGGCAACCTCATCATATCTGACTTCTCACTGTCGCTTTTGACAAGTCGAGTGAGCCGGCGAGGCCGGCGGTAAATGTCCGCGTTCTTTACGGACGGACGGCATCTTGCCTGGTTTTTTTTACCTACACACCCTTTTCCCTTTGCAGTTGCCTTGTCATACTGGTTGCCTGTAGCTGGCAGACAGTGACTGGACAGGCCTAGCACAACAAGAACCGGCATTCCCATCCATGACTTCTCGAGCACAAAAGGTGCCCACTTCTCCAGTTCGCCTGATAAACCGCACCGTACGGTTCACTTCAAATATCTCCCCCATGCCAGCAGCAAGAATGGCTCACCGGGTCTCACGCCGAGACTCATGGCCGCCAACCATGATGCGTCTGCACCCGAGCATCGAGTCCGAGGACGCGGCGATGGATGTCGACTCCAACCAACACGACCTAACCCTGGAGGATGATGATCCCATCAACTACTTCCTCACTCCCACGCCCCTTCTTGACGATGGTGACACCGACGACGACATGGACTCGATGGATCTGGAGATGGACATGTTCGATGCGGGCATCGAAGACTCCCTGCACCCTCAGCCAGCCATCCGGAGCATCAGCCCGTCCGACTTGACCGGCCCAACCCGGCCACCGTCCTCACTGCCCAAGATGTTCCCCCTACCCATCCGATCCCCGACCCCTCCCAAGGCGAGAACCGGCTCCAGGTCACCGCCCTCGAGGAACTCCCCCGAGGCCCTGACCCCTAGCATGGACGCCGATGACGATGATGAGGACTACGTCCGCTTCACCCCGGGCGGCAGTCTCGCCCCGCTCAGCCTCTACAACAACTTCGCGAGCTCCAAGTCCAAGGGTGCCAGCCGCAAGGCCGCCGCCAACAAGGCTAGGGCGCAAGATACACTGGACAAGAACGACAGGGTGGGCATGATGATGACGCACGGCCCCTCGGTTTCCTCCACCAACCTCCTCCTTTCGCCGGACGCTTTCCACGTGGGCCGGCCCCCGACAGCGCCCACCACGCGCGGGAGGTCGACCACCGCAGCTGGCGGGAGGGGTCGGCCCCGGCTCGTCCAGCGACCTCGCAGCTGGTCCGGCCCCATCCACGCTGGACACTTTGGCGGTGTCGATAACAACCGCCTTTCGCCGCGGGCATGGCGCGAGCCTAGCCCCGACGTCTGGTCGATCGAGGAGGACCCCGAGGCCGAGATGATGAGCGAGTTTGGCGAGGGGAGCGTCGAGGTTGACACCCTCGGCCACAAGACTGGGGTGATGACCCCCGGTAGCGACAAGGCGGGGAAGAAGGTGCGCTTTGCGCTGCCTGTCACGGAGATTCCTTGAGGTGGTGGGAGTGGCCAGCAGGGCTGGATGGGGAGACGGAGTTGCCGTCACGCATTTCTGGTCGTTATGGGTTTCCTTGAGTCCCTGAGTAGGAGGTACAACAATGGACTCACGTCCTTGCATTTGTGGGTGGGAGGTTTTTCTTCATGGTCGGTCTTGCATTTTCGCACACTGGGGACGGGCCACAGACGCGGATGGTCTGCCTTTTCTTTTTCTAACATCATCATCATCATCGTCATTATCATTATTCATCTCATCTCTCGGGGGAAGCATTATCTGGGGTCCTGGTTTCATTTCTGGGTGCATATATTTCTTTTCTTCTTGTAACTGCATAACTAGATTGATTGCTCACGCAACCTATCATGGAGGAAGTCAACTTGGAGTAATAATTTCGGGCATTACAAATACACAACATCAAAACCTGCCGTTCGAGGCACCCAACGATTCTCTTCCCCTGCAATCTGGTGCTCGGTCTGCTTGTTTCGCTCATCTCGAGAACTACCAAAATTCCCATCTAACACATCGACTAGGTGCCATTATTTCCTGGCCTTTTCCAGACTTTTGGGCCGAAATTGCCACCAAGATTGATTTGCAACCCCATGGCCATCTCTGCCCATTTCGCAAGCTGTCCTGACCCCATGAGCAGCAGTGGTCGCCGCTATTTCTCAGCAGCAAGACCTAGTATATCGGTGGACTACCTTTACGGATAGGGCTTTCGCCACAAAGGGAAAGGAGGTTAGCCTCAAATCAGCTTATCAAACTCAGCTGACTACCACCACTTTTTGTTGGTTAGCCTCCGACTAAAATGTCCCAACTGTCAAGTCCCTGCATCCTAGAATAGAGGGTCTCCGCTAGATTGGCACCAACACAGGCATTGGACAATGGCCGGAACCTGTACACCCTCCCACCCCCCAACTCAGTGTGGCTTTCAGGGAGGTGCATGCCAAAGTCTGTAGTGCTGACCTTCTTCTCGCCAAGCTCAGCCTCCTTCACTTAGCACTAGAGCTCACCTATCTCGGTCAAACGACCTCCGGGCAACTTCATTAGCATCTGCGCCACCGAAGCTCCCGTAGCCAACAGGGTCCGAAAATCATTTGACTTTATCCTGTTGACGAAGCTTTACGACTTAGTTGAGTAATAGATGGCTGGTGATCTGTTTTTTCGTCGTTAGCTCTTCACTCAGCTTACATACCATGGCTTGGACCCACCCCTTAGGCCTTTTAGGGTCCGCCCAAGGTCCTTCTAACAGACCACCCCAGTGCTGTTCCTATTCCTTGACAGTGGTATCGACTATGTATCAGAAGACTTATTGTTCAAGTGCAATGCGATCTCCATATAGCGCTTGAGTATGGACATTGGGTAATTTCCAGACACTAAATTCCGGTCTCCGGGGCTTCCAACAGCTTAGCAGTTTACTACAAATTCATAAAAATAACTTTGCTGGACACTTGCACGAGGATTGTATACCTTTTCCTCAAACCACACTGAGGAGCGTTGATATAATTTCATGTATTTGCATACATTACAATCTAAGGTAATCAGCATCAGTTACCTGCCGTTGATGCAACTTTTCGTGACTTCCATTACAGATGGCGATTGCGTGGGCGGATAGATCCATTTTGCATTTATCTGTAATACTTGTGCGAAAGGCATCGATTGCAAATCTTGCCCTGACCTCGGAGGTACATTTATGTTTGGAATCAGGATGTTTCTCTTTTACTGATGGGCATGTTATTGCTAAGCCGCAACTACTCCTCTCTCATTCTTCCTTTTCATCGGCGTGCATATTTTCTTGTGAATAAGTCCGTTTTCCAATTTTGTGTCAGGTCCGTATCGAAAAAACCTGCCAAAGAAATTGGCACCAATTATGTGTCTATCTTCCTCCAGATCACCTGGGCAGGTATAGCGTGAGATGAGCCATATGTTTGAGGCTTCGGTAAGGAGTTTTCATTTCGCAACTCCACTAGGAGAATATGGACATTGCGCAGTTTTTCAAAACCACCTGTGGACATGGGTTGTTGCAGGCATGCTGGGTGCCCAGGTGACGTTGGGGGCTTACATAAGCTGGTTTTGTCCCCCTCACGGTGCTGATCAGGCCAGCTCGGAAACTGCTTCAAACACAATTCATGACGGTTGGGAAGTGGTTGGCAGCAAGTTCATGTCATTATTTCTGTTTCATGGCATCTGGAGACATTGACTCCCCTACTTGCAAGGCAATCAATTCGGAGGCCTGAAGTTCACCTGGCTTGTACGTGTTCCCGTGTTCAAGACCATCAGGCCCCTCCTCCTCCTGCTCGAGCTACTGAAGCTTGACCGTGTTACTGGCTCTGAATAGCTCTAAGTGTGTACAAAAGCAGATCTCCTGGGCCCAGGCCTCGCTCTTTCAGAACACAGCTAAAATCCTGCCCAAGGCCGAATGATCCAAGGACCGCCATCAACAAGGTCTAGGAAACACCAGTTGGAGGACTTGTTCAGCCAGCACGCACCAACACCTCCTGTAGCCACGACTAACACTCTTCAAAATGGGCATACACGAATTGGAGGAAACGATGCCGCTCCGCATCATCACCTTCAACATCCGCTATGCCACCACGTCTCCCACCCCCCATGAGGAACTCTGGGAGATCCGCCGCCCGAAGCTCTGCAACCAGATCCGCTTCAACACGGCCGGCCGTTCCGCCTTCATCTCGTTCCAGGAGGCCCTGGCCAACCAGGTCGACGACATCCAGGAGGAACTGGGCCCTACCTGGTCCCACATCGGGGTCGGGCGGGACGACGGCAAGGCCGCGGGGGAGTTCTCGCCCGTCTTCTACCAGGCGGAGACGTGGAAGTGCGAGCGCAGCCAGACGTACTGGCTCAGCCCGACGCCGGAGGAGCCCTCGACGGGGTGGGACGCCGTGCTCCCGCGCATCGTGACCATGGGCCAGTTCGAGCACAGGCAGAACGGCGCGAGGGTCGTGGTCCTGAGCACCCACTTCGACCACATCGGGGTCACGGCCCGCGAGGAGAGCGCGAAGCTGATCCTGAAGCTGGCGGACTCGTGGGTGGGCGAGATCGGCAAGTCTAGGAAGGGGAAGCCGCCGGTATTCCTCGGGGGCGATTTCAACAGCACGCCTGAGGACAGGGCCTACCAGACCATGACGGCGCCGGGGACCGGGATGACGGACATATCAACGCTGATCCCGGTGGAGAGGCGGTACGGCAACACGTTGACTTATACTTCCTTCGACGAGCCGGATGAGGAGCCCTCGAGGATTGATTTTCTCTTCGTCAAGGATACCACAGACATCAAATTCCTTACCTATGGGGTCCTGGCTAATCGATTTGACGATGCGGTGTTTCTCTCAGACCACCGCGCAGTAATGGCTGACATGGACGTTCCGGTGAAAGGACAGTCCCCGTCTATGTAAGGCTTCCCAGTGGGGGTTCCTTTGATGGAAACACGACTCGTGCTAGCCAATGGGTTGAGTGATTGTAGCGCATGGAAGCGCAGGTCCACCTCTCCTAGTTTTCCCAGGGTGACGATGTATTCATGCCTGGCCCATTCCCTTTTGGAGGGAGGAGGACAATCACATGTCGATGCCTGGGCACAGTGGTTATGGGTGTGGGAGCAGATTTCAAATGCAGTCCCACGTCTTGACTCCTCCAACATTGCCCAAGATTATGGTGATTGCCGCTACAACGGCTTGGTCTGGAACTCACCGAGCGGAAGCAAGAGACGGCACCAACGCACGAACCGCTGACTCCCGTGCCCAGGGAGGACTCTAAGAGCCTCATCATAAATAAGATCCCATCTTGATAATTTCCCCTAGACCACCCTAGCGCCACCAATTTTGCGCGCAGATCTAATGCAGGTGTGGTGGCGTCCGTGAAGAGGAAAGGGCGGTGTGGAGCTTGGGGACGAGCAGTAGTGCTACTGTTCAACGCAAACCATCACACACTGCACAGCACCATCTCGTCCGAACCCACGACTGACCAGTCATGTGCCGCAAGCATGGTCGCTAGCTATGAGGGAAATATAGGTGGCCGGCCAAATTTGCTCGCGCGTGGAGTTGTCCACGAATGGCGATTCAACTACTTTCGGGACAGGATATGAAGATGAAGGGACCTCGGACAAGCAGCACGGTCGTAAGTCGCATTGCATGTTCTGCCAACTCAGGCACATATGTCAACTCCACTTGAGCATCCACTCGGGCCGCCATCGTCATGCAGAGCCTTTGAGCATAGGTTATCCGAGTACGCCCCGGAGGTGCCGGACATGTCGTGGCTTGACGGGCAGCACGACGGCAAACTGCATCTGTGGGGGGAATCATTCCGATCAGGCGACCTGGGGGAGCACGGTGGACAGGCAGGCCTGTGAAGACGAACAACGTGTTTCCTCCATGTCGTCACAGGTGCCGTGAAGGTGTGGTGCCATTGGAGCTCAGAACCGTTCTCCCGGGCCATAAGGGACAATAATCATCGACCCTACCTAGGGTTGCAGGTTGCAGGTTGCAACTCATGGCCTGCAGGAGGTCCAGTGAACCCCCGGGCTGACTTGCAGTCGAGGTTGCACCCAACCACGACGCAGGGAGGTGGCGGGAGCGTCGTTGTGGAGGCTGTGGGACGCGGGGGATAGGCATTGGATCGGACGCGTGATAGGGGACACAAGTACGGCCGCTGGTGGGATGCAGCATACTGTGTGCTGCAGATGCGGCAAGGTCCTGCTGTCCCTGCCACCGACCCCGTGAAGCTGCGGCTTCTTGATGTTTGTGGCACAGACGTGGCATAATTGCCGAAGCTGGTGATGTGTTGGGGGCAAATGCCAAAGTCAGCCATTTTGATGACCACGGATCTGGGGAAGACAAGCATTGGCCGATTGCTGACATGTCGCCGCGTTCTATCAAGTGCCACTGCCAGGATTGGCGAGGAGTCCATCTCACAGCCGACGAACCGGGCTAGGCACAAGTGCAGTCAGCGGGTTGCTCGAAACCTTGTCTCTCTCGCTTCCGGTATAAGCCGTAGCAAGACATGCTGCTAATAAGCACTGGCACGAATGCTGCAGTTCCTCCCTCGAGTGTTCAAGGTTTGACAGTCGTTGGCTGGGGACTCGTGCTGCACGGGGTTGCATGAGGGACGAAACTCGTGCACACTGGGGGAACGGCTCCAATGGGCAGTGCAAGCATTGCTGCAGGGCAGCGTCATTGGACATGAGTGGAGGATGGTTCGTGTCCTCTTCTGGCAATAGTGTTCACCCAGCCCCATGGAGTTTTAGTTGAGCCGCATCTCCAAACCCGACTTTTGCCGCAGCCCATCCGAGGACTGGGCAGACGGGCACCTGCTCCATACGTGTAGATGAGGGCCTGGACCGGCGTGGTCTGGGAACGGGGTCTGGGGGGTGTGAGGTTGGCCGTGGTCGTGTCCCCCTGGCCGCCCATTCGCGCGTCGTACTCGGCACGACACCTATTGGATGTTCTGGTTGACGCCGGGACCTGAGCCTTAAAGTCGGGGTGTCAGGGAGTTCTGTTGGTTGGTTGTCATGCACACGCCGCCCGCGTGAACCTATTAGGCGTCGACCATGCGAGCACTTCTGGCACTTAGACGGGGCCTTGGGAGGCAAGCGGGCCTGAAGTTGGGGCCTGACGACAAAGTAGCGGGTCGGGCAGTCGGGGTGCATGGAGTCATCCCAGGGTGCATCTGCACAAAGTCGTCGCCGCGATCCTGTGACTGAGATCCCGGGGGTGGTCGATGTTCCCGGGCTCCACATCCCGGACCTCTGGGTCTCTGCCTCTCTGGTCTATCATGCCAGCGGCAGGGGCCAGGGTTTGTGAGGACTGCCCCAGCGCAGCCCCAGGGCCTTGGAGAATGTCCGTAAGTTTCCACTCTGCCACTGTCGCTGTGGTCTGTCTGTCAGCTTCCGGCGGCTTCAACAAAGCAGGGGTGGGGTGTCTAGGTCTGGTGGGTGACTCAATATTGAGCAAGGTCTTCTTGAGGTAAGAGAGGCGGGCAGAAGGGGGTGGGGGGAAGACGGCCTGGCGGGCAGACGGGGTGTCCTCTGGCAGAGAAACAGCTCGCTGCGTGCTGTGGTAATGGCAAAGGTCGCACCAAGCTTCTGGCAGGAGTGTGGCATCGCGCCTCGCTGCATCTGAGCATCTGGCACCCGGCCAACCGTTCCCGCCATCTCCCTGTAGGTCTCAGGCTGCACCATTGCCATTCGTTGTCCCTCAGCCCTGATATTCCTCTTCGGAGGGGGTGTGTGCGGGTGGTGTTGACGGGCGACGGCGACCAGGAATTTCAAGGCACACCCCCTCACACCCCCAGGTGCCACTCCCCCCATTTGACTCGCCTTGTTTCCCCACCACGTCTCCAGTCCCCACGACAAGCACTTGTCACCCCTGCTGCCAGTCCCATTTTCCGTCTCTCACACCCTCCCACCCTCCCCCCAGCAGCCCAGCAGCCCAGGAAGCACAGAGAGCGTTGCATCGAGCGCACAATAAAACTCGCCAGTAGCCGCCCCGGTCCTTTCCACCCGACATCTTATTTTTTTATATTTCCCAGACAGTCCAGTCTCTCTTCTGGGCACTGTTCTTGTTGACTGCGACGCCCATCACCTAGACGCCGCCTATTATCCTCCTCTTTCTACCTGCTCATCATACTCCGTACCCGTTGCTGTCAGGTCTGAGGCCACACACAGCAGCAGTCATTCCCACCCACTCACTCTCCTGCGAGCTCTTTAGCCAGGGTTCCCACACGGCTCCACTCGGATGACCCGACCGACTTTGGCTCGCTGTCCCGTCCCGACTCGGCCCAACGATTACTCACACCGGAGCCGCACTGCCCCAGCGATTGAGCCACCACCGTCGAGACAAGCAGTCAAGATAGACGACCGAGTGCTACTAGGCCCGACCCAACTCGAATCTCATCCATGACTCGACCAGGGACACTATAAGCAGTTTGCACCGCTAAAGCCTGCCGCCGACCATGGCAACCAGCGTTGACACGCGGACCTACATGGAGGTCGCTGATGATGATGGGAATATCATCGACGACTCCAAGACATATGTCTCCACCGCGCCGCCTGGCACCAAAGAATCAGCCAACGTCTCGCGCACCAGGAACAGGACCCTGACCAGGGGGTCGTCGTCGTCGTCGTCTCCTAACCCCACCCATCTTCACACAGACTCCGACTCTACCACACACCCCAGCAGCCCGCTGAGGCAGGATTCCAGGAAGCCCAGGACCAAGCCCAGGGACAAGGACAAGCCCTCAGCCAAGAAAACAGTCACACATGCCACTCCTGCTCCCAGGCCCAGCGCCAGGTCAGCCAGGACCCTTCCCAACCTGCACACCTCTACAGCGAGAAAGTCCCAGGACCAGTCTACCTACTACGGCATCAGTCCCGATCCGACCAGTCCCATCCTTACTCCTGGCGTCACCTCGTCGCGTCCGCGGGTGTACTCCACAAGTCAGCGACCAAACAGCTACTATGGCCAGCCGTCCAAGCCACCACAGTCCAATGCCAGGTACTGGCAACACCCTAATCCTGTCCTGGGGGGATCTTTCCCTCCACCGGCGCCTTTTCCACCACCACCAGGTGCCCCGCAGTTCCAGCCCCCTTTCCCACCGCCGCCGCAGCAGTTTGTTCCGCCGCCAATAGACTACATTACTAGCCAGGGTGCGTTGGCGGCCCGCTTCGAACACCACCGCCCGCGCTCCGCCATGGGACGCCAGCATCTCATTGACTACAGCCCAGAGTACGAGGACCCTGAGGAAGGCGGCGTCGTGATACGGCGGCCGTCACTGAGCAGGAGAAGATCCACCAGGCAGGATGCGGATCGCATCCGCATGCCTCCACCGCCGCGGCCCAGCACATCGCGCCCCCAGGCATCGTCCTTTGCACCTCCGCCTCCGAAAAGGCGTTCGATTGGGTCCGTCGGGTCACTGTTTGTAGATGACGATTCCCTTGACGGCGATGACTCTCTCTATAGTGGTGTTTCCCCAGCCGAGAGCTACCCTCGCGCAGCCCGTCGTCCAAGCATCGACTCCAACCCGATGTACGACATGGGACACGGCTACGCTGAAGTGGCAGGCAGACCGGACCGACTGGGTCGACGGAACTCCCACTACGGGGCCCGCAGGCAGTCGACGGAGCGAGAGGTCGAGGACAAGTACAATTCGGCGTTGCAGTACCAGGACGAGGTGGACGGGCCAACCAATCCCCTCACGGCCGCTACTCTCCGGCGCATCACCAAGACCCCAAGCAAGAGCACCAAGAGCTCAGGCAGCAAGGGAGGAAGTGGCTACGGGCGCCCCGCAGCGTCGAGGAACAGCATGGATGCGGACGACATGACTATATTCGTCAAGGGCATGGGTTCTCTTACCATTGGCGGCGCGCAGCTGAACATTGAGGACGGCGCCGAGATAGCCATCCGCACCAACGGCAGCGAGAGGAACTCGCGAGGAGGGAGCGACAATGCCTCAACGGCCTACCCTGACGACAGCCGCACTGCCAGGTTCGAACGGCCCCAACCGCGGATCCGTACCCGCTCGCGGGCAGGGTCACACTCGCGCACCCTTGCGCACCACGTCGCCCCGGCCGCTCCGCCCCACCCGCATGTTGACTACTACGGGAACACTTACATTCCGATGGCACATGCACCGTACTCTCCCCACCCCTACCCCTATAATGTATGACGCACACGAGGAACACGATGTTGATGATGCCGACGACGACGATGATGATGACAAACAAAATCTGATGACCAACGGGATGAGGCATGGTTTGATTTTGATGTTTTGTGAGGTTTCCCAATACCGACCTGATGATTCAAGATCCAATTGGATGATTCAAGCGAGCGATGGTTTCTGATTTCTATAATGATGGGCTGTGATATCCTGGGACATTTTTCTTCTCACTCATCCGGCCCCAGCCGACTGACGCCGGCGGATGGCGCCGGAGTACTACTATGTTGTTGGCCAGCGATCTCCTTCTGATTTTATTGCCTGGAAAAGAGCGTCAAAAGGTTACTGAGCGGAGAGAGATACCCCTTCCCGTTTTGTCATACACCGCCTGTCGCCTTCTATTCTTGGGCACCAACATTTCCCTCGTCATTGATAGCACTTGTGTTTCCTGTACAACTGGATGTGTATCCTCAAAAGTGCTCATGTGGGCGGGCGACCGCGCTCTGGCCGAGCCCGGCTTGTGTATACGTTGTACGATGAGGGCACTGGAAAGCAGGCTTTTCTCTCGCGCCGGCCGTGTCTTTTGGCGCAGGCGGGGAATGGAGACATCTACATGGCTACCTACCTGTTCCATATTGTAGTGCTATCATCACAGTTCTACTTCTACGCATATATTACATTTCTATTTATGGCTTTTTGAGACCTGTCAAACCTTGCATGTACCGGTTCGGGTTTGCTCTGAGCCCGTGAGATGGAAAAGGCCAGGACCTCCGGACAGGGGTGAGGATCTTTCGGGGTCTTGGGTCCCTTCCCGTCATTTACACCGGACAGTCTCTGGAACAAATTGCTTGTTCCGGGGTCGATACTTGACGGGGAAGGCAACTGGGTTGAGGCAGCCTGGACAACAGCTCCCAAGACGTGTCACGATGATATAGCAGGGGATATTATACAAGCATACTCTTAGACCAGATACCAATGCTTGCGAAGAACACCAGAGGGGAGGTACCGCTCCGGCTGGAAGAAGTACTTGCACAGACAGTTCATGTTAATGCAAAAAGTGGCACCGAGAGCACCATGGACTGACTGGCTCGTACCGGAACCGTGCCCCCGCCTCCCCGTGAGCGCGAGTCCGTCACTTGTATGGCGCGGACCCCACCGATGTCGTGCATTTTTGTCTACGTTTACCCTACGCCCCACGATGGAGGTAACCCGAAACAAGAAGGCCATGTTTCTCCCATGACATGCCTGGGCTCGGGGGTTTCGTCCGGAGTGGAGGGTGGTATTGGCAGTGCGTCTTATTGCTCAAAATAATCACAGGTGGAAGACAGCCGGGTTTTCGCCATCTACTCTGCGAAGGATGGCATTCTGGAATCGGGAATCGAGCTTTGGGACGACCAGCGGAGCTCCGCTTGATTTCTGTTCCCCTTCCAGAGATACCCGGGCAATGCTGTTGTTGGTAGGGCATTCGGCGCCACGAGGCGCGGTTGACACATGCCTGAAACAGGCGGCAGCTGTCGCTCGTGTTGGTGCAGGCCGGGTTGGGTTCATTGTTGGTAATCGGGCGCCCAGTTGGCAGGTGATTGGAGGTTTGTGTGTGTGTTTGTGTACGGTACGACGGTACTTGGATAGTGCCAGCAACTCGTATGTCGTGCTAAGGCCAGGCAGGGGGAAGAGACTGAGCCATTTATTTCGAGAAATGCCATGCCACATGTCCGCAGCTCACTCGGCGCCTCTCGAGGGGCTGCCCACCAATAACCATGCCCACAGCCCTGAGCTGAGCTGACTGAGTGACCGACTGCCTGACTGACTCTCCTAGGCCACTGGAGCTGTTCTCCGGCAGCAGTCTCGTCTCTTGTCTCGAGTCTCACAGGGTTGAAAGGGTTCGCTGATTGATAGCGCGACGCCCCCCCTTCATGGGTGGTGGTGCGAGACGGGTAAGCGTGTTCTGTTCTGGGTTTGATTCTTGAATCGTGTGTCGGTTGCTCGGGACGGCCCCCCCCCCCAATTCCGAGCTGTCAGGGCAGTCAGGATGGGAAACGTGGGGGCCGAATGAGTACTGTGTAAATGTACGGTAGTATAGTTCCGCCAGGGTTAGGACCTGTCAATGCGGGTTGTCTCGCCAATACCCGAGGCGATGACGTCGGTTGTTGACTGTCTCCATCAACAACCACATGGCTCACGTGCTGTCTCGATGATGCCCAGGCACGCATCCTGGCTTACCGGTACGTGGTGATGGATGCAGCAGGATCTTTATAACAATCACATTAGCAAGGGCTGCCTGCTCTGCATACATGTAAACAAGGCTGTCCATCCATGGGTTCCTGTTCTCGCTTGGAAGGAGCGTTGCTGCGGCAGGGTGCAGGGGTGGCCTGGTCCCAACCACCGCTTTTCCCCAGCCATCGCGTTTCCACAGGAACAAAACCGCCCGCCCACAGCAACCACCTCTCACAGCCTGCACCACATTGAATCTCCAGAGACCGCTTACCTCTTACAACGTCCATCCGTCTAAGCTTAACGTACTTTTCCTTCTGTCGGTCGGTCAACTAATTGATTCATCGACCGCACATTGACCTCACTCTTTGTCTGTCTTGAAGCAAAGACACGAGCCAACACGCGACAACTTACACGACAACATCAGCAGGTCAAGCAGCAGAGGGGAGAAGCACATCATTTGTGCTGATCGACTCTCCACGCTGCCCGACTTTGGCTGGTCTGCCAACCAATACCAGCCAGAGTCCCTTCACATGTCAACCCTTCCAATCCACTCCTAAATTCCAGTGTGAAGCGGGCCTGCTTCCACCACAGACAACATGGCGCCAGCCGACCTCAGCGACAGCATCGCAAGACTCGGACCCGTCGCTGCACGGTCCCTATTACTCGCCCGCGATGATGCACCTAACAACCGGCCCAACCCTGAGTCCGGCATCATCCACCCCGAACAGTTCAACCAGAAGTTTCTCTTTATCTTATTCGGCCTGATACCCGCCGCCTTCGTCATAGTCGGCATCTGGTTTTTTTTCCACGCCAAGAATGGCGGCTTCTACTTCAAGGAGAACGATTGGGACGACTACAAGTCTACTGTACTGCGTCGCAAGGGCCCGAACGGCACTACCTTGTCGGGGGCCACCACCGAGACCGACCTCGGCGGCGGCAGCGTGTATAAGGACGTCGACGATGGTAGCACAGAGGACGCCACCACTGTCGTCAGCGGCACGACGGGCATTACCGGTATCACTGGCGGCGTGAGCGACTTTGTCGGGCGGGAGAAGAGGCGCAAGAAGCGCGAGCAAAAGGAGCGCGACAGGGAAAAGCGCCGCGAGGAGAAGCGCCGCGAGAAGGAAGAGCTCAAGCGCAGTAAGGAGCGCAAGCGCGCCCGCAAGGTAGCCGAAGACGGCGGCGTGGTCGACGAGGACGCCGAGGCCGAGGCCGAGCAGTACCTCCGCAACTACCGGCACGAGAAACCCGCTCGCGTCGGCGGCATCAACAAGGAGAGCGACTCCAGCCAGTGGGACGGCTCGACAAACCCGACCGAGTCGTCCAGGGGTGGCTACACGGAGAGCACCGTCACCTCGGAGCTCATCAGCCACCGCGAGCGCACGCCGACCACCACCCCGGAGAAGCCCAAGAAGTCCAGCGGCATCCGCAAGGTCTACTCCACCGCCGACAAGCGCGACTCGCGCGAGGCTGAGCGCATCCGGGCCGAGGCCAAGAAGCTGCAGGAGAGGGGCCGCGCCGCGGCAGCCTCCTCCGCGGCGGGAGCGTCGTCATCCCACAGGCGCAACTTCTCCTGGCAGCAGAACAACCGCGTCGATGAGGACACCCCCATGGCGCCTAGCAGCTACGGCCCCAGCGAGGACGTCGAGTCTAGAATCCCCGGCAGCTGGGCCGAGAGTGATGTCGGCAGCGAGGTCGGCACCAAGTCGTACCACCACGTCATCCCCGGGCTCTCCGACTCGGGTGCCGGCTCGTCTGTCGCTGGCACTGACGTGAGGGACTACGCGGAGGAGAAGCGGAAGCGCAGGGGGGGTGCTGGGTACAGGCGGGAGAGGTAGGCCCTCTCGCTGTTGAGGTATGTGATGGGTGCTCCTTCAGAGAAGGCCCCACGCGCAGGGGTGTGATTATGGCGGTTATCATTATGATGGTTTACGAATGCGACTTTACACGAGAGAATGCACCGAGTTCCTACTTGTTGTGGATACCTTTTCATTTACGGAAGCACGGACGGATTGCGCATGGGGTGACATGGGCAAAGGATACGGACGAGAGCCGGGCTGGGATGAGGGTTATTTGAGGGATCGGTACATCTCCTTTGTGTCGCCGGGCGGATCAGCCTGGCTTGGGTATACAACATTCGCGGCGTTTGTTAGCCGGCAAACTGAGCAGCATTGTGAATATAATGTAAAGAAGTCCAAATCACGAGATTGATCGATCCCCGAGCCCCAGTTTAAATGTGCAATTCGGTGCCTCATAGAGTACCTGTCTTCTGGCTGTCCTGCCGTCTTGGTCATTGGGAAACAGCGAATAGCAGTCCCTTGCTGAAGGAAGAACGCCAGGATAAGCCCCTCGTTTGGGTCCAGTTTGGACGTCCGCAGCTGTGAGAATGGCTCGCTCGCAAGGCTATGCTTTGTTGCGAGGTGGCCCCGGGGGGTGTCTGACAAGAAGGCCATGCCCTGACGCGCACATTTAATCCTCGATATTGGGATCTAAAGTGATTTGTTGCTCTTTCTAGGAATGTCGACAGAAAGAGTACCGCTCACGCCTTTTCCGAGACGAGAATTCAGCCTGGAGCCCCATTGGGCATCCATCTGCCAACCATGCCTGAGGTTACACAACATACGCGCCCCATCCACGCAGATTGGATAAGGGACTTGCAGGGCATTTTGCACCCCGCAATGACTGTTTGCAAATTCCGCATTTAACAGCTCTGTTCAAAGATCATAATCTCCGTGCGTCGGTCAACACCAAAGAGGCGTCAACGTCGTTGGAGGCAGTCATGGGGTCTGAGTCGAATATAGACTACGACCTCGACGTCGAAGGAGACGTGATACTAACTCTTCACAACCCCAATGAGCCGTTCTTTGTCTGGCTCGAGAAAGAACCTTCGGAGGTCTCGCAATATTGGCAGTCGTTCCCTGACGCTGAGCTGGTTCGCAAATTTGGACAGTTGGATCCAAGCTGGTCAGACCTGCCAAGCGAAGCAGAGCCGCGGTTGGAAGATGCACCGCTCCATGTGCCAGTTGATCCTTCATTTGAAGAAGCAGCACTCGGGGAAGAAACGCCGTTCGATACATCCGACCAACTTGTACAAGACACCCCACATGTTTCAGACCTGCCAGAAGCAACAAGGCCTAAACAGGCAGGTCTTGAAGACGATGATGGCATCAACGAACACGCGCATCAAGTACGATTTCGATTATCATCGAGACATTTGATCTCGGCTTCTCCTTATTTCAGAACAATCTTGACTGGGCCATAGGAGGAGAACACATCACGAGTCGATTCGTGGTACAAAATATCCGCCACAGACTGGGACGAGAAGGCATTCAAACTTCTCATGGATATAGTGCATGGCAACAGCCACAATGTTCCACGACATGTTGATTTGGAGCTGCTCGCGAAGATCGCGGTGCTGGTCGACTACTACAAATGCTACGACGTGGTGAAGTTCTATTCCGATACGTGGATCGAGGGCCTGGGGGAGACGATGAACGTCACCCAATATTCAAGAGACTTCGTCTTGGTCCTCTTTGTTTCGTGCGTCTTCATCCAGGGCACAACATTCCGCGATTTGACATACCAAGCCATGAAACAGACCACGGAACCGTTTCGGTCCTTGGGGCTGCCATTCCCAGAGAGGCTAATCGGTTAGTTTGTCCGTGTCAGCAGGTTGAGATGCTTGTCTGACGGCTTCTGCAGAGGAAATCGAGCGCGTCAGAATACGTACCGTTGGCGCGTTCCTTGATGGGTTGCACGACCTTCTTCGGTACCTCGCCGCCCGGGTCAGTTGCGGTATCGCATGCAACGCAATCTTGGTCGGCACACTTTATCGTGAAATGTCCGCGAGAGCCATCCTCAGCCCACAGCCAGCGCCTCCTTATGATGGGTTCAGTATTGATGGCATCGTCCAGATGGCGCGGGATATTGAATCCCCGAAAGGTTATCGGGCCAAAAGAAGTCTTTGCCAATGCGGAATTCAAACATTTCTCATTCCTCTCATGGAAGAGGCCACGAGAGGTGTTCAAGGTCTTGAGTTGGAGAATTACGTGACGAACCCTTGGGCTACTACAACTCGCTCCCGGCCTACTGCACGGTCATCTGAGCTCTGAATAGATCATTGTTGGTGATATTGGCACTTGTTGTACGGGACGAGACGTATGTGGAGGCTACATGGTCCCGGTTGAGGATACTGGGAAAACCAGGTCCCTATGCGGTGGAATTGGGTGAGCGTCATCCATAGTATGCGGAGGGATTCAAGCAGTCTACCGCTACAACCCTTCCTACTCATATGCTGCAGCTGCAGCTGTCCTGATCACTCACTATGTGCCAGTCTTGCCGAGCAACGTTGGCGCGGGTACTCAAGCTCATAAACAGCCACATGCACGAGCTTTGCTCGGATCTCTGCTACGTAGTCACCGTATGGGTATATAACAGCTTGATTGTTCCTCACTGCTGAGCTCACTACACGTATAACCTCCTACCTATGGGATGACGGGCTGTAGTACAATCACTTGAGGAATAAAACCACATCAGCTGGTGGACAGGAGCATTTGACAGGGGCTCTGCTATCATTTCTTGTCATTCTTGAATGTGTGGGGGTATCGCGATAATGACCTGATATCCTGGCGGCGTCTGGTTGTTGGGCATTTCACGTGACTGAGAGGACACAGGAGACGAATCCGGTCGATCGGTGTCTCGGCTGTCAAGTGCAGTCAAACAAACAATTGTGACGGGCAATGAGATGCTCGAAACATGTTTGTATTGAGATCTGCGGGAATCAGTGGCCGGGTGAAAGTAGCAGGACTCGAGGTGACAGGCCGGGAGGCATACATAAGCTTAAATGTATTATTAGCAAAGGGAGACAAGGCGGCTCAGACTCTGCTTGGGCGGCAAAAGAAACAAGATCAAGCAGATGCCAAACGGGCTGGCAGTGGGCAGCGGGCAGCGGGAGAGATGGCTGATGGGCCGGCTGGCTGGCTGGCTAGCTGGCTTACACTGGCTGGCTGATGGATGGATAAGTGGAGGTTAATTATAGTGGCGGGCAGGCCTACGGAGTACTGCCCTCAGACTCACGAAACAGGCTGCGGCTGATGAAACCTGGCCGTGGGAGCCGTCCAGTTTGTCGAGGCCGTGGTCGTCAGACCCGCTGCTAGGGCGGTGGGGGTTCATGCGGGTAGAAACGGGTGGTGGCACTGGTGGGTGGTGCGAGGGAGGAGACCAACCGGGCAACCACAGCATGAACCAACCGGGCTGCCGGGCATGAAATGGCCTGGTGCTAGGGAGTGGGAGTGGGCTGTGTGGTCGACGGGTCACGATGAGATGACGGCGCATGAGTGTGAGTCGTCATTGCTCCCTGATATTAGACGCTGCTATAGCGTAGACACGTGCTTATATGCCCTCTTGAGCATCAACTTGACTTCAAGGTCGCTAGTTGACTGTCAACTGTCCTGTCCCTGCTAACCTGTGTACAGCTAGGCCAGGGAGCCCGGAATGGTGAGCAACCAGGCAGGGGCTGGCGTGTGCTATGTAAGGGAGCCTGGGAGCCTCGGGCTGATCAAGCTGATGTATGGAGATCCACCTCGCGTCACTGTCTTCTTGGCACACCACCCTGAAGTATCGGGAGGCTGTCTTGTGCTAGTGTTGTGGTGTCTCGTGACACCCCTCGCCTAACAGCGGGCCTCACGCGGGCACACGGAACGGAAGTGGCGGCCCACTCAGTACATGGGCAAGGGCGCCTCTGAGGTCTGAGGCAGGCGTCCCTTGGCCCCGGCCCAGCGTCCCAGACACCCTGAGCAACCCAGACCACGTCCAGCAGTGCGCTGGCAGGCTGGGTCACCCGCAGTCAGAGGCAGAGGAGGAGGAGCGCAGTCAAATCATGACCCACCCGCCTATCCGTATCCCACCCACATATTGGCAGACTCGAGACAGGCACACTGCTTCTCCAACCTTGGAACCCTCCACGACTTTCTCCTCCTCACCACCCTAACACCCGCACTCCAATCCCCCCCGCCGATATCTTGGTGAAGCGGGCCGTCTCGAGACGACTTCATCTATCTGTCCCTGTCTGCTCTCTTGTTCTCACTTGTCCTAAGATACCCGAGCCTCGCCTCTCGTCGTGATCAGCGACTCGTTGCCGCTCCCAATTCCGTAACGCGCCCCATCTCAAACCCAACCTCAGACCCAGACTCCACACTGCCTCGACGTTGCACTGCTGCTGCGCTGCGCTAGCCTGCAGCTGAGGTCCCTCTTAATCCAGACCCTGCCGGACCAATCCTGCCTGGCCGACCAGCCAACCACCCAGCCGGCCAAGCCCACAGAGCCCCAGTGTGCCCCAGTGTGCCCCAGCGCCAGTGCCAGCGGGCACGACCACACACCCAGAACAACCGACCGACCGTCCGTCCGACGCATCACACTTTGTTCCCGCCCGCTTTGAACGACAAGAAGCGGACCACGCCACTCGCTCCCACACAATCCATCTCTTTCTGCAACTGCGACTGCGACTGCGTCAATTCTTGTTCTTCATTTCATCCCTCGACGCTGGCTGTCCGCCAAGCACAGACTTGCTTTGCTGCCCTCCCCTCGCACCTTGTCCCTCCTGTGCAGCGAGTCTCTTATCGAATGGTTGCGTCACGGCGGCGACGCCACCCTTGAAACTTCTCGGGCCCCCATCAACCGCGAACCCAACCAGCCCACATCTTGATCCGATTGCCATCGCACGAAAAAAAGAATCTCGAGATGCCGCCTAACCGCGCACCCGACGCCCTCAATGGCGTCCTTATCGGCCTTCTGTCGTCACTCGGGTCCGCCGTGCTGATAGGTCTCATCTTCGTCATCATCTATTTCTTCAAATACACAAACTCCGGCCGCATCTTGCTCGACCGCATCGGAAGGCCCGGTGAATACGATGACGAGCAGGCATTCGCCAAGGAGGAGGCCGAGGCGCTGGAGGTCATGGATGACATGCAACGGACGGAGTATCTGAGAGCCAAAGGTGCGCTACATCATTTCTAATCTCGCAAGTGGGCCGCCCATGCTAACACGAGGATAGCATTCGTCACCGCCAACCCCCCCGAGTCTGTCCAAACCGATATTTCCCTTTCGCAGTATCTGGCCATACAAGAAAAGGGTGTTTCAGCATGGGAGTTCGAGCCGGAACTCGAGATCGCCAACTGCTTCGTCGAGGGCCGCACAGAGATAGAGTTCTTCGACTCCGAATGTACTGTCATGACGAACCTGCCCGTGCCGAAGCAGAACGAGGTATATTATTGGGAGGCCAAGGTGTACGAGAAACCCGAGGCGACCCTCGTTGCTATCGGCATGGCTACCAAGCCCTATCCGCTCTTCAGGCTACCAGGTATGTCTGTTGAGGCAGTAATGTCCCACAAGAGTTCCTTAGGGTTGCTAACTGTGTGACAGGCTTCCACAAGCACTCGGCTGCCTATTTCTCAAACGGCTTCAGGCGTCTCAACCAGCCCTTCAACCATACACCTTACGGGCCACAGATTGTCCAAGGCGATGTCATTGGTTGCGGGTACCGTCCGCGAACAGGTTGCATTTTCTTCACTCGTAACGGCAAGAAGCTGGACGATGTATGCCACGGGATGAAGAACCAGAATTTCTTCCCAGCCGTCGGCGCCAACGGACCCGCAACTGTCCACGTCAACTTCGGCCAGGCTGGATTCGTTTTCATCGAAGCCAATGTGAAGAAATGGGGTCTCGCACCCATGACGGGGTCGCTGGCACCCCCACCCCCGTATGGTTCCGAAGCCGGCAGCATCCTGCTGGAGGCTGGCAGGAAAGACAGTTATACTGGGTCGCAAGCCCAGGGTCAGGGCAACAACCCATCGGTTCAGACATATTTCAGACCACACCATCAGTCGGGTCTTGAGCCACAACACGGTCATGGCCGAACACGGTCTGGAAACTTTAGGGTGCTTTCTCCGACAAGTCCTGGCCCTGCTCGGAGTCCCACTGACATCTCGCTCGCCCAGCTGGTGCCCAACGATGACGGCGGCGAGCCTAGCAGTGCTGCTGCCGGCACTGCTGGTGGAACCACGACGCATTCCGCGGCCGGGCTGGGCCTACAGGAGCCGAACCAACCGCCCCCTGACTACAGCAGCCCCCCATCATCGGATGCTGGGAGCCGACGCAATAGTTCTGAAAGCGAGCACACACCCTTGATACGAATTTCGAGAAGCAGAGGAGCATCGTCCGTGACTGTGACGCCGCGCAGCAGGAGCAACACGGCCCAGGCCGAGGGGCCTCCGATCCCAAGTTACAGCGATGCTCTGCGACAGGGAGCCGGACGTGATCGAAGCGACAGCGCCAGATCCGCGCGATAAAGGAACCTTCATACTACAGGGGATCAACACACCAGGGCCCTTGGCTCCAGGGGGACCGAGAGCCGCTGAAACCGCCTGCACGAGACAGCGTTCTCACGAGTCTTTTACATAACCAAGAGCAATCAGCAAAAGCAAAGAAGAAAGGTTGAGGAGACAAGAAGAGCATTGGAAATACCCAGAGTCAACAATTCACAGTTGAACAAATCATTGATGAGCTTTGAACGGCGGCGAATACCAGCACAGAGCGAGCGTCAGCGAGCAATGGGAGGGGCACGAAACCCGACGGCAGGGTGGCACCAGGAGTTCTGATTTTACATGATAAGCTCAGCCGTTACTTCTGGATGGTGAGGGAGATCATCGAAACGGTCGGATTGCACGGCGAAGGTGGAGTTTTTGAATCAACTGGGTTTGGGTCGAATGGTGTGTCAACAAGAAATATCACAATGACAAATATGGTCACTGCCGGGTTTCCGGTCCTGAAGAACCGATGTAGCATTGACGGTGCCATGTGCGCCCTGTCTCTACCCCGAGAAGGTTTTTTTTCTTCTCTGAAGAATATAGTATCACTATCAATACCGAGGTTCCTAAGACCAAGAAAATTAGTACTGCTTCCTCTTTGCCACATCAAGCCAAGAGAAGAGTACCATAGACAATAAGTCTCAGTATTCAGGAAACTTTCACTAAGCATGTTTGTGGATGTAACATATCGCCGTTTTTGATGAGCCGATGAGAGCATCCACTTGGGCGTGCGTTCCTTGAGTCAATAATACGCATGGTTCACTCAATCTGTGTTTGGGCAGGCTGCCAGTCTCCGATTCAGGAGCTGACCAGCAGAACCATCGTGACGGGTCCTGTGTCTCTACTGGACATCATGCCACTCCCCGAACTCCATGGTCAGGGCAGAAAGCTGGCCCTGGCCTGCCGAGGTTCGCCCATCGGCCGCAGCTAATGTCCCTGGGGCAGGCATATGTATTCTTGGGTCCGGATACGGCAGGCCAATCCCATTTTCTAGACAGTGCTGTTCCAAGATGGCAACCCTGTGTAGCAGAGCTCTCAACTGCCTGTTTAAAGATCAGCGTTTAAAGATCAGCATCCTACGCAAGGTGCGGGACCAACTCACACATCTCTGCTTGTGATCTCTGGATGCGCACCACTGCTCATCGCCTGATCCAGCCCAGGCGCGAGTTGGATGTTCTGTTCGGGCTGTTGTACTGACCGCGCGGGCGGACGTGCTGGGTGGGGCGGTGAGGCCTGACCGGCCGGGCTGCCGCCAATGCTCTGCCCGGATTCCTGCTCCACGTCCTCGCATTCCGAAGCATCGGGGGGAGGGACGAGCTTCGCCTCGGTAAAGACAGCGTTGTGCTTCTGCCTCCGCCTGCCCCTCTTGCCGAGCTCCGAGTCGGGCCTGTGCCTGCCGAGTCTCTCGTCCCAGCGGCGGTAGAGGTTCAGTTGCTTGCGGATCTGGATGATGGCACTCAGGGTGACGGTGAAGCCGTCGGCGTGCAGCCTCGCCAGCAGCTCCTCGTCGGTCTTGGGCCTGGTGGACCGGTCCTCCCAGTAGGACTTGATGTGGCGGTTGAGGTCGTCAGACCTGGTGGTGATGACGCGGTGGAAGTCGAGGTCCCACTCCTTGAAGCGGCGCATGATCGTCCTCGACTTTGCCCTGCAGCCATGGTCGTTGAGGAGGACCTCCTCGATCTTGGACCATGGCGTCTTGTCCTGGTAGAGCTTGATGATCAGGTCCTTGTGTTGGTCAAAGTCGGCCCGCGGGCGGCCGCCGACCATGGCGACGAGGGAGTTGGATGGCAGCCTCGAAGTTGCAGCTGGCAAAGACGCCTGCCCAGGCACTCGGGATGGGGCGAGAGAGATCCTTGCAGGGGCAGAGCTTCATAAAGTGTCAGACAACGACGGAGCAATGGCAGTTGGGTTTGGTGGTAGTCGTAACGGAGCCGACGTTGCACGGAAGTCGGCCGAGCGCCTGGAATCGCACCGGCGGCAGGTTAAGGGAAGCCCACTACCCCAGATTCAAGCGTGGGCGATCCCTGATTGGCGACCCCCTTTTTGAGTTCTGACCTGCAAGATCCAGCCCTGGAGTCCAGACCGCCCAGGTGCACAGGCGCCCAGTGCCCAGCCCAGGCCTGCTGCCAGGAGATTCGGATAGGTGGTGTGTGGAGGACGTCGGGAGGAAAGGACGTGTGGCCCGCAGACAAAGGGAGCTAGCGTAAGCTCCTGGTTGCGCACTTGTCAACTAACAGCACACTGCAAAAAAGATCAGCCCAGATCGCCCAGGCATCTTTCGCGCCTCCGTCCTGACTCCGTCCCTCTCCGTGTCCGTCACCGTGCCCGTCCTCTCCAAGGCCTCAACCCACCCGCCCCAGCCGTTTCCTGGCGGGCAGCACCACAACGAGCATCCACTGCTGCGTCGCACTCTTTACATCAAACATACCCACCACGACAGTTCAAACTCCACACCTACTTGAATGCTCTAGTTCCCGGCCTCCTTGCACGGACATGGTGCTGACAGCGACTCCCCTGGAAGCAACGCGCCTTGCTATCTCCCACTCGACCCGTTGCCTCGGATTGACCACTTCAATGCCACCAGCCGAGCTTGGGTGACTGCTGCCCAAGTGTCCCACACACCTCACGCCATGACGCGCCGAATAGTAAGCTCGCCTGCCAACTCCGTCCTCTCCTCTGGTAGATGTCGCGCTGGCCAGGTCGTCCTGTGCAAATCACCCCCGTATGCTTACCACGGCGACAGGTCAGGACGATTGTCCAAGTATCTTCGGTAGCCCTCGTCACCTTCCTCATCGTCTTCTTCCTCGACAGAAACTTTCGCGTCCTACCCTCAGCCATCCATGAGTACATGCCCCAACACCATGCCGGCCTCCTCATCACCGACATCACCATCAAGAAATGCTCGAGCATCAACGTCTTTTCCTCCTGCCGCCTCGACCCGGACGTGTGGCACCGGATCGAGAAAGACCTGTACCTGGGGAAGACGGTCGTGACGAGCGCATACATCCACGTGCGGAGGAAGAAGGAGGAGGAGCTTACCTCGGATGACAAGGTCATCATCGATGTCAACGTCGGCCGGCTCGACCCCGGCACCAACAAGAAGGGCCAGGCGGACGAGAGATGGGAGCCCCGAGAAGCAGGGTTGTGGATCAAGAGATCCGCAAAGAAGGTCGCCATCGATTCGAAACGGACCATCACCGCCGTGGACGTGCTGTTTGGTGACGATGCCGTCGAGGCGCGCGACGGCTGGGAGATGCCCGAGAAGGGCACCCCACTGCTCTTGGACGGGGGGCCCAAGGTGCCCTCGGCGCATATCACGGTCAGGAGAGGCAGCCAGCAGGACCCGTACAAGCCGCAGCTCCGGATAAAAGAGAATGGGAAATTCAAGGTTATGCAGGTGTCAGACATGCACCTCAGTACCGGCGTCGGGGTTTGCAGAGAGGCAATGCCAGAGAGCCCCGAGAGCGAGAGGTGTGAGGCTGATCCGAGGACGATGGACTTCATCACCAGGGTCCTGGAGGACGAGAAGCCGGACCTGGTTGTCTTCAGCGGCGATCAGATTAATGGAGATACCGCTCCAGACGCACAGTCGGTAGGTTCACCCTCCTTTCGCTTACATGCTGAGCGCTGACTGACGCCAACGATAGGCCATCTTCAAATACGCGCAGCTCTTGGCCAGGCACAAGGTGCCATATGTCACCATTTTTGGCAATCACGACGATGAAGGTGCAGCTGGCGCTTCTCTGACGCGCGCAAATCAGATGGCGCTGGTCGAGACCCTGCCCTATTCTCTGTCCAAGTCCGGGCCAGAAGACATAGACGGTGTGGGCAACTACTACGTGGAGATCCTAGCAAAGGGCAGCTCAAAGCACTCGGCTGTGACCGTGTACCTGCTTGACTCGCATGCGTACTCGCCCGACGAGCGCCGGTTCAAGGGCTACGACTGGATCAAGAAGAATCAGATCGATTGGTTCCGACAGACTGCGCAGGGTCTCAAGAAGAAGCATAAGGAGTACACGCATTTCCACCTCAACATTGCGTTCATCCACATCCCTCTACCGGAGTATCGCGATACGGAGCAGTACTTCAAGGGCGAGTGGAGGGAAGGCGTGACCGCGCCGAACTACAACTCTGGGTTCCGTGATGCCTTGGTCGAGCAGGGCGTCAGCATGATAAGCTGTGGACAGTGAGTACTGATGTTTTCCTCTTGTGGCCATGTCCGACTGACATCTCCTAGTGATCACGCCAACGAATATTGCGCGCTCTCTCAAAACCCAGACTCTAAGAAGCCCGAGCTTTGGATGTGCTATGCGGGCGGCTCTGGCTTCGGGGGCTATGGAGGGTACGGCGGCTTCCATCGGAAGATCAGGATCTTCGACCTCGACCTTAACGACGGGCGGATCACGACCTGGAAGCGGGTCGAGTGGGGCGAGACGAAGCAAAGGATAGACGAGCAGATCATCGTCGACGCCGGGAAACCGACGGCACCAATGGAGGACTGAGGGCGGGTCGGCGGGAGACGACGGAAGATACCCCGTGGATCCATCCATACTTTTATGCGGCTTGCCATGACTCGTTTGAACTTTCTCTTGCGGGATCGAGTAAAGTACGACGGAGTTTGCGGCGCAAAAGGGGGACACGCCAGTAAGGGATCTTGGCTGTCATATTCGAACAGTCTCATTTGTCTTGCTTGTGCATGAGGCCTGGAATCTGTTTGTCAAATGGATGATCACAGCGGGGACATCATTATTCTGGCGGAGCAGAGGTGGAGTTCCTCGACGAGCCTGGCAGGACAAAGATCCTTCCTTGACCTGGGACATATCGGCTTCAACGTACACGAAGCGACAGCGACATTTAATGGGTTGCTAGGATGAGGCATCGGAGGTACGAGCGGGAAAAGGCCGGCGCTACAGATACCATTTATACAAGACCATTCTTCTCTACGAGACCCCTGAGGCGCAGTTGGATCATAAGTTGAATGGAGACAAGGGCACTTCCGCCATTGTGTGAATTGCCCGCTCACGCAAGGCTGTTGCTTGTGATGTGGGGGCTGGGTCGGTAGCCTTGCGACAAGCCAGCCAGCCTCGTCTACTTGCCCGACAGGGCCTAAGTGGAGCCCAGCCACAACAACCCAACCTTTTCACCCTTTGCTCTCGGCGCGCTTCTTACAGCTGATCTTCACACTCAAGATTTGATTCATGTTTCAAATCCGGCATTTCTCTGCTCCGCGCCGTCGTCATAGGTGGCTGGTGACAACGAGCCCGGGCCGGGGCCCGGCCGACCCAGGCCGTGACCAGCCCTCACAGCGTCAGAAGTCAAGTCGCGCTCAATGAAACCCGATCACATGCGAAACTCCTGAAACAGCTGTGAACTTGAAGCCGCCGCCAAACCAGACCGCGTCCCCAAGAGGTCGCTGGATGAGGTCCGGTGCGGCGGCGCGCGCCTCACCAGGCCGCCCCGCTGGCGTCGCAGCCATATATCTATCTCACACGGGATCCTTGGAGGTTGTCTTATTCTTGCCCGGCCCGCCCTCGTCATAATTGTTTCAACACGAAGAGAGAGTCCTCAGAACTTGGTCTACGCATACCAATCCCATCCTCGTGCAAGACGTGCGAGGGGCACGAGGAAAACACCACCGCAGAGACAGAAAGTGAAGATTACACACACAAAAATAAAGCAATAGATACATACACACAATCTCAGGATGCTAGCCGACCAAGCCCTCATAACAGCCTCCGACAGGCTTTATTTCGCCTACGGAACCAACCTCAGCCCGGAGAAGATGGCCCGCCGCTGCCCGGACAGGTAACATTAAACCATCTTTAGGTATCTCTTAATTAGACAAACCGGCTAAAAGAAATCATTATTTTATCAGCATCTTCCTCGGCAAGGCGACCCTCCGCGGGCACATGTGGCAGGTCAATGAGAACGGGCTTGTCAACATCGTGCGCGTCCCGACAGCGCCGGCGCCCTCAAAGAGAGAGAAAGACGGTAGTAGAGGCAGCAGCAGCAGCAGCAGCAGCAGCAGCCGTACCAGCAGCGCCCGCGGGCGGTCCCGGGACCACCACCGCGGCATCAAGAACCATGACCAGGCCGCCGACCCCGGCCCCGTCGTGGAAGGCCTGGTGTACGCCATCTCCACCTCGGACGAAGAGCGCCTCGACAGCAAGTACATGGGCATCCGGAAGGGGCGGCCCGACGGCGCGGCGAGGGAGTGGTACGAGAAGTTTGAGGTCCAGGTGGACTTTGAGCCCGTGAGGGGCAACGTCTTCGCGCGGTGCACCTCGGCCAGCGTCGCCCGGGCGGTCAGGGAGGAGCGCGAGCAGGGCAGGGCCGCCGAGGTCCTCCGCGTGGAGAGGCGGGCTCGGTCGTGGGACGAGGGCCTGGGCGAGGGCGAGAGGAAGCGCCGAGGCTCGGGGCGGAGGGACGGTGGTGGTGGTAGCCGGCGTGGGGCCAGTGTGGGTGCTCCATCCTCGGCGGCGCCGTCGTCCGCGCTGGCGGTGGGCCACGGCGGGCTGAGGAGCTCCATCATGGGCCTCCTCGGCATCCCTGCCGGCAGGAGGGAGCGGGCTTCCTCGCCGCCGCCGCCGCCGCCTGCCCGGGGCCGCGATAGGACTGCACCCCGGGTGGTTGGCACGCCTGTCGTGGCGCTGGTGTATGCCAACACGGTCTACGTGCGGGACGGCGAGATTAGGGACCAGTACGTGCCGCGCATGGAGCGGGCTGTGGCCGACGCGCTTGCTTTGGGCGTTTCGAGGGAGTTTGTTGAGAAGAGCATTGCCCCCTTTATTCCTGAGGTCTGGGAGCTCCGTTCGGGTTGGAAGTCGTCACGGAGGAAGTCATTGGTGGGAGGCGAGGATGGTCTCGAGAAGGACCAGGGCCGGCGGGAGGTCGAGCGCATGAGGAGAAGGCGCCGGGACAGTGGTGTGGATGGGCGCAATGAATACTAAATATTAGATTTGAATGGGTGGGTATTCACGGGGAGGAATTTCTGTCACAGATAGGAAGATGGATAGATAGACTGTAATTCGCTTGTGGAGACTGTAAAGACAGTTGCATTGAATGACTGGGGTATCTCTATCGACTTGCTTGACTAACAATAACTTGCACGATCATTACCGTTGTCCTGTTCAAACGAACAGGCTCACACCGCAAATCCAATCCGAGGTTTCATCCAGAGCGTGTGCTGTTGTCCTATAATCCCTGGACCGACCTTTCGTGTTTACCTCGTTTGAACGTGTCTTCGTAACGAGTAGACGGATTGCCGAGGGAGAAGGAGTGTGTAGCGGTGTCCAGCCCATCACCCATCCATATTACCCATCATTATTGTTTCCTGCCGTACAAACGTTCCAGTCCCCGCGCCAAGTTTTGCTCGGCGCGGGGAGGTCTTGTTTACAGCCCCCTGAAATCCTCAATCCAGCTGAAGTCGATCCCGCCATCCTGCAGCAAAGGGAAGAAAAAGAATGTGGTCCTGCCAGAGGTCATATTCGGCAGAAAGCCGTACACCTCGAATATGTGTGTGTGTTGGTGCCGGCCCATCGATTGGAAATATTCAGTTCTCTCGGCCCGCCAATGCCTCGAGGTCCACTGTCCTGTGTCACCGGTGACCTCTGCACAACTTTCCCCTCGGCCTGAATTTTCAACTCCCACACCAGGAAATAGGCACACTCCTCGCAGAGTGTATCCTTGGTAGTAGTTTTGGGCTCGCGCCCTCTTGGTCTTTGTTTGTGTTTTCGAGATTGCTCTCAGATATTAATGATGACACCCTGAAACGACAGGTTCTCGATTCGCACGCCCATGATCTTATATGCTGCTCAACATGGCCCGGGGAGCCACGAATATTTTAGTCATGTGGATAAGCCTGGATGAAATGATGTGTAAAATCGAGAGCGAAAAACAACATTGGGTCCGCTATGCATGCTCGAAACGAAAGTGGAAAAGAAGCGGGCAACTGGCCCGATGAGAGATTTCAGATGCTGGCGAGGCGCCCACGAGCCTCCGGCATGCGGGCATGGCACACCATGAGCTTCAGAGTGGTCCTCCACTCCTCGCACTCGGCAAGAAGAGCCGGATCGCTCCACATGCTCCTGCCGCCCGGAGCAGGGGCCACGCTCTCGTAACAACGGTCATACCACCAGCGCCCGACCTTGGCAACCATCTTCGTGATGCTCTCGTCGGCGATGGGTCCGTCGTCGCTGATGATCTCGGCGAGACTGCGTGTGTCCCTCTTAGCCTTGCCGCTCGTAGATCTGGCAGGGCCTGACTTGGAACCGGTTCTTGACGAGCCTGACGTCGACGACTCGGACGGCGCAAGAGCACTCGCGACAGGCACGCCAAGCCGGCACGTCTTGATGTCGGTGAATCCCTTGCGCCCGAGGAGACGCAGTAGTAGATCCGAGCTGGAGGCGAGGCTCACGTTGGGTGAGCGGATGTGCACTCGCTCCTTGAGCTGGCGAACAGCTCGGCGGCCGCGGTTTCCCATATTGTTCAGGTCGATGTCAAGTATCGAAAGCTCCATGTATCCGCCTGGCTTCAGCACGCGGCGAGCCTCAGAGACGATGTTGCGATAGTGAGACTCGGGCACAGCTGATGGGAACCGGTACACCACGGATGTAAAGCTTTGAGATCCAAAGGGAAACCTGTCCATGTGGGATTTGTATTGGATCTGGTGGTGGTTGGGAGGACTCAGAGGAGCACCGGAAGAGGGGGCCTGGCTCTCAGTTGGCAGTGGTGAGCGGGGAGAGAGGTTGAAGAACGTAGCCGCAGGGTACGTTTCGGCTGCGTAGAACGACCAGTCATCGTTTCCCAGACCGTCTATCACCAGGATGGAGTGTCGTTTGAGAGACCCCGTCATGGGAATCAGCTCATCCCTGACTGGGCTGAAGAGGACATGGCCAAAAGTCAGCCACTTGCTCACGGTCATCGAGCCAACACGAAGGTTGACCTGCGACACGGCCGAGTTGTCATCGGATCCTTGGCTGCTGCCGCTTGCATGAGAGTCGCGGATGACGCGTGCCTTCTGAGACGATGCAGTGCTTGTGCGTTGGAGCTGAGACTGGGAGTTGAGGCTGTTGTTGCGATCACCATAGCCGCTGACAAAGTCGCTCATGCTGAAAGAGGCAGTCTGCCCGCCGATTGACTCCAGAGTCTCGTCAATCTTTGCAGTGAGACCTGAGCTGTAACCGCTCGACGACATGGGAGCAGGCTCTTCCTGGGCTTCCGCCTCGAACTCCGTCTCGCAGTCTGACTCGACATACGCGTCTATGGTCGGGGACTCTAGCTGAGTATTCTTGTCGTTGGCTAGTTGTCTTCCCCACATCTCAAGGTGGAATGGCTTGCCCTGCGAAGAGCCTGCTGATGGGGGAACTTTGAGACCGTCCTCGCCCATGAGATCATTGTACTCATCCCACACCTCGTCCTCGGCTAAAGGAGCATTTGGTCCCGGGATGACGGCCGTGGCGTCAGAATAGCTCAACATACCGGAGCAGCTGGAAGACGTGGTCGAGGTGCCCTCCGAATCCTTGCGCGGGGGGAATGAGAGAAACTCGTTTTGGGAGCGGCTGGCTTCTGACGGAACATCCCTGGAAAGCCGGTAGGCCGAAGACGGTGCATTCTTTTCTGTTCTCACGGTTTTTTGTTCCTCAGTCTTTGAGTCTGAAGCTGAAGTTAGTGACCGCGGTGGGCTAGGGCCTTTCGCGACGAATTCTGCGGCTGAGTCCTGCACCTCAGCCTGTGGCTGCTGCTGTATGCTGTTGCGGTTGAACGGTCGGGAGAATGATTTGTTTGGTTCGGTACGCGAGTTAGCAACCTTCGGGATACGACCAACTTGGGGCAAGCGATTTGATCGAGTTGTTGGAGGCTTGGATGCTGATGGCTTGGATGTTGACGCTGGTGCTGTCGAGGCTGGTGCTGTCCGTGCCGGTTGAGTCGGAACCTTCCTTGGTTCGACCTTTGCAGCCGCTGGCGGGATGCTCTTCGAGACCTGTGGAGCTCTGGGTGTCTTTGCTTGGGCAGGCTTCATCCTGTCAGTACGATGCTGGTCTCGCAGTGCTGGGTGTATCTCCTGGTTTGGGGCCTGCGGGGCTGGCGAAGGTAGTGTCGGGCTCTGGGCTTCACGAAGCACCTGCTTCACATCTGGCAGAACTTCCAACTCCTGCTCAGAAGCATCCATCATCGTGTAGAATGCCACCGACTTCTTCTGTCCGCTTGCTGGTGCTGCGACGGGCTTTGGTTTCTCTGGCTCCTTGGTCTTACTGGAAGGATGGGTTGTCGAACGTCCAAACAGGTTCCATTTCCGGGGGGACTTAGGCTTCTTCAACAACTTCTTCGGTGGCGGATGTGCAGCGTCTATCTTGGCTGGGCCCTGCATTCTGCGTGGGTCGTAGAGCGAATCATCCGATAGGATGGAAGTATCGTGGCTTTTCATGGATGGTGTCGTCACTCCGGATCGGATAACTATGGGCTGGGGCAGACGCATGCTTCCTTGATCTGCGTTCTGGAGTCTCTGAATTGATCGCCGTAGGGCCAAAGTCGGCTTCATGTGGAGAGCCTCCGAGTCGCTGCTTTCAGAAGGACGCCGGGGTCCCATAGAAGGCCCTGGTAGATGGGGCATTGCGGAAGGCCAAAGAGTGTTGCGGTCATCTTGTGATGATGAGGATAATCCGGAGTTGTTCCTTGAACCGAGGCTAGGTCGGGGCAACGCCAGGTTCTGCTCGCTTCCCGTTCGGCTGGCATCGAAGCTGACATTCCGATTTTCGATGATCTCGCCGCCCGCTATGACGACGGGGCTCATACGCTCGGCCAAGAATGGATCAACTGACTGGGAGCTCGCAAGACTTTCCTGCGAAGACATGGTCCCAGGGATTGAACGAGGGTTGTTAGTCATGCTGCCGCTGCGTCGCCGTACATGGCCAAGCCGCCCATATCCTTCGTGGCCGGTCCCTGCGGCAGGGCCCTTTCGAGCCGGCCTGTCCTTCCTCTCGGAGGCATTAGACGGAGGCGCTTCTGAGATAGACTTGTTTTTGCGGCTAAACAAGGGGAACCGAGACTTGAAGGTTGAGGATACACTCGGGCTCGGTGTCCGAGGAGGTTTTCGAGGGTCCGACTTGGTTGCTTGAGCCGAAGGACCCAATCCAGCACCTTGAGGGGCTGGTGTCGCCTCCCTGCCAATTCTAGGCCCAGGAGCTTGATGTTGCCGATCACCTTGTAGAGGTGTATTGGAGCGGGAGGAAGTTGCAGTGTTGATAGGGGGGTTCAGGCTTCGCCTCCTTTCCGAAAGCTGAGTCGAAGACAGGTTGCTGTGCACGACTGGAACTGGCAGCCCCACTTGAGAGTGTAGATCTGGGGTCCCCTCCCTACTCGGTCTCATAGGTGGCGTTGGTCGAGGTGTGGGTGCACCAGATGCTTCGCCAAACTGACGGGCATCGTTCGTGACTCGGGCTGCGGATGGAATGACCGGGACGGACTTGCTTGGTGCGTGCGACGTCCTAGTAGGCGCGGCTTCCCGGTCCCGGGTCTTCTTGAACCTGTCAGAGGACACCCGAGGCGGCGGACTGGGAGCACGTGAAGAGATGAGCCTCTTCTGTCTCTGTTCCCTGAGCGTGGCTTCTCGCACCGTGGAGGCCGACGATGAGGAGTTCACAGACTCCCTGACCATGGACAAGCCTTCCGGTTCAGTGTAGTCATCCCGAACGTCTTTCGATGCACTGCCAGCTCTCCTCCGGGTCACGGGCGGCCTTGTATCCGCAGGACTACTCTGCTTAGACCTGGAAACTGGGAGTCGCATAGGCACAACAAGGCCGGGTGACTGAGATGACATAGAGGTTGGGGTTGTGTCTCGACTGTAAGGACCACCACCCGGAGAGCCGGAGAACCTAGTAGAGGGACTCCCGCTGAAGGCGCTATGTTGGCTGCTCGTGCTTGAGAACAGTGGCGTTGGTGGGGGTAAATCGGTCGATATTGGGTATGGTACTTCAGCATAGTAGTTTCGGTACGCTTCTTGAGGTTCGTAATCTCGGTACCGGTCGAGCTCAGGGTAAACGGTGGCAGGCTGGGTGTTGGTTGCCGGAGTCTCAGACATGTCTTGGGGTTGCAGGTCTGCTGGGCTCGGGGTAAACTTGCGGTCCATGTTCGCGTCTTGTGGTATGTCCAGCGAGACATTTGATCGAGGCACCGAGGAGGTCGAGTCGGTCATCAGGGAGCTGTTGCGAGAATGATAGGGCATGCTGGTGGGCTCGGGGGTCACTCTAGGATGCTTCCTTCGAAGGACGTTCCTGGGTTGCTTGGATGACTCTTGAGACCGGCTTGAGGGGCCTGAGGAGCTGGCAACGCTGGAAAGGGCATCTTCGGACCCGTTGCTGGAGTTCGATCCCCAAAAGTGGCCGTGAAGGCTTGGTTTCCGACCATGTGTTTGCGCAGATGTCCGCAGAGTCGAAGTCAGGGGTATCTTGGTCGCATTCCGAGAAGACGGGACATCTTGGGGGGACAACGCAGCATTCTCTGCCGCCTTACGGGCCCTCCGGCTCAGAGAAGGTGTGAAATCACTCTGAGGCGTATTCACATTGGCGCCTGCACGCCTGGGCTGAATTGACGTGCCTGTCGTCCCATGGCCCGCCGTCCTCAGTCTCGAGGATTCCATGTCAGGTCAATTTTTCCTGCGCTCTCAGACACACATTATGTATTCCCGTGGGGTCCAACCTTCATCTGATACTAGCATGCCGTAGCGATAGTCAGCACATGGCCCTGGCCCCCAAGGTGGGTGTGATGGGGGATTCAGGTCATACAAGACGATATCGAAGGCTGAACTTCCGCGAGGACACCCACCCACCGGGTTTGAGTGAGGGCCTTTAGGAGGAAGATGAGTGCAGTCTATGGGTGGCGAGTCTGCCCACAAAATGCCCCAAACATATGCGAGGCGGGCGTGTTATGTGCCAAACATGCGCGTGTAAGTGGAGCGCCGTGAAAATCAGAAAAGAGCGGACAAGGGCGAGGAGTGTGCCACCGCGGTAGCACACGGGATTAATAAAGAGAATTGAAGTCAAAAAACGTGCACGACCGAAGGGGAAAGGGTAAAATGTCAACAAGATGTCGAGACGGTGGGATGGGGTAGCATCCGAGGGCTTGGGGGAGGGAGTTGGAGGGTGGTGAGAAGTACAAGGATCTCCCCGGCGACAGGCGTGTGTAAGCTCGCTAAGGGTGACGGGGAGTGTGGTGGGCACCTTTTGTGATGGAGCAGTCCAGACGGGCGTTTAAAAACCGTCGTTGGTTTCGAGGAGGCGAGGTATTTAGGTTATTAGCCGAGCGTGCTGCGGTGCCCGGTGCCCATACTGCAGCCGACGGTGGACGACTGGGCCGCAGTACCTTGAAAATAATGAGAGAACGTGTGGACGATAACCCGCTCCCAGGATGCAGGGGTCGTCAGAGCTGGGGAAGCGGTCCAGGATTGTTGATGGGCAAGGCAAGATCAAATGACTCCCCACCAGCTGCAGGCGAAGATGCTAACAGCCCCCTGCCCTGTCCCGCATGCCCGTATACTATCTTTGACCATTTTAAGTGGCGTGCAAATGTTGGTTGGCTGTTGTGCTGTGCCAGAACCCCATCCGTGGTAATAAGTGAGATGGAGTATCTGGATAGTGCAACACGCGTCGGTGGGCACGGCTGGGCAACAAAGATACTGCAGTGCTTGCTACGTGACATGCAGTGGGGGTCAGGCGCAGGCTCTGAGCCAAGATCCAAGAGGGAACCTCGGAGGCCCAGCAAGCAGGCAAGTAGATCATTGACTGACGAGCGAGTTGCTGTCGTAGAACCCCACCTGGCAGCCCACGAAACGGGTCAGACGGTGAGGCAGCTGTGAGGTCGACCGAGACACGGTGTAGGCCTCCCTATGTACTTTGCAGTGCACACTGGCTGCCCCGTGCCAGGTACAAGGCTCATGCGTGGGCGCGTGTGCGTGGATCGTGTACAATGTACTGTACCAACTGTACATCGAACATGCTGGACGGCAATTGAGCCATTTAAAGCCGATTGAAGGTGGACCTCGAATGAATTCGGCCTCTGTCTTCTCTCTCTCTCCCTGCCTTTCGCGACGTCCGTGGTGGGGTCTCATCGGCCACAAATGAGAGAGAAAAAAAGCAGTTGGACAGGCCTGACAGATCGGCTGTGGGACCGGAGCAGAGGGGTCAGAGGGCAAGCGGTTGTTGGGCGGTAATAGGCGACAGTCGAGGATGAGCAGCGTCGCATCCTGCCTATCCTTGTCCCGGTTGAGAGGGCGGGCCCTCAGGCCCTCTGGCTCCTCCAAGGTATGGAGTACTGTAGTACGCTGCGCCATGCGCGTAAAAAGAGGGACCCTGGAGACGCCCTGGACTGTGCATGAGACGAGGCCCTATGGGAGCACCGAGCTTGCAGGTTGATGATGCCATTGGGCAACAACGAGCCCTCGCCTCTTCTCTTGAGGATGGCGAACGGCCGACCAGACGACGGTCCCCTGGGGCTGCTGGGTTGGGTCATGTCGGAGCTTGTCCATAGTTTACTGTTATAGTCCACTGTCGGTCGGCCATAATGCAGACAGGACCAGTCCTTGTCTGTCCCTTGGACAATGCGGAGGTCGAGAGACGACCCGTGACCTGCGCATGCTTGGATGAGTGGCGCCGATCGTCTTGGGACAATCTGCTCAACCGCTGGTGGCATTGGATGTTGGCCAAGCGAGCTGGCGAAGTGCACGATGGACTGCTACCAAACGAGACGAGTCGAGAGTTGAGACGGGACGAGCCCAGGGTCGGTGAGGGGAGCCTGGTTGCCTGGCAAGCCTGGGAGCTTGGGCAGGAAGGAACAGGCGACGACGGTGAGGGGCAGCTCTTTGTCGCACGGACGACTCCTGATCTGAGGGGCAGTTTGGCTGTTTGGATGCTGTCAGGCACAATTCACACTACTACTGTGTACTACCCACATGCCGATGAAGAAATCCGTGGTGAAGCCACATGGAAGAAGCCACAAAAACGTGCGCAGGGGCCGATCCCGAAAAAGCCCATGTTTCCGTCGCCTGCTCCAAGGCCAGCGACGGCGAGTTCGCTGTGTCTGCATGCATGTCTTAGACAATGTCTCACTCTGTGCACTCCCATCGGCCTCTTTCCCTCACCCTTGACGGCGATCTCTGGGAGTCCGTTGCAGGGGCACCGCTGGCTGTGGATTCGCGCCAGTCAACGGCCACCCCCAAGCGCCGGGGCCTGTCGTGTTCTGACTCTTGCAGTTGGTCTCGCAACGGGTAGACTAACAGGCTAGTCCGCCGACGGGAACAGAGACTGATGATCGATGGCTGACTGATGCCAGGATGATCCCTCGGTAGCTGACTCTGCATACCCAGCCCGGCTGAGCACAGGGTTTTCCTGGTCGTTGGTCTTCTGCCTTCTTTCCTGCCCTGCCTGGTTGCCTTGAAGACAAGTCTATCAGTCAGTCAGTCAGACGTGCAGCCATGCTGCCATGCAGACGTGCAGACCACAGGCAGGCAAGGCAGGCAGAGATGGCCTCTGCAGGTGGCTTGGTGGCTTGGCCAGATCCGGGGCCACACAGCCCACAACCTGTTGGCGTTCAAGGTTTCCCTCCTGCCATGCCGGTCCCGGTTGCTTGGGAGGGTCTAAGACAGATCCATCTCGAGGCCTAGTCATCAGCTCTGGCAGCGGCGTGTTCAACCACCAACAGACAATATAATGCCCAGGCACACACATTCGCTCGCTCACTTCGGGACCAGGACAAGGCCCGCGGTCCACGCACGCCCGGTGGGTGGTCAGCGCGGCCCAGAGACGGGAGCCAGTACCGTCTGTGTCCCCTCGCCCAGGGACTCCAGGTCTCGGTCACCACTCAGGCGTGAGGGCCTGGGATCACTGAGGTAGAAGCATGGCATGCTATCCCTATTGGCATCTGTTAGCCCAGCCTGGCCCGGCCTGGCCCAGCAGGGAGATGCGATCGCACCCGTCCGTCTGGCGCTTCCCGCGGCACGCCCCAACCCTGGGTCAGTTGGAGTCGCACGGCCATGGCTTCTGATACTGGACCCAGCACTGGCAGACTGGTCGTCTCCGTCCGAGGGCGTCGCAAATGCTCCATCTCAATAGGTACGGATGACTCATCTGTCGCCGCCCCTTGATCAGTACTCCGTACATCCAAATCCGCCCAAACCAGCTTTCTCTGCATCTTTGAGACCGGAACAGTTCCCCTCGAGCCCCCCTTTACAATCAATCTGCCATTCCGGAAGGAGAATCCAGGTGCCGCCGTGGATTCGCAGGAAGCCAAGCTCGAGTTCCATCACCGTTCCCGCGCTCTGGTTGGCTCGTCCGAGATATTAAACTTCCAATCACAGGTTTTAGAGCCCCTACCACCCCTGAATTATACCAAATCGGGCGATTTACATCAAGTTCTTGTCCCTGCCCCCTTCTAATTGAGGCTCCCCCTCTTGTTCCCAAAGCGTTGTGTTGCAGAGCAGCTTTGGAAAAGTCTGAACACCTTAGTCAAGCGTGACTGAAGCGCCGGGGATCGCTTCTCGCACTCTTCATCGAAACACCCTCACACCCACCGCGGCAGTGGTCCGGCCTTGGAAACCTTCTCCCGGGTCCCGGGAGGGTGTGAACACGACCCTTTTCTCTTTCTCGTGCAGACGCAGCAAATTTCGACGTGATATTGGCGCGGAGGATCATGTACGCAACTAACGCCTATTCACACGCGTGCGACCCGGGGGACGCTGCCGAAAGCTTGTGTATGTCATTAATCACGTCAAAGGCAACCAATGTAGAATAACTCGCCCGCGCGGATTACGACCAGGCTTGATCTCCTTGGCCGTATCTGACCTGTCATGGTGACCGATGCGTGGACCTGCAACATTCGACAAGAATAGAATAGATCCATCGATCGTCCACCAGCTTTGGATACAGCGCACAAGCATCCCGAAGTTTTCCTTGCAAGTACATGAAGTTAGTCAGCAGTATCTTTCCTCCTAATTTGGCCGTCGTCTACAGATCTACAAGAATCCTGGAGAGTACCCACTGTTTGCTTGAAAGTACTCTCAATAGAGAAGCTGGGTGGCAACTACCTTAAGGCTAACTCTGGCCAATCAAATTCTCAGGGACAGGGAAAACTTTGGGATGCTTGCGCGCTGTACTTGATCATGGCAGTGCAATCAAGCGCGATAAGCCGACTATGTCTATTCGTCGTCAGAATCCTATTTATCTTAAGGCCAGTGCTCAAAAGCCCCTTGCGACTATGACCTAGACACTCCATATGAGATGGGTCTCCACGCTGCATCACGATCTGCAGGTACCGGAATCTCCTGGTTCGCAGGATGCCACGCCTGACAGGCCAAGCGAGCAAGGCAAGCTGAAAGCTGAGAGTCACGGTGTACTCCTCAGCCTGCCCGGTAGCCCGTGGCAATTGTGGTGCGCTGGCAACACGCCGTTCATGCCCAGGCGGACAGGCACCCAGCGCAGGCAGGCAGCCCTGGCAGATACAGGCAAACAGGAAGGGACCAGAGAAAATCTCTGCGGTCCCGGTTGCAAAAATGGGACCCTTATTGCAGCACCTAAGGGCAGATCAGAAGGCTTTGCCGTACGGATACCGTTACGACGCCCGGCTGCACTGGCACTTCCGCACTTGTGCACGTCTTGCATGAGCCCTGGGTTCGCCGTCGGAGCCGGCGAAAAGTGGGTTGACGGTTGTGGCGAGTGCATCGCGTGGAAGCACCCCAAAGTGAACAACTACCGGGGTCGTGCCTCTGCTCCGCCACAGTTGAGAGCCGGAACTTGACCAGGCTGGGCAAGTGAGGCTGGTGACGTGGCACAGGGGAAAGCCAGACAAACACATCAAGGCAAGAAGAAATCAAGAATTGATTCAGAATTGATTCAGCCTCCTACAAACGATGATGACACGTCTTGCCATCGTCATACGCATTCTCGTCTCCTGATCCTCTGGGCTCGGCTCCTCTGTCAGCCGTCTCCCAAAGGACCATTGAACCCTCGAAAAACCACGAACAAGATCTCGACTGGCAACCCTTGTCCATTGCTGAGCTGGGGCCAGTCCCCACTCATAACCTCTCCCGCCAGCAGGGGTCCATCAAGCACAATCCATTGGGTAGCCGAGCTTAAGCGCCAGGTCATGGAAGACCCCGTTGGTTGGAGCCCTCCCGAGTACGATGACTCTTGCTGGGCATAGGCTCAACCTCACTCGGTACGGCGCACCATGCGCGACTGCGGTTTTGTGAATGACCACCGCCACCTACAAACATTCTCCCACACAAGTTGTAGCAAGTTTGGTGTAACATCGTTGGGCTGGTATGCTGTGTATCGCAAGGAAAAGTGTGCGCCGCAGTAGCGGGACCCAAGGATGAGACGAGGGCCCTCCTCGCGCGCGCGGTGGTACAGCTTTGCTGCTGCCGCCGACTCCTTCAGAGCGAGGTGTCACGAGGACATCTCGGTGAGCAGGGTCCAGCCCATGCGTCATTTTCGCCAATCCACGCACCCCGAGGTTCTCTGTCTGAGACACGTTCGCAGTTCTCTCCTCAACCTCGGCTCGGCTGGTCCCTAGACTTTGTTGAACGGTGAGCGGCGTCCTCTGTCCCACCAACCCCAGGGGACCCCATAGACTTCGAGCGGTGAGTTTCTTCCTCAGGAGATCTGGAGGTCATGTGTTCCACGGCAGTGCAAACGCGCGACGGCGACGCCCCTGGATACAACCTCAGGCGCCATGGGAATTGGAACGTGACCGGACAGGCTCGTCCGAAGTCGTGCCGATCTGTGTCTCATCCTGCCCGTCTTGCCGCGACCGAGGCCTGGCGTCCCCGCGTTCCTCTCCCGAGGTCCATTTCCCGCGCTGAGTCGTGGGGGTTCTGTGAAGCTGAGTAGGATTCTGAAAGTGAGGCGAGGTAACAGTCGCGCCCAGTAGGCGAGGATTTAGTGTACTGGGCGTAGGAGGTCATGCTGGATGGACCCTCAGCCCTCTCTCTGCACGCCGGCAGTCGAGACATTATGGCCCTCCACTTGTGGAGACTGAAGGAAGGGACTTCGCGAATATCCACTCTGTTGGCCAAGAGGAGACAGATTCGCAATCAGTTCTCATCACTCCCCACATGTCAACAAATCTCCCACAAACAGTTCGGGCCATGCCTGGCACTGACAGCGGCTCACCAAAAGGGGCGACCCGCAGATGGGAGCAGCCGCCTAGTGGCCTATGAGATCTCAGATTCACCATCTGAGCCCGTTGATAGGTCCCGGGCCCTCTGCTGGCCCCAGCAGGGATTTCTCTGGGGTCTTCTTGTTGCTGGCACAGTTAGATGCCGCTGAGTGCGAGTGGGCACCGATCATTTCCGCACGTTTGGGGGGTATCCACACTCTCGATTACCAACGCCCATTCTTGCGAATAGCATCACATCGAGGCCCACCATCCTGTCTCCAGCACTATCGTATTGCACTACACACACCAACAGTCTTGACCCGACTGTGTCTGGACTAGACAGGGTGCGGGCAGCCCACACTTCCCTTCCCTCGGCGACGCCCCGCTGCGGGCTGGCTGGCTGCATGCATGCAGTCATGATCCACATCCAGCGCTTATTAGGGTAAACAAGTTTGCTGCCGATGGATGCCCACACTACTTGTGTACACCCTCTTCCACCCTCGAACGCGTGTGATAGGGACGCATCTTGCTGCGTGACAAGGCGTGTGCACCACATGAGGTTTGGGTCACCTGATTCGGCACCCATGAGATTGGGATCGAGCATATCAATCCACCGGCGTTCATCTCGTCTGTGGCCCAACCGCCGCAATTCCTGCTTGCGCGGATGGCACCCATCTGTGTTGCCGACCGCACTTCTGCCGGTTCCTAGCTGCTGTGGTGTTATTTTGTGTGTTACTTTCGCAAAGAGTCCGATGTCGGTCTTCGTCGAGCCAGAAATTGAGAACAACTCTGAAGATCAACTGTGCGCCCATCACCAGGTACGTCGCAACAGCGCGTACACGGCACACGGGCACCTTGACTGGGATTATTGGCCGTATCGATACTTCAAAATAGAGATCCGCTGTGACAGGTGGGGAAGCCAACTTTGACTGCATTTATGCACACTACTGATCCTGCACATTCCCCATGAATCATCCGCTCCTTTGCACAGTCACCGGATGTGCCAACTTGAACGCCGGCAGTTCGTTGTCGACTTCAACACTGAAGCTGACGGCTCGCTGTTGCCACGGCAAAGTACCAACAGACAGTGGAGACTATTCCGTAATGTAAAATGACTCTCCAACAGCCCTTGTCGTGCTCGGGTAGCCTCTCCGCGCCAAGCGCGACCTGTGGGAGGTGGCAGACATCGTGGTACTGTGAGGGAATTGCGAATCCTTCTGTTGGTGTCATCGCAAAAATACGTGAGACCACTGGGACCGGAATCCTGGGCCCCGCCCCAGTCGTCCTGGAGCCTCCCTTGACGTCCATGTCTGTCCCATCTCGCTCCAGCGTGGGCGCTCACGAGGATTCCCGTAGTACGACCTCCTTGGTGCCCGAGATGATCATTCCTTGTTTTTCCGACGAGAAACACGCCATGTTCGTTATCATTGGTAATATGAACGGTTTGTGTTAGTGTTTTCTTTGGGTACGTCAGACTTTGCACGCGACTGTAATTGCAGATAGCGTTGACAGCTGTGCCGCCGTTGACGGGCTTTTCTTGACATTTCTCCCGACCCGCGCGAGTTTGGACCTCATTATCACTCGCTCTTCAAGCATTATAAAGGTCCAAGGCCTCGCTCGATATTGTAGAATGTAGGAGAAGTGACTGGAAAGTCACTGGTCAGAGGCTGCGCAGATATGCCCTCGGCAGACCGAGCCTGCCTCGTGGAAGTTTGGTTATGAGGCCAGCAAGTTCAAGCTCTTTACAAATATGTGCGTGATGTGATGGCCCACGAGTAAATGATGACCGCATCTCGCATCGTTCAGTGAGCGGCTTCCGTCGAATGCATCGGAATCAATCACAGTTGCTTCAGTCCAAGCTGCTTCAGTCCACGCAAGAGAAACAAATTACCCCGATATTATCGCAGACGTCGGTGCCAGAAACTCGGTCCCATCAAGTCCGTGCGGGTACGTTGCTTCAAATGGTCCGTCCACCAAGTAAGGAAGTGCCGCTGGAGCCGTCTCTCACGCATTCGGTGATAGCTGGCTGCTTAAGTTACTGACTGCCAACCGCCAAATTTCAATTAGCTTGTCGCGGAGCGGATGGTCTCGGAAGGACAAGCTGATTCCCGAGCACTCTGGGAGGCTCAAGGACCCTATAGGACTCGGGCCGCTTCACAATGGACACGAAAGTCATCTTGTCCTGGCACAGCAGGCGTGGACGGCTACATCCTCCTATATATATATGTATGGCTCATGCAACCCAGCATAAGTTTTGGGTGCATTGTGCGCGGATTCGCACAACGCGACCGCGGACTTTTGCTGCATGATCGAACAAGGACGGCGGCGTCTGCTGTCGCTCTATGCGAGCCAATTCGGAAGCATGGGCTGGATTCAACACCACTTTCCTCACGTCGATCTGCAACCTGGATACGGTTGGCGTTCCAACGTAGAAGATGACCTCGACAACACTGGGGATTGGAATGGAATTAAAACACTGGTTGTGTCCAGGATATCTTCTCTTCATTCTCCATGATTTCCCATCCGCGGCTTGTAATCCTGCTGCTGTGGCCTCCGCTGTAGGACAACAATGGCGAGCATATCAATCGTTCTGATGGGCGATTGGGAAAGGAGAGAGATTCCTTTCAAGAGGAGGTATATTGGGCGGCCAAGGCCAATGTGAGTTATGGGTATAAGCATTGATCCTGTCCTGGTACTGAAAGAAAAACGACGAATGGCGTCTCTGGCGTCTCTGACGCCAGCGGAATCCGAACTCCAAAAGAATCACTGTCTTCCCTAGTCGCGATGATCCTCCTAAGTGTACAAAGACTACTTTCAACGAGGATTCGGGCGCAGCTGTTTTTCAACGTGTAACTGGTGTTTTGTCGCAACTAGCCGGTGTCAGGGTATGGTTCAGTGGTCCAGTCGCAGAGCTTGCCTGCCAGTGACGTTCCACCATGTGCCGTTGCAGGCAGTACCAAAGGACCAGGTACCCCGGGGAGGAGCACCGCAGGTCTCATCTTACTCAGCAGTACCGAATCGTCTCGCTCGAGCCATGGACTTCTTTCGCTCCACAGGATCATCCAGAATGCCTCCCGTTGGTTGATAATAGGCGCTGGTGCCGAATCGCCGGCCTCTGGCCTCGGCCTTGACCTGTTCTGAAGCACTGGAAAGAACGCTTTGCGACCGCATGTCCTAATTGCCGCCGCCGAAACGCTTCGCCCTAGCTTCAGCCTTCGCCTTCTCGGTGGGGTCGGCAAGTATCTTGCTCCCACCGCCGCCGCCGCCGCCGCCTTCGTTCCTGCTGGGACGGCCACCACCGCGACGACCGCCTCTAGACCTGTTCTGCCCTCCATTGCGGCGTTCTGAGTGTTGCCTCTTCCCTCCGCCTTCGGCCTGGTCGCCCTGCTCACGACCGCGCTTGGGGCGACGCTCGGGCAGAGCCGCATCGAGACCCTTTACGACTGCTGAGTTGTCGGCACCGAATTTCTTGGCGCGCTCGAGCTTCTTTGCCTCCTCAGAGTTAGAATCAGTGGTGATCCCGAAACGCTTGGCACGCGCCTCGCGCTTCTTAAGCTCTTCGTCGGCGTTGCTTGCCTCCAGGCCAATCGCGAAGCTCTCAGCGGGCTCGGCTGGCTTCTCCTCGGTCGGGGCAGACGCGCCATCTTCTACCGGCGCACTGGCAGAATCTTGTTTCTCCGTCTCGGTACTGGGAGCCTCCTCAGGAGGGGCGGGGGCTGATTTGGCAGGCTCGGCCTCGACAGGTGCAGCTGGTGGTGCGGCTGGGGTGTCCGCCTGTGCCTTTGCGGCGGCAGGAGCAGCAGCTTTGGGCTCGTCTTTCTTGGTAGCGGCAGTGGCAACCTTAGTGTCATCGTCGTCCCAGTCAATCACGTCCTCGGCCTGGCCTAAAGTGAGGGTTCTTGTCAGCTTGGGTTTTGAGCGGGCGGAGGTACTAGGCCCTGGGTTGCTTGACTTTGACCCACTTTTGTCATGTTCCTGTAGTCGCGCAATGAGGTCTGCCTTGTTGCCTGACTGTTGGAGGCTGCGCTCCTGGAGAAGTTTCTTGAGGTCAGGGACCTTGAGGCTCGCGTAGTCTGTCATTTCGGCGGCGGTAGGGTGTGAGGGTTAGATATCGCAGTTGGTGAGGTGGGCGCAGCGGGAAAGCAACGACCAGGGCGGGTCAAGCTAAAGGGTCAAGACACTGTGTATGCGACCAGGCTGAAGGGATCTGTGGAAGTGGAGGAGTGGGCGGGAAGTTTGAAAGGTTGACAGGTTGGAAGGTTGAAAGGTTGAAAGGATGAAAATGGTTGAGCGCGGTAGACAGAGCAAGGGCGGTTGGCATTGGGACCAACGCGTTGTTGTGACAGCTCCCGGCCCCCAGGCAAGCTTCCTTCCTTGACTCGGCGCGCCCCGCCCCGGTTAGTGAATAAATGGTTCGCAACCCGCTTTGGGCTATGCACCTCACTTGCAGCAAAACATAGTAGTCTCTAATGTGTTCGGCATATTGCTTATAGCTTGCTTGCACTTATTAGCTAGTCCTTGGTCTGTTTCATTGTTTGTGCGATTCTGTTTCCGTCGCATCATCCACACAATGGCTCCCCTCCACTTTCACCTGCAGCTTGAACCTGATCTCGATCGCTTGGCTTCTGTCTGCGTTGACCGTCGGTGCATTGCCACGCTCCAGTGTTTCAATAAGAATGGAAGAGCATGACACAAATGACATGACAGCAGCCTTGGGGAACGGGTAAAGGCTTCGACAACTTTCACGTTGCCACAGTACATATCTGTGTCTCGGGAAGTCAGTCGGTCCTGCAGATCTGGCATGTATTGCGCCGCCTCGCGACGGGCCTGAAGGTGAGGGGCCAAGCAGCTGCCTAGCTGCTTAAGTACCTAGGTACCTACCTTGCCAGCTTGCCACCCTGCCCACTGCGACAGGCTTTGGTGGGCCGTGGCAGGTGGTGGCTAGCTCGGGGGTGAAGCCCAGGGGACCCTCGTCGCTGGCCCAAGTCAGCCGGTCTAGATCTTGGTCTGAAAAGCGGCTCTGGACGTCTTGGATGCAATTCTCACAATCCCACTGTCCCCTGCTCTTAACTAACCCACAATGCGATCCAAGATCCCAGGCCCAAGGCCCAAGGCCCAAAGGCTCAGAGCACCAGAGCAGAAAGACCCTAGCTGTTTTCTCTCTAGGTGACAAGTAGATCGGCTGCCGACCCAGCAGCCCAGGTGGCGCCTCTCCATCTCCTCCCACCTGCTCAAGCTGCTCTTGCCTGCCCAGCTGCCATGGCAATTCTGTCCGCCCCGATGCGCCTGACCCGTCTTCTGCTCCAACCCTTGCCACTCTCCCATGCCTACAATCCCACACTTGCCCTGGTTCTACCGGCCAGCCTGCTGCTCCAGGCCAGTCAGTGCCAATGCTTCCAGTCCCGCAGCCCGCCTGCGAATCCCCTCGTGAGCCTGTCTGCGTGTCTTGATTCCGCTCTTGTCTCTTGTCGACATGGAGTCATCTAGGGCTGCCCAGGCCTCATCCGCCGAGGGCCAGTCTGCAGCCCCGGCCAGCGAGGGCTCACGTACCAGAGAGACTTTGAAGTGAGGCCGTCACAAGGTCGTCGTCTGGCCTGCCAGACACACCCTGAGTCGTACTATGGACGGTGGTGCTGACTTGTGCGTCCCAGGTATGCGAGCTCGCTCATACGCAATACAGTCCCCATCAACCCTCAGCGACCCGTCGACCCCAGCCAAGTAGTCCCGTGCCCGGATGCTGGTCTGACTGCCTTGTCAGTACTCTCACCCCGTTCCTGGCCTCCCAACCCGCCCATCATCTGACAAGCTGCACAGTGCCCAGCTCGCTGCCTTGAGGCTCAACGTCTCGCGGTGCCTCATCTCGTTCTTTGACCTCAATTATCAGTATGTTATCGCCGAGGCTACCCAGTCATTGGCCCTCAGCCCCGATGTCCGGCCTGAGTCGCACCAGCTTGGACTCTCGGGTATCGCTGTTCCTCGTGGCATACGATGCCCGAATGAGCACGTCCTCAAAAGCTCGCCTACCATTCACCATGACAACACCACGGATCAGGCCTCTACACCCTTACCGCCTGTGTTTGTTGTGCCCGACCTTAGCCAAGACGAGTGCTTTGCCGAGGCTTTCTGCAGGCAAGTTTGGCCCAAGGCCTGCTTCTACGCTGGGGTTCCCATTCGTTCCAACAAGGGTATCAACATTGGTGTGTATCACGTCTTCGACGAGTCGCCACGGGATGAGCTCCAGTTCAGTGATGCGGACAAACAATTCATGCGCGACATGGCTAGCATTACCTGGCAACATGTCGAGTCTCGGGCCGCCATCGAGAGCATCCACCGTGGTGAGCGCATGGTGCGTGGGCTGGGTTCCTTCGTTGAGGGCCAGGCCACCCTCTCCTCATCTGCTGAGCAGTTTCAAGATGCACCTGGGCAGGAGGAGGGCTCTTTGAATCAGAGACAGCAAGGTTTACAGCGAGACCGTGACAGTATCGAGGATCCAACCCCCGAGCAGGAGCGGCATCATTTCTTGGGCTCAAGGTCCCCTGACAGAAGGTCAGCCATCCTTGATACCAGCCCACCTACTGCTGCTCCACAGAGGGATAGCCCACCACGATCCACCGTCGAAGCGGCAGCGCATGATATTGATGTAAACGCGTTTCCCAACCGGCCCGTGAGTGTCATGATGCCTGATCCACACATCGCGCAGCTCAGACGAACATTTTCGCGTGCGGCCAACATCCTCAGAGAGTCTGTAGAGGTCGAAGGGGCCCTCTTTCTCGACGCCAGTGTCGGTTCTTTTGGTGGGCTTGTCGAAGATCGCAAGTCCAGGGACTCAACAAGTTCCAACGAGGGGCGGTCGACGGCAGAATCAAGCAACGAGGATTTGCCAATGGGGCGGTCAGCACCATCTACCGGAGAGCCTACGTCTTACTGCGAAGTATTTGGGTACTCGACCACTGGAGCTTCCAGCATAGATGGCGCTGCATCATTCTCCAAACACACGCTGGTCCCAGAGCGACTACTTAAATATCTGCTGCGACGCTACCCGGCTGGCAAAATATTCAATTTTGGCCCCGATGGCTTGCCATTATCGGGGGGGTCCGAAACCGACGATGCGAAACATTTCTCTCCGCCGCGCCAAAAGTCTAGTGCTCCCTCCGACGTCAAGGGAAAGAGGAGATCAAAGCGGCCTTTTAGCTCCCTTGAGGGTCAGGCCCAGGCCATTACGGCCCTCTTTCCCGGCGCGAGAAGTGTGGCGGTCTTCCCTCTGTGGGATCAGATCAAAGAGCGGTGGTTTGCTGGGGGGTTCATCTGGACTGCATCTCGCCATAGACTATTCTCGACAGAGGGCGAGCTCAGCTATTTGCGGGCATATGCCACGACCTTGATGGGTGAGATACACCGACTAAACGCATTGAATTCAGACAAGGTGAAGGGTGACTTCCTTAGCTCCCTGAGCCACGAACTACGATCTCCACTCCATGGTGTTATCGCTGCTGTCGACTTGCTCAATGGCACCACTCTTGATGCGTTCCAAGGGGACGCGATCCATATTGTCGAAACATCAGGGCGGACACTATTAGACACTCTTGATCATGTTGGTCCCCCCTCCCTTACCTGACATTCGTCTGGTTCTGCTACTGGCTTAGAGCGTTCTAACACTGCTGTCACAGTTGCTCGATCACAGTAAAGTCAACACCTTCATGGCGTCTTCAAGGCTCGCTCGAAAAGAACGACGGGAATCGCCGTCTGAGTCTGGCGGTGGACGGAATCTAACGGGGCTTGGGATGATGTCCTTAACGACCGAGGTCCAGGTAGATATCCTCGTGGAAGAGGTTGTGGAAGGTAAATTGTTGCTGTGCAAAATTTCAACCGAATCCAAGGGCGCTCCAGTAACCCATTGATCTCGCTGCCCAGCACGGTCTGATCATTACAATTACTAATGAGCTTGCAGCTGTCTTCGCTGGCTTCAACTTTCAAAGAAGTACGTACCGCGTTCTACACAACTACTTGTTACCTTTGTTCATATCCAGATTGGCTTCTTGTCATCATGACAGTCGACTCATTTCTCGGTCCCTTCCCAGTGCTTGGATTTGACCAGGCCGTCTGCGCTCATGCACATCGCTGACTGATGTCACACAGTGTCCGTCGCTCAATTGAAAGAGAAAGACAAGGATATCAACGACGACAACAAGGCGCTGGGTCGCCTAGACAGCAATGCCGCAGCCGAAGCATTTGGGCACAACCCATACTTCCCCGAACCCAACCGTCCCGGACTTGTTGTCTACCTAGACATGGACCCCACCGTCTCTTGGGAATTCCGGGCACAAGCAGGAGCCTTGAGACGTGTTGTTATGAACATATTCGGAAACTCGCTAAAATTCACCCAGAAAGGGTTCGTGTGGATTAGTTTGCGGCAGGTCGAACTACAAGCACGCGATGGGGTATCGAGATCCAAGGTCGTGATCATTATCTCGGATTCTGGCAGAGGAATCACCGAGGATTTTTTGCGCAATGACCTGTTCAAGCCGTTCACACAGGAGGACCGTCTTGCACCAGGCACGGGACTCGGCATGAGTCTTGTGCACAGTATTAGCAGGAGCCTCGGCGGCTCTTTAGCTATCACCAGCCAACTCGGCCGGGGGACCACAGCGCGCGTTGAGCTGCCCCTCCGCCGGCCCCCCACTAGTACCGGACGGGTCTCCAACCTTTCGGAGCAGTTCGAGCAACTACAAGGTCTCCGAATATGTCTGAAAGGATTTGATAGGTGCTACGACCGTATCATCGACAAGACGTCTGATTTGTCGTCACAGGTCTCGGAATCAGCGGTCATGGAGATGCTTTGCCGAGACTGGCTCGGCATGCAAGTAATCCCGGTGGCTGCTGTGCACGAGGAACCACCTGATGTCTTCCTGTGTAGCGAGGGGGCTTTCAATGACCCTGATGAACACACGCAACAATTTTCATTGCCGACAGTGGTCATTTGTCAGAGTGCGCTGACAGCATATTCTCTCACACATTCGCCAAGGAAGTCAGAGCTGAATGAGTTCATTTCTCAACCGTAAGCGCACCCATCCACTAGCAATTCTTAGGACTGGATCACCTGCTAAGCTTCACACCAGTGTTGGACCGCGGAGATTGGCTAGATCATTGCTTCTCAGCCTGTCTAGCAAAACGGAGCGGCCTTCAGAAGTCGCTTCAGAAGCCCAAGAGAACACCAGCGGCCCCGGCTCTTTTAGCTCCAACAAAGAGGCAACGGGAGGAAGTGTAGGTGAAGACCCAATGCAAGCGCCCGAACTGGCCAAAAGGCCATCAAGCGCATCGAGTGCGTCAGCGATTCGGGCCATGCCATCCACGCCGAGCGACGCCGGTTCTGGCGGCACCGATGTCCAAGGAGTCAGTGCATCACCGTCAGAGGGCGGGTCCAGAGCAGCCCAGGTGCCTCTGAGGCAGAGGCAGAACGCGACAACTGAGGATACAGGGCTTTTGGAGCAGCCGTCTTCCAAGTACTTGCTTGTGGATGACAATGACATCAATCTTAAGATTTTGGCCTCCTTCATGAAGAAGCTGGGCCACGACTATGATATGGCTTCTAACGGGCTCGAGGCTTTGCAAATGTACACGGCCGATCCTGGGTTGTATCGGTTCGTGCTAATGGGTAAGCCATGGTCCTTAGTATGGATAGCGACGCTTTTGCTAACCGCACATGCCGACTCAGACATATCCATGCCATTGATGGATGGGTTAGAAAGTACCCGAAAGATACGACAACTGGAGCGGGCTGACAGTATCGAGCCCGCGACGATCATCGCACTCACGGGGCTCGGATCGGCTACAATACAACGAGAGGCTATCGCGTCCGGGATGGACCTGTTCCTCACCAAGCCGGTGAATCTGAAATCATTGAAACACACACTTGGAGGCTACGCGGAGAAGAAAGCCTCAAGAAGCACCCCAAACAACTAGACACGTGGTTGTTCTTCCCTCTTTTACTTCGTCTTTGATGAACTGACACGCATGGAACCTTGTTTGCGGAGTTGCCCAGGTGGTCATAGAGTCTTACGCATACAGGAGTGCGAGAAACGAGATACCCCATTTCTATAGATCAGCGGTCAACCGGGCAGGTTGTGTACATGGCGATTTGCCTTGGGGTATTGTGGCGAATGGTGTTTGCTTGCTTTTCCCGATAGTCACTTGGCAGAATAATGGGCGAGTTGAATTGACCGAAATACACAGATGGCATTTGAGCACAGGCACAGAAATCAACAGGCAGACAATCCGAACCCATGAGAAGGACTTGTGGCTGCAAGGATAGGTCGACTATATACAGTTCCTCGAAGTCAGAACGTATTATCGCCATAACAAAGTAGGATGCATGCCTAGGTACTTAATATATACATACTACACAGTAAATTGAGGCTCGCTTGAGCAGTCCGGTTGCACGCCTCAGTGGCGCCTCTCGCCCTAGAGAAGGCGCTTGCGGGTCCGCCCTGCACCTGAGCTCAGACAGTGTTGCACGAACCACCCAAGCCCCCCCCCCCCACCCCACATTCCCATGCTTGGGAGTGGGTCTCTCTGTTTATCGCCTCGACCCAAAAGTTCCTCGCGCGAACCCAGGCTGCTAGCACCAACAAAAGACGTCTCTGACCCGACACACAATCGCCACGGCTGGCTGCTCTGCTTCTGCGTGCCCAGCATCACTGCAAGCTCCAAATCACGGTCCGGACATGGCTTCTCACGAGTCCCACCCCTGCTCCGATATCTGACAAGCTCCCGATTGAACCGACCCGTCGTTACTCCGTACTTTGCATCAGATGCGGCCGGCGTGTGCATCAACGTTGGCCTTCGTATCCTGCGCCTAACTAAGCCTCAGGATGACCTCGTCGACCACACGGAACCTGAGGCGCTACGATCCCGTGCACAACCAGAATCCTACCCCCTACTACGGTGCTTATTATTCCGAGGAGAAGCTCTGGGACAGATTGTTCCAGCCCAGCGTCCTCTTCCCCGCCCTCGTGCTCCTGGCCACGGTCGTCTACCAGCTCGCACAGAACCGAGCAGCCGCCCGCGGCCGACAGCTACCCCCCCTGGGCGACCTCATCTGGGACGGCATCGTCTTCGTCTGCCCGGCTGGCCTGCTCTACGCCGTCGACCAATGGGTTAACCCCCCCTTGGTTCCGATACCCATGCTTCAACCACAGCCCACAACCCACGCCGCCAAGAGCGATGTCCTCCGCAAGATCCTGCGAACCGACCAAAACGGTGGCATAGTCGCCTCCGTGTCCGAGGCTGGCCGGCGCACATTGTCCAAAACCTTCTCGGGGCCCAGGGGCAAGTCGGACCAGCCCGCCGGCTTGGGGAACTGGGACAACTCCTGCTTCCAGAACAGCATCTTGCAAGGCCTGGCCTCTCTGAAACACCTCCCTCGTTACCTCAGCGGCGCCAGTGCCTCCGGGCAGCCGCCAGCCATAGACAAGACGACCACTGCCGGGACATTGTGGTCTTTTATCGCCGAATTGAACGACACATCCAACAATGGCAAGACATTGTATACCCCAGGCGTCCTCAAGAACATGAGCACGATACAGCAACAAGACGCGCAAGAGTACTTCTCGAGGCTGGTCGACCAGATTGACAAGGACATAGAAAAGACCGCTAAGGCCGCCTGCCGACAAGCTGGTTTCGAGGCAGACCTCAACAAGGACGACACCGCTGCCAGTCAGCACAGCGACGACAGCGGCTACCAGAGCCTGCCGATGCTCTCCAAGGCCGGCTCTGAGCTGGTCACGCTTCGGAACCCCCTCGAGGGCCTATCGGCCCAGCGCGTCGCATGCATGTCATGTGGCTACTCCGAGGGTCTCTCCATGATCCCTTTCAACTGCCTCACCCTGAATTTCGAGGTCGGCATCGCGCACTATGACCTTTTCGAGCTGCTCGACAACCTCGTGCGCCTCGAACCTATCCAAGGGGTGGAATGCGTCAAGTGCACCCTTCTCGAATACCGGAAGGGGCTCCAGCGCCTGTGCAAGACCGTGCCCGCGGCAGCAGCCAGGTTACAGGCCATCGAGGAAGTCCTCGAGGACGAGGATTTTGATGACAAGATCCTGAAGAAGCTCAAGATCCCCGACTCGCAGAAGGTCAGCTCGACCAAGACCAAACAGGTTGTGATAGGGAGACCCCCGCCGAGCCTGGTGATGCACATGAACCGCTCCGTCTTCGACCCGAGTACCTTCAGCTCATACAAGAACCTCGCGGCGGTCGAGTTCCCCAAGACATTGGACCTGGGCCCTTGGTGTATCGGCAGTGCCGAGGGAAGGTCGGCCGCCTCGGCTGCAGTCGCGAACAAGTCAGGGGGCGACTATTCCCAAGAAACTGCCTGCGATGAGGAGAGGTGGGTGCTCGACGCGAGAGCGTCCATGGTAGCGGGCGACGCGCACCCGTCCAAGATCTCAGGGCCAATTTACGAGCTCAGAGCTGTAGTGACCCACTACGGGAGGCACGAGAATGGCCACTACGTATGCTACAAGAGAGGTAACACAGGTTTGGACGACGTCGACAAGACGGATGATGAACTAGAAGATCTGGGTTCACCACCAAACCTGGTGGGAGAGGACAACACCACCCACGAAGTCGACGGTGCCAACGACGACGGCAGCGCCGCAGACGAAGCGAGAACCCCGCCAGAGGATATGGAACAAGAGCCATATGACGACGACCCAGGTTCCAAATGGTGGCGCCTCAGCGACGAGACCGTCTACAAGGTCGACGAGGAGCAAGTCCTCCAGCAGGGCGGGGTCTTTATGCTGTTCTACGACTGCGTCGACCCCAACTCCGTCCTGGTCGGCGCTCCCCAAGGGCCCACCGAGCCCAACAAGGCCGTGGAGGAGTCCGTTGTCGTCGAGAAGGACCCGCAAGGTGCCAGTCCGGCAAATCTGTTTGGGATCCTCTCGGATGGGTAGGGCTCATGGGGGATCGTGTCGTATCTGGGAGGAGCTATGACCTCCCTGAAAAAGCTAACTATTGGCAACCAGAAGAATCGAAACTGCTGCGAGAACAGTCAGTCAGGACGAGGGGCTTGGGTTTTGCATAGCGTTGGCGTTGGACAGGTCTAGGTCCCGCACGATTTGCGGCAGGGGCCGCCATTGCCGAGAGTTTGTCTCGAGCCAAAGCGGACAGACAGATACTGTTGACCATGTTTATATCATATTTTGTCGGGGTGTCCCGGGAGTCTGGAGTCATCCCGACTGGTGCTTGCGGTTTTCCCATTTAATTATTACCACTATGGAGAACAAGAGGGGGAGCGAATGCGGATGCAAAATCACAGTTGCTGGTGCCTCCTTTTTTTCCCTCTCTTTACTCGCTGATTACTTTGGTCACTACCGTGAAACAAATACGGCCACTTTGGATAAGAAGGATGCTATTCATTATGCAGGCAGAGGTCTGAATTCAAGAATATGCAGCGTGCACATGCCGCTTGCGCCTACTTGACACCAACTCCCTCATGACTATATGGGTGCATGTAAGGGTGTGTGTGAGCGTGAAAAATGCCCACTAGTTGGATGACTGAAATCCCCTCTCGCGCTTGCCATCCTCCCACGGCAAGCCCTGTTTTGTTTATGTACATTAGAATATTTATGGTCTGTTGTTTAGGCCGTTTTCGACAAAAGAGCTCCAGGCCCATGCCTTGTATTGTATGCCGCGTTGGCTCTTTTCCCTCGTGCGGGGACCGACCCTGGGTCCTCTCAGGCCTCTGGAATAATGCCACTATGCTCCAGGCGTGCCGGCTCTGTGCCGGCTCTATAGGGCCGTCAATGCATGCCTCCACGTCCTCCTGCTCGTCGACTGATGTTTTGCAGAAGAGAAATATGTAAAGTCGGGCGAGGGACGTGTCGGGTGTAATTCCTCTACTTATCCAGGGTATCATCGTTTTGTCGTTCAAGTCGCTCGCTCATCACGTTCGAAACAGCTCCCATCGAACTGGTTGGTGCTGACATCGGCGGAGCGCGATGCCCTCATGCAGCCACCGTCCGCCTCCGGAACAAAATCTCCGCGTTCGGGTCGGGTGTCTTTGACATCATCAGCATCATGCCCTTTGGCCTCGATTCTCCGTCCTTGAGCTTGATGTCGAAGTTGATAAGGAAGTATGCCAGGATCATCTTGATCTCGTTGCTGGCAAAGAAGCGTCCGGGACAGGCGTGCTTTCCCGCTCCAAAATTCATGTTGGTGTCGTTGATGCTAGTGAACTGGTGCCTGTTCATATCGTCTTCACTGCGCTGGCGCATCTTGTAGAAGCGAAGTGCGTCGAAGCGGTCCGGATCCGGGAAGTATCGCTCGTCGTGGCTGATACCGCACTGCGGTGCGAGCACCTTGGTGCCCGCGGGGAGGTGGGTGCCGTCGGATAGGTCGATGGGCTGCACAACCTTGCGAATGAACGAGGTCACATTGCCCGATAGGCGCTGCACCTCCTTCATGAAGCTGTCGAGCTTCTTGAGCTTGCTCATCGAATCCTTCCTTGCCCAGCCGTTGTCCTCGCCTTCGAGCACCGCAGTGGCCTCCTGTCGGAGCTCCTCGGCAAATTGCGGGTTGGCGGCGAGGTCATATACGCAGTCGACGAGGAGATTGTTGGTCGTGTGGATCGAGGCGGCGCTGAGGATGAGTTGCAGCTCTGCCTGAGCTTGGTAGTCCCTTTTCTCTCCCTCGGGGAGCGCATCCAGTAGCCACTGAATCAGGTCATCTGCCTTCTCGTAGCCAGGGCAGTCCATATCCCGCAGACGCTCCTCAATGATGGGGATCAGCATCTCCTTGGCCTCCGCCTCGTCCTTCCTCAGCTTCCCGAGGTCCGATACCAGGTACTGCCCGATGGGCCTGAGCCAGGCAGGGAAGAACTGCAGCTTTACCAACGAGAGGAATATGTGCACTGCAAAGTTGATGCTGATACCCATCCACTGCTCCTGGCGACAGATCGAAGGGCCAACGAAGGCGCGTCCACTTGTTCGAGCGACACACCGCAGGGCAAATGGTTGGAACTTGACGGGCGTCCATTCCCTGCATTCGGGGAACTCGGTCGCGGTGATGTACTCAACCTCCTCCTTCAATTGCGGGATCAGACGTGCCAGATTCTGTGTTAGTCTTGTTCGCACCAAAGTCGCCAGCAGATCCTGGTGTCTCTCGGGACAGAACTTGGTGTATCTGCTCATCAAGGCCTCGCTGACGGCCTCGGTCGCGCTGAGAACGTCCTCGGGAAGACCTTTGAGCTCCCCAACCAGCTTGGCCGGCACCAAGACTTGCACTCCCTCTGTCGCCTTGATCTGATATACCTTGTCGTGAAACTGATGTACAAGTTAGCCGTTGTCAGTCCAGCGCAGTCCGTATGTGCGAGTGTGTTGTACCTTGGAGTACGAGTCCCGAACCAGAGTCTCGGCATCGAAGTACCATTTTAATATTGAAGCCTTGTAGAAAGGCACCTTTACTCGACTGGTCTTGCTCGTCTGTGATGATTGGAAAAACCATGCCACCAATAGTATGGCACCGATGGCGACGTAGTAACTGAGGTGCTGGCTGCGCACGATGACGGGTGTGGATGAGATGAAGTCGACTGAAGACTCCATCTTGAAGTAGCGCCCTAGGGTGGATGTGTTGGACATTGGTGCGACTGGGCAACAATGTGAATATGTGGATGGTTGTGAGGCTGCCATCGGACTCGTCGTTACACTCGATGCTTGACACATGACCAGTCGTTGTGCCGAAGTCGTCGTCTGCTAAATGAACCGCCTGTCTATTTCAAGAAGATGTGCGAAGTATGCTAATGCAGGAACAGAAGTATGTTCGCGTCCAAGAGGTTGCTTTAGAAGAGATGATGGAAGAAGGTTTGCACAAAGAAGGCTCGGCGCCAGCACAGCAGGCCAGCAAGTAGGTATACAAGAGAAGACAGAGGCCATATACAGCCCCAGGGAGGGGAGCCGGAAGAAAAACGGAAGGATTGTTATCGTGCGGAAGAAGAGAAGAGATGACGAAGTATCGCATCCGGTAAGGGAAGGCAAAAGATCGGTCGAGTCCAGGATGTTCCCCTTTGGGTAATAGGAGGAGGAGGCGATGGGGCGACACGAGGAGGGAAGAAGAACAGAACGGAACGGAACAAAAGCTGGGCAAGAACAATAACAAGCAGTTAGCCCACCCCCAGCATTGGTAGCCAAGTGAGATCCCGTCGGCTGCCGTGTGCTAATATGGCACAGACATGATGGACCGATGAGGCTGGAATGGCTAAAAGGGGCAAGTACGGGAGAAGTGGGCGAGGCGGAGAAAGCGAATGGGCGCCTACTGTGACTTGGAGGAGGAGGAAAAGATACGACGGCAATGACGGCGATGGAGGAGACGAGATGAATAATGAGACAAAAGAGACCAGAAACGAAACCCACACACAGCACAAGACAAGACGAGCAGGCAAATGACGGGAATTGGCGTCCGCGCATATGGCAAAGGGCAGAGTGCAGCAGAATGCAGGCCAGGCCAGGGCAGCGCTGGTCTGCTACACTCTGAGTGTCTCCGATTTGGGCTCACGACAGCGAGGCCCCATGGCCCGTGGTGGTGCCGGAAGCTTGGCATCGCTTCAGAAGACAGACAAGGCAAGGCGGCTGGCAGCTACCTACGGCCATGGCTCTCTCTGTCGTGCCCCAGCCTGGGTCCCAGCCGGGTTGGGATGAGACCAAGGCGGCCGTTGCAGGTTGTAAGAGAAGTAACAGAAGTCAGGGAACCAGGAACCTGGGTACCTCCGTACCTTTCACAATATCCTGGGCAAAGAAAGACTTCCTTCCTCTTACAGCGGGTAGTAGTAGCACCTGGCTGCGCCTGCCGTGCCGTGGCACCGTGGCACTCACTCACTTGTGCCACACCGCGGCAGGAACGAGGTTGTCGGTCGTCGTTCGAGCCCCAGCGGGTTGAGACGTGATTTGCTCTTGCCATCTGAAACGAGCCGGCCAAGGGGAGTTGTCGGGATCAGCTTCAGCCGCGCTTCAAGATCTCGCTTGGACCACTCTGGCCGATCCTGTTAGTGCAACCTGGCCCAGACGACTGCACACAATAGCTTCCCACGCCTTGGCCCTCGTGCGCGGCTAACAGCCGGGGATTTACCGCAGGTGGGGACTATCAGCCCTAGAACTGCCAGTCTGTGCCAGACCTGCCAGAACTGGCAGGTCCCTGACTCCACTGTCGCAGCCGCATCACCGGTAAAAGTGGACCTCACCTTTCATCCTCCCTTCTCCCTTCTCCCACGCCCTTGCCCCGTCTCCCCGCCCCTTTAGAAGCCACCGTGTATCAAGCAACAATCAACAGGTGACAAGCCACACAAGCTTTTGTAACAACTCACCCCCACATATGTCGGGTTCAAAACTCAGCATGCTACTACTGATCCTGACTTGTCCTGTCCGTAGTCCGAATCTCCGGGACTCGGCCGTTGCCCGACCATGCTCGTGCCACACGTGTCCACTGCAACGTGACAGTGTCGAGGCTTCCACATGCGAAGATCCATCACGTACCAACGGTTCCAGCGAGCACCGCACACAAGCAGTGCCAAGCGGCAGATCAGGCGCACACCAGGCGGCCGTGGTCTGTGGCATGCTGTCATCCTCACTCGAGCAAGCATTTCGGCTAGTCTGGTTCTCGTCAAACATCTCACCCATCCGCCGTGGTTTCGCCCGGCCTTCGTCCTGTGTTTTCCCGCCACGCATCGTAGATTTGCCGATGCTCACGCGTAGACAACAATGCAAAAACCACAATCGCGTCCGCTCCGACGAACAGGGTAAAAGAACCAGAATCCAGGTTTCTACGTCGAGGTAACGGCTGTAACGGTACTAGCCGCTCCAAACATGAGAGGTCACAAGCATACATATGACCTGCTCCTGCCAAGACCTTTTCATCCCAATTGGCCCCAGGATCCATACCGAGTGGGTGGGCAACTTGAGCCGCATGTGTCACCAGTGCCGGGCTGTGGGTCCCAAGCAAACAAGGCACCCCATATCTGCCTTACTTTGAATAGGGCTATACCTACCGTCGGCTGTCTCCGCGCGGCCGGGAACTCCGACGAGCGCTGCACCATGCCCTTAACATGCTCTTACTATTCCAGGTGACGATGTGTATCAGACCCTGCCGCCCCGCGTCTGGTAACAGTGCTGGGAACATTTCGGACCAGATGCACTCGCAGCCTTGTGGCAGGCCGAACTTCGCAATCACCAAGACTTGGGCCACTTTAGAACGACACAGTGACGTAGCCTGCCCTGGACACAACAGATGAACAGAGCTGGAAGCAGGCCTCGAGCATTGAACATGGCAGTGCCAAGTTCTGGCCAGGTCGGTCGGCTTGTGTATTACGGCAAATCTCCATTACCGAGCCCTGAGACGTACACATGTCCTTGGAAGTAGGATCGAGCGTGACACGAACGACAAGCACTTGAGCACGATCCGCCGGCCCGCCAACAAGCACACGATCTACACAAGCTTGGCACACCTTCTTTTGCACAGCCTGCAGCTATCCAACCTGCCTTGTCGAGATCGTTGCACGATCTGCCAGCTGATCTGAATTGTGAGAGACGAAAAAGCTTGCCCGATAGGTTTCCACCTCTCCAGACGATCAAATTGCACTGGCATCGGTTGAACTGGACCTGCACAAGCATCACGGGCATCCTCGGCGCGCATAGCTCTCACTCCTGCCCGGAGGATACGTTGTCCCTCCCTGCCACAACAGCAGAAGCGCAACGACACAAGTGTGAGAGCAACCCGTCACGCACTACCCTAAGGCAAGATGCGAGCATGTCGGCGGGGCGCGTGATTCCTCAGGACGGGAGGACGGGAGCGTTTCTCGGAAATGTTCCTCGCGTGTTTCATCCCATCGCCCGCTTGGAGATCATCAAAGGCAAACAAAATCCTCCACAACAGGCATGTTCAGTTCTGTGGATGTCAGTGACGAACAAAATAGAGGTTAATCCTAAAATGACGTAGAAAAAATGTGATAGAAGTGGTGCCACGTAAATGCCCCTATGCCAATTGATCCTATAAAATGCTTTCTTGCGACAGGCAGGCTTGGCTCGACTTATTTTAGGCAGAGACAAGACAGCTGGCCCAGGCTCCCGGACGCACAAGCCTCAGGAAAAGCGAAACCGGGAGCCTCACGGACACAAGACATTGCGGCAAAGCCTATATAGCACGGGGTAGGACCAGCCCTATGGCAAGTCTTGTTGTCGTAGTTGGGATGAATTGGGCCCGAGTTCCCAAGGTTTGCCACCCCGTCTGGCCGTTTTACTTGGCTGGGTAATTCCTCTTCTCGTAACCGTTACCGCAATCGAGCTCATGGTCGCGAAGCTTGTGAGCCGGCCCAGTCGGTATTTCCCTTCCCCGACTTTGAGTTGTTTGTGGGAAGTTGTCAATGCTAATCAGGACAACAGGGAAGTAAACCAGGGTGAGCGCGACGGCCGTTCGGGCCTTGGGAGTACCGTTCTCAATGCGCGAGGAAGAGTGCTTTCTGCGTTAGCCGTTCCGTCAGAACTGGGATGTATGCCGGATAGCACGGCTCCTGCGAGCCAGTTCCCGGGGTCACTCTAACCTACGACAGCTATTATTACACGACGAGGAGATCAGTGACGGCGCTGGGTCGCCGTTTACCGTGAGGTTTCGAGTCCAGGAAACAACATGATTCTATATAGGTACTTTGTATCATACCCCTTGTTGTAGCCGCGCGCGTGTCTCTGCCGGCTGCCACACGGGTATCAAGATCGATGAGTCTTTGGAGCGCCATCTAGTTACGAAAGTGACTAGATGGGACAGGTTCGGCTGGCGGCTTGACTGGACAACCGCCATGATCAACCCCCCCTCCCCCCGGAATCTGGCGGCCTCAAATTACCGTCAGTAGCGGTGACCAAGCACGGAGTGACGGCACAGATCGGGTCCGGTTCGGGGCGTTGTCCATCCAAGACCTCTCGTCCTTGGCAGGCGGTTGAGAGTGTAGAGGTGACCTAAATCACAGCCCCATTCCAAAGACAAAAGGGGTATCCGCAAGCACCGACTCTTCTCGGCTAGGAGCAATGACGCTTGAGAATGCTCGAAACTGAGGCTCAGCACTCCGGCGACTGCAGGTAAGGCAGGATTCTGAAGACACACGCCAGCTGCTTCCTAATCGACACGCCTCCCTTCGTCGGGTGTGGCGATTGACTAACATGGTCGCTCTGGAGGGAACGGCTTCAGTTCAAGGGTTGACTGCGTCTCGAAAACAGGCGATCGGTCTGCTTGGATGGTATAAAGTCCAGGACACCACTGCCAACTCGGTTCGTCGATGGTTGGCCTTTCACCAAGTCCTTTGCATGTGTTGGTCATGTTCAACGGACGATGATGGTCTTTCTTGACAAAAGGGCGCGAGGGTGACTTCGGCCTCCATTGTGTTGATTCATTGTCCTTGTGGCCCTTAGCCACACCCAACAACACAAGTGTGATTGGGTCTGAGCATGGCATCAAGGTCTCGGCTACAAGCGTACGGACTTCCCAGCTCCAGTTGGTCATCCTCGAGCCGCCATTCTTACCCAAGCTACTCATTGACAGGTTGAATATTTGAAGATTGCCAGCGCACCTTCCTGCGAGATCATGACCAGCAACAGTGGTCTTGAGCACGGGAATGAGAGAGAGCGTCATTGTTTTTCCTCCACACAAGTTACTTGAGTATGGAGAGACTGTTTCACCCAAGTGACGGCAGCAGGGGTTGGAGGGAGTCGGGTACGGCAGGCCAACTACGCCCAGACTGCCCATTGAGGCCGAAAACAGCTGGGACAAGATGTATGATAACCAAGACTGATGTTGGCGAACCGCAGCAGCATGAAATGAGGTCGCAGGACAGGTGCCAGATGAACACGACAGGAGAGAAAAGGGGTTGGAATAGGGGCAAAATTGCGGGAGACACACACTTGCGCTGTGTGGCATGTTGGAAGCAGGAATGAGACATGAAGAACGGAAAGCAAGAAGCCCTCTTCCACACGTGTGCCTCTGCCACCGCGGACAGGGCCGGTTGGTTGCAGAGGGGGACGGTATGGGCTCACCTGCGGTCGTCTCCCACATGGCCTCGGAACACATCGGGTGGCATTTCCATCCCTGAACACAATCTACCGATGACCGAGGGAAACTAGCAAGTTGTCCACAAGCACGCTTGTCTTATTGATGGCAGAATGATAACTCAATGTCCGTGTTCGGCCAGAGTGGATGTTGGAGGCAGCGTGTTGTCCTACAGATTCAGCTGCCCTGACAAGCGACCGGGGAGTGAACCCCTCCACCATGGTCAGTGTCGTTGGCCACAGTCTTGCATTCCAAGCACACAGTACCTTTCTGACACGTCAAGTCTAGTCCCCGGCAGGTTGTCTCCGGTCCTGTGTTGTCCCAGTGGGCACGACCATGAGATGGACCATGGGACACTGAAATGATGAGCTGCTTGGCTCTCCACGATAGTTGCCGTATGGGCCGGACGTCCCGGGGAGAAGTGCTCGGGATTCCTGTTTTCCACGCTGTCGTACGTTTCCGTGACACATGTCCTGGTCTCCTCGACATTAGCACCGATCAGCCGGCGTCCATTGCGTTGCTGGGCGTGGTCAATGACTGAGCTGCGTGAACCTTGGCCCTGCTCCTGCTACCAAAAAGGCTCGAACGCTAATAGCGACAAAGAGGTAGACAGTCTTGTCGAACAGGGGCCTGGTACCTAGCCCGGGGTAGAAAATGGCAAACAAAAAGCACCCATCAAAACATGCCAACGAATACGCGTACATGGTTGGGCAACCCGCAGCTCGAACCGGCTCAGCTGGCGCGCCCAGGCAGCCCGGCTTGGAGGGTTGCAGCGGCAGGTAGGGGTGATTGGCCCAACAAAGCCAAACCAGCCCCAGCTGGGGGTTGGATGGCGTGTAAGCCGGTGAGACACGGTTGGAAATGAAATTGCCCAGCTGGTAGGCAGTAATCTTATCTGATCGATCAGCTCTCCTCGCCAGCAGGGCAAGCAGGGTCAGCTCCCCAGGGGGTGGGAAGGAACGGAGCACGATTTCGCGCTAACGCACGAAGCCGAGGGAATGTGTGGACCACCGATGTCGGACGGACAGTGGCGGATCTGATAAGATTTGGGCTCCTTCTCCAAGGTGCCGAGTCGCACTGTGCTGTCTGCAGCTACCCGTTCGCGCCTCCAGACCCTCCCCAACCCTCAACCCTCGATCCGATGCGGGAGTGTTTGTGCCGGCGCAGCCCGCCCGGACTTTTTGTGAGGTGCTTGGGGAAAATGCTGATAGGATGAGCCGGTCGGCTGTTCGGCTGGGCCTTCGGCAACGTCAACGGAGCACTGCGGCTGTCCTGTCCTGCCAGTGGGAGGAATTGAAGCGGAAATAACTTGATAACCTAGCTGCTAGCATGCCTAGGTATCGTCAGATGGTGGGGACATGGTGGAATCCTCGTCCCGGCTGCGTGCCTGCGTGCCTGGTTTGCCGATCAAGTTGCCTCTTTCGACATCAGCAGGTAAAGAGAAGAAAAGACAATCAGATAGGCACTGTATCTGTTGAGTTCTGCACATACACGAGAGGTGGCGTGGTGCTGGGATCTGAACCGGACCGGACAGTTTGGAGCGAGAACAAGGGAAAAACCTTTGCCTGCGCGCGCCCCATTCCCGTTTCTTCATGAACCTTGACATCACACCCCCAGACCCCCTCGGCAAAACATGCCAAGCTGCCGTGTTTTTTTTTAATCCCCTTCTCCCGCCCGTGCAGCATAGGATTGACTCCCAGCACAGCCGTGTCATGTCCTCTTCCCCTCTGGTGCGGTGTAGCGCAACGCAGTGTAGTGCAGTGTCGCGGGCTTGGACTGTCGTGTCAAGAGATGACATGTCATGTCATGTCATGTGCGCACAAGGCTTGTGATGTGTTGGGGAGGCAGGAATACACAGATTGCGCTTTGGCAGCCTTGGTCTAGGCTCTACGGAGTACTGTCTAGTCCAACAGTCTCGGTCAGGCGATACGGCTGGTGACTATAGTCTACCTACTAAAGTACCTAGGTATCTTCCTGAGTATGTGGTCGCCCCCCGCCGAGGACCAGACAGGGCATCTCCACACACCGCAGTTTTGTGCCGTGGTCACGACGTCAGCCATCCAGGCTGGGCTGGGCCCGGCCGGTTCGGGGGAATTGGATGCATCAATTCAGACTGGGGAATTCACAACACACCGGGAATCCCACGATAGCAGAGCCCCCTTATGATTATGCTGCTGCTGCATGGTGCTAATCTACACAGTAATGTATTCGCTGCGTTGCTTGCGTGCTGGGCCTCGTGGCCTTCCATTTTAGGAGCAGGCCTGCAGGCCCAGGCGGCCCCAGAAAATTAAGGAGAAATGGCAAGACGCGCAGTCTTTTCCCCGGGGGACCCTGGCACATAGATCCCAACGTGCCGGGAGGAGCACCTCTCTCTGTCAGAGCTTGCACTGTCTTGCCTGTCCACCCTTCGGCCAGGACCGACCATCGGGGCTGCAGGGCCGCCCCCAAAGAGCCCATCAGGCTTAGTCGCACAGTGGTTCCGAGGGCCAAGCCGTCGTGCAATTGGGCAATCGGCACACAATTACACAACCGACTGTGCACCTCGACCCGCTGCGTACTGTGTTGGCGCTCTGTGTACAATAATACTGCAGTAAGTTTAAGTCAGTCTTTGCTCATCATCGACATGGGCCGACCGGGGGACGCGATCTGATAAGCCACCCTAGCCCTGCATGCCCAAGAAAAGGAAAAGGTGCCGCCCGGGTCCCCATCCTCGGCCACCAGCACCAGCACCAGCACCAGCACCACCTTATTAGTCTGCACAGTACATAGTATTCCACTTCACCACCTCAGCCGGCCCAATTCCTGACCAAGCAACTACACCTCACCCTGACTGAGCAACTCCATCTTTTGTTGTGTCATAGTAGTGTGTGCTGCATCTCGTAGCAAGCCAGGCCAAGCGAGGGTTTACCACTTTCCCCCCTGATTTCTCACCATCTCTAATCATCTCGACATTGATTACTTGGTCCGATTTAACACGACAAACACGCTTGCACGCCCGCACGCCTGCACGCCAACAACCCCAGCGACCGTGGCTCGCCCATCTGATCTTTTAAGGCTTACTCCTCCACAAGGCCGGTTATGCATTCGGCAGACTAGCACTCGACATCAACAAACACCACCCTCCGCGCCGCCTGTTCATTCATACCTGCGTCAGACTCAACCTCGCCACAGCCGTCTCTTCCCATTGACCAGTGGGCTCACCCCGACCCCACCGACCGCCACCACAACCATCACCTCCACCCCCACCGTTCCAACCTCCTCGCCAGCCAACATGATGCACTCGCAGACCGCCCGCATCATGGCCGAGTCTGGCAACTGCTGTGCGCCAGAGGAGCCCACCGGCCCCAAGGCCCCCTCCGTCGCGCCCTCGCTCACCTTCTCGGAGCAGTCGGCAGAGGAGCAAGATGTCGACGAGACCAACCCCACCGCCGAGCCCAGGCGCAGGCGCGCATCCACCCGCCTCATTGCTCAGAGCGCTGCCGATGTCCAGCGCATCACAGGGGAATCTACACAGCAGCTAGCTGCACGGTGCTGCGGCGGAGGCTGCTGCATGAACATTGGCGCAAAGAAGGCCGACATCCAGTACGAAAAGGTTCAGCACCCAGACACCGATGCCTTCCGGTCACTCTGTCTTAAAATTGACGAGATCCCGACTGTCTTGAGCAACGTTGTCGACCTGCCCGAGCAGACAGCCTTCCTGGAGCCAATGCGACGCCCATCCGATGTGCCCTCGCCTGCCTCAACAACCGCATCCAGCGCCACTGACAGCGGCAATGCGGTCATCGATGCCCTGGTCCAGCGTACACAGAACACCCTGCAGCAACTCTCCCTCGAGGAGCTCGACACCACCATCCAGCCCCCCAGCTTCGTCCAACCCCACCCCCCACACCACGTCTTCCCGGCCCGCATCCACAAGGCCCGCGAGCTGACACGGGTTGGCGCCGAGAAGAGGACTTTCCACTTCGACATCGACATCACCAACTACCCAGACGAGGAGGGTGTCGACTTCAAGGTCGGAGGCGCCATTGGCATCTCCGCGCCCAATGACGAGGCCGACGTCGACGAGCTGCTGGAGACCCTGATGGTGCCGAGGTTCCTGCGCGACAAGCCCGTCATGCTGCGGACGACAAAGGGGCGCTGGCCTACCGTCTGGGGCGATGACCAGGCCCGGGAGCTGGTCACGACACGCCGCGACCTCCTGACCTGGTGCTCAGACATCCAGTCCTACCCTCCCACGAAGCAGCTGCTGCGTGTCCTGGCTGAGCACGCAACCGAGGAAAACGAGCGCAAGATCCTCATGTACCTCTGCTCCGCCGAGGGCCAAGGGACCTTCTGTGACTTCCGGACCGGGCCCCATGTCTCCCTCTCCCAGCTCCTACACGCGTTCCCCAGCTCCAAGCCGCCCGTCGACGCGCTTCTCTCCCAGCTGCAGCCGCTGATGCCCCGCTTCTACTCCCTGTCCAATGACCCCCACGACTCGTTCGAGACCCGGGACGGCAAGACGCACCGTCTGATCGAAATCGCAGTCACGGTTCACGAGTCCGCCGACTGGAGAAAGGGATCAAGAACGGGCGTCGGCTCGGGCTTCTTCCAGCGGCAGGCGCTCAAGTTCATCGAGGCCGAGGCCAGGGGCGAGAAGAACCCCCAGGTGCACGTGCCCATGTTCAAGGGCCTGATGGCGAACCCGCTGGCCAAGAAGTTTGTGTCGGACGGGCCGATGCTCCTCATCGGGGCGGGCGTGGGCATCGCGCCGTTCCGGGGCTTCGTGCAGCGCCGGCTCAAGACGGCCAACTGCGCCAACAAGGTGTGGGTGCTCCAGGGCATCCGCGACTCGCTCGTGGACGAGATCTACAGCGGCGAGTGGGGCGTGCACGAGGACGAGGTCAAGCGCGTGGTGGAGAGCCGCGTGGGCGAGGGCCGCTACGTGCAGGAGGAGGTCATCAACCAGGCGGACCTGGTGTGGTACGTCATCAATGCCGTCGACGGGCGCGTCTTCGTCTGCGGCAGTAGCAAGGGCATGGGCGAGGGCGTGGAGGAGTCCCTCATCGAGGTGGCCATGCGCAAGGGCAACCTGGGCCGGGACGAGGCCAAGAAGTACTGGGACCTCAAGAAGCAGGTCGGCCAGTACATCGCCGAGACGTGGTAATGTGGGGTCTGCGGCGCGCACAAGGCACACCTGGCGCCTTTTCTTCCTTCTTGCCTGTCTCTCTCTTTCATGGGCGCTTGATGGGTAAAAAAGCAAGACTCACTAGATCAGGGTTCACTGGCGCAAGCATTTGTTCACGGCGTTTTTGGGCGGAGGGGTGTGTGTTTTCCTGCTCATTTCGGTTCTCCGTTCCGGGCGAAACAAAAATGGGATTATTTTCACACAAGGACCTCACGGACTTGGGTATGGGAAAGAAGGAAAGCAGTCATCGCATCACCGGATGCTGAGCTCGGCGGCGTCACACGGGGTTTCGGTTGCTTTCACGGTCCTTTCGCGCATGGGCTTGGTTTGCTTCTACCTGCGCATTGCTTCAAATGCTTGCACACAAACAAACATACGCAAACGTACATAGCTATCTTACATATCTTTGAGACTTGGTTGGCAGTCTCGTTATTGAATGACAGATTGAATGAAATACACATCAACAAACCGACCTTGGCCCACCGATCATATTTGTCTTTTTTTTTTTTTGGTGTTTGATATGGTCTCCAGCCTACTGTCAGACTGTGAAGGCGGGATGGGTGGGGCCCACAACGACGCAACCCTGGGCAAATCCTGTCTTGGGAGGGCAAAATGTGACGATCTGATTGATCAATGGCTGCACCACGCCCAAGCCACTTTATCATCCGGATAAGCTTAATGCACCTAGCACGTAGGTTGCTAGGTAGTCTACGGAGTATGTCTAGGAAGGATCCAGATTTGCCAGCCCTAGGGCGTCCTAGCCCCCACGTTCAAGTCAACGGCGAGCAACCAGTCAATAGATACTTAGTGAGCTCAGAGTCGTGGGGCCCGCGAATAAAACCCCCTCGGTCACACAAGTCAGTCAGTACCACACAGAAAACATAATTGTCAGTGCCAATGCTAACATGGTACGACAATCAGTCCCGTCGGGAAGAGGGGGGATCAATGCAACAGCGGCGACTCATGGACAGAAGGTGGTAGAATCATGTCCATGATGATGAGCTGGCCTGCTGGGCCTGGACTCGGAGGAGGGGGGGTGTTTGGCTCGCTCGAAACGCGTAATCGTGTCGGTTCAGAGCCCCGCGGATCCACCCCCTCGGAACGACCCCTCGGAACGAGACACTCTCAGCCTGTGAGAGAACAGAGAGGGCTTGGTTGGTTGACTACATGCCAATTTACAGTGTGTGTCTCTGTCGTGGTACAGGATTTATTAAAGGCCATAAATCTGTATACCGAGCACATGTGCAGGCTAGGGCAGGTGGGGTTCTTCGCCGTTGGGTCGGCCGGGCCATAGCTCGCCTGGGAAAACAAGCAAATGGAGTCGTGGCCAAGGATTGAAGATGATCATGCCACCACCCGGTTTGGGTCTGGCATGCACAACTGGCACATTGCACACAGCAAGTTGGAAGCAAAGTGCAAAGTCCAAAAAGGGCTTTGGTGGGTGGGGCTTGGTCGCGTTCCGAACAGCTCTGCTGTGGTTTGAAATCCTTAGTCATCTGCATGCCTATACGGGGGGTACCACCGCGGTGGATTTCCAATCGCTTCGAAATCGAGCCGCGCGCCAATCACCTCACTGCCCTTGTCCTCACACCCCTGGAGCTAGCCTGGCCCAGGCTATGACACAATGGAATCATAGGTGGGCTGGTGGGGTGTAAATCCGTAGGTCCGTCCGACACTCGCTGCTCTGCTGCATCTTATGCCCGTGTTCTAACGGCTTATGGGCGACAATCTAGAAGAGATTGGACATTCCAGAACTATTACTAAGATGCAATAGACAATACTAGACCACTTGCGAGTGCTCATTGAGTTTGAATAGGCTCTGGGGGAGGTGGGGGACACCGCAGGCTCGCGCATAAAACAGACAGACTTGCACAGGACTCCCCAGCCCCGATCGAGACCCATCTTCCGCCGGACAACGTAACAAATCATAAGAGAACATACCAGACCGTATATAGCGCATCTATGCAGAGCGGGACCCTCCCATAGCTCCAGGACCAGGAACCCCTCTTCGTCAGCCGTTGGTCATCAGCCTACGTGCGGTCTGCCAGAATATGAATACCGCCAGGTTCCTCACGAGGCCGGCCACTTCCTCTCCCCTCCGGACTATCATTACCACCTCTTCTATCAGCAACACCACCCCCCTCTCAAGACCAATAGCATCAGCTTCAGTAAAAGCTACCGCCTCGCTCACAACACGCCGGACAACCCCGCCAACAGCCCGCCTCTTTTCCACCACATCCAAGATGGCCTCCGCCCAGCAGCTCATCGACCTCGCCAAGCAGCGCAGGTCCTACTACCCCCTGTCCAAGGACCTGTCCATCCCCCCCGAGAAGATCCAGGAGATCGTCAAGTCCCTGCTGCAGGAGGTCCCCTCGTCCTTCAACTCCCAGTCCAACCGCGTCGTCGTCCTGTTCGGCGCCGAGCACGAGAAGCTGTGGGACATCACCGCCGAGATCCTGAAGCCCATCGTCCCCGCTGAGCAGTGGGAGGGCACCTCCGGCAAGATGGCCATGTTCAAGGGCGCTGCCGGATCCGTACGTCTTTCTCACCATGTGCATCCCTAATAGGTGCACCACCCGTATGGAAAGTCAATAATGCTGACCACGACCAAAACAAACAGGTCCTCTTCTTCGAAGACCAGGACGTCGTCAACGGAATGCAGGAGAAGTTCGCCATCTACGCCGACCGCTTCCCCACGTGGGCCTCGCACTCGGACGCCATGCTGCAGTTCAGCGTGTGGACCGCCCTCGAGGCCGAGGGCCTGGGCGCCAACCTGCAGCACTACAACCCCCTGATCGACAACCGCGTCGCCGAGGAGTGGAAGGTCCCCGCCAGCTGGAAGCTGCAGGCCCAGCTCGTCTTTGGCGGCAAGACCGGCGCCGCCGGCGAGAAGGCGTACGCGCCCGTTGAGACCAAGTTCAAGGCCTACGGTGCTTAGATCGGATGGTGCTTGCGTAATAAGATATAAGAGAGAGAACATGAGAAAAGACATGTTGAGAGGGACGGAGGGACGGTGGAAGAACTACATGAAAGATCAGGCTAGATGGCCTTAGAAGACGCCAAGACCTAGAATCTTCGTCGGGTCGCTTGCATTGACCGGCGTGGAGGGGATGACACCATATATACCACATATTTCCAATAAATTATGAACAAAGTCCAAACTCACTCCCAACGACTGTCTGAGGCCGGAGCAGCAGCCCTATGGAAGCTTGGCGTGTGGCATTTCTGCTTCATTGGAACCCTGATGTATGCCTGCGGCGCAGCACACATGGTCGGTACGTCTATGACTCCAGTGAGGCCAAACACGCCCATGGGCCCGCCAGCAAGTTTCAACCTGACAACACATCAAGATGGCGCTGCGCCGCACGCTGGGTTTGGCATTGGCCAGGCAAACGCGACCGACCATCACGCGAGGCCAACGGCTACGGGTCATATGGTGCCCTCAGGGCTCTATAAATGCCAGGCCGCCTTACCAGCATCTGAGCACAGCAGGGAACGGCACACTCACCAGGCCGTACAGCCAGAAACAGCCTACCATGAGCTCTCAGGACCCAGCTGCGGCGGCCCAGCCAGACATCGTCGAGGAACAGCAGCAGCAGCAGCAGCAAGACGTTGAAGAAGGAGAGGACCCAGACTCGCAACCACCCGTGGTCGAGAAGTGGAGGGAGGCAGTCGACGCCGTCCTCGCAGCCACCCGGGCGGCCTTCCCCTCCAGCCCGGCCTACGACGCCGCCTCCCCGGGGGCGTTCCAGTCCTACTGGCGCGGCGTGTTCGAGCGGCTCCACGGGCAGGTCACGGCCGACGGCCGCATCCCGGAGCACCTCACCTCGCCGCCGTGCAGGGAATTCGCGGTCAACATCTTCGCGCGCGGCGCCGGCGACGAGGGCCACCCGTGCCCGTGCTGCCTGCCCTGGGTGGAGCCGAGCGTGAGGCTGGAGAACGGGGCCGGCGTCACCAAGGGGGATCTCGTCAGGGGCCTGGGGCGGTTCCTGTACGGCGGGGAGGGCCTGCCTCGTGTGTATATCGAGGACGTGGAGGGGGGTGACGTTGTTCCCGAGGAGGAGGAGCGTGAGAAGAGGACCGGTGTGCTGGTGCACGGGGCCGACTGGATGAGTGAGGGTGGGGATGGCGGTGAGAACGGGGAGAGGTACGTTTATACTGGAGGGTGGATCGGCCGCCCTGCTATGATATGGATGTATTGTTGTCACCCGGGAGAGTTTGCGGAGAAGGCGGCTGCGACATTGCTGCGGGATAGGGCTGATGAGGAGGATAAGTCGGGGACGACTATGGCGAAGCTGTAGGTTTCTGGGCTACCGGTACCTTTGTATAAAGTACGAAATCACCGCTCTCCCCTGAAAATGAATCTAAACTGAACTATCTCTCCGATCTGAATATAATGCCGTCCGCAAGCGTGATCGGGTTGTAGGTGCGCGAGTCTTGAAATGCTCAGCGGATGGACTCGGACATCTGCTCTTCGATGAGTCCGAGGGGGTTGTAATTGACGGGTAGATGCTTTAGTGGTGCGCCAGTGGGCATGAGCCGCAACCCAGACAGATCATCACAGCCGGGCGGCCCGTCGAGGCCATGTGCCGTGACGTCTACGACTACCTCCCCCAAGAGATTGCCGTCTTCAAACGGCGCATACCAATACATGTTACCACACCAGGTAGGATATGAAGCGACGGGACGAAAAAGAGGCTCTCGGATCGGCGAAATCACGGACCAGATGTTACGAAAATCCGACGCCTAAGGCTGCCTTGTCACTCGGCCTGTCTAAATCGCCGTGGTGGATGGACCCTGTCGGCCTTCGCCTCGTTTGCTCATGATGAGGTCCAAATCGGGCAAGTATATATGAACATGTTCGTGTCCGACTTAAAGTACCCTGTGGCCACATACTCTCGGATGATTGCATCTGATCTGATTGATGCCATTCAAACTTGTGTCCTGAAATACCTACCATACTTGAACCAACCTTGGAGCAGTGTCACTATCCCGCATACAGAGAGAAACTTGGAACCCCTCAACAACACACTCCAAAATGCCCCCAACATATGCCATCCTCGGCGCAACCGGCCAGACAGGCGGCTCAGTCCTACAAGTCCTCGCCTCAGAACGGCCAGACGTGCGCGTGAACTGCCTCGTACGGTCCCGGCCCAAGCTCGAGCGCATGTTCCCCCAGGTACTCTCCTCCTCGAAGCAGGTGAAAGTCTTCGAGGGCCAGATCTCCGACGTCCCGCTCCTGACCGACTGCATCCGCGGCACCAGCGCCGTCTTCCTGTGCGTCGCCTCCCCGAACAACAAGCCGCACCTGCGCATCGCGCGCGACCAGGCCGAGGCGGCCGTCGCGGCGCTCGAGGCCCTGCGCGCGGAGCAACAACAACAACAACAGCAACAAGCCGGGGAGCAAAAGCCCCGGCTACCCCTCCTGGTGGTGCTCTCCTCCGCCGAGACGGACGAGGCCCGCTTCTGCGCCGACATCCCCTGGCTGGCGCGGCGGTTCCTCTTCGCCGCCAACTGGTGGGTCTACACGGACCTGATCGCCGCGGAGGAGTACCTGCTCGAGCGGGCCGGGCTGGTCGACGTCGTCTTCGTGAAGCCGGGCGGCATCTCGACGGACCGGCGCCGGGGCCACGTGCTCTCCACCGAGGGGTCGCAGACTTTTGTCAGCTTCCTCGACGTCGCGGGCGGCATGGTGCAGTGTGCCGAGGAGGGGTCCGGCCGCTGGGCCGGGAAGAGCGTCAGCGTTCTGTCGCGGGACAAGGCAAAGGTTGAGTGGGCCAGCGGGCCGGTTTTGTTGAGGAACATGCTGTGTACTTGGGTCCCATGGCTGTATCCGTGGCTGTTTTGATGGGGTTGAGTTTGGTCAGGAGGGACTCGAGGAATACTTCAATGTTGGCCCCGAGGGTCCCGGTAGATGGAATTGGTGTTGTGTTGGTGCGGATGGCGTTGGCATGTGTATACCTGACGACACAATCGTATGTAGTAACTTTTTAGACAACCATGTATAGGATAGGGCATGCATAGCCACTCGAAATTCTAGAAGGCGCCTGTCAGTTTACTAAATAGCGCGTACAAGTCCTTGCTAGGTTCCCAGTATATGTAACACGAGCCCCGTCCGACTTGCTGAGAGAAATTAATTGGCTAACAGCTGATGATGAAGTTGAGGATGATGTGTATCATCGGTATCTATCTACGTGGCTATCTAAAGGTTGTTTTTGATTCTGCTTTGGTACTGCAACCGCCATCCGGTCGTACCTAAGTAACACGGGACATAGATTGTTCGCCATACTATAAGCACTCACGGCCGCTCCAACCACACCCTCCCACCTGGGAGGGTCTCAAACTCACAAAGCGCCTTGCTTCACACCAGGAACAAGCAGGACAATGCCAACCTCCCTCCGCCCTCTGGCAACCAACCGGCCTGACCCAGAGCAAGTAATAGCACGTCCATCCATCATTCCCTTCCAGGCCGAGCTCCGCACTGGCTGCTTGGTCCCTGGGTTGGCTTGCCTGCGCCGTCATTCCGCGTTAAGGTCTTCTGCTTCGTTGACGCATGTTCATATCTGGCAATTCGCTGTCGCTTGCACTTTCCCACTGGCCCTCTCACATGTAAACAGGCCATGTTTTACCTAATCGTCTCATTCCTGGCCGCCAGACCACAACCAATCTCATTCAGACGCGCCGTTGTCTTATGATGTTAGTGTGAGCGCGAGTGTCACCGCTGACGTTGCGATCAGAGTGGCGTTCTCGCCGGACAGAGACCTCGTTTTAGCTAAGCAAGACAGTAGACACCGGCGTTGGTCTGCAGCTTGGTCACAGCTACCCAAATGTCCGCATCGGGGTCATAGCAAAAGTCTCATCGGAAGATCTGTCAGTTGGGTTCGGTCAGGCCCAGCCATCACAGTCCAAATTTGGACTTCAGGGCCTCCCTCTCCTCAGCTGGCATCTGGTTGGTAAACTGGTCAAACTGTGGGATCATTTGCCTGTACACATTGATGATCTATAGAAGCCGTTAGCACAGGCGGATTTCAGAGTCAGGCGTTCAAACATAACATGGACTCACGTTCTGGAAGAGTTCGTGCAACTCCTTGTTGATGTCGCTTGGCGGCCGGGTGTTGTACCGCGCAATGCACATAAAGTATGACAACAGGCTCTTCTCCATGGCCTGCGGGTTCTGGGCGACGATCATAGTGAACCCCTTGAGAGCACTAGCTTTCTCGTCGTTGCAGTCCAGCTCGACCATCGCGCCTAGGAACTCGTCCGCAAACGTTGTCAGGTGAGGGGCCAGCGCCTCTGCGTTCTGGAGACCCAGCCTACCCAGCGCAATGGCGGCGTTCTCGTTCACACTGATCGGGATCGTTGGGTTTGCCATTATCTGCACCAGCCGCTCCATGAGATCAGACACGAATGGCGCCATGCCCTTGCCGTGCTGGGTGGCGATCTCACCGGCACTCCAGCAGGCATTGTTGATAACGCTGAAGTAGCCATCAATCTCCTCGTCGACGACGTTGTCAAAATCTAGTTGCCGCAACAGTATGGGGAATATCGAAGGTAGATGGGACTGAAGCTGAGGGTAGACGTATTTAGCGCAGTCGCCCAGCAGAGCATATGCCGACTGGCGGACCTCGTCTGCAGGATCACCCATGCAGAGGTTCAACAGTTCGAAGAAGGCAGGCTGAGCATCCTTGACCAGCTCCTGGGCCTTGTCGTCCTCGAGACACTGGATAATGGCGCTGAGGAGATCGAGACTCGTGACGAGGAAGTCCTTGTCTGGCTGGTCGAAGTTGTGGTTCGTCTTTGCCGCCATCGTCTGTTCAAGGTTCTGGTGGATGATAGTGACGCAACGCCTGAAAATGGGATGCGCGTAAGGAGCAAACTCGTCCCTCATGGCCATGGCGACATATGACATGCACTCGAGGAGTGGGAACACTTCCCTCGACTCGTCCGGCACCTTTTGCCATCTGTCGATCAACGCGGGCATTAGCTGGCCGGCATGCTGAGGCAGTGCCAAGACAGGCCCGACGCTTTCTGCGAGCGTTTGTACGCAGTCGTACAGAATGTACATATTCTTGTCCTTGTATTTGGCGAAACACCGGATGTATTGCTGGATGATTGGACCCGTGTATGGCTCCAGGACCTTGCCGGCCTTCTCCTCGAGATTGGCCATCGCAGAAGCACCAGCCTCCTGGACCTTCTTGTTCGGGTCGAGCATCTTGTGCAGGATGCCCTCCATCATGGGGACGAAATAGGCCTGGATCTGAGCGGGGTCCTTGAGGTTGGCTGCCCACGATGAGTAGCGGCCAAGCGTCCAGCAAGTGATCTGCCTGACGACGGGTTCTTGGTCGTTAAGAAGTGAGATGAGGTATGGCACCAGATCAGGCAGATGGGGCGTGACCACCTGGACACAGCCCTCAGCAACCGCGCCCAGCGCAAGAACTGCGGCCTCGCGGCGAGGCCACTCCTCATGCTTCAAATGTGTCGTTAGGTATGGCAGGATGCAATTGAAGACAGGGTCCCTGAAGTCACGAGCAAAAACATCCAGGGCGGCAGCGGAGCACTTGCGCAGTGTCCACCTCTCGTCGGGGTTTTCATCACCGTCCTCGTCGAGATCATCAATTTCACCTTCCTCCAGATCATCGTCCATGTTGGCAAGCTTCTGGTACGCATTGCCGTTTTCCGCCTGGTCTGCGGACTGCTGAGCGCCAGCAGCCTTACGTGCCCCCTTGCCCTGTGCGAATTGGGGCTTGATGTCCTCGGCGCGGTCGTCCTCGTCCTCATCATCCGATGCGCCGCCCAACAGAGCAATGTCCTCGCCGCTGTAGACCATGGATTCCAGGAGGACGGGTATAATCTTGTGGATGTAAGGGCTCAGGGCCTGCCACAGGTTATCGTGTTCGCCAACCGCGAGCCAAAACTCTGCCGCCTCACAGGCCAGTTCCTCCTCCTCGCTCTTCTGCTGCTGGATGATGTAGTCGACCAATCCGGAGATGTGGGGGACAAGCTTGTCGGGCCTGGTATCGACCAGTTGCACGAAGCAACGGCAGACCTGGCGTCGCACATCCTCGCTGGGGTCGTTGGACAGCACAAACAGGTGCTGGAGAAGGTCGTCTATGCTATTGAGCATAGCCTGGGATTTGCGAGGGGTGAAGACGTTTATGGCAGTAAGGGCCTGAGCGCGCACCTTTGGCAGGGGGCTCTTGGTCGCCTCGATGAACTTTGGCAGCAGGTAGTTCAGGGGCCTCTGTCCGTTCTGCTCGCGCTGCAGCATCTTGGCGTTGTCCTCGCAGATCTTGGCCATGGCGGCCATGGCGCCCTCCTGTCCCTCGGGGGAAACCTGGCCAGACTCGTTTCCGATCAGCTTGAGCAGCTCGGGCAGGAACTCGGGCCAGCCGTAGATGCCAACGCGGTTTATGAGCTCGGTGGCTATGTTTCCGGCATAGCTGCGAATCTGGGGGGCTTTGTCCTGGATGCCCATGGGGACTGCCAGCTTGATGAGGCTCAATGAGGACTGTTCGATCTGCTTGAAGTGGAGCTTGACATTGTTCTTGAGCATGACGGCCGCTGCGGAGCGGACAAGGCTGTAGTCCTCGGGGGAGAAGTTGAGGCCCGGGGGCAGCTGGGAGCTGGAGAAGATGTAGGCGAGGTAGTTGTTGAAGTCTGGGGAGTTCCTGGCTTGCGACAACATCTGGGCTGCGGTTAGTACGGCCTGTTCTTGTCGCTTGGGGGTCGTGTGGACTGTGGCCTCGGTAGGGGCCATATGATATGACTTACAAGCTCTGCCTTCTTCTGGGCAGCCTTGTCGAAGCCGCTGAGGGAGTCTTTGAGGTAGACGGCCAGAGTCTGGAGAGACTCCGGGGATGGTTGCCACGCCATGGTTAGGGCGGGTGTTCAGCGGGCACCTCCTCCAGGACAGCTAGGTGATGCTGGGCTGTGGGATGGGGAGGATGACCCTGTTCTTGTATTGTGGTCGGGGCTGGGTGAGGTGGTGCTTTTGAGGATACTGCGCTCTGAATAGAGAGTGCAAGAGGCTGGAACGGGGCGTGGGTTGCCGTCAGGAGCGCATCCGTGTTGCCCTGTTGCAGACAGAGGTGGGAGTAGCGGTAGCAGCCGCAGTAGTGGGAGGGCGTCTGGTGGTGGTCGCAGTGGGCAGTGGGCAGTGGTGGGGTAAGGTAGGTTTGGCTTGTTAGTGGATCACGGGTCTTGGAGACCGCCTGCACCTTCTTTGCAGCAACCAGACAGGAAGGCACAGCCTGCTCATTCAAGAAAGGCTCCCGAGGACAAGTTTATGAAGAGACGCTCTAACAACAAAAGACGGCCTGCAATTAGCAGCAGTCAGCAGTCCTTGTGCATTGCCTGTCTAGATGGGAACAGTCATGTAAATTTGGATCGCTTGCACATGCTGTGCCTCTGGCAAGCTTGAGGAGGTGCTTGTGGATTTTTTTCGACATGGGTGCAGGTCGGACGGTACATGCAATTGCAGCATACTACTCGTGCCAGACCCCGTACCTCCGTACCAGTCCAGGGTCCGCTACAAAACCAGGAGGTGTGTCCAAGTTTAGAAGAGACCAGCAGGTCAGCGGATTTCAGATCTGCTGGGCCTGGACCTAGTGTGCTCTGCAGCCAGCAGTACTGCTGGTTTTTCCTTGCTCTTTCCTTTCCCCCCTTCCTATTCTTTCTTCCCCCCCTCCACTCTCTCCTTGCGGCAAACCTTGGAACCTTGCACACAGTGGGGTGGGGGGAGCCCATCCAACCGGCAAGCCTGCAGCTTGGATTTAGATGGCAAAGAATTCTGAGTGGGTCCGTTGGTTTGTGCCAGTGTTATCGATAAGATAGATACATACAGACAGACAGACAGGGAGGGTGGGAGGCTGGCACACTGTGGCAAGACTGACAGACTGATTGATCCCTCTCAGTCCTGCCCTTTTTGCCGCTCTGTTCGTCTCTGGCCCGTCCGGGTGCGGCTATGTTTCCACTGTTACCGTACGATGCGTGCAGTAAACCATGGCCTCCAAGACGGACTATCTCTTTCTGCCGCTCGAGCGTTTGACTCGTCGCCTCCCCCGGCTTCCCCAAGTGCCTTTGTCTTTGCCTACCCTGGCCTGGCCTGTTCAGTTTTGTCTGCTGGCTGATCCTGGGCCCCACAGATTCGACCCTGAACACCTGCTCCGGCCGGATTGTGGCCTGGGTCCTTGGGACCCCCGTTTTGAACCCCCAAGAGGAGCATGTTGAGACACAGTGACGTCTGTCCGTCTGTCTGTGCCTTCACCAAAAACTGCCATCACTATTTGATCCACTCCGTCTTGGGCAGCAGGGCAGCTTGGCCAAATCATAGCCACCAGTCGAGAATACCTGGAATTCGGTCCTCCTCCACCGGTCTGCCAGCCTGACGTAGCATCTCAACGTCTATGCATTGTCCTCCTATGAGCTGTGAGCCGTGTCACAGCAATCTACTCCCCGGCTTTCCTGCTGTCTGCCTCTAGGTGGCACAGTTGATGCTGTGGACAGGATTCACGAGCCCAGCAGACACCAGGTCGTGCCACCTGCGTCGTGTGACCTGAAGCAATCGTATCCTCCCGAGTTCCATGTAGTGAAGCCCACCAAACGAAGGCATTCGATGAGGGGAAGGGGCTTTGGCCGTCTTGTGGATGCAGGTAGAAACGGGCCTATTTTCTGCTTCTTTCTTGGACTTCTGGCCTCCCTCTGCCCCATGGCCGAATTTGGAGGCTCATGGGAATGATCCTGCCGGCCGAGTAGATCGGCGTCGACCCGGCTGCTTCTCCATGGCCTCCACCGGCGTGGCCCAAGGCCTTACCAGACCAGCCAGCAACGCACCTCAGAAGGAACCTTCCTCTTCTCGTCCCATTTCCCAATTATGTCGTGTTGCTTCTACTTGAAAAATTCATGAGGATGAGGCTTCATACTGAGAGGACACGGCCGCTCGGGAGCCGAACCCTGCCCCGAGTCCAGCACAGGGATCTGACATGCTTGACATCCTAGTCCATGAGGTGATCTGCCGCCTCGCTCTACAGATCTCTCTGTTATGCACCATGAACTGAATAGCATATTCCAGCACATGACACGAAGAGAGACCCCCGAGACCGGTCTATGGTCTGAGCAACTTATTGTGCGGATAAATGTATAAATGTATTGGGCCAACGTCCTTTGGGACGCATGGTCTGTTATTACTCAGTTGAGGTTACACATGCATTTACTCGTTCCTTTACTTATTAGCCGGGTTTGTAACACTACAAAATGAAGCAAGATTGTCAAAAGCAGACTCGACGCATTGGGAGACCAGACCATTCATGTAGTAGCACTTCCAAGCTCGATTCCTCTTTACTGCAATGAGCTGCAGACACAGAAGCGTACTTGCGCTTCAACAAGTCCAGTTCATACGCATCCCTGAAATACACAATCGGGCGAGCACGTTGGAAGACCCATCGAGACTGAAGATTTGTGTACCCAGACGACCTGCCAAAATCTCCGAACCAGAGTAGACCTTCGGAAGTCCTGTGACAGAACCTCCTCATCCCTTGAATCTAGAAGTGCTCGCACCATCTAATGCCTTGTTCCTCCATGGGTCGAGATTCGAGGCCACATGTCATGTCTGTACGACCCGGCCAAGTGCGTTGGCTGCTTGTCCATGATACTGGCGTGTCACCATGGCAGGAGTCTGGGGGTTGAGCCTGCCGGTTGGATGTAGGACAGGCGCGGCTCTGGGCTCTCCTTCTCCCGCCAGCTGTGCGATGCAAGCCCTTGTCGGCGTGGGAAATTCAGCTTCATCCGGAGCAAGCCTGATCGCCGTGCTGCCTCACTCTTTGAGCCCACACTGGCAATCGACGCCATGGTCCCCGGGTGAGCCTAGGCGGATCAGGTCGACCCGGGCTTCGTTCACGAGCTGCTGACAGACATGGCCGCCACGCCGTTCGTGACGCCGCGGACGTCCTGCAGCTTCCCGCTGACCACCTCGACGACCTTTCTGAACGCCTCCATTTCCTCCTCGACGGTGCCGCCCAGCCCGGTGCTCGCAAAGCTCATCGAGTTCGCGACATAGACGGGCAGCTGTGTCTTCTTTGCGAACAGCCTTGCCATCCGGGTTGTGAACTCCTCTGACGACCCAGCCGAATACAGCGGAGTCGAGAGCGGTTGGCCCGGGTTGAGCTTCTAACCAGGGTTATACGATCAGCACTTGGGACTGTTGACATGGTTTGCGCCTCGGGGGCGGCCAAGAACAACTCACGTCTGGGAGGGCATAGACGAACGAGCCCATCGGAGGCGGTGTCCCGAGCTCGTCTGCCGCCGCGGTGGTCAGGAAGATCATGATGGATTTGGCATGGATGGTCAAGCGGACATAGACCCGGGCCTCGAGGGATCGCGGGAGGGGGAAGGAAAGCTGGAAGGTCTCCATGGCCAAATGCCAATGCTAACTTCAACAAAGACGGCGCGGGCACGTTCCAGAAGACCCGAGAGCCACGAGTCCGCGGCCTGCTGATGAGTAAGGTTGCTTCGGTGTACAGCCAAGGCGATGATCTCGGCACAGATCCTCTTGGCTGGTCCAGGCTCTGCTTGGGATCGGAGTCAAGGTTGTGTTGGACGTTCGTCACGCTCGTCACGTTGCGTGCTCACAGTGGCTAGGGTCAGCGGTAACACCTAAGTGAGCTTCCCTGCCTGCAGGCGCCCCCTAGCACATCTGCCCACGGGGGCCTTGTAGCAGGTGCGACCCACTTTAACAGCTGTCCATCCCCTGCTTTTTCAAGCTGGGCCAGCCAGGGCCAGAGCTGCAGCATGCCGACGTACGCAGCCTGTACGTGCGCTAGGGGCCTGGGGGCACATCGTCACCAACCCAACCTTGGAAGAGACAACGACAAGCAGACAAGAAGAGCGCGAACATGTCTGGCTCTATGCTGACATAGGCTGTCTCTCACTCATCCCCTACTTATTCCTCTTCCTATTCCTCATCTGTTTCTCCCAGCCAACCTTTTAATCTCCTCGTCTCCACTGTTCTACTCACTCCTTCAAGATGCAGCTCAGCAGCGGCAGCCCCGGTGCTCCGTGACTGACCAGGCCTGTTGTGTTGTTTCGCCGGTTTCGCTGCCGGACTTACTTAAACCACACAGCCAGCTAAAAGCAAGCAGCTCGGGCACGAGCCAGACTCGGGCTCAGCAAGACCTCGACCACGACTCGGCCATTGCAGCACTGGGCAACCTTACAACCTCCACAACTGGTTGCAAACATGATAGAGACAGATACCATGGCCGATCCAGTGCATGCAGAGGAGCGTGACTGGCAGGGCCTGGAGGAGACCGTCTCGGACGTGGAGGAGGCGAGAGTCATCTTCTGCGCCCTCGACTCGTTTCTGTGAGTGCCCCTCACTTTCACCACCCAGCCGGGACGTTCTTTTCGCCTGGCCAGCCACGCCGTCCGCTGTTCCAACACGTATGGGGAACTAACATTGGCTTGTGCTGAATGTAATCTGTAATGCAATTGTATTTGGTCGCATGAGCCCTGGTTTTCTCATCTGCTTGTTTGTCTGTCTGTCTGTCTGTCTGTCTGTCTGTCTATGCGTGTTAGAATCCTCTTGTGTTTAATTTTTCCCCTCGTCTTTTCCTTGTACCCCAAGCTGATTCTTCTCACCCCAACAATTTTGGATACTTACAACATCTCAGACAATATGGTAGGGTGGCTCACTTCAACTGCACCCACCTGCGGCGGCAGTCCTTCTACGCGCTTCCCGAGGCGCACTGGAAAATGTTGGCTGCCCCGCCATTCAACTACCTCGAAACTCTCGACAAGGTCGACGCCGCCATCGACTCAAACGCTGAGCTGGCCAGAGGCATTGTCAAGCACGGGCTGAGGAGCCTGGCCCCGAAGGAGACCTCGTCAGAGAGCGACTTTCCTTCCATGCCAGAGGAGTGGGTGGGCGTCGCCAAGTACGGCGACATCGACAAGGCCAGGAGCACGCTCCGACAGTTCTACCGTGACTGGTCCGCCGAGGGAGCAGAGGAGAGGGAGGCCTGCTACGCTCCGGTCAAGCGAGCCTTGGCCATCGAGAAGAGCAGGCATCCCGAGATCCAGCACCTCAAGGTCCTCGTCCCCGGGGCTGGCCTGGGCCGGCTGGTCCTTGACCTGTGTCTCGAGGGCTTCGAGACCGAAGGCAACGAGATTTCTTACCACCAACTGCTGGCGTCTTCCTATATACTAAACAACTGCCAAGAAGCCGGACAACATGAGATATTCCCCTGGGTCCATACGTTTTCCAATCATCTCACAAGAGATCGACACCTCACGAGCTACAAGATCCCGGACATCCACCCTGCTACTGTCCTCGCGAATGCGGAAGGCGTGGGGGCAATGTCTATGTGTGCATCTGATTTCCTCTGTCTCTACGGTGACGACGACCACAGCGCTCAGTACGATGCCGTGGCAACGGTATTCTTCCTCGATACAGCGCCCAACCTTATTCGCTACCTGGACACGATTTTCCACTGCCTCAAGCCCGATGGTATCTTGGTCAACCTTGGTCCTCTCCTTTGGCACTTCGAAGACAGGGCTCCAGGTAACCATGGTCACGATGACGATGGTGATGGGGAGCATGACCCCAACAATTCGACAGGCATAGCTGACCCCGGCAACTTTGAGCTGTCTGACGACGAGGTCAGGTCGCTGGTTGAGAAGGTCGGTTTCAAGGTCGAGTCCTGGGAGACCAACATCCGGGCTCCCTACATCCAAGACCCCAGGTCTATGCTTCAAACCGTCTACCACGCGTCTTCCTGGGTGGCGCGCAAACCAGCCGTCTAGCGAAGCCTCGGGAGCTAGCCGTGGCCACTGCTGCGTCTCCCTGAGTTTGAGACAAAATCAGAGCCTCGGGGGGCTCCGCACGGATTTTTGTGTGTCCTCCAGGAACCTAAGTCGATCACACCCCCCAAATACTCTCAGCTGTGGTGGCGGACGACACGTCAGGTAGATACAGGCCACCCTGTGGCAACCAACATTCTGTAAGAATATTGTCAGTCGCTCTGTATCGATTTCAGACCACCGCGCTCTTGAGATGAGTAGTCTGCGAAAGAAGGAGGGGATGGGAAAACACAGCCCTCAAGGCCCCCTGGGCCAAAGATTGAGGAGGGGGGGGGGTTATAAATCCGTGACGAGACCCTGCGAATGAGTTGCAGCCTTTGTCACAGGTGGGAGAACGCATCGACTTGTGCATGATGACTGCAAAAGACTAGGAATATCAATGGCTGAGAGGTGTCACCGAGAGCGACCTGTTACATCTGCTTCAGACACCGGCTCGAATAGCCACAGGCTAGAGGTGTACTTGTATTGCTGTTGATAAGTGGGCTCGATCTGCATACTAGATACGCCTAGAGACGTTTGAAGACGGAACGAGTCTGATGTTTGGCATAGAATACAGAATTGACATACATACACCAGAGGGAGCTAATACACACAAATGTCTAATTATGTCTTATTCTCAACACCGGACATCTGATACACTTTTTACAACTTCGCCTCGCCCGGTGCGAGAAGCTCCCCACGCTGCCACAGTGCCCCTCCGTCGACCTCGATAGCATCACCGTTGACGTGGCTCCCGGCCCTCGAGCACAGATACACCACGACACCAGCGATATCCTCCGGCTTGCCAAGCCTCCTCATGGGGTTGGCCTTGGCCAGCTTCTCCACGCCGCCAGACATCTCCATCAGGCCGTTGGACATCTTGGTGGGGAAGAAGCCCGGGCAGATGCTGTTGACGGTGATGTGGCGGGGCCCCAGCTCGAGCGCAAGGTTGCGCCCCAGGTGCAGCACGCCGGCCTTGGACGCGCTGTACCCATACGTGCCCTGCGCGCCGAGCGTGCCGACGCCGAGCCCGGCAACCGAGGAGGTGATGACGACGCGGCTCGGGTCCTCGACCGAGGCGCGCTTCTGCAGCAGGGGGGCGAAGAGCCGCACCGTGTTGAACACGGCGCGCACGTTGAGGTCCATCACCTTCGCGAAGGCGCTGTCCGGGTGCGTGTCAAAGGCCTCGCCCCACGTGGCCCCCGCGTTGGCGAGCACGATGTCCACGTGTGCCGTGTGCTTCCTGACGCCGTCCACCAGCGCCTGCACGCCCTCGACGGTGCTGCTGTCCGCGGGGACGGAGATGGCCTGGGCCCCCGGGGCCAGGTTTGGGAGCTTGTTCAGGAGCGCGACGGCCTCGTCGCAGGCCTTGGCCTTGCGGGAGGATATGAAGACCTTGGAGGCGCCTGCTTGGAGGATGCTAGGAGGGGTTTTGCATGTCAGTGGGGGTTTTTTTTTTTTTGGATTATTTCTTCTTGTCGTATCTTGTCTCCATCCTTGCTGTCGGGGTGATGGCGCAACTTGACGTGTGTGGGTTTTGCTTTTATGGTGAGAACTCACGCTGAGGCGGCTGTGAGACCGAGCCCCCGGGAGCCGCCGGTGACGACGGCTACTTTACCCTTCAGGCTGAAGAGCGAAGAGAAATCCTGGATCTTAACGTCCTCCATTTTGAACACAACGAAGCTTACTGGTTCTATTTCACAGCGTCTGAGTGTTTGCGCAGTGCCTATGTCAGTGTGGGTTACACAAAGTGATCAGTCCCAGAATGAGACTCACTGTAAGTAGGTGGTGCGACACCGGGTGGACTGGTTTTAATTTGTCGATGTATCTGTTAGATTATGGCGAAACTTCCCTCAAGTCCGGGAGAAGTGAGACAAATGTTTCAATTGGGCAAGATAATGAGGGTCGGGACTGGTTTGAAGTACAGAAGTTTTCGAGTGAAGTGAGTTGTCCTGATAGACTACGGGTATATCTATCCCTGGATCGTGACGTTCTGCGGGGAATTGTACCGAGGCTCGGTTACTCCAAACGGCCGACAGGGACAGGGGTATCAAGGCTGGACGGCCTGGCCTACCACTACAAGCTGCGTCGAACGCCTGGGGTTGAAGAAAACACAAAGTTACTGCCACGACGTTGCTCGGGTGTCCTGAATGCTTGATATTATCTATGGCACGCAGTATATGTATGCTCTGACTAGTCCGAGAACAAGTCTGTTTTGGCCCTTCAACTCCTTGCTACAAATGGTTGGCGCTGTTGTGATCGCGCTGGATATCTTGGCGTTCCTTCCGGACCCGTCTTCAATAGCAATACTAATACAATACAACTCTGGAATGGGAATTTCGGTTGAGACCACACATCGTCTCGATCCTATGCGGCGGCCATAGGCGGTTGTTGCTCTTGCTGAGGCTCGCTTCCTCCGCCTACAGACTCCGAGGAGTCTGCATTCTGTGTCTCGCCGGAAGAAGCAGCTCCCTCTGTGCCAGATGCTGTCGCTTCTGTGGTTGCCTGCTCCTCGGCCTCTCTGCGCTCCCGCTCGGCGCGCTCCTCGGCCTCCCTACGCTCCCTTTCCGCCCGCTCCTGTGCCACCAGGGCCTGGATGTGGCGCTCTGCTACCCCTGGGGCGATACTGGCCAGGAACAGCAAGCCAGCCCGCTCAAGACGACGGAACTGATCAACGAACCAGTTGGCATTCTGTTCTTGTCTCTGAGCAATCAATCGTGCGGCAGTCTGCGCGGGATTCGGCCCGTCCTGCTGCTCGCCCAGTCTCGGGTCTCTTGCGATTTCAAACCTGGCGCCATTGTCCTCTCCCATGGGTGGGCCCGCATTGCGCTCTCTTTCTCGCCGCACATCTTCACCAGGGGCAAGCGGGATGATCCCGTCGAGATGGCGGCGTATTGGGTTAAACAAATTGTTGGCGCGCCTGTCCAGGACACCTGTGTTGATCAAGAAGACGGCCGTGGCGATAGCCATGATGGTAAACCAGCGCGTCCAGCTTGTATCAGAAGACGTGAACCACCACACAAAGATGCCCAGTCTTACCAACAACCAAATGTGCGGCCAAACAGCGCCGAGCAGTGCCCCTGCCAGCCCACCCTCTGGATTGGCCGGGTGGTACTGCACGGCAGGTGCGCCACCTGGCGCAAAGGGCCGCGCCGCCTGGGCTTGCTGTTGCTGAGCTGGTTGTTGAGCGGCCGCTCCTTGAAAGATGTTCACTCTCACATTGCCAGCCTGTGGAGCCTGCTGTTCAGCGCGACCGACGGCCGGTTGTGGTTGGGCAGCTTGCTGTGTGTTGTCGACAGCAAATGCCGGTCGCGGTTGAGCCGCTGGCGGCTGGAGCCACGGAGACACAAAGTTGGGTATAGCCTGGGGTGCCGGGTATCGCGGCGCGGGTGTGAAGTACAGGTCTGACTGGTTGTTGACCAGTAAGGCCCGTGGCCCTTGTGGCGAGCTCAGTATGTACACCTCAGGCTGGGTTGTGCTTGGCATTCTCAGTGAAGGGTTGGCCGGAGGCGCTGAGACGCTGCCGTGGCTGGAGCTTCTGAGAGGGTCGGGAGTGGCAGTCCTGCTCAGGGGAACCGTAGACCCAGGTCTCCTAGGAACTGTGACCCCAGGGGTTTGGATCGGCTGCCGCGGGCCAGTCAAGTTCAAGTTCGCGAGAGAAGCGCCGGACGCGCTGCGATGCATAGCGTTTGTCAGTATAGATGTTGCTTGGCTAGCATCAGCGTTGCGAATGATGTTTTGCACGTCGTTGGTGGACAATGGGCCACCGGGTGTATGTGCGGCAGCACCGCCGTTTCCGTGTTGTAGGTTCTGCAGATTCACGGGGAAAACTTGTCCGTTCGGAGCAATGAATGCAGAGTTCATGGTGACGCGGACAACTTCACCATTCGGCCCGACCGTTTCCCGCACGTAGCCTTGATATTCTGGGTGAGGGCTGTTCCTTCCCTGGCCAAGGCCCGGAAACTGCGGGTTGATGGCCTGTCCATGCCCGGGCATGCCCTGTAAGCCGGTAGCACCTCGTGCTTGTTGGCCGTGGTGTCCTACTGGTCGCTGATTGAGCTGATTCAAATATTGTGCCATCAATTGTTGCTGTTGAGCAACAAGCTGTGCGCTTGTCTGGCTGCCCGGTGCCGGCATCCCAAGTCCATGTGCGGGAAACGGCGAATGAGGCTGGCCAGCCTGCGGTGCTAGGCCCCCAAACCTAGGGGGAAGGTGGTGGTGGTGGTGGTGGCCAGGGTGATGGTGATGAGGTGCGGCGGCGGTATTGAGAACAGAAGGGGCGCTTTGGCGGGGAGGGGGGTTCGGCGCAGGGCTTTGGTCGCGGGTAGGAGCTCCTTGGGTGGAGGCGTGGTGAGGGTCGACGTCTCGGATGACGAGGTGGATGGCCACCTGATCCGAGCCGCGAAGCTGTGTGCGGCGTGTCAGCTCGATGTTCTCCAAGAGGGGAGTACTACGGAGGGGCACGGAGGGGCACGAAGGGGCACTCGTTACCTTTTGCTCACCAAAGACGTCCAGAAGTGTCTCTGTCTCGCGATTCAACAGCTTGCCCTGGTGGATCAAACGTTGCTGCTCGTTGGCCGGCCTCGCATCCAACGCTTCACGGATCTTCTCCTTTAGCTGGCCGACGGTCGTGGAGGCGGCAAGGCCGGTGAAATTCAGCGGAGCATTGACGGCGAGCGAAGGAGAAATGATGGAGATGTTGACTGTCGGCGGGTTCTCCCCTTGGGAAGGGGCGCCCGACGACGAGGAAGGCACGCCTTCAGCCATTGCAGACAGCTTCGCAGATATTCAGGTCGATCGTCTCCCTAGGCTCCACTGGCATCGAAGGTAGGACGAGTCTTGATGAGATGGGATGTGCGGGAGTGCATCGAATGTTGTATGTGGAAAACTCTAGGCAGGCTCTGAAGCCAGGCCCTTCTCACGCCAGTGCGGTCCAGGACGGGCCAGGTGAGGCTGCCAGGCTCGTGCACAAAGTGATGGATCGATCGGGATTCGGAGGAGTGCTGGGATCATCGGCAAGCAGTGGGGCGCATCTTGGGAGGTTGGCTTCTTGACGAGGTTTGGTGGTGTCTCGTTGCGACGGGCAAGAGGACAAGTTGTTGGTAGCGAGAGGGAAAGGAAGAGCTTCCAAGAAGCGCAGTCCGGGTTAACCGTAAGTGAATGTGTGTGCGCAGCGCGTGGACGCTGGGCTGAGGATGAGTGGAGTCAGGCCCACAGGAAGCGATTCGCAATGCCAGATTGCCTGCCGAGCTCTGAATAATGACTGTACTCTACACTACATACCTTACTGTCTATGTCCGATGCCACGTTTCCACTTGGCCCTGGAGTGCAGCTGGTAAATGGAGTGCGGGCCTATGGGCCGAGGTACCTGAAACCGTTGGCAGCGGCCCAGCCCACCGTTTCCACCATTTAGGTACATACTACCTAGGTACCTACCTACTAAAGTAGGCAAGCACTTAGTGTGTAGTCTATGTCCTGCGCTGACGTGCCAAAGGGCACGGACGGTGCAGCGGGATGTGCAGACCGGGACCTGGCCTGGAGCACTGGACCGCCTGCTGGGCTGCTGGACTGGGCTGCAGGAGCTGCGTCATACATTAGCCAAATTCTGTCAGGTTCCCTACCATCTTGCGCGATGCCTGCAGCGACCCAGCAAACCAGCAAGCAATAATTGAGCTTGTCTGCTCGCTCGCACGCGCACACCCGCAGAAGAGGAGCCCACCTCGGCAGCCCCATCTGTCAAGCGCTCATCACCTCGACACGACTGGCTGACTGGCTGAATTGGCTGTGTTTTGTTGACATTCCTCAGTCTTCCCCGTCTCTCCCGCCCCGGCCAGAACCTTCACCGCAAACCTACCAGGCCCCCTGATCATACGATGGGTCTGGTCTGCCCATATCGATATCGATAAGCCAGGATTCCCTCCATCCTGTTTAAATTTCCACCGTCGTATCGGCTCGATCTGTCGAGTCGCTTCCTCCTGGGCCATGATGGCTTCAATGTCAAGATCTCTTGGCAGCGGCCTCGCAAGAAGTAGGCTCTTCGATGAGTCCGCTGCCGCCCTGCGCTGTCCGGCCTGTTTTCGCCGGCAAGCCCTCCACCAGACTGCCCTGAGGCCTGGGCACATCGCTCCCAGTCGCCCACTGGCCCCCGCCCCGGGCCCGGCCAGCCGCCGTGCGTACTCGCAGAAGTCCCAGCAGAGGCCTAGGTTCACGTCCAGGTTACGCATGGCACTGGGCAAATCCAAGACCGAGTGGTACTTCATCCCGGTCGGTGTTGGTATAGGCTTCCTGGGACTGGCGCAGGGCTACAAGGTCTACACGCGGGAGAAGGAGAGGCAGGAGGATGACGAGTTCGAGAGGAAGCCCAAGAGGCGCCCCCGGGTGAGGCCCGAGGGCCCGTGGCAGGTTCGCGTCATGTCTACCCTGCCTCTGAAGGCGCTTTCGAGGTTGTGGGGAAAGTTCAACGAGGTAGACATTCCATACTACTTCCGTGTTCCCGGCTTCAAGCTATATTCTTGGGTATTTGGCGTCAAGTGAGTCCGCGCTCCTCCTCGGGGTGTGCCCAGTCCAGGCGGCTGACGACTATCCAGCCTCGACGAGGTCTCCGAGCCTGATTTGCATGTATACCCTAACCTCGCAGCCTTCTTCTACCGCACACTCAAGCCCGGCGTCCGTCCTCTGGATCCCGACCACAATGCTCTGCTCTCGCCCTCGGATGGAAAGGTGCTGCAATTTGGTCAGATCCAGGGCGGTGATATTGAGCAGGTCAAGGGCATGACCTACAGCATCGATGCTTTGCTCGGCAAGAACACGCCAACACCAAGCATAAGGTCCGGCACCAGCACGCCTGCGCCGGATGGTATCACGGCCCAAGAAAAACACAGGGATGCCGAGATCGTCAAGCAAGACGAGGAGTTTGCTCGTGTCAATGGCATCTCGTACACCTTGCCAAACCTGTTGACCGGCCCCGCCATGTCCCAGGACCAGAAAGGCCGCCCCGAAGATCAGTCCACTGCCGCGTCACCAACCTCTGTTTCTGAGGTCCGTGCCGATCTTGCCCTGGGCGAAAAGCCGTGGTATGATCTCTTGTCCCAGGACAACCCGACCTCGCTGTACTATGCCGTTATTTACCTCGCACCTGGCGACTACCACCGATTCCACTCGCCCACCAACTGGGTCGTTGAGCGCCGGCGACACTTTGCCGGCGAGCTGTACAGCGTGTCTCCGTACCTCCAACGCACCCTGCCTGGCCTATTTACGCTCAACGAGCGTGTGGTGCTGTTGGGCAGGTGGCGATGGGGCTTCTTTTCATATGTGCCCGTGGGCGCGACCAACGTCGGATCCATCAAGATCAACTTCGATCGTGAGCTGCGGACCAACAGCCTGACGACAGACACCGCGGCCGACAGGGCGGCTGAGGAGGCTGCTGCACGAGGAGAGCCGTATAGCGGATTTTCTGAGGCTGGCTACGCGATGGCGAGCCCCGTGCTCCAGGGACACGCACTGCGCCGCGGTGAGGAGATGGGAGGTTTCCAGCTGGGAAGCACCATCGTGCTGGTCTTTGAGGCTCCGCTTGGTCAAGAGGATGAGAGCGGCAAGCTCAGGGGCGGGTGGACCTGGAAGGTGGAGAAGGGGCAGAAGGTCAAAATGGGTCAAGCGCTAGGAAGGGTCGATGAGGAGTAGACCAGGAGGAATGCCATCTTCAAGACGATGTATAAACCAAGCTATTTGTACTTTTTGGTACCACTCACCCTGGGGAACGTGTACCCAGGTCATTCTCAAACAAGCAATATGGCTATTGAAGAAGCCGGAAGTAATGCCATCCTGATTTCGACACAAGCCACATCTTGTTGTCTCGATGCCCTTCACTGTCATTCAATAGTTATGACGAACTTCACCGGGTTGTCCGCTGCCCGACCATATCATCTATACTGTTGATCATATGGGTGTTGTCCACTGCCCTATCTAATGATAACGAGTATAATGACTTGTGGGAGGCACACGACTGACCAGATAGTTGTTACGGCTGTGCCAATACAGCCGCCGCATGTGATTTCAAACGCTGTCCACCCGAATTTTTATCGACACCCTCTCCTGGCTCTGCCCACGCAAGCTTCTCTTTGCAAGGGACTGGCCACCAACCTTGGAAGGTCAAGGTATGCGTGGCTGTAGAAGGATGGCTTCCTATGGATTGACCTCCTGCAAGAGCACCTCTTAAGCAATTAAACTCTCGAATTAATCATACAGAAATTGATGTAACATATCACCATTCTCAAGATATAGCGCTGTTGCTATCATGGTACCTGAGAAAGACAATGCACCGGCTCACCCAAGTCCACACACGCCTGCCTCATTAACACCTGCTGACCTTCATGATAGTGGCTCTTGCCTTTCATACTGCTGTTGGCGTTTCCGAACACGCCCTTGCGCCTTCTTCCCTAAATTACATGCAACTACTTCAACTCGAACTCGAGCACTGGGAGGTATTACCTCCTAGACTCAACAACTTCATCATTGAGCTGTTATCCACTGTGTGCTCTCGTTGAACAACATTCTCTGGTTATGCTCAACGCTATCATTCCACGAACAACGAAGTATTACCCAACACTTCAACAGCCGCTCGTAACCTCCGACCACTACTAGTATCATGAATAACTCCACGCCACCCAACGCGTCAGCAAAGTCCAGCCCATCTCCACACTTTTATCCCTTATCGTGGTTTTTGACCCCAGAAACTGGGTCCACCTGTCATCTTGGACGACCAGCGGGTGCAATCAATCAGACGGCCGGCCTCGGCACTGGCCACGGCGGCCGCAGTCACTCATCCAGCGAGACTTCGTTTGTCACATTTCACCAAATATTCAAGACCGGCAACGATGTCAATGATGACAACGGCGCGAATCCGTTCAAGTCTGGGCACTCGAGCTTCCGCTGCCAGTCCACCACGAGTTCCGACTCCTATGGCAGCAACGACGACGAGACACCCCGCAATAATTCACCAAGCAGGAATACAAGGCTCGTTGAGGCCAGGATCCGCCCAGTCACGCCGGCGGGCGCCCCTGGATCTGTCAACACGCTATGTTTCCCCCACAGGCCGAGAGTGCCACGGATTCGCACTTCGATTTCCAGTGACTCCAATTCCTTGGAGTCTGGCCCCAGCATCGAAACCCCCTCGCCGCCGATCTATGTGAGCCCTCTTTCCCAAGACGACAGGCCTGGGAGTAATGGACAATTTCAACCGGATGGCGTGGGAGAGTACGCGGGTGGTGAGTTGCTGAATTTCCCTGACCTACTGCTCAATGCCCAAAAGTTTGACGTTGACTGCCCACACCACATGGATAAGTGGCAAGCTGCTGACCAGCTCGCAGCCTCAATCAAGGGGGAGCGGTCATCCCGAATCCCGATGGAGGATCTCGATGAGGGGTCTGTGGTGAAAAAGTCCGTCACATCGAGGCTGCGCCAATTATTCCAATCGAAGGTGGGCAAAGGCATCGGTTTGGTGAAGCGACTTAAGAACCTGTTCAGATGAGGACTACAGTGTTGCTGTTGGAAACAATATTGTCTGTGATCAGGATGTGTTATTTGAGCCTCGACATCCAACAAGCGTCGTGACTGGGCTCCTCTACACTAGTCAATCGTAGTATGAACCAGCGAACTAGATTTCAATGAATAAATCAGGAATTCACTTGAACTGTCCCTTGAATACCTTGCCATTATTCATGTCTTCTTTAGAATAGTCTCCTCCGCAAGTCTGGCTGTGACGGATCCTTAAACATTAACAGATAACTTTGATGTTCTTAAACTTAATTAATTCGACCACTATATTCTTGAGTAGAAGAGAGAGCGGAGTAAGAGATTAAGGATGGGAGTAGACTGATGAATAACAGGAAAGGCTTGTAGGTGGCGTTTGGTCGAAATGTGCTTGCTCTCTTATCCTGGTTCCGGGGTCACTTGTAAGGAGAGGTGTCGGCTGAGGCACCTAGGCAGTGTGCCGGAGACGTTCGCCGAGGAACACCTTTCCAGCGACACTTTCCATGAGAAAACTTCCAGTTCCCTGAAGGAGCTTGTCACAGGGTATAACTTTTCACCTTGGGCTCTTTTTCTAGTCTTTCCCCACAGCGAAGTGTAGACTTGAGCTGGGATCCATTCTGATCGGCCAACTCCACTGCCTGCAAGTAGCCGCAGATGAAGCCTCGTAGGGCAGTTTCTGGAGTGAATTCGAAGGATTTAGACTCTGGTGGCAGGCCAGGGATTATTGCATGTTCGTTTTGGCTTCTTTCATCCTCAACTGCCGGATCCGAGCAAGGGTCGCTCTGCAGAAAGCCCTTGGACGCCAGCAGAGGGCAGTCCCCTGCAATCTTTTCGCCTTGTAACGCCTACTGAATCAAGTCATTATCATTGATATCTATATAAGGCTGTGGAAAAATACTTAGAAGGGCTAGCCTCTGGGGCAAGGTACCCACACGGCACACATCTTACGGGGGTGGGAACTCCTCGATCGAGCATGTTTCTTTCCCTTGCTATCAAAATACTTGGGTTTGTAGTTTGTGGCAAGGAAAGCATTTGATCATGCCCCTGGTCACATCAGCACCTAATGAAGGCCCCCAGACCCGTGGACGTGTACTCCGAATGCTCGCCCCCAGCTCTCGTTTAAATACCAGAGACCGGTCCCTGGGGATTCAGATTACACTGAAGAATAACAGGAGGAACTCAAACGATACGGTTGTGAAACAGCCCATCACAACCCTGCAGATGACTAGCTTTACCGGGAATGACTTCGTCTCGCACACCGACGCCGAACTGAGAAGGACAAATCTCGGGACAAGTCCTCGCTGGCCCCGAACAGCAAATCAAGTTCAACTTCTCCCGATCGAAAGCCCCCGCAGATCAAGGCGCCGCCACCTCTTACAACAAATGGGGGGGGAGGGCACACTCCCTGACGAGAAGCCCAGTGCCAGGTGTGGTAGCGATCATGCACGCCTGGGCCGAGCTCGATCACGAGACAAGCTCGTGTCGCCAAAGAAAGCTTCCCAAAGAGATCGAGGCAACCTCGTCACCGCGTCATCACTGGCCATTCAGATAATACCGGTTTCTTCCTAGGCGACGTTGAGGCTCAAAACGGCGGCGGCTATTGGAGAGATGGGCCAGGCCAGCAGTGGGGGTGTGGTGACACTGCCTGGCCGCAGCCCACCCCATGGCCCCCCCTTCTGTGTCACACACCTGGATGGTCATTCGCTGGTGAGGAGGGCTGCGGTGCGAGATAGGGTGGCTCGGCACTTGTGGGACGATGTGGTGTTGGCTTTGTGGCCCCCAACGCGGGTGTGCGCGACCAACGGTTCAATGACAGCAGAGGCGTGGGTGTCCAGGGGTAGTCGGTTGTTGGGAGAATGTGTGCAAATCATCTCCAATCGATGGCCCAGAAGGATTATTACTTGAGCAGGCTGGGTGTCCTCGCTCCGGGCGTTTGCTGTCCAGATTCAGCTGTGCTCCCTGCTCTGGTCAAGGTCTGTAGTAGCGCTGATGAATTCGTGATTTTTGGCAGTTTTTGGGGCCGGAGTGAAGTTAATGAGGGCGTGCTTAGATTTTGTGCGCTGTCACGTTCTATCTGTCCAGAATTATAATTTCAGAGGCATGCCGCGCAGGCTAGACAATTTCAATATAAGTACAGTGTATATAGCGAACGTGTGCCATGTACATGCGATCTAAACTGCTGACCGGGTATCTCAAGGATGAATAAGGTGGAGTCAGTTCCGTCCTTTTGCTTTATGAGTAACAATTTTACAATATTCCCAAGCGCCTCGCTTGCAAAGAAAAAAGAAAAGAAAAGTGACAATTCAACAATTACAGATATAAGAGAGGCCGCATGATGGGTATCAAAACATTTATCCACACAAAAGGTTCTTTCTCTTGACGCCACTCGCTGGGTTTCAAGCCCAGGGGCATCGACAGTAAAACGTATCGTGAAAGTGTGTCGCAGAACACACCTTCCACAACCCTCACATAGGAGGTAAAACAAATCAGATATGGGTTCATGATGTTGAAGACGAATTCGTGTAGGTTCCTTCGGTTGGGTCGCTCTGAAGGCCGGGCTTAACAGAGGAATCAGCCAAGACGGATGACCCTTCCGTACACTCTGATGTGACGGGCCCATTAAACCGCTCGGGTGGGAGTCGTGCCTGGTCATCCCTTGTCCAGTAGAAAAGAACATCCTGTTGCCATTGTTCAAAGTCAAGAATCGTTAAAGAAGACGACGAGACAAACAATGAGTAGAGAAGCTCCACTTCCACAGCAGAGGTCCTCAGTCGGTGCAGCAGCCAGCGGTTGATGAAATCAGTCTTGTCGGAATCCTTGGCGTCCTGGATCAAGTGCTCGATGAGATACTCTTTGGCGGCAGTTGCGAACATTTCCTGCTTGAATGGATATAGTATATCGCCATCCTTCAGGCTTACAGCCCTTCTCAATGCTGCCTTTGCCGTGATCGGGGGTTCCTCGATAAGATGCTTTGGACTGTAGAGCAGGACTCCGAAACGGGAGGTGAACAGTGGAAAGGCATCTTTGTCCTCGACCGGATCGGGACTGAGAAAGATGTCGTCGCCAAGATCGCGCTCAAATCTGTAAGCTTCGTGCAGAGGCGCGTGCTTGGGAAATACACCTCGGTTTCGACACATTTGTCGAAGCCGTTCCACATCCACCTGAAGCTTCTCCATCTCAGAAATGCTTTCTTGCATATGAAGACCGAAGTCTTTCAGAAATGTCAAATCCTGGGTCTCGAGCCGCCTGTCATTGGGTGGGCGGTAATCTTGCGCAAGCTTCAGATGATCCTGCTCTCGTTCGATCGATTCTTTGCGGAAGAGAAGATCTCGGTGGTGTTCCTCGGCTAGCTGGAGATAGCCGACCTCTGAAATGAACTTTTTGTAGAGTGGGTGGAAGTCCTCGGGGCCCTCTGCGCCAATGCCAAGGAGTGAAGTAGGGAGAGGAGAAGAGGAACGGCGTTTCGTGGGCTCTGGAGCCTTCGCGTTGGTCGCGATTTTGGCATCCGGACGGAGTTCATCGATGAGTGACTTTTCTTGACCGTTCAGTTCATCCTCAGCGTATCCTAAATTTTCTTCCATCAATTCCAAGGTGGTTTCCACATCTTGACATTTATCCCGTGCCTTTTGCATGCATTCAAAGAGCTCCCGCAGACGAGAATGCGACGTAGTGAGTGAACTTGTAGCTTTGGTGGACACCAGGAGAGGGCGCAAAAAGGACATGAAGGAATTGTCAGCAGAGTCCTTGCGCAAGCGTCTTCTTTGTGTCTTCCGTCTCAAACGCAAGATGTCCTCACGCATTCCACGGACCTCGTCCCTCTTGGTCTCGAGCTTCTTCCATTTAGCCTCTAAGGTTTCAAATCTCTGTATTTCGAAAAAAGATCTGTTCCCATCCTCAGAGGGGTATTGTGACCTTGTTCCAAGCTTTGGTGGAACGGTAGGTATGGAAGGCACGCCGATGTGGAGGTGAGACCCGGTAGTGGACGTCGAGGATTCGTAACTGGCGGAGCTGCAGTCATCGCTGGAGGACGACCCTGACCCATATTCAACCCCTTTCTGGAAAGCAGGGCGGTTTGCACCTGGACCAGCAAGGCCGGGGTGGACAGCTGTGGGCTGCCCTTGGTGCAGATACGGGTGGGAGGTTGAAGGCAGGGAAGAGCGCCTACAAGAGCTCAGCGGCGCCTTTTCTGACAAGTCTTGTGTCTGGGATGGAGTCACGGTGCCAACAGAAAGAGTCAGTCGTCGTGGCAGCTGTGAAAGTCCGGGCAGCCACCGAGAGGGCTCGTTGTCTTCCATGTGACGTAGGGCACATGCTCCTGGTCCGAGCAAGTACTTGGGCAGGTACGGATAGGCTGGTGTCCTCGGACGTGTGGAGACAGATAAAAAGGCCACGGGATGTGTGATTACATCCGGAGACGCGATGGAAGGCGGGAGGTGGGCCAGAAAACGGACGGCTATTTTGTTTTCTTCTGCTTGGTGTCGTTGGCTGCGAGGCAACCGGAGTGCTTAACATCAAACACGCTGTTTGTTGTCCAAGTTACAAAGCGGCGGCAGGCGAGGTTCCAGCTGGAGAGAGGGACGGGCCGCCCGCCTGAAAGCTAAAAATATGGAGGGGGTGCCCCTGTATCAGTCCTGCCTGGCAAGGATGCAGCCATCCCGCGGCAGGTGCAAGACAGCAGGGAAGGAAAGGATGAGGATGTGCCACAGAAATTAGCCCACCTTGCCCACGTTCCCGTCAATCAAGACGCCCGAAGCTCCAATCAACACGGCTGGCAGCCCACCTGAAGGCTTGATGGTTAGCCGTTGTGCGACCCACGCAGCCACGGCGGGCTGGCTGGCTGGCTGGGCGGGCTCTGGAGCCAGCGTCCTGTTTGACCGGCTATAAGAGCATCCCTGCCCATGACACCATGCATACAGCGTACAGTACAGCCCTTACTGATTCAGCACAAGATGCATTTGCACAGTTCGTCGGGGTCGCATCGACACCGACAGACCGCATACTCCTTCCACTCGATGACCTGCTTGGGACAGACCCTGGCCTATATCGCCGTGGGATAAAATGCAGGTTATCGTACACAAGATGCGAGATGGAGGGGCGGATGGCCAGATTTCCTGCCGGCCTGCCAGCCCCCTGGGTGCTCCCTCTGCCTCTCTCTCTCCCTCCACTCGAATACGCGCGCAGAGTTGCACAATATTTGCAATGGAACACAACGCAGCCAGAGCCAGCCCAATGCAGTTCCGACGAATTTACCGGGTTGGCGTCGCCACACTACTTTGTCTCTCGCCGTCTTGCTCGCTCTCCCTCCCTCCCTATTTCTCCTCTCTTCTTCCAGACCCTCACGGTTGCTTGGCATTCTCTCAGACATACGAGACCTGGTGTTCGTGTCTTGGGCTCCTCCAGCTGGTCGTCGCCATGGAGTGACGAGTTGTTCAAGGCGCCGGCCGGGGCGACAGGGCTGCCCCTCTTCTCGTTGTCGCTTATCTCGAGGGTCGAGGGTCGAGGGTGCGGTGGTCCCAGATCCCGGGCCAACTAATGATATCCCATGTCGTTCTCGTTGTGGATGTCACAGGATTGGAGGCTTCATGGGCGCTTTGCTTCGGCCACCCACCCCCATCCACCACCCACAGCCGTCCACCCGGCACCACTATCCAGCCGTGGGACGGCAGGACGGCAGGATAGGCCCTTGACCCTCAACCGTCTCCGCTTCTCCCGCACAGGGTGTGTGCTCCGAGCCCTTAGATTGTCCGCAAATTCATCCCACGAAGCTATTGGCTGCCGCTGGATCACGCGTCCGCGCGGGACTGTAAGAGGGTGGGGTTAGGTGTTGCGCAGTGCTTCACAGTCACAAGCAAAGTCAAGTCCCGGATGTGCTCCACAGCATGCATTGCGCTTGGCCCGGCTTCTTTCCGGCCTAGCCTCAAGCCTCTGAGGAAGAGAGATATGCTCCATGAGCTCACTTCCGCCACAGACAGCGCATCCGTTACGCCGGCCCTGCTGCCCTCTTGTGCCCTCTTGTGCCCTCCTGCTGGTGCGATGCTTGCTCGTGGTGATGTTGCCGCAGATCCTGCCGCGACACCACACAATGTCTGTGGCCGCAGGCCACTTCCCTGACCGGTGAGTTTGCGGCTCAAAATCCCCCCTCGCATGTCCAAGACACACCACCCAGCATATCAATGAGACGTTGGGACCCACTCCACCTGTGGGCTTCTCTGCGGATGCCAGACTAGCAGATCACCACGGGTCCCACTCCGTTCCTGATCTGGGGTCATTAACCCCTCAAAATTCCTCTATGCTGTCTTTTGGTTCTGCCTGCGTCTACCTGTGCCTACCTGTGCCTACCCGTATCTGCCTGCTCCACCACAGTACTGCCCTGGCAGCTACCATCTCTTCTCTCTTGTGTCACCTGGTCATCCATCTCTCGCTAGTCACGGCCCGGGCGACGAAGATGTGATCATGGATGACTCTGTCACTTGGAACTATGACAATCCCGTTTACGATCAACAAAAGGGTCGCTGGTATTATGAGGGCAGGAGGCCTGGTGCGCGCATGACTCCATAATCTCGTCCTTCCCCTCGTGTGACATGCTTCATGCCCTAATCCTCACCACTTTCAGATGGTTCAAGAGTCCGGAAGTATCCTCCGGTTGGTGATAGTCAGACGACCCACCAGGAAACCAGGAGTACTTACCAGTTGACTCCTCGTAACGATGCTTCAGCTCTTGCGGCGGGCATGCAGGCTATGAGCATCCAGCCTGTGGGGTCCTACGATGGCGACGCTCAACACTACACAACTGTGCAGCCTGGTGGATACAGCCCAGGTACGCTCTCTTCTTCCCAAGTCCTACCCGAGCCGTGGCTACTCAGCACGAGATTGCTCATAGACTGAATTAGCGACCTCAAGCCAAGCACATACTTGGTCAGAACATCGGCCCTCAGTATATGCAACAGCGGGTGCAACCACTACGACGGAATCCGGGACTGGGGTGCAGCAGAGTGGCCCTGACGTGTACTCCCACAGCCCTGGCACCTCCACTAAAGATACCCGAGCGGACACACTCCACCATGACAGCCAGGCTCACGGGAATTATGCAACAGGACTCTCGAGTGGATCGAGTTACCAACACTATGAAGAGGTGAAGAGGGACCCGGTATCTTCCTACCCATCACCCTCCACGTCATCATCCGTAAACCCACTCTACGGTGCGCTCGGTGGCAATGAGATGCAGTACAATGATGGATACGGCGCTCAGCCTTCTGCGACAAGTAAGGGCGCCTTCTGCCACCACGGTAAACGTCGCGAGCTAATACGGTCTCAGTGGACTCCGCCTATGCAGACACCAGGAGCTCGGACAGGTCAAGAAAGCACAAGCATAGCAGTAAAGGCAAAGGGAAGGTCCGCGCGGACATGGATCCATATGGCGATGCAAGCGCGGGCAAGCCGATGGCATACAATGTGCCAACACCTAGCAGTGGCAGCACCGCACAAGGCGATTACTACTCAAACTACCCCAGCTACGATTCCGCCCCTGGACAGCCTTACCGGACCAGTGCTTATCCAGGACAAAGCGACTACGGAGGACATGCACCTGGCCAAGGTAAGTTTCTAGTTTTGCCGATTAACAGACGGTGAAACTTATTTGAGCCCACACAAGAGTCGCGATACGGCACCAGTCCTATTAGCACATCATCCTCTGCCCCGAGAAACTTCGGCAATCTTGCCGTTGAAGCCACGGTTGGAAGCACCGAAAGGGACTTTGAGTCTTACACCCGAGGTCTGTACGAGCAAGGGGGCGGAGGCGGGGACTCGTCGACAGGCTGTAAGTCATCACCGCTAGCAATGTCGATGCGTAGATATTAAGGACTTCACAGACCGAGGCTCGGTATACCAGGCTACAGCTGAGGGCGCCCAGGCACCGTCTAAGAGTCATTCGAAGAAGTCAGACGTCACCAGTGGCATGCAAACAAATGCAGAATATCTGGACGGCAGTAGGTCGACAAGTGCGCTGGAACTGGGGAGCAAGTCAAGATCGACTAACATTCTCAGGGTATCAAGTTCAGCCTTCGATGAAGTTCGAGCCGGGAAATGTGAGACCGTAACACGTTTCCTTATATCTGCATATCTCTGCTAAACTATGATTATTAGGTCTTCAAAGTGATGTGGTCCGAGCCAAAAGGAGGGACCATTCCCGGTGGAGGCAGCAGGTTTTCGGACACCCTTTTGCAGGACCATATGAGTGGGGTGTGGACGGGTTTCCGTCGCTTCATTGTCATCAGAAACGGCGAAGGACATTGCAACTGCGTGTAAGATGCACTCTTTCCACCAGTCTGTCTTGCAAAGGGTAAATGCTGAATTATGCAACAGACCTATCTTGACGTACGGAAAGCTGGGGTGCCTGAAAAATGGCGTCAAGCCACATCACCACGGAATTGTCTACGAAAAGGGCTCGCAGCCAATCAGACTGCCGAAAGAGCCCGACCTCAGATTCAGGCCGATCTGTATGGAGATGAATCCCGGCGAGCACATCTCGGAGGAGTCAAGGGTCAACTACTCAAAGCTGGTGACTGTCGAGCACAACGTCAAGGTGCTTTTCGTTGGCAACGTTCTTTACGAGGACTGGCCCATCGTGCAGCAGGCTGTTGATGAGTGCTGGGATTCAAAGAAAACGCACAGGTCTGAACACTCCGGCCATCGAAGTGGTCATCGAAAAAAGAGATAAAGGCAGTGTGCTCCGGGCCCCGACGGGCGACGGCTGTCGGACACTGCGCTATACCGAAGCGATTCTTCTTCGAACGCCCAGTCGATCCAACACGAACGTCGACTCAGCTCGGGACGAATTTTCTGACAATACGTTCTTCGAGGGTGCTGCACGACACCTCCTTCATACACGTTTATGGAGGGTTAAGCACGGCACTCGGACTGGCAACTTGCGTAGGGTGATATTTTCTTGTTTGGTTCATGATTCTGAAGTACGAATTCTGCTGGCCAGAACTGGCATTGATGGTTTCCCCCACAGACAGCACAGTAAAGTTGTGCGATTGACGTTCATGGGCAGAATGGTACACGGCAGTAATGCCTACTCGGCAGCCGTGACAATGATGACGACAGAGACGCAGGAAGCGTCACTTGTTTTGTTGCTCTGATTTGTATTCATCTTTTCACATGCCCTTCGTGTGGAGTTGAACAGTATCCAACACCAAGACTTGCAAGTTCAGCCTGAGGATGTCTACTCATGTGTAACGAGAAATTTGGTGGTAGCGATCTGGGTGCAGACAGCCTTTGCTCTTTTCTTCTGGGATATGCGCTTACTGCGCCTGACAATCAATCGCAGATGTCGCAGATGGGTGGCGAGGCGGTCTTTGGATCGACCACTGTCTTGCTTGGGAGATCGACGTTCAGGCTTACCGATGCCTGCAGCCTAGACCGAAACGCAAATAATCCATAGCCTTGTAACGCCTGGGCGGAACGAAGTCGAGAAACCAGGCCTTTCTGAAAAGTTGGCGCAGGCCCAACGAGCGATGCTGACCTTAATGGCCGGTCGCATGTGAAAGTCGCCAAAGCCAAGTCTAGACCTGCTAGTCAGAGTGGGTGCTTTTGCTCGGGTATTTCTCCAGGGGTCTGGGCCGGGAGCCAATAAAAAGTCGATACAAGGAAAAAAACGGCAATCCGCCCCATGTCAGCTTGTGATGGATGCATCCCCACTGCGGCTCTTGCCTTGGGCCTCCCCACCCACGTAGGCCTACGAAGTAGACTAAATACAGTGTAGGTACCGCCAGTACGGAGTGCTGCGTCCACATGACTTTGACCTGGGGTTGGTTGGGGTGACTGGTAATGATGGTAACAGGCAAACTGTTTTGTCTAAAAAAGACAATTGCTATGGGATTGCCCGTTTACCAAGGAGAACAGCCCGACGTGTACAGCATTGTTTGATCCTTGTATGCAGGTGCCCGTCTTCACTTCTTCGACGGACGTGCTAGGTGGTAAGAGTAACTGCGTTTCCTAGTGGGGCCCGTGCCACTGGAACCGGGTGTCGCTTGGGCCACCGTCACCTCCACCTCCGCCCCCAACTCCGTCATAACAACTGCAAATCATCGGCGCAGGCAAGTCACTGCCCTTGCCTTCAACATCCCACCTTATTACTTCAACAACCCAAACCTCGCCCAGCGGTCGCAGTAGGAACCCCTCCACATTGCCCTCCTACTCAAAACCTACCAGCTGGTCCAAGAGCTAGCCACCCCGTTGCCTAAAACCACGCGCCGTTACGTGCTCTTGGTCTTCCTCCTCGCCCCCAGCATCATCACGTGTCTTTCGTTCTGCTTCTCCTGCGCGACATGCATTCTAAACATTTGCGACGAAAATTCTTTCAGACCTAAACCGCCAGTGGTTGCGCTGTGCCTGGCACCTTGCCAGCAGACACGCACGCCACAAGCGACGGTCGCAGGTCTCACCATCTGCGCATCTCCGCCCCGCATCGCCCTGTGAATGCGCACGAGAAACCAAAACGGGGCCCCCGACTTGGCTCACTAGCTCTTCAGCTTCAGTTCAACAAGAGCAGTCTCAGGAGCCCTGCCCTCCCTTGCATTTCTACTGTCGTGCTCTCTAGCGCGACCAGCGAACAATGTCCGGCCACTCCAGTCCATCCCCACCACCAGCTAAGCGCCGCAGGATGTCACCGAGTCCGCCCGCCTCAAGTTCAGCCTCGAGTATCCCCGTACCCGAGACTTCTGGCTCTGTCCCCAGCACAACCACCAATGCTGGGCCAGATCCCATGATCTCTGCTTCTACCATGCCTGAAGACGAAATTACCGACGACATCCCGACGGATGCCTTGCTCGGTCACCCTCAGAATGAGGTATCCCGTGCCACATGGCCGCTCGATGCCGTGCCCGTTGAGATCTTCAACCTGATCATTCGGTACCTCAATCGGAAGGATGTTCAGGCAATGCGACTAGTCTCCCGCGAGTTCGACTCCAAGCTTGCCGATTCTTTTTTCCGAAATGTCGTGGTTCCATTTCGTCCAGAATTTGAAGCACTCTACGGGACTTTGGACGTTGATCTGGGATTCTCGCCGGAGCAACAAAAGTATGGCTTGGTGTTGAAGAAGAGAACTGACGAATCCTCCGCGATCGAGGCCGGCAACGACAGCAAAGCTCGGGACAATCCCACGGCGATGGGTGACGAGTCTCTGCTCTCTGATGGGTACCGAGTCTTTGAGCAATTCGGTCCGACTCATATTCACAAGTTCGCTCTGGCTCTCGAACTGGACGAGCTGGATTTGGCTTGCCCGCCTGTCAAGCTCAATCAAGAAATTGTTCCCGCTCCGTGGGGTCTTTATCGTTGGCCTATCGCAGAGTACCAGCGCTATGCTCAACTAGAGGGCATAGAGAAACTTGCGGACGAGACCGGGCACATGAAGAGGGCTTTTCAGTCACTCCGAGTCGTCAGCGAGATTGGCCTCTCTTGCGATGCTGGTCTAGGTTACCTACAGGGCCCAGACACTAATGCATTGTGTCGTCGTCTTCAACCCCCAGTCTTCCGACCGCCCATCTACGACGGTGCTGAGGCCAACCCAGAAGATCAATTAGATGAGGATAGCGATCGGTCCATGGGTCTCATCATTTTGAAACATATGGCTATGAACGCAGGTTATGATTCCAACGAGTGGCCCAGGGCTGTCCTTCGCCTCCTCGAGGACGAAGGCCGTGCAGTCCGGTGGGTCGAACACGTCTCTGCTTCTGGAGCGCCCTCTCATAAGAAGACGCCGCTCTTTGAGACAACTAAAGACACCACAAAGGAGAAGTTGATTGACATCATCGAGCGCCTGCTTGGCGAGGACCCCCAGAGCGACAAGGCAACGGGCGCAGCTCACGCGCAGGCATGCGGTCTCGTCCCCAACAGCCTCACAGCCTCCCAGGTTGAGATGCTGCTGGAACTCGAGTGGGCTCACCGAGCTCTCATGGACTCCTACGTCATTGCTGTGATGGATAACAAGGACTCATTCCAGGCCCTCAACACACTGACGATCGCACGCTGCTCAGGTCAGCATGTTCCTTCCTTGATGAAGGAAGATTTTTGGGAGGCCATGACCTGCCTGAAGTCGTTCAACCTTGGCGTGATTCCAGACTGGCGCCGGCTCCACAAAGACGACACAGGTGGTGTTTCCCAGCGCCGCATCAGTCCGATCGACAGCTATGGAGCTGTCTTCAGCCTACTGCACAACTTCGTCGGCGAGCAGGAGAACATCAAGCACGTGTCCTTTCAATGGATCTCTGGCGGCGAGTTTGCCATAGGGAAGAGTCAGCGTGACCGCTACATCATGCCTGCTCCTGTGCTTTCAAACGCTGCCAACATGACCGACTTGCAACATGAATTTGGCGAAAATGATGTCATCAGCTTACCTTATGTCGACAAGCTCTCTCTGAAGAACTGTTGGTTTACACCCCATGTGTTTCTAAATGTCGTCAAGAGGTTGTCGAGAGAGACGCTGAGAGATCTCGAGCTCGAGTCTGTTTCTCTGACAGGGCCCCCTTCAAAGGCCAACGAAGCCAGCGTGCATCCCGGCGCACAGGGAAAGCCGTTGCACTGGCCTTGGCCTCTTTGTGCCGGAGCGGAACCTGGAAGTTGGTTCCAACTTCGGCGAACGGCTGACAACAACCAGAATAACCAAATCAACAATGCCCCCGCTCCTAATGTCGCCTTCCCTGCCCCGCCCCCTGGAGCTGGCCTGCCTGCTGCAGGTGCTTTTACTGCCCACCAGACAATTCACTTTAACAACCACGCATGGATCGCCCAGCATTCATCTGGCGCTGTCGCCATCAATGAGACTTCAGCTCCTGCGCAGCAGTCTACACAAACTTCGGGCATCTCTCTGTGGCGTTGCTTCTCTTGGCCACATATCCTTGCCAGCCTAAACATGTCCCCGGAAGCAGTTCACTCCCACCTTAAAGGCGTGGACCCGGAGGACAAGCACTACCACAAAATGAAGACGCATGAGCAGTATTTCTCCAGAATATTCAACCATGTTCATGAGAACCGCGGTGAAACCGATCGGTTGAAAACGATCACGCTCAAGTCTTGTGGTTATGCCCTCATCGATGCACCGCACATTAGCAACTGGAGGATCATTCCGAGCGAGCCACTGCTGGTGCAGCACGACCCCGATCTTCTAGGTCAACTGAAAGAGCTTGATAGTCAGATGCTGATCTGCAACGATGGTCTTCTCGGCAAGACTCTCAATTACATCCCGGAAGCGGAGCAGCGGATTCTGAGCCGGATTTTTGGACTTGGGTTCGGCTGGGATGATCTCTACGACGAGATCGTCACGCAGATCGCCGTCGTGGATGGCAACCCGAGTCCTGGCCTCGGTCGTTTCCACGGCAATGTGAGCAGTTCTGCCGAGATGGAGGCTATCAGTCTCAAGTCCAAGGGAAAGCAAATAGCAGTGAGCCACAGTACTTAGGACGATGTAACTCCTGCAGAGCAAGATCAAATGGACAGCAGCGACCATGATAGCGGCCCGGATGGCGGCCCGGATGGTAGCCTGGATGGCAGCCTGGATGGTGCGTGGGATCTTGGCCCGGACACCGGCGGCAGTCTTGAATGGAGCTCTGAGGAAGCGATGTACTGGTTTTGCCGTCGCCTGGATTCTCGAAGCGTTCCAGCACCAAACGGAGGTCTGTCGGCGGAGAATTTGGCGAGAATTGACAACGCAGGTCCGTCACAGTCCCATAACTTGCTCGATTTGAGCCACACCAGCTCGGATGGCAGACCTCTCCAGGAAAGCGAGCAGATGACCATCAGATTGCGAGGCCACCGGAGCCCGAGCAGCGTCGTATCAGAGAGTGGTCTTGATCGGGAGAGCGAGCAGGAGGCCACAGGGCCGCGAGGCCACCGCAGCCAGAGCATCTAGCGACAAGATGCGCTGCAGTATGGTCATGTGCAAACCAGTGAGCAGCCGGATGTTCCTTGCACGGACGATCCTTCTTGACCTGCTCTACCTCAGATGCCGCTTCTGAAACACAGAATTGTGGTGACAGTCTGTCACATGAAGAAATGCCGAACCATGCAATGGATAAGAAGTAAAAAAAAAGGACGAAACGGACTGGTGGAAACGAAAAGCATTCATTGGAAGTCAGCTGCATTCTTGTCACTCGATGTATCAACACGCAAGCATTATTTTTCTCGTCTGTCCTGTCGGTAGGAGGCGAGGCAATTTGGGCCAACAGGTTGGGCGATTCGCCTGATACCGAGCCAGCCAGGAAAGAAAACCAGACAATGATATTGACATTGTCTTTCGCATCGCCTTGTATCAGGCGTATACTCATCAAAACAAGGAGGTAGGGAAAGGGGAGAAGAGGAAATTGTATCAGTCGGACATAGTGGCTAGCTGAAAGGTCCAAGGTGAGAGGTCCAAGTGATAGCACTGCCAAACAAAAAATGTAAAAACCATTGTAACTTATTCTTGTCCTCATCGTGGAAGTCTCATTTACCTCACAACCGCCCGCAACCCCAACTCTTAAGAGCCCGTAGGAGGGAAACCCGCAGGAGGGAAGGCTGTAGGATGGTGCCCCACATGGAGAATGCCCCATGGGATGAATCCCTGTAGAGCATTACTCCCCAAGAGAGTATCGTATGGGAGGGTATCCTGTGGTGGGTGGGGAGAGGAATACCTGTCCACTTGCCTGCAACTGACATGTGCGAGTGCTGGATATTGCGATTCAGTGGTCACATGTACTCATTGACTTACCTTGTCACGCTCAACCTGGTGGTTTCTGAAGTACAGTCACATGTAGTTTGTTCACAAATCGACCATCTCTATTCGCTCCACAACGCACTTCTGTCCGGCCTTGGGTCTATTTGCCTTGAGGCGGCCGGTAGTTGGTATGGGGTCTTAGACCTCTACCCAACACACGCACACGCCATGTTGTGTCCGGGGGGCCGGCTCCTTCTTCACTACCGCGACCAAGATTTCGCAGGATGTCTTTCTCGGTATTCGGGGAATTCATTCATGATTTATCCGTTTTTGGATATGTTTTTTTTTCGCATGCCAGACCGTTACTGCCCGAAATGCCATGCCTCAATACACCGGTCCCAGAAAAAGCGAAGCCCGTCCCTTTGCACAAAAGCCCATTTGCTGGCTCGTGAAAAAAGCCCATCAAACCATCACAACACCACCGAATCGGGTAAATTAGGCGGAGGTAAGGGCCTTGCGAACGCGCGCACCACGCTGTCTCGAGGTGAGGCGCTCCTCACGACCGACAACAGCCTCGGACTTCTGGACGACCTCCTCGGCCTCGGTAAGGATGAGCTCGATGTGGCAGGGGTTGGACATGTAAGGGTTGATCTAGATCAGACAGGGTCAGAATGCAAGTCCCGCACTGGTTTGGCACTGATGGCCTGCCTCGGTCGAGGCTGCAGGTGAAGACATACACGACCGTGGGCACGGTAAGTTCGTCGGCGCTGCTTGGGGGCCTGGTTGACTTGGATGTGCTTGACGACCAGGGCGCTGGTGTCGAGACCCTTGGCGTCGGCGTTGGACTCAGCGTTCTTCAGGAGCTGCAGGAGGAACTCGGCGGACTTGACGGGCCAGCGGGCACGGGAGACACCCCACTGCTTGCCTGTATATCGTAATCATGTCAGCCTTATATCCATTTGCGACGATGACCGTGTCGTTGGCTCGACTGGCTCCCTGCCCAAATGACAAGCATCTCATCAAAGTGTGCCGTAACCCCAAACCCCGAAGCCTTGCTCTTGGGGGACCACTCCAGTGCCAGTCCTCGAACAATCCAATGTCGCCAATAACGTTGTCGTGGGTCTGCAGAATCGCTCGTACCTTGCGAAGCACGGCCGATGGAGCCAGCGTAGCGGCGGAAGGGGACAATCTCCTTCTTCTCCTTGACGTTCTCAAGGAACTTGACGGCGCGCTGCAGCTTCCAGCCGTTGATGGCCTGGGCGGTCTCGCGGGTGTTCTTGAAAGAAACACGGAGGTAGGCACCGCGGGCCTTGGCCGACTTGGAGGGCGCGATCTCGGTGGCAGCGTAGCGAACCTGTTGGGGGAGAGAAACCGGTCAATTGTCATGAACTTCAAGAGGTCGCATCGCCCATGTGCCGCCCGCTCCCGTCTTGCCCCATCGCAATTCCTCCCAGCTGCCCGCAGGGTTCCAAACTTTCGGCAGCCCGGGGTGCTGGGGGGCAATCGGCAATTCGGTCGTTTTTGGGTCTCGAAACTCGGTATGCACTCACCATCTTGACGGTGTTGATGTGGAGATGGTGTCGTCGTCGTTGGGTGTTGGATGGCTCTCTACGGGATCTGGCTGGCTGGGAAGTTTTTTGCTGGTCCAAGGGCGAGCCGCTCCTTCCCAATCAGACTGTGGGCAGCCCGGGGAAATCATTTTGCGCTCCAACCAATCATACCAGCCGCTGCTGCCCCGCCGAGGCAGGAGCTCCAACTCGCGCTAGGCGGGGGTACTCCGTACCTTGGTACTCGCCAGACCCTGGCCTCGAAATTTTTCCAACTTTTTTTTTGCAGCAGCAAAAGCTCTTTGCGTCGGCCGCACCAGCTGTGACTGCATACACTCGACAACGCCTCACCTTAACCACGGGCCATTAAATTCCTGCCCCCGTCGCAGTCACGCAGAGGTCGATTCGATCGTTGCGGCTCAAATTTGATTACTTTTCATCAGTTACATAGGTATCACCTTGCATCATGGGTTTTGCCCCGAGAGGACGTGGTGGTGGTGGTGACCGCGGAGGCCGTGGAGGCGGCTTCCGTGGAGGCGGTGATCGCGGCCGCGGTGGTGGCCGGGGCGGCGGTGGCTTCCGAGGTAAGCTGTCTGGAGTCTCCATCGACCTCTAGACAACTCGATTAACCAATTCGTCGCAGGTGGCCGTGGCGGTGGAGGTGACCGTGGACGTGGTGGACGCGGTGGCCGAGGTGCGCCGCGGGGAGGTGGTCGCGGCGGCCGTGGCGGCGCAGCTGGCGGCCCCAAGGGTGGAAAGAAGATGATTGTGGTATGCATCCCCCCCAGGAGTCAACGAGCAAGCTCGCAAATTTCCGACACAGTGCTCACACATGCGATGTTCAGGAGCCCCACCGTCACAAGGGTGTCTTCGTCGTGCGCGGCGGCAAGGAAGATCTGCTGGCAACCGCCAACCTTACCCCCGGCGAGTCCGTCTACAACGAGAAGCGTGTTGCGATTGAGAATGCCAAGAGCGAGGATGGCACCGCCACCAAGACCGAATACCGTGTCTGGAACCCTTTCCGATCGAAGCTGGCTGCCGGTATCCTGGGTGGTCTCGAGTCCATCTACATCAAGCCCGGCTCCAAGGCCCTGTACCTCGGTGCCGCCTCTGGAACCTCCGTCTCTCACGTCGCCGACATTGTTGGACCTACCGGAACTGTCTACGCCGTTGAGTTCTCTCACCGCTCTGGCCGTGACCTGATCAACATGGCCACCCGCCGCACAAACGTCGTCCCCATCGTCGAGGATGCCCGTCAACCCCTGAAGTACCGGATGCTTGTTGACATGGTCGACTTCATCTTTGCCGAGTAAGCTGCCACCGCATGAACCTCGAAACTGGGCTTCAAGACTAATTTACCTTCCTTTCTAGCGTTGCGCAACCCGACCAAGCTCGTATCGTTGCCCTGAATGCTAAGCTCTTCCTGAAGCAAGGTGGTGGCATGCTCATCTCCATCAAGGCAAACTGCATTGACTCAACCGCACCACCGGAGCAAGTCTTCGCCCAGGAAGTCGAGAAGCTGAGGTCCGAGAAGTTCTTCCCCAAGGAGCAGCTTACTCTGGAGCCTTACGAGAGAGATCACGCTGTAAGTCATGCATTGCATCCCTGTCATCCAAACGCTGGATGAACCCCCAAATTCCTTAACATGACTCATACCGAGCAAATCCACTGACAACAATATCTAGATGGTGTCGGCAGTTTACAGGCAGAAGGAGTTTGTGCCGTGAGCTAATGATCATCGAGCTTAAAAATGCTCTCTTCTATTGCAATTTGATGGTTAAGGGTGTTCTGTCGGTTGGATGGCTTTTCTCTCTTCGATTCGGCACGGGCGAAAGACGGCGTTCATGGGCATCATCTATCAGGCTTTTTACGTGTAATGCAACACGTGTGTTCTACTACGTTCTCCGAAGGTACGGTAGGCCGAAAACTTCGAGATATCCCGTGGGCTCGAGCGGCTCATCGCCCAAGTGTTGTTACGTGTCCCAGCAGCTCGGCTCTTAGGCCGTGCGGCCTTGTCATGCCTTAGGGAGGGCGCCGAGACTCATGCCTCGAAGTACAAGTTATTCGTACGAGAGGACCCGAAAGGGCGAACATCGCCCATCAGCACCAGAGAAAAGCCACCTGAATAAGCCCTAGAGCGCCGCGCGAAGTGAGAGGCAGCCCTGGGGGGAGAACTTGTGTTCCAAGTATCTGGGCACCTGCTGTGTGAGATCATGAGCATTATTTGATAGTTACGACATTCGGAGACCATGACACCGGGTACTACAGCAGGCCGCATAACATATCACCTCATCAAGTCATGCTCATTCAACGAGGACTCATTAAGTGGAGCCGTGCACGTCGGCCTAATGTGCTGAAAAGATTGTCAGTAGTTACATTCCTGATAGCTCCATCCAGTTACACGATTCAGTCATCGCTGCCAGGTCATATTGAGGCTATGAGAAGCGTTCGAAATGCGTGCTCAGCGGCGGAAAGAGGATGGCCCCGGGCGCACCGGCTACCTGTGAACAAGATCTCCATATCCCAAATCAATACCCCGTGCCATGCATTCCCTGGATCCGCCACTCTCAAGTCTCATATGTCTCTCCTATGCATAGAAATGCATCCTTCCTTCGCGGGGTCTGCATTGTCGCCGTCTGCTCACTCAGCAAATGCTGTTGGTTCCTGCCCAGCCCGATAATGGGAATGTTGTCAAGGCCTTACTCTAGTCAAGCGCCTCTCGTCGGCTGCGATTTTAGAATACCACAACTCAGTTAGGATACATGGCGACAGGCCGTCCGAAACCCCCATTCCACGGAGGCTGAATGGGCTGTGGCGCCGGCAGTGGTACCTGGGATGGCGCCCCATGCCTTGGCTCTTGTACGCCCATGTTCTCGGGAATCGCGGCCAGGGTGTGGAGGGACTGAAGGTTTGTGCCAGACAGTGCCGGAAGTCGTGCGTTCATGCGCTGGGGGAAGTCCGGCCCTGGACCGAGGAGAGAAAACGGGCTGGAACCGGCCGAGCTCTGGCTGGCTGTGCCCTCAAACTGTCCCGCATATGCGCCGAAGGGAAGCAGGTTGCTTGTACACCCTGGCAGGATGGACGTGGCTGTTCTCGCTTCACCCTCTGTCCAAGGGTGATGCTGTCGACTGCAGCGCCGGTATCCCTCGGGTATGATTCTCTCCGGCGCAGGCTCGCACTCCATGTGGTCAGGTGAGGCGCCGACGGCGTAGGCCCAGTCGCCGATGGCGTCCTCCCCGGTCTTGAGGATCTCGAGCAGGTAGCTGTGGAGCTGGCGGTTCAGGCGGGAGCACTTGTCGCACCACGGCTCTGCCTGTGCTGTCGATGCCATGGAGATGATGCTCAGCCGCTTGTTGTTAACGTTGTTGTTGTTGTTGTTGCCCTTGGCCCTCGTCCTCCTGCTGACTGGAGTGTTTGCTCCGCCTCTTGGTCTGCCGCCACGGGTGCCTCCTGTTGGCGGCGGAGGTGAGTTTTTGCCGACCCTGTTTCGTCTGTCGGGCTCGTGCTTTGGTCTGAAGTTGGAGTCCTTCATTTCAATGTCGCCCCCATGATTAGTTACATTTTGTGACTTGAAGCGGCCGCCTCGGCCCCTGCCTCTGGACATGATGATTTCAGCAAGGTTTTTGAGTCTTCAGGGAATAGGGTTTCTTGAAAGGATAGCAGACGTCGAGAACGGGGGTCTGTTGGGGCGCGAGTGGTCCGTCGGTCGTTATCGAACTCTCCAGAAGTAATTTCCCGAGGATTTCTAGAAAGGGGACCACCGGCTAACTTATACTACAAGTTGTAACTACTCAAGACCTCGAGATTGTGACACAGGCAGAACACAAGATATCCGAGTCCACCAGCAACAAAGAGTAAAACGACAGAACAAATGAAGAGCGAAACAAGTAGCCTGGTCTTTCAAGATAAAGAATTGTTGTGAGACATGGGAGTAAGTGTCAGATTGCAAACCTGGATATCGAGGTAGAACATGGAGGCATTGTGTGGACATACCAGGCCGAACTACTCGAGGCTCAAACAGATGCAACGAATCCTTCTACGACATGGCTAAGAAAGCGTAATCGCATAGATTATGTGGAATGCCATGGAAGCTCGTGTTTTCTCAAATGACTCCTCAAAGACAGCGGATCTTCCAAAGCTCTTTAATACGCTCGTTTCATGTTATTTCCTCCATACAGGGATGTTCACCAATAGTACAGTTGAGAAAGCAGCGTGTCTTTGATAGAAGTCATTGCACAGTTATGCAGAGTGAGACCTGCACAGGTGCTCCAATAGACTTTTGCGGGGGTTCAATTGAAAACGTCAAGGTGGATCGGTATTGCACGTTCTTGAGCCAAGTCAGCCTCTTGGTTGCAATTGACATCGTGAAGATTTACATGATACGAGCACTTGAGTTTATTTGTCTAGGAGGTAGCTTCGAGTTAAGACAGCAGCAGAAATGCACGCACACATCAACTCATTCAGCCCTTTCCATCTCACAAAAAATACCTTAACACCAATTAAAGTTGAAAATCACCAACTTGAAGCGACCATGAACAGGGACTGTGGCATGCTTGGCTGCGAAAGATGGTTCATATGTTGAACTACCATGGACCATGAAAGTCTCTGGGCTGTACCGTACTTTCGATAGTTCACCATCTTCCACAAGCAGCGGTTCGTTCTGTCCTTTCTCTAGCCGGGAGGGAGTGGTGCTCCTGTAGAGTCCCAGTGAATAGGGTAGTCTGTATCGAGCAAAGCGGGCCGTCTGCGATACCGGAGTTTCAGCATATGGCGATACCGAAGAACAATCTTCGGGACGGCTTTGAGAACCTTGACCCTTCAGATGAACCAAATGCCGGCCTTGATTGTTTCTTGAAGTTTGCTTTGGTTACTCCGTTTTTTTTCTTCGCTCATTGAGATTGAGCCCACGCATTGACTCCAATGCCTCGGGATTGTCACGGCCTTACCCACCTAGATAGGCACCTGCAGCTTTGCCTTCGCCAAAGCTGAACTTCCATACTCGTCAAGACTGAATAAAGCCTTCATCGGGTCCCAAGTTGATGGGTGGTGGTGTATACTGAGGATGCTCAGATGTCGGACCGGGGTCATGCAGGGGGACAACAAATATCCCGAGGTCCTATAAGCAGCTGCCGACCTGCTCGGCCAGACAACAAGCTCTCCTGTCTGCCTGTTGGCAGTATTTCTGGTTGAATCAATGCAGAGTCGCAGCGGTTTTGCGGCTCTGGCATCACGCAAGTCAAGCTAGTGAGTGTCTCGGGCGATTGGGTGTAGCAGGGTTACACCCGCCCACCCGCACGTCCTCAGCACATCCTCTAGGTTTGTGATGATAGCTAGGGATTGGGCCAGTTGGAGGTGGCAAACATGGTTCGGTTGGTGATAGGTGAGAGGAACCACTGGTCCTGTGTCAGTTGTGTATCGCAACAGCAAGCCCGCTTTGGAGAGGACGGATGTGGTGTGCCTAGTAGGCGGCGGTGCAGCGACGCCAAAAAGGCACGGGTGGTGTACACAGACTAGCACACGCCAGAGCCATTTCCCCATAAATCCCGACATTCGCTTTCTTTCCTAGGCGTATATGTCAACACGCGAGAGAGTTCAACCGCGAACCAAACCCTACAGACGAGGAAACACTGTATAATCGATGAATAAGTAGCATAAAAACCACAATGGCACTTTCTGGGTGCCTAGGTACCCAGGTACTGTATGTTCTGTCCTAGGGAACAAGTCTGATCGACCGAGACATGGACGTTGATGGGAAAGCTTGTAATGCAGCAATGTGCACGCGGGTTCGGTTGCATGCAGTTGCAGTGTGGCTTCGCACCGGACATGACCCAAGAGTTGGACAGGCACAGACAAGCATCTCAAACGTGGGCTTGGCACAAACCGTTCTGCCTGCCTGCCTGCCTGCGGCTCCTGCCTACCAGACTGCCTCGCCTGTTCGCGTCGTCACCCTCACTACCATCGTCGTCCTCAGCCAGATCCGATGTCTGGCCCCGATGACTTACTCCGTACCAAGAACCCAAGGCCACAGTGTGCACCACAAGCCGCACGAATGATCGAAATCAGACGACGGACCTGCTGCCGAATGCTGCCTGTGCGATTCTCACCGAGGCAGCTCCGACGGCCATCTGGTGCAGCGTGGATGGATGAACTTGTTCGGTTGAGATCCACCGAGCTGCTGCGAGGATCAACCACCCGTCCCAAGATCCCAGACGTACGAGGGGGCCAAGATGAACTCCTGGTCGACCTGTCCTAGATACCCAACCCTGGAGCACAGGCACAAACAGTCAGTCAGTCAGACAGTCAGACAGTCAGCGTGCTTGGGGTCTGGACCAGGGACCAGAGGTTTCAGCTCCACAGCCCCATAGCTCCACACATATACGTACTATGTAGCTCCACAACTCCACAGCTCCACCTCTTCCCCACCAGCCTGCCCAGCCTGCCCATGTGGATATGCAGAGACCCCCTTCTGAACCCAGCTTGCCCCACAGTCTTGCTCCTCCTGGGGTTCAGCTCCCTGTTCCCCAGCTTGCCCAGCAGATGGCGGCCAGCTCCCACGTGTGCCGTTTGCCACTTGCCCTCATCAGTTGCGCCTCTCCACGGTCTAGAACAAACCATCTTCACTTGCTCTTGCTAGGCGGAATTCTTTCTTGTTTGTCCTTCACCCAAAGTTCAGTTGGCAATATGCTGCAGCAATGCCCTGGCTTGCCTGGTTCAGACCGACCTGGAGCTTTCGACTCTCGGCAACATCGGTCTTCTGCCTCGGCACACTTCGGCCACGTAGATGATATGACGACCTGACAGCCTCAGACTACCGATCTGACCTCTGATCTACAGCAGTCCTCCTGAACTAGCGCAACTCGTCGACAGACTCGCCCTCAGGCTAACGTTTGGGCGACTAGTGTCACCACAACCCATAGAAGCCGATCTGCGTCGTCGTCTGATCGAGCGGGTTTCAGGCCGCCAGTAATCGCAATGTCCACCACAGCTTGGACGTCTACAGGCCGTCATCTCATCAGGAGTCTGCCGACGACAGCTTGGTCCCTTGCTGCACCTTCTCTCGGACTCGAGACATGTCAATTCAGCCACTCGCGCAATTATATGAAAAGAGGCTGCCCGGGGCCACTGGGGCGTGACCACGCTGAGGGCAGGCCGGAGCTAAATAACCGCATTTATCATGTCGTTCGCGCTCATCCGGTCGTGGCCTCTACCGCGGCACATACCGAGCATGTCCCAGGTTAACCCACGCCTGCACCTCAAGTCTGCGCGTTCTGCTATTGGCCAATCTCCCGGCCTCCAGGGCTCGCCCATCATGGGGCGGTATCAAAGTTGGGATGGACGAGCGAGCACGTTTCCTTGCGTGGTTGAACTCACAGACCTTGTTCCCGGGCTAGGTATGGGCCCCATGTCAAAGCTCTGGTCTCATCACACAGTCATGGCCCCTGACTTTGACCAAGGATGGCATACTAATGTCTATCCCTGCCGAGCACCTCCTCCCAGAACTCCCGGCTATCATGGATCACGCCCATTTTCACACCTCTTTCCACGAGGCATACCTTGCCGCTTGACGGTCTTACCCGTCTTGTACAAACTCTAAGAGACCAGTTTCCCTACGATTTAATTAAGGCCTAGGGGCACGCCTCATTTACAGTTGAACTGCTTTTTACAAACTTGCCCTTCTGCATTTCTGGCGCCCGCCACCTTTTCTAATTTACTTCTCGGTATACATCATCGTCCTGAGCTCCAAAGAACCGGATTCACGGGCATTTACAGCCTGTCGAGATCTCATAATCCACCCCAGCCCAACACTGCCTCCCCATCCTCCACACAGGATCCACGCCATCGAGACATTCGTGCCACTTGCAGACCGCCTGCGTGTCTCACCTTACTCACGCAACTGAAATCGGTGAAGAAGCACCAGACTTCCATTTTTGGAAGATTTTGACGCACGTTCAAGCCCCGAAATCCGGGCATCTGACACCATCCTTCTGAACCGAGCAAGCACATACGACAACCCCGAGCTGTGAAGGCGCCAACCCGGCCTCCGAATTAGCCTTTTTCATCCACCTGATCTACTGTCCATTGGGCCGCTACCACTGCTCTCAATAGATGGGCCTCGCCCACGGCTTCCGGCCTGTCGATTACTCTGCGGTTCTCTCTGTCCCGATATCAGTTCCCCAGGAGCCAGTACGAGACTCGGACTCGAAGCCACCCTGCTAGCCAATGCAGCAGCTTGGCCGCGAACATCCAATTAGTTCATAATGGATTCCGACAATGTTGACAATATCGAACACCTCGGCACGCAGCTTGATGTATTCAACGTCATAGAGCGAACGTGCTCGGTTCTGTCTCTACTGGGATGCATCTTCATCATTGTGACTTTCTGCGTATCGGACGCTTTCCACAAACCGATAAATCGTCTTGTATTTTATGCTTCCTTGTATGTGACACCCCTCCTGAGCGTCTCGCCAAGTCATGTCCCGTGCCGAGCACTTGAGGACGACGAGTATTGGGATGGATACTTACCTTGCCTTCCTCCAGCGGTAACATGATGACGAATGTCGCTACACTCATGGCACGTACATACATACCATTCCCTGAGTCCGCGGGTTGCCAGTTTCAGGCATTCCTGATTCAAATGTTGGTTCTTATATCCCTGTCGAGAGGCATAGCTGTGGCTTACGCGCTGATTAGGTTCATGCCCGCCGACGCATTCTGGATCTTGGCCATGGCTATCAACGTCTATTTAACATTCTACGCCAAATTCGACGCACAAAAACTTCGGAAAATGGAAATACCATACCTACTGTTCTGTTATGGAGTCCCGTTCATAGTGGCATTGGTATTCATCTTCGTGTCCTCCCCATCGAAGGGCAAGATATATGGAGATGCCAGTCTGTGGTGTTGGGTGAAGAGAGAGTGGGATATCTTTCGAATCGTAACATTCTACGGACCCGTTTGGTAAGCCACATGCCTGCAAAAAATGCAAATCATAGCCAGTCTGACAAGGCATAGGGCGGCCATCGCTGTGACGACATTTATTTACGTCCGTGCTGGGAGAGAGATTTACCGGAAGCACAAACAGCTCCGAGAACTGAATTACACGAGCCACTACGAACCCGAAACGAACGGGATGAATGACCCCTTCAGCGTCAAGACGACAGAGGTGTCAGTCACGTCCGAGATAGTTACAACATCTCAAGACACGCCCATCGACCTCGCGCCACTAGGCCGTGCCCATCGTGACAGCTCGGCAGGCCATCAATCCAAGCCGTCTGCATACTCGGTCAGCATCTCCGCAGATGGATCAAAGGCAGCGGCAGCGATGCCCACCGCGACAGCAACTAGCAATGGCAGGAGCAACGACAACACGACGCAACGCTCGGGGCGAAGGAAGGCAAATTATGATGCAAACAGCGCGGCATGGTCGTATACGAAATGCTCGATCCTCTTCTTCACGGCCATCCTCGTGACGTGGATTCCCTCGACAGCCAACAGGGTCTACGGTGTCGTTCAGCCCGACGGGGTCAGCCTGCCGTTGGAATACATGTCAGCCTTCGTCCTGCCACTGCAGGGCTTTTGGAACGCCGTCATCTACATGGTCACGAGCTGGAAAGCATGCAAGACGCTGCTGGATGATGTCCGCCATTTCTTTACGGGTGGCCGGAAGACAAACGTGCCGGCCCGGCTGACGACAATGTCTCGGCTGGGGGTACGGCGTGACAACATGTCTGTGCCTGGGAGGACTGGGAACTTCGAGATGATGAGCAAGGGGCGGAACACAAGGACGGCGTCGGACTTGACCTCGGTCTCGGACTCTACGGAGGAGCTGAGGTACGGGGTGGTATGATAGTATCTATTGCCTCTTGGCAGCGGACATTTATATTCTGTCTTTAATGTTACAATTCTATTGAAGAACGATCACGACCAAGGACCTGCCCTGGAGGACACAGACACTTTCCGTCCCCGAGCCCCATGAATCATGTACGATGAGAGGTTGCTCGTGTGAGACTGTCACATTGCCGTGCGCTAGAGGGTATGGAGTAGACGAGTGTTAGGCATTCTGGCAGTCAGACATTCCATCTACCTGCCGACTTGATGTTGTGTGCAGTAAGTAAGTACCGTACCCCAGGGTTTGGCGGGATGTAACCTGCACACAGCACCGGGGCTGCGTTGCGTTGCCTTGGTTGTGACGCAGAGACGCAACCTCTGGGTCGTATCAGGACAAACTTGGCTTGTTGCAGGTTCAGCCCTTCGCCCTACCTGGAAATCAACAGCCTACACTGCCACTATCCAGTGGCAAATGAAGTCTTTTTTTTTTTTTTTTTTTTTTGCTGGTGGCAGCAGGTCGGAATGGCAGAATGGCAGAATGGCATCGCTGCCTCCGTATGCCCTTTGTTTAGCCTGTAGCAAAACACAAGCAAGCTAGCACAAGTGGCCCAGCCTTTTTCTTTTTCTTCTTTTTGTTCCATTTTCTCCCGAGTTGGGTGTCCCATTTCCTCTTCTTTTCCTCCAACTGGAGGCCGTACCAAAGTATGCGGCCTGGGGAGCTAAGCCCCTACGGGCACTGGGGCAAGCTGGGGAGGGCTTCTATATGGGGGGCGCATGAATCCCTGCCCTGGTTGATGATGATAAACTGCTGACCACGATCATGCTTTCTGTTCCTGAATCCCACCCACCCTGGCCCCAACTCTCGACTAGACGTAATTCCCCTTCTGCCTCTCCTCCTTTTTCGTCCATCTCCGCCCCCTCAGGCTCCCCATCCTCTCCATATGCCCGCCGCCCTGGTCGCCCATCACGCACGTCACGCACGTCACGCATCCAGTATCGGGCCGTCCAGGGTGTTCGGGCAGAAGGGAAGCGACACTGATGTGAGGGCAGTGCCCCCTTTCGATGCACAGTATCGCATCGCATCCGCAGATCAATCTGCCCCTCTTTCCGGGCTTGCTGCTCAGGGACGAATAGTGTGTGCGTCATATTGCCAGATAGACTGGCCACCCTGCCACCCTACTTGCTATGCTACCCTTGCAAAGAGAAACCGAGGAGCTCTTCTTTTCCGTGGACATTTCCGAGGGTGCTGTGGCTGGCTGACTGGGCGACACACTAGACTTCTTTCCGGTTCCTGTCCGTAGGGCTCTTCGTTTCTCGCACCAAGCGCGTCACAGACTCACAGGTAGGAGCGGGAGGGGTGGCCAATCTTAACCAGGACGCCCTATCATTCTTGTGGACTAGGTAGGGAGCTTGGGGAGCCGTGGCAGCGGCTGGGGCACCGCATGTCTGGTCCACTATACTGCATACCTAGGTACGCTTGGTGCTAAGGCCCCGTTCGGGATCCATCTGGTCGGGTGCCGCCTGTGATATTCAAAGGCTCGCTTAATTACCAGTCTGGGGTTGATGGGCCCATCGCGATCCCGACCGGTCGGTGGGTTCCCTCCACCAGGTGGAGGAATCCGGGGAAGAAATGCTTGTCTTTTCTTGGCGCCTCTTGTCCTCCAGAGCCTTCATCTCGCGGCGAGGGGCCCACTCCGGTATGGTCGCTCGCTCACGTGTCATAAAGTAGCCGACTGATCAGTCGCCAGTGGCTCTAGTGCATAGTCATGGCAAGCCACTCGGTTGGGATGGCGTTTTTGAGCGGAGCGCATCAATCGAGATTGATATTGAGATGGGATAGGAAATCTTGGGACCCAAGCTCATCTGCCGCAGGGGAAATCATACGACCGACCGATAGACCCTTGAATATCTGGCACGACCCAAAGTTGACGAATCCGAGGCCAGCAAGAATTTTGTGTGGACAAGCATTGAGACGACAGACAGGCGTTCATTCCTACGAACCTTGGAAGGCATCGCATGCGTCAAGTTGCCCTATTGGGAAAAGAAACCCCTGCATTAGTAGCACAGACTTCCTGATACCACACACCCACCCACCTGGCTGCAGCCTGGGTACTCCTGACCCACGACTCGCATGGCAGACCGGCATGGGTAGCCTGGTAGCCCTCCTTGCCTGCTTGCCTTCCCTTCCCCCCCCCCCTCTTGGCCTGTGGACCTGTCAGAAGTCTGGGGTAGGGCTCCACCCACGGACGATCAGTGGGTGACATCGGGGCATTTTTCCTGCCCTTTCGCGTCGCCGCCCACCCAGCCCCATGGGTCCTGTTGGAGACCTCATTTCTGCGCAACGAGTCTTGTTTCGACAACAGCTCCCTGTTCGCTGCCATGCAGCGTGCTATCTCTTCCTCTTCCCCGACATCAAGCACGATATATCGGCATGTGTGAACAAGAGAGAGAGGCAAAAAAAAGCGCCGAGGTCCAGCCCTCCGCCATTCAATTCCCCGTGATCTGGCTCTTCTTCACCAAGTCGTTCCGCTGGTCCAAACCTTATGGCCGCGGCAGCCCATGCCATGCAGCCGGGCTAGCCAGACCCAGGGCCAGGGTCCTCATGCCCGAATAGACTCGGCAAGGGTTTACAAAATAGTGTAAATAGGAGAGTCCGACAAATTGGATTTCACTCTTTTTAGCCTTGGGAGGCTGGAGCCTAGAGCACCTGTGGACCCTCCGAGTCCTTGGCACATGACTGGCATCTCGTGGACTGCTTCCCTCCCCGCCGGGTCATTCCGGTCGCAACTCAAGGGGTGGCATATTCAGAGTTTGCATGGCGTTCAGTAGCCAAACGATAGCAGCTCTTGCACAGCTCCTCAAGCTTCTCTCATTTAAACGGTGGTCTGAGATTATGGGAGGAGGGCCTGACAAGCATTAGTATTCAGTGCAGACTGCCCCCACCTCACCCTCTTATTATACCACCATCTAACTATACCACGACTTCCCTGGGTGTGGATGGCTCACGTGACCACGAACCCCCAAGCATGATCCTCAGACACCGCCTAGCCGGGAGCCCTTAGATCGTGCGGCTACCGAGTTTTCTCTCTGCTCAGGCGTGTGTGATCTTCTGGTTCCGTTTCGTCGGCCCGGATGTCGTATGTGTTTGCCCCAACCCGCATACCCAGCACCCGGTGATGTTTGTCGTGCAAGCGTTTTACCGACGCCTGCTTGCCCCGCCCTTCCTACGCATCCGTACCCGGCTTGTCAGTTTGCCCGTCAGGACCCTTTGCCGAGCCGGAGGTGGACAGTCCGCCTGGCCCTGTTGCCGAGGGACGTTTCCGAACGTCTCAACCTTGCACACGCACACGCACACATACACACACACCATGGCATCCTGAGACTCACGGGGATACAGAATGGGGGGCAACAATGCCGCTATGATGAGACTGGATATCACACAAAGGACTTGTCTCGGCGGTTCGCCAACTTCAGTGTACCGCAAGATGATATTACGTGTATCAGAGAGACTTCCTGCCTAGCTCATGTTTGGTAGGCATACCGTCGACTGGTACCTACTCTCAGAATCTTCCATTTTGCCCGAGCCTCACTAAGCGACTCTCATTAGGGCCAACCTCTCGTAGCCGACGTTTCTGTTTCCCTCTGGTGCATGGCTGTAATCGTGCAAAAGAGCAAGCCGCCATGGGAATTCGTCCACTCCAAAGCGTAGAACCAGCTGCCGGTTAAGGCATGGGGTATTTCCTCCAACATTGAAATCATACATGCTTTACATACCCAGGAACGCCCGCAAACCATGCCGGAATCTGGGCATAGGTCATAACTGCCAATGTGCGTCGTGAGTAGCGATTGAGTAGCTGGGTCATTCGAAGGCGGGGAGGAGCAGGGGATTTCCTCTCCTCTCGGGGTGATGCTCAGCCCTCGCTCTCCCTGCAGGCGGCAATGACGCTGTACTCCCAGTACGTGTCCATCCTCAGGCACTCGTCGACGATCGTGGGCACCTCCCACCACCACCTGTCGGCGCCGACGAAAGGGCCCCAAACATCGCGCCACAGCATCTGGCCGATGATGGTGCGCAGCTCCCTCATCACAACCATATCCGAGCCGCCCGAGCCTCCGCTGGCCCTGCCGCTGCCGCCCGAGTCGCCGCCGGGAAGAGGGCTGATGGCCTGGAAGCGGGTGGTGGTGATGATGCTCCCCTTGGCCCTCAGGCCGGCCTCCTGCAGCCAGACGGGGAAGTTCCTGCTAGGATTCGTGCACCGGAACTGCTGCTCGAGGTTGAAGATGAGGTTCTCGTCCAGCCACTGCCGCAGCAGCGGGCCTGCGGAGGACAGGTTGGGCTGGGGGTCGACGATGACCATGTTGAGGAAGCCGCCCGGCGCGAGGACGCGGAAGATGTTCTGGAGCAGCCGCGGCAGGTCCGACGACGGCAGGATGGACGCGATGGGCAGGCAGTTGACGGCTGAGAAGGCCTCTGTCGCCACGCCCACTGCGGAGGCCGAGATGGCCGGGCAGGTAATGGGGTGGATGTTCGGGTACCTCCTGTGCGATAGGGGATCCGGGGAGAGGTGGTAGACGGGAACGCTTGTGTTGGAGATGGCTAGGTATGAGGTGGCCGCTTGAAAGTTCATGGCAGTCGAGTCAGCACTGCTCCGTGATGAGTTGGGGGGGGGGGGGGATCGGTCAGACCTACCTTGGCTGTCGAAGAGAGACAGGATCTTCCGCACCTTGGGCTTCACCTTGGGCTTGGAGATGGCAGTGGACGGTTTCGTATCGACCTCCATGTGGTTCAAGGCAGATAGCATCCACCGCTTCCGGTCCATCTCAAGCTCCTTGTACATTAGAGCACGATCGACCGCAACATCAACGTCATAGTTTTGCAGGCCACTCTCCAAAGCCATGTCAAGGTCCTCCTCAGCCCATCTCGCCTTCAGGCGCATCAGGATGGCTCGAGGACTTGCCTGAAGCATTCGACTGGCCTCGCGCTGCATACTGGCCAGGTCAAGGGCAAGTTGGTTGAGCTCATCCGAGCCAAGGGGGACAGCAGCCTCGTCGATAGGGGAGACCTCGGGCTCGCTCGCACTGTACTCCCAGGCATCAGGGGCTTTCCACAGGTCAGGATTTCCAACATGCTGCTGGCAGGCCGGAACAATCGCTGGCGCCTTCAGGGGACGCTTTGGCTTGCGCTTCAGCCCAAGCTTGGACTCTGTCTGCGAGGCAGAGATCTGGTTGGTAGTGCGTGATAGAGAAAGGTCAGTGATCATTGGGGCCAGTTGACGCGCATCTTCTAGGTGAGAAGCAGGAGTTGACTCTGGGACCGGTGGCAGGCTGTGAGTCAATCCCGGTGGGGGCTGCCATGGCCTACAGTAACTGTTGTCAACATCTGCTTGGTCTCCTCTGAAACGTGTACCAAGATCTCACTTACGTGGACGTAGTGGCCAAATCCTTGAGATTGTGCTCGGAAGTGCCCACTGAAAGGGTCACCTTGGACACAAGGTAGTCAGGGTCTTTCTTGTCCCGAGGCTGGGAACTGATTTCAGTGGTCTTGGTGATGAAAGAGACTCCATCCCCAAGGTTCTGTGTCAGAGTGGACTTCAGTCCTGGCTTGGGTGAGGCCATGTCGTAGCCTAGGAGGGAGCCACCAGGAGGGTTCTCGTTCCACGTGTTGTTGGTGACAGCCTCAGATAAACCTGCAGTGCTGTTAGCAGTTTCAAGGCTCGGCTCGCGGATCAAGGTAAGATCCTTTAGAAGAGGCTTGTGGGGAGCTCAATCACATGGAAAAACAAGTTTAGCTCTGTGGGGTGGTTGTGCCGGATGATGTCGTTGTTTGTTTTTAAAAGGGGGGGGGGGGCTAAAAGGAAGGGCAAATGCTTACTGCCATCCAGCCTGTCAGAAGAAATAATGGAATGGCTGCCTTCTGTACTGACTAGCTCTGAACCTTGAAGCATGCCAGAGGATACTTCGGCCAGTAGGTCGCTTGTGTTGCTGTCTTCTGGAGGCTCTTGCTCCTGTTCCTGTTCATGGATGGTTGGAGCACCGGCAGAGGAGCTTGCTATGGACTTGTTATTCCCCAGGACGCGGCCCTTCTTCCTGTTCTTGCCACCAAAGAAGCCAAACTGCTTGTCCACAGAGGACATAGAGCTGCGGACAGACCCTGAGCCGGATGCCTGGCTGCTCTGCTCATCCTTCCTGCTCTCCTTGTCCGCATTGTCTTTATTAGAAGCTCTGTCACTAGGGACTTTCTCCCTTTGCTTCCTTGCCCTCCTGTCACCAACTGACTCCCGGTTGGGGTCACTCCAGTCGACATCAAACATCTTGCCAGCCACTGACTTCTAGCCACGAGCCATTGGGAGTGTCACAGATGCTGGATTTTGCATGGCTCCAGAGATAGCTGGCCCAGAGAGTTCGGTTGAGGAGGGTGGCCACTACAGCCAGGTAAGGATACGTGGTAAGCCTACACCATGTCCAAGAGAGCCTGCTATGAATCAGTAACGGATCATTTGATACCCGCCTGCATGTGCATGCGACCTGGAAGGAGACTGGTCTTTTGGGGGCGGGAAGACATACCTCTTGTCACTCACAGCTATCAGATGCTTGCTCAGGGCGAAAGCGGCCTAGCATGGAGAGAACGGTGACAGGAGATGTTTAGCTAGAGGACAGTGCTGTGAGGCTGCTTTGGGAAGTCGTAACAGTCTTTTCAGACTCTGACAGAGACAGATCCAAGTGCTGAAGCCAGTAATGATTGGTTAGAACTATAGCCTAACATGGGCATGAAAAGATATCCCCTAGGCAAGTGAAAGATGCATGTGATCCTAGATCAAGAGGCGGGTTTTTGACGTGATGGCCGGTGAGTGCTCTCCATGGAGACACAAACAACCTGCGGGGCTACCTGAATATGCCACTACCTCCAGGAAGGGGAAGCTAACGAGAGATGAATGAAGGATGAATGACTTGGGCTTGATAGGATTTGTAGAAATGTCTGGTGTGACCCAGGGAGGTGAGTTAGGGAGGAAAGGGAAGAGTCGGTGGTGCAATCGTCCCAGGGACTCGACCCGGACTTCAGGTGCGTCAATATCAGGTAATGCAGAGAATCCCACAGTACCAATACAGGAGCAGCAGTTACTCAGCCCTCGCTTGTCATCTTGTGGGTGTTTTGTAGTTGGTAGCTCAAACTCAGGCTCCATGGCAAACATGTCTCCAGGGCTCGGATCTACCAAAGGGGCACAAAATCCGTCACCTTTCCACCTCGATGCCATTTGTAACCACTGAATAGAAAACCTTCCCCTTTTCTGGAGGCTGATTTGGGGATTATCATGCAGCTGGAAGCCGAGAAAAGCCAATACTGAAGAGATTTTATGAGAACCATGGCCCCATTGGGACAGCAGTAAGAAAATGGCACGAAATCGGAGGGAGTGGCCACAACCTATTGAAGCCACAATAGCGCACCATCGCACAGCTGTAAAGGTTGGCGGAGTCATGGAATTTCAGGACGCTGGCACAATAATGAGATGCGGTTCGTGCGGATCCAAGAGGAGATGGAGAGGAAGAAAATGGCGGGCTTCCTGCCGGGAGGCAATCGTTGCGCCGCACAGTCCAGCCTCCTCAGCTGGTGACTGAGCTGAGCAAGTCAAATCATTCATCATCTGGCGAAATAAAGGGCACAAAGTCACGGCCGACATTCTCGGCAGGCGAACGAGGACGCACACATTTTTAGAAGTGGGCCTTCCCTTGGCAACCTACGTACACAGAGCTCAGACTCACCGAGGTAGGGCCTGATCTCATGTGACAAGGGAACTCAGATTGCGGGTAACTAGCTATTCTCACCATTACTTTGCTGAGGGTCAACGTCACTCCCAGCTGTACCGTGTCCTGTCAAAGGTCTAACCAGGAACAATTCCTGCAACAAGTGGCACAGAATACTACATCATATCTGACTACAGACGCATGTATCTCGGGGAAACAGTCGTGCCATAGAAGGTTCTTCAGACCACTGAGCATTATGGGACTGGAAGGTCTAGAACTCCTCGAAGGTTTTTGTAGTCCAACGCGCCGGTGATTCCAGCGCGAGGCTCAGACGACATCCATGGATGCCAGTTTCCGAAGCCACCACGGTCAATTTACTTCGAGTCCGGCCAGCTACCACAATTCAGGGGTTAGGAGTAGATCATACAACATGAGCAGGGCACAGCACAATTGGGATCCGGCCCGGGGTTTATCTGCTGTGATGCCCGACAATACCCAACGACATGTCTTGTGGAGCGAAACTTCACCTGCCAATAGATTTACTGCCGCCACATCCAGCACTGGGTGACGTGGCGCATTCACAATATCTGTTGCTGGTCCCGGGAGTCCTATGAGAACCTCTCGGGAAAACATTGCATTCTTGGCTGGAATTGTGCTATTTATGTTTGTATTTGAACTATGATGTTGTTGCAACACGCCCGGATTACTGCCAAGGTTGGTGTTTTCTTGTTGCGCCTTTTTGTGAGATACACGATGCAATTTGCTACCTATAGTATGGCCTTCAATTACTTCGTGGGATACCGTAATTGACTCATCGCCTCAGAAACCTGCCTCAAGCGTCGAGGCATTCTCTATGTGAGACAAAGGTACAAGACATCGAGCATGTAGGTTTCTGTGCTCTCCATCCGTCAATGGCCGGCTCGGGTAAGCTATCCAGGCAATTCCTTTGCTCCAGCCGTGACATATCTTGTGGGTCTCGGGCAGCCGGGGTACGAGTGTCACCGATTGAGGACAAGATCAAGCTGTGGGCACCTGCACTATTAGTCCTCGTCTTTGACCCCTCAGATGTCTAACACAATCGAAACCAGCGATATGGTAGCCCCAAGAACGCCCGAGTGTATTACTCGCGTCCCGCAAGGCTCGAGACGCAATCATCCTGCTTTGCTCTCGTTCCTGTGATCCCCACACGCCTCCTCTTTGTCCTGCAGCCACCCGCAAGGCCATGGCGGCCTCCTTCCCCCGTCTGGGTAAGCAGTCAGCCACCTCAATTAATTCCACCTCCTTGCTTGGTTGCAGATGGCGCAGGCCACGGCGGGCAATGGCGGCCCCTCGGGAGGGACGGGATGGGCGCCGGCATTAGGCTTGCGATCCCTCGTCCTTGTTGCCAGAGCATCGAGGGGTCCCGGCTCGTACGGATACCGGGACATGGAGACACATTTTGAATGAATGGTTGAGGCACCTGACGATCCACGTCTATCCGTCGGTAAGCTGATGCCGCTGCTCCATGACCGGTAAAGACTTCTCCTCCTCACCCGCAAAACCGGTTCAACGTCGCATGCGCGTCCTGTGCATGCAACTTTTTGAAAAGATCCGGCGTCGTTGCAGCTGCCCATGCTGTGGAGCGCGTGCTAAGCGAATTTAATCTTGCTCCCTCCGATGCCCAGCTGCGCATTGCCGATTAAGCAGGTCGCTCGCGCGGAGGTGTGCGACGACTTGATGCCGGAAAGAGAACCAGCTCGATCGGAGTCGATGCAGCTGCATGTCTTCGAGTCGGTCTGGGGCCAATGGCTGGCCTCTCCGGGTCTATTCCTCTGGATCAGTGGGTTGTTGGGGCTTTCCTCTCGTTATTGAGGCTGGCTAATGACAGCTTCTTCCAAGCTTGTCCGATGGTGGCACCGGTGCACAGAGCAAGACACGACCTCACCTCGACTATCTGGCCAGTAGGTGAGCCGAGGAAAGCACCGAGGGCTACAAAAGACCCATTGGGCTGGAAAACCCCGGCTTGGACACCTCAGTGGCCCCAAAATCTAGATTGCCCGCTGATAGATTCTCTATTCAACCACGTGCGGCCACGGTGACTGGCTCAGGCACAACTAGATTTTGTTACCCAGCAGTAGGCTGTATGGCTTTTGTGTGATCTCAATCACAAGACTGGTTCCGAATAGACGTGACTAGGACAAAGTCTGCGTAATAACAGAAGGGAGTGTATATTCCCCCTTGCCACCGCTGGTCGCGTCTCAGCACGCTAGACCAGGACACTCAACAAAAGTCCACGCCTCATGGGCAGGGAGAGGAGCAATACGGGCCCCGGTCATCCCAATTCATCGCTACTTGAGTACATGCGTGATCGAACCTGGCCACTCAAGGGGCCTAGCACCTGTTTGACTCACCCCCTATGGGCGAGAACATCATCGTCCGTATGGCGGACTTAAAATCAATGGCCCGGGGTTCGCACTAATATCTACTTCCGAGTCTGATGCAGAGACTCAATGTTTCTAGGGGCCCCCTTTCTCGCTCATGGTTTCCAGTGAGCACATGGAGGTGGGAGTCGTGACACAGCGTGACTCAAAAGTGTCTCTGCACCCATCCCACTATACCACGACGTTACAACCCACGTTTCTCTTGTTCTCCTTCCCCTCTTCTTTTTCTTGTTCCTGGTTGTCCTCTTTCCGCTCGTTCACTAAACCCCGTTACTGGTCTAACAAGAATTAGGTGTCCTTGTGGCCAAGGCAAAACGGATCCTCAAGAATCAATGGGAGACCAAAGAGACTATGTCCACAGCCATGGTTTTATGGCTAGGAACTTTGAATGGATGACGGACCGGCTCCGGAGGGTCGAGACTGCTGTCAACACATCAACGTTTGGCCGAGTTTTTCGACTCGGTGGGTGTGGCCATGTATGATGACTTCTCCTTATCTGAAAACACAATAGTACGAGCTTGATTGGCTGGCGCTGACACTTTTGTGCACAACGCAGCCTCAAGAGATCGAGGATGCCAGCTTCTATACCGAGATTCGTGCGGGTCTCACGACCTTCGCGACGATGGCATACATCATTGCTGTCAATGTGAGTGCCAAATTGCCACTTAGAAAGTTTCCAGTCGTATTGTTTGTTTTTAACAAGATATCCAGGCAGACATATTGTCGGAAACGGGCGGCACGTGCAAATGCGAACCAGTATTTGACCAACCCGATATCTGTGCGAATGAGTTAGAGTACCAGTTATGCGCGAACGGTAAGACACCAACACCTTTTCCGATAAAACAAAAGCAACAGAGGAAAAGAAAACTCGAGCCACGACACTGAAATCAGCAGTTGTCAAACGAGACCTGATCACCGCCACCGCGGCTTTGTCGGGGCTCGCCAGCATTCTCTTCGGGTTTTTCACAAACCTGCCCGTAGCATTGGCGTGAGTATTTACCCTACACGGCCCTTGAAGACCCAATGCTGAGCATATAAGTAGTCCAGGTATGGGGCTCAATGCCTACTTCGCCTACCAGGTCGTCGGAATACGGGGCAAGGGCCCTGTTCCATACTCACTAGCCTTGACGGCAGTCTTCGTGGAGGGCTTCATCTTCATCATACTGGCTCTCACGGGTATGCGACATTGGCTCGTCAAGATCATCCCAGCAACGATCAAGACCGCGAGTGGCGTAGGTATTGGGCTGTTCCTCACCATGGTCGGCATGTCATACGCCGAAGGCATTGGCATAATCACCGGCAACCCCAAGACCCCCCTGGCCATTGCTGGCTGTGACGCCGCATATCTCGACCTGAAGACGGGCGCTTGTATGAGCCACCTCATGACGAGCTCCAAGATGTGGCTGGGGATCATGTGCGGCGGGCTCCTGACGGCCTTCCTGATGGCCTTCCGGGTCAAGGCGGCTATCATCATCGGCGTGGCTCTCGTCTCGATCCTGTCGTGGCCTCGGAGCACCCCTTTCACCTACTTCCCCAACACGGAGGAGGGAAATGAGCGCTTTGATTTCTTCAAAAAGGTGGTCACATTCCACCCCATCACCCATACTCTCAACGCCCAGCAGTGGGATCTGTCCGGAAACTATGGTGCCAGCTTCGCTCTTGCGCTGTTCACGTTCCTGTATGTCGATATTATCGACTGCACGGCGACGCTGTACTCCATGGCGCGATTCTGCAACAAGACGCGCAAGGGCGATGGGGACTTTCCCCGGTCCACGGTTGCTTACTGCACTGATGCTGCATGTATCTCAATCGGGTCGCTTCTGGGCTGCTCACCAGTCACGGCCTTTATTGAGAGCGGAGCCGGCATTGCAGAAGGGGGAAGGACAGGACTCACGGCTATCGTGACTGGGCTTTGCTTCCTGGTCTCTGTCTTTTTCGCCCCCATATTTGCTTCGATACCCCCTTGGGCCACAGGATGCACCCTGATTCTGGTAGGCTACCCCGGCCACCTCGACTTATACGAGTTGCCACTGACAAGGAATATGCTGTTTAGGTCGGCTGCTTGATGATCCGCCAGGTGACCGCGGTCAACTGGCGTTACGTCGGCGACGCCATACCGTCCTTCGTGACGATCGCCTTCATCCCATTTAGCTACAGCGTCGCGTACGGACTCATAGCGTAAGCTATTACCTATCTATATCCTCATGGCCTAAACTTGGGTGATCCATGTTGACAGAACCAGCGGCCTCTTCGTGTATACCGCCCTCAACGGCATGATCTGGGCGATTATGACCTTGAGCCGCGGGGGGCTCGAGCCCAAAGACTACCAGTACAAAGAATACTGGACCTGGAAGCCAGCCGGTGAGAAGCCGTGGATCGTGCGCGTCTTCAGCAAGGGGAAGTTCTGGGAGGACGAGCGCAAGCGCCAAGGGCGCGACGGCGCCGGTGTCGACGGCGCCGCGAAGCACCACGACGAGCTCACCATGTCCGAGGGCGACAACGACAGCACGCGCACCTCTCACGTCGGCACGTCGTTTGCTGCATCAACTCATAGGGCGTCGGCGGTTCCATCTGGCGGGCACCGCCGTGAGGGGAGTGCCGGGGAGGCACACGAGATGGACGTTGTTGTGCCACCTCAGGGGGCTGCTTTGTCCCGCTCGTAGAGATATGTCCTAGGTCTTGGTCTTGGAGGGCTTGCTGCTTGGCTATGTTTGATTGAGGCGCTGATCATGGATGATATGCTATGAAGCGAATGCGGCTTAAGGCGAAGAAGGTTGATGATACACGTTTCGATACGATTTACATTCACCAGGAGGATGTACTAAAACACTTTTTAGACTAGAAGCGATCAATTTACAATTTAACGGCTTTCACGCGACGTGTGAAGTGTTTCCACTTCAATATTTCCATGACTATTCTTTCTCGACTGTGCACATGTGGGCACTACTTATTGTGAGAGCACCGTAAGACCATCGCAGAACGCAAGTCCAAGGATGCCTCGGGCACTGGCTTCAGTGCTTCTGATGGGGAAGGACCTGCTGCTTTCGCCTGGAAGATGTGGGTGGTTCCGAATATGGTATGCTCTCAGCCCCCTATAATAATTCAAGGCTGAGGAGTCCGAGTACCTACTCTGCTTGGACAATTTTAGTTAATACCTGGTGTAAAATTGGCTTACACCTCTTATCGCTGGAGAGGAGTACAGACGTAGTCTACACTCCGCTGCGGGAGACGAGCTGATTTCTAAGCCTTATCGATAAGATAGCTTCAGTGCAGCGCCTCGAACGTCATCAGGAGCTCCCCACCAGACACCATGCGAGGCTCTCCTCACATCTTCAAAACAGCGAACTTACCCAAGTCACCAATACCCTGAGCGCTCAACCTCACCAGGCCGGCATTGTGAGAGACTCGCCTCTCGACTGGCCGCTCACTTGTTTTTTCTGAGCTTTACCAGCCTCGGTACCGTCCCTTCGATCTTCAGCGAGCGACTGTGTTTCTTTTCTTCTTGCCCCAAGTCGTCAAGATGAGTGGCGGCTGGAATACAAGTGAGTGTGCCACCTTCCCCCCCAGCACCCTGTATGGTCAATGAAGCTTCAGAGTCCTAATTGGTACTAGTTGAGTCCGATGCGGTACGTTCTCCATGTCGTGGCCCGGCGCCCATGAGCTTTACGCGCCGATAGCTGCGCCCACCTGGGCGACATGTGACGTTCACTGACACTTACAAGGGCGTCTTTACATACCTCCTGGACAACCTCGGCGTCAAGGATGTGCAGTTCGAAGAGCTCATAACAATGGACCCCGACTCGCTGGCGCAGCTGCACCCCGTCTACGGCGTCATCTTCCTCTTCAAGTACCCCACCGACACGCCCTACACATCGGCCGAGAAGCCCCACGAGGGCACCTTCGACCACGAGGCCGCCGACCGCCTCTTCTTCGCCGCCCAGACGATCCAGAACGCGTGCGGCACCCAGGCCCTGCTGTCGGTGCTCATGAACAAGCAGGACGCGGACTCGCCCGAGGGCGACGCGGGCCACATCGACATTGGCGAGAAGCTGCGCGACTTCCGCGACTTCACCATGGCGCTGCCGCCCGAGTTCCGCGGCGAGGCCCTGTCCAACAGCGAGCTGATCCGCGACGTCCACAACTCCTTCGCCAAGAGCAGCCCCTTTGCCGACGAGACCCAGCGCACCACCGGCGAGGCCGAGGACGTCTACCACTTTGTCGCCTACACCCCCGTCGGCGGCACCCTGTACGAGATGGACGGCCTGCAGCCCGCCCCCATCAGCCACGGCCCCTGCTCCCAGGACGAGTTCCCCGCAAAGGTCATGGAGGTCCTGCAGCGGAGGGTGGGCCGGTACGACGCCACCGAGATCCGCTTCAACCTGCTGGCCATGGTCCGCGACCTGCGCATCCGGGCCAGGGAGATTGGGGACCACGAGCTGCTGGAGCGGGAGCAGCGGAAGCGCAGGGACTGGCAGTTTGAGAACGCGCTCAGGCGGCACAACTTTGTCGGGTTCGCGGGGGAGGTCTTGAAGGGCGTCGTCGCCTCCAAGCTGAAGGAGGGCGGCGAGGATGCGTACAAGAAGTGGGTGGACGATGCGACGGGCAAGATGAGGCACCGGGCCGAGACCAAGAGGAAATCCGGCGGCGGCGAGGACGTCGAGATGGGGGGCTAATTAATACTGGGCTGCGATCACGGGACGGCCCTCTCAACGGCTCATCGTTACACATACTGGGATGACTCAACTGTCAGAGATCTACTGGATTAATTCGACAGTCGGAGAAGACATATCAAGTCTTTATACGCCAGGGATCCCATCGTCTCAATATCCCCCAAGAGACACTTGCAATTGGCAAGGCTGACCACTCACAGGTGCCAACCCAAGAGGCACACGTGCCTAGCATCTAACCATGCACGGGCGTGGGAACCGTTCCTACATACCAACGAGCTTTTTTGTAGGTGTCTGAGCTGCATGCGTATACACTCGTCCTGTTGGGGAGGTGACCTTCAATTCCTAGAAACGGACGGCATTGGTGAGGTAGTCACTGAAGTGTTCACGGCATACCAACGTAGCAATACGCCCGCTGGCGCCTTCACTGCTGCTCCTGTGTCTTCGGACCAAGAAAGAAAACAAAAAAGAAATGGCATTGAACGTCGCTCACCATAGAATCCAAGCCAGCCACACTTGGATCAATGTCAGTCGCCAAGTGAATGAACATGTAGTAGTCCTCAAGCACTGGTGGCCTGCAACGAAAGAAACCAAAGTTCATTCCCTCTTAGACATTGACCACTTACATTGCAGTAAAAATAAACCTCGATCTGGAACGGATGATCGGCACGGGCATGGCGGGTTGCCCGCGTGGATCCTACCTGCGGCAGCTAATTAATAAATGCGCCGCGAAGAAACCGCATGCAAGAAGCCAGCCAGGCGGGACGGAACGGTCCGTGGGCCCTCAGTCTCTTGAAACACAGTGCGCCACTTGGTGCAGGTGGGACAACTCGCAAGTCAGGGGCAAAGACGATGACGCACGCTCGTGGTGGGTGACATCTTCCCATCTGGAGGAAGCGGCCGTACCGGTGAGAACAGTCACGTCCTGCTTCCTGCACAGCAAGCAGTAAGAGACGGGTCAATTGCTTGCGACAGCAGTAGAATGACTCTCCGGGTCCGGAGCCAGGCGAATATTTACACGGAAACGCTGGGGGCATTGCCCTTCCTGCACACACCTGTAATCACCAGCAGGAGAGCAGGACTCTCCACAGCAGCTGAAAGACTGATCCATAGGTTGGTATCTCGTATGTCTGGCTATCGATCGACAAGCGCTACAGAATGTGCTTAAAAAAACAACCCGCTTTAAAACCCCGCTTCCCCTGCAACAAAATCAATCCTCGGCATCCTCAACCGTAGCAGCAGGCGCTTTGCCCTTGGCAGCTGTCGATGGAGAAGCGTCCCCGTGTTCCTCAGTCGCTGGTGCTGCTTCTGGTGGTGGAGGAGCAGCAGCTGACGCACTCGGCTCCCCACCCGAACTGGTGACGACACCCTGTTCACCAGCCTCCTGAGTGGTGCTGCTATTCTCGCCTTCGCGGGTCTGGGAGGCGGACCGGCTGGAGCCGGCTTGTCGCTCCAGGCCAAATGGCAAAGAAGGACCGCCGCCCCTGTCGCCGCCAAACAGCTGCGCTGGCCCGCCCCAGACCGGCGTGACCGGTGTTGGGGCTGCCACTTGAGGCGGCTCGGCGGTAGACTGTCGCGGAACTTGTGGAGAGGTTGTGCTGTGGAAATCCTCGGAGGATGAGGTGCCGCCGTTAACGCCCAAGGCCACTCCTCCGGTATTGCTCGAGGGCTGGGGTGGCAAAGCTCCGCTAGGTTGGCTATGACCAGCCTGCTGAGCCCCTTCCGGTGGGTGACTCGTTGTGGCTCCGCCGTAGGCTTGGGGCACATTTGCTGCTGGGACCGCACCTCCGTCGAGTCGCTGGAGAGGCATGAGGGACCATCCTGGCGGGATCACAACACCCTCGGGAAGATCTGCGCTGCCAGAAGGAATCGCTGTTTGCTGTGGCATCACTCCGTGACGTGTGACAGTGGGTGAGTTTATCCTAGGAATGAAAGGGTTTGACGCCTGGGGCATTGTGGGGAGTGGGATTTGGCCAGCGGGATACGCGACCGGTGGTGGTATCGGCGCTACACCCGCTTGTGGAGCGTGCACGGCCGGACCCGGGGCCGGAACCGCCCCATTAGGAGTCGGGGTCGGTTGGCCAGGCTGGGCCATGGGTTGTTGCTGGCCAAGATTCAGCTGTCGGATGCGTGTGAGCTCCGCAAGCATCATGTTGATCAGCTGCAGTTCATGCTGTGCTGTATGGACGTTCTGGATGCCTTGCTGTATGTCGCGGACTTCCTGCTGGATTCTCTGGTCAACTTCGAGCAGCCTGTCACGAACGGCTTCCATTGTGGATAGGTCCGCAGGGTTTGTTGGGGGGATGTTCGCCTGCGCTGCCGCTGGAGCATTAGGCCCATTGAGATCGACGCCCATACGGTTCGCCAGCTCTGCCACCTCTTGTCCACCCTGAGCATATCCCAATCTGATCGGGCCGAGGTTGATGTATCGCATGGCCGCCCTAGGGCCCTGAGGTTGTTGTTGTTGCCCGGCCTGCCCGGCCTGCCCATTAAGCTGTGCATCCTGCCCGCCGGGTGCCTGGCCATTTTGAGGTGCGGGCTGATTCTGCCCGCCTGGTAGGTTCGGCTGTATGTGGAACGCCATTCTGGGGCGATACTGACCATTTCTCGGCTGCTGGTCGACGACGACGGAGCTACGACAAGTCGGGCAGACTTGCTGCCTTTCTAACCAGCTCTTGAGACAACCAAAGTGCAAAATGTGACCACATGGGAGTTTCTTCGGCCTGGTTCTCTCGACCTGTCCGGCGTTCGGGTCCCAAGGCCGCATCTCCTCTCGGCAGATGATGCAAGTATCCTCGCGGGCCAAGTCTTCCGCCGTAGCGTCTGGGTATCGGTTCATATCCCTCAGTGCTTGTTTATACCTCATCAAGGCTGACAATCGCTTAATGAAGCTCCTCGTGGTCATAAAGAGGTCCCTCATGATGTGAATCGGTAGGCCGTAGAAGACGAGCAAGACACAGAAGAAAGCGCTGTAGACTGATAATTTGAGCAGATCTGTTATCTTGTCAGAGGCGTCCCGAATTCGAGAATTCGCATCTAGACTCACCAGCGAAGAGGTCCAGGAATAAGATCCACTGGCCCTTGGTGTCCCAACCTGGGACTTCGATGTCCATCTCATCAATGTCGTCCTCGTCCGGCAGTGGCTCGTTATCTTCGGTGGACTCGCCAGCCTCTCTTCGCCGCAGGATCTCGGCCCTCTGTTCTCTGACCTCCCGCCTTCGTTGCTCCAACCTCTGGGCTGTCTGCCTCTTGACAACACTGGCCTCGACCAGCGAGATAACGTACCGCAGCCCGGTGTGGAGGGAGCCAACCGCCAGGACCGCGAATTCGAACAAGAACATGACCATCATGGTTGGCTTGGCCTGCGCGATGACCGTGTTGATGCAGTAGCTCAGAAGCCACGAGTTGTAGAGGATGCTCGTGAGCAGCGACACAACGAGGCGGGCGTGGAAGAGGCGGGGGTTCGCAGGTGGTTGTTGCTCAAAGACCTCGACCCGCCCCTCGCCGATCCACCCCCAGACTTTGCCCGTGATGAGGGCGGTGAACATGACGATAAAGAAGGCGCCGACCTCTTCGCGGAACACGGTCATGGCCAGGCAGGTCTCGGTGATAGCAAACCATGCCTTCTCGTAGAGCTGCTCGACCTCGACGGGCCTGAGGGTCCCGAAGCAGAGGCGCTGGAGTCCGTACATGAAGGAGCCGTAGACGAGGAAGACGAGGTTGATGAGGATCTGTGTGGAAGGGTAGGTGGCGATCAGCGTTTGGCCGACCATGTCACCGATGCGGTGTCGCGTGCCCAAAGTCGGTGGGTGGGATGTGACGGGACTCGGGGGGTTTTTGGGCCAGGACTCACCATCAAGCATAAGTTGCTCTGCGACAGATAGACCATGGCGGAGTAGAAGTTGGCGCGCTGGTAGAATGCGGACGTGACAACCGCGGCCGCGAGGGCCGCCGAGGTCTGTACAAGACGCTCATGTTAGCCCAGGATTGGTCCTGCGATCATCAGAAGAACCGAGTGGTCCCCAAAACTCTTGGGCCATCACGACGGATCGGTAGGGATGTGAAGACAGGAGGAGGGGAGGTGGGCTGGAGCAGGAGCCGGAGCTGGAGCTTGAGCCGGAGCTGCAGCTGGGGCGCAACGTACCCCGGCGTACATGGCCACGCGCATCTTGACGACGGCGTTTCCCCAAGTGTTGGAGAGAATCCGATTACGTCGTCTGGCAAAGAGGAAAACAAATCAGAGCAGTGGCGTCTTTCAAGTGCCCATAATGGCAGTCGTGATGCGAAGTGGATGAGCGACGCAGCTGGCGGGGAGGTGGCGTGCTCTTTGGGATGTTGTTCAGCTTGATGCCACGTTGAAGTCTTCGGAGTTGTGCAGTTATTAGTTAGCTGAGCGGAAGCCCGGCCGTCATTCAATGACCAAGTCCCCGGCTCCTTCTTGACCATACCCAGGGAGCTGCTCCGTTGGGACGCACGGGCCACACCCATTACCAGGGGGGAAGGGGCGGCCAACAAACAAGCCAGCGGTCTTTGAGAGCTTGGGATTGGTCTTGCCTTTGGGCTGCAGCCTACTGTGTGCCTTTGTACTTGTGAAAATGGACGTTTCGGGTCGACACAACACGCATCCCTTACAGTCACTGCACACGTGGTACAGTGATTCATTTTGCGGTTTCGTCCATAATGAGCCCGGCATGCTACAGAAAGGTAGATTGACATGATTGGCCCAGGGGCTCACACACAGTTGCGGGGCTCACTCGGAGGAGGGAGTGGAAGTCATCACAAGGCCACAAGGATGGAGAGTGGATTGGATAGTAGGTAAGATGCTTTTGGTATCAAAGAGTATTACACCCCATCGCGCGCGCTCAGGTCCATTCATCATGATCCAAAAGGCAGCTCATATTATAGACGGTGGTTGTGGTTGCCACCACACCACCCACGATCCAGCATAACTCCGTGCATTCCCAGCCCAAGCCATAAACAGGAGTGCCATACCAGGAACCTCTCCCCAAAAATGTATAAACCATGTAACCCGGGTATCGTCGCAGCCATCAGGCGAATAGTTGTAGTAGTAGGAAGTAAGGAGGTAATGGAGGAATGGTCCACATCGTGCAAGTAAGATACCCCTTCTGTGCCCGGGTTCTTATCACTGGAAATGTATGCCGCCCGCCCATGCCGCCGTCCCCGAGAGGAGATGTAAGAAAGAAAAATGAAATTCAAAAAGAAAAAAAGATAATTCACTTTTACTTGCTCGCTTCCCAAAGAAAAAGAAATACAAAGCCATATCCCGCGCATATGTGAGTGGTTGAGGAGTAATGGAAAATGGGTATCAAGATTCTCTCTCCTGCGCGTCGGGCCTGTCCCGCATCCCGGAATTTGTGTGGGGTATATATGGGATCATCATCATCAGAAGCTGCCGGGCTCAATGCATCTGAGCATCCAGCATGGCCTTGATGTCCTCCTCCGTCGGGTCATCCGAGATCCAGATGCCCTTCTCCTCATCGGTGGCGTTGAGGAAACCCTCGGCCCGCTTCATGGTCTGAACGTCCAGGTCCGTGACGTATGACTTGCCGTCCGCCAGCGGCACCCGAACCTCGCGCTCCGTGGACAGCATCATGTCGTCCTTGGCCAGCCGGCGCGGTCCGTCAAAGACGGCCATCACCCGCTTCTTCATCGTCATCTGGCCCTTGTCGAAGCCCCACGACGACGGGTACTCCCTGCGGTGCTTGCGGGCCCGGTTGCTGGCGTTGGACTTGGACATGGAGACGCCGCCACGGGAGTGCGTCAGACCCCGCGACTTCTGCACACCGTTGGCTGGGTTGCCCTTGGACTTCTTGGTGGGCGAGGCCGAGGTCTTGACTCCGAGCGCCATCAGGTTCTGCTCGTCGAGGAACTGGCCCTCATCGTCCTCCATCAGCTCCTCGTCGTCATCGTCCTCGGTCATCATCGTCTGTGTCGTGGTCGGCAGGCTGTTCTTCTCCAGCGTGGCGTGCACCTCGCGGTCGTTCTCGACCTCCGCGAGCCTCCTCGCGTTGACCGCCTCGGCGGGGTCTTCCTGCTGCACAATGCGCAGCACGCAGTCGTCCAAGTGCTCGTAGAAGTCCTGGGCGTTGCTGAAGGTCTGCGAACATGTCGAACACTTGCCAGTTGCGTCGGGAGCGTAGCCCGGGCCTGGCTTCTTGCCTGTGGACGCAGAGGTGGAGGCACCATTCTTGTTCTTGCGGCTGTTTGGAGGCGTCTGCTCCACGCCGTGCACCGCTGTCAGGTGCCTCTTGAAGACATCGGCCCTGTTGAAGGACTTCTCGGCTGCGGAGCCGGAGCCTGGGCAGAAACCGCAAACCATGGTGCCCTTGTAGTGGGTCAGGGTGTGGCGGTTCTTGTCATATTTCCTCGCGAAGCCCTTGATGTGGTATTCACACGTGGTGATGGGGCACTTCTCGGGGCGCTCCGTCTGGTGCGTCAACATGTGGGCCTTGAGGTCCTTGAAGGTCTTACCGCAGTCGGGATGCGGGCATCGTTGTTTCTCCTTTGAATCGCTGTCGCTGAATGCCCCAGAGTGACCGGATTGGTACGAGACTAGGCTCGGCCGCCGGTTCTGATCCATTGGCGCCTGGTAAGGAGAGTAGTGGAAGCTGGCGTTGGGTGGCATGAAGGGGCTTTGGCTGCCGGTCCTCAGGTGTGGTGATGAGGCGGTAAGAGCGGGTGAGTTGGGGTATACGGATGAGTTCTGCTGAAAACCAGCGTCGTATGGTCCCGGACCCATGAGCGGCCGGCTGATCTCATGGTGGATCAAGCTTGGGTCTGGTAGAGATGACGAGGTCAGCCAATGCTTTTCGAACCGTTTCAAGAGATGATTAAGGAAACCAACAAGAAGACCCGAGAGGAGCAATAAAATGGCCACTAGACTGAGAAAAGAAAGAAGAGACGACTTGAGGCGTTGTCGGGCTTGTCCAGCCAGCTGCCGTGGGAGAAGAAGAAAACGGAGTGATGGAATCAGGAGATGTGAAGACACTGGATTTTCTGGACGACGGAGGGGTGGTTGGCGAGCTCTGCGCATGCGAGGCAACAGAGGACGCATCCACAGCAGACCAAGGTTCGGCGAGTACATTACATGGAGATTGGCAGGACATGGGTGGGGAGACAGGGCCAGAACTCTGCTGTGCTTGCTGGAGATGCTCGGGAGCAGCGGATGTAGAAGTCTTTGGTGACTCACCAACAAATCCGGGTGGTTTTGAAGTGTCTGCGAACGTGAAAGGTGCGAGATCCTCCATACCTTGTGGGACGTAGCTGTTGTACTCGGACCCGGTGAAGTAATCGTGAGAGACGATGCCGGGGCTGAGGGCGACACCCTGGGGGCCCGCCCACTCAGGTACTGGTGCGGGCTGGCCATGAGCCGATTGTGGTGAGCCGACTGCTGAGGAGGGGGCTGATGGGGCAGAGGCAGTTGACATGTTGGAGGGGATTCCCATCTCCCTGTCTTCATGGAAGATGGGCGGTGACATGCGACCACCATATGACCAGCCTGTGGGGCCGTCGGCGGCATATGGCATGTGGTGGTCAAAGCCGTTCATGTTTGGAGGGAATTCTTGGCCGAGGCGGGGGAAGTAGACGTCGGAGGTGAGGCCCAGGTCCATGCCGGCAGCAGAGAAGGCGCCTTGTGGCGGGTCAGGGTAGATGGAGCTCAGGTGCTGCTGCTCCTGCTCCTCGCTCATGTGCCTGGGCATCATGGCGAACGTGTGATGGTCAATGGATGCCATGGCGGTGGGCGGCCAGTTGTTGGGGGGCAACCGGGATTGTTGTCTCACACTGGGATGACTCCGTAGAGGGAGTCAAGTCCGAGAGTGGCGACGGAGGTCAAGCTACGGCGACGGGGTCAGTCAAGATGGCCTTGGTCTCACACAGCTACGAGGCGTGAAGTAAGTAAGCCTTACATGCAGATGTCTGGCTCATACCAGACGGTCAGACCCTGACAGGAAGGTGCTGAGGTGGGACGCTGGTGAGAGCCTGGAAGTCCCAGAGGATGAGATTTTCGGGCCAAGGTCAGGAGCTCATGCGTGCTCCTTGGTTTGCTTGTGTTGTCTTGTTCTCTCGTGACCGCAGATCAAGGTTCGACTCGTGCTGGTGAGATGGGTGACGGCAGCCGACAGGGCAGTTTGCGAGTCTTGTGCCGGGCTGTTCTCAAACTCTGCCTAGCTCTTCAAAACTCTGTTATGAGATCGCTCGGTCGTCTTCGGACGTGCTGAGTGCTGGTACACCTCGAGATATGCCGGACTGGAGTGGGTCTGTCGCAGGCGAGAGCGTTTGTCCGGGAGATGCCTAGGCGGGTAGGCGGCGGGAGGCAGCGGTGTTGGGTGGCCGTGTAGAGCGCGTGTTGGCGAGGTTGGGACCGTGAAGATGGAGCGCAGCGAGGCCGTGGATATCACAGGAATGTCTGGGGGACATGAGGTTCGGAAGGGGAGTCAGCTGGGATCAGATGGGTTGGGGGCCCTCGGGGTTGATATAGACGGCGTGGTGTTTTACGTGTCTGCGCAGGCGGATGGCTTGGGTCGATGGGCCCCATATTGGATCTGTGGTAGGGCCAGAGGCGAAGCAAAAAGAGTACAAGGTACCCGTACCCGGTACCGTGCTGTGCAGCAGCGGGCGACTGGACGGACGCGGCAGGGCAGGGCAGGGCAGGGCAGGGCAGGAGGTACGTACCCCCACACCCTCCTCAATCCCTGTCGCTGTGCCCCCCTGCCCCCTGGCCCCGGCCTGCACCCTTGTCAGCATTTGGTGTGGGAGAGCAGCCAGGGGGTACCCGGGCAGCCAGAGCAGTGCAAGCAAGCAGCAGCAGCAGCAGCAGCAGCAGCGCAGGTCGGTCGCTCGATTGCTGGCGTGGGACCAGAGGGGAGGGGTGGAAGCCATCGACGGGACTGAGCAGGGGTCTTTTGCCCGCGAAGGGTGCCCTGCCCTGAAGCCCATGCCTAGCCTCTGCCTGGCCCACCCACGCCCAAAGCGAATTCCGCGCGCAGGCCCTCCCAACTCGCTCTGGCACTCACTCTCATGCCCGTCTCTCGCCTTTCCCACTGTCACTGTCTGTGTGTTGGTGGGTGAGTGAGCGGCCTCTGGGGCTCACAGACATTTCCCATCCCCATCCCGTCCCCCATCCCCCATCCCCCTCCACCCACCCCCCCCCAGTGCGGTGCCCAAGGCTGTGGGTCCTGGGCTGGCCTGTGTGGGCTGTGGATGCACGCAAAATGCAGGCTGCTTACCAAAATAGGTGTCGGATCTTTCTGAGTGCGGTTTACTGCTGCCTACGGGCCCTATCCCACTTGGGCAGTAACCTTGAGCCCGTCCAGTCCGCCCACAGTCGCTTTGGCAAAAGTACCTTTGCTCAGAACGGGCCTCGTGTGGGCGCCCGGGGAATGATGGGAGGTGGGCGGGAGATATGGGCAGATGGGCAGATGGGCCACGGTTGGGAGTCAGTGCGGTAGCATTCTTTCTGGTACCATGGCGATCCCACTGATGCATAGTCGAAGGATTCCCACTATCTCAAAGCCTCGTGGTAAACAGATGCAATGCGCCGCGGGTACGCATCCTTTAGAGACACAGAGTGAGAGAGGGACGGCAGACGAGACACCAGGGGGCCGTGGGCCGTGGGCCGTGGGCTATGCGATTGCTACACACTGTCTGAAATGATACTATGCGTCTCTGTCTGTCTGTCTGTCTGCACGCACACCACCCACGCTTGGCAGACAAGACGAACGCGCCATGCGCCCCCCCAGGCCTGGCAGGACCGGGATGGAATAGCATGGTATACTATGCATGGTATTCTCCTTTCCAAAACTCGAATAGTCTGCTGTGGGCTGCGGAGAGCTGCGCCATAATGTGCGTGCTGCTCTGTTGGGTGTGATGGATGATGTGATGAGGTTAGATGAGATGTGATGCTGGTGGTAGGTAATTGAGTGTTGGTCCTGTTCGTTTCTGCGGTAATTGCGGTCATGTTCCATGTGGGCCGCGCCCATTCTCCTGGGACAAAAGGGTCTTTCCTACTAGTCTACTTACGACATGATGTATTTTAGGCCCGCCAGCATGCTAGCATGCCAGTCGTATTGTCAGTGTCACATTCTCTCGCTCGATCGCCCTGCGATTTCTGCACTGATTACCGCCCTGACCACTCCCACCTATACATTCCCGCCATCTGCATAGTACAGGATTTTCCCTTGCACTTTATTAGCGTAAATACATGTAGTATCACCCTACTAACCAATTAGAATCTCCTATTTTAAGTTTAAAACGGTACCTCTTTTCTATTAGCCTAGTTACTATTTTATTAATGTAAGTCTATTAGAATTAACTTATTTTTCTAGGTATTTATAGTAAAGGTAATTATATTTTTTAGTTTTCTAATAGAGTGTGAGTTATAGTAGGGCCCCTATTACTATTAGGGTAGAAGTACCTTTTTAACCTTATTGCAGGCAAAACCCTGTACAAGTATGTACGTACCTGCGGTACTTGGTCCTCCTAGCCTAGGTGGTCCTCCTGGCCCTGCTGGCCCTCCTGGCCCTCCTCGCTTAACTGGGGCCTCTGCTTTGGTAAGGCATCTATCTCTCTCTGGCAAGGCCTCTAGGGGCCCGCTCATGCTCACCCGACTATGCTTTTTCACCTTGCTTGGCACTAGGAGATGCAGTCCCCTGAGCCGTTCTCCTGGCGAACAGACCCGGCCTGGGCGATGGCTGTCATGGCGGCCAGACACTGGCGACTGGCGTCAACGACCTGGACCGAGTAGTCTACCTGGGGTAGTGCGATGTGCGAGCATTTGCCTTGTTTCTGGCCCGAGAGGGTCGCGCCCATCTAGTCCATCATGGGCAAAATGCCTAACCGGCTCTTGGCTGGGTAACCCTTGAGTCCACAAAGGCTTCTTGTTAGCGACCGTTTACTGTTTAAGCCGTCAAGGCTAAAATCTACCGAGTTGCGCAAGTGATGGGAATTGGCCCCACGATGCTTCCATCCAGAGTCTATCTAAGCGCTTATGTTGACCATATTGGGCAGACTGGGACCAAGTATATAGGATTTTCCCTTGCACTTTATTAGCGTAAATACATGTAGTGTTACCCTACTAACCAATTAGAATTTCCTATTTTAAGTTTAAAATGGTACTTCTTTTTTGTTAGCCTAGTTACCATTTCATTAATATAAGTCTATTAGAATTAACTTATTTTTCTAGGTATTTATAGTAAAGGTAATTATATTTTTTAGTTTTTTGATAGAGTGTGAGTTATAGTAGGGCCCCCATTACTATTAGGGTAGAAGTACCTTTTTAACCTTATTGCAGGCAAAACCCTATATACAGCAAGGTCCACGGGTCCTGTTTTTTCCACTTCCTACAGTACAACCCTGAGAGATACTACTAGAGACACACTGGTGGTGGGTGCGCACTACGGAGTACCTGGCAGCCCTGGGGTATACCGTAGTACACACAGCACCAAAGGCTAACAAGGAAAATGTGACGGCGTCATCTTGTCGCAGACCAGGCTGCCAGGATGGAGCCCTGGGAACCCGCTATTTTGAAGTCACAGCCTCCCCCAGTCCCTCCTTGCTCTGGCCCTCGCTCCCGCCCGCGCCGCCCTGCTGGCTTCCTTTCCCACCGGTCGCCAGCCCGCCCGCCCTGCCCGCCCCCCGGTCCTGGTATAGTTTAGCTAGGTAGCTTGGGCTCTAGGCTTGGGCTGCGCTGCTTACTACTATTAGTCCAGTTCTGGCCGTGGTCACGTCCATCTTGTTAGCCCTAGCCCTGTTGGCCGAGTGAGTTTCTGCTCGGTGCTGTCTCTGGAGTATCTGCAGCACCATCCCAGGGTTGGCCCTCCCTGGAGCCATGGGCTCGGGAAACACGACGAGTGCAGAGAGCACACACACCTTCCTCGCTCCCCCATTCTGCTTGGTCAAGCGACGACCCTCACCGGAAACGAGATAGCGCCAGCGGGGACGAGGGTGGGCAAGCGAGACATTTCCAAGATTTCTGGTCCAAGACAGGCATGGAGAGATCCCGTTATTTTCTGACTGAGACATGCATATTGGATAGAGCGTCTTGCGATCCACGGCGCATGCTTATTACAAGGGTTTTGGGACCGGACCCGGGACTGGGACCTCTGGTCCATCAGTACCTCTTTTGCTTTGCCCGTCCACCAGCACCCGTCCGTGTGGTACCATCGGATCCGCGTGACGATGGCCTTCTTCCCGGAGTCAACTGGTGCTTGCCTTGTGCTCGGCCACCTGTAGCTAGCTGCTGCCGTTGTGCTTGACCAAGGGACCGCCTTTGATGCTAGTGTCGACGTTGGTTGTTGGCTCGTTCCAAAATCCCAGACCCCAGAGGTCACCTGGGTCGGTTGGTCACTGACTGCATGTGTTGTGCCCCCAGCAAGTCAAATTTGCCTGGCCTGTCACCGCATGTCTCTCGTTTCTTATTTTCTCTGCACACAAGAGCAACCAGTTGGTTGAGTGCCCCGTATCCACCGGTTTCTGGTCTCTGCGCTCACTCTGAGCACACGGGCACATCAGGATCATGCCTGCTCTTAAGATTGACCGTGTCCTCTGATCTCATCTGCCGTGCGGTGGGAGTCCACCTTCATCTTCGCAGTATCATTGCGCAAGAGGCCGGTGACGGTAGCAGACAATCTGACGTCTCCCCGCCTCCCCACCGCCTACGCCTCCTTTATTTTTCGGGGCCACGCCACGCCAGACTCGTCGGTGTGTGCACGGGAGTCTGTGATCCCCGTCCGTCTCCTTCCCAGCGCCCTGGCTCTGGGCCGACGAGACGTGAGGTAGTGTCGCACTCGCCGGCAGCTCCCCGAAGCTTATTCTTCACAGCTCATGGCCGCGGCTGTTGCCCGATTGCGGAAGGAGACGCCCCATATAATTGTTATTGATATAGTAGATGGATCTCCCCATCTTTCACATATCACCTTGTAGGTTTGTCCCAGGGCAGGGCTGTCGCGGGCCCTGTCCAATAGCGTCAGCCAGTCATCTGAGCGACGACAGGGCCAAGAGTGCACTATCAATCTGGCTCCCATCTCTTCCGAGCCATGGTCGGGCTCGGCACCGACGGTCGGTGGGGATCAGGGCCTGGGCTGGTGAGGTCACAAGCACAGTCGTGGGCGACGATCCAGATCGCTTCGGGCCTGGGTCGACAAGGACAAGCCCCTGAAACGTCGCCCACTTGGTTGACCTGTGCTGTCTGTCGCTGGCAAGTGCCGCGAGCGCCCTAGTTTCCCAGAGGCAGCCACCGCAAGCTCGAAAGCTTGCGGCGGCCCTGTTTCTCAGTGTCATGTCATATCTCTGCTATTTTTGTTTTCGTGATCGATCACGATGCATGTCTCTTGCGCTGTGCTGCGAATATGTCAGATAGGCACCAGCCAAAAGTGTAGTGCATAGATGCAGTGCAGCACACGTCCAACAGTGGCCATGCCTGGCGGTCAGCTTTCAAGCATATACCGCCCTCCTGTCACACATGTAAGCATCATGATGAGCACTGAACATCTATAGTAGGCAACGACGTGGTACTCGACGCACGTCGAGTGTGCGCTGTAACTGTACAGCCCACAGGGGATGCAATAAGGCAATGAGGAGACCACACCCTGTGGGCGGCGTGCGCCCCGGGTGGTCTATTGTCCCGAGCACCAGCCGGCCGGTCGCTGGTGACTAGATCCCTCTTTCCCGGCCTGGGCCAACCACCCAGCAGTGCACAGGCGTGACGTTCCCGAAATAAGTGCACAGCCTTACCGCACTACCCTTCTTTTGGCTACTGTGTGGTGTCATGTCCCCCCTTTCCTCCAGGCATCAGATCACCTCACCCGCGTGAGAGGCTCATCGGCAGGGTGACTGCATTGCTGCCGCTGCCGCTGCCGCTGCACCTGCACCAGGCATTGATGTCGATGCTGACAAGTCGTCATCGCTATTTCCAATGTCCATGCAGAACCGAATGTCGTACTCTCACCATGACTGTGCACATACCGAGTACGCTTCCCACCAAGCCTTTTCCGTGCACAGTAAGCATCTTGTTTGCTTTCGCTCGTCTCGTTGTGGTAATGGTCCAGCTGCTTCGCTGCCACCACCCAAGCAACCCGCCCGGCCACAACTGGCGGACTAACGAGCCGCTGCGAGCTGTCAGTGGTCGCATGTGATGACTGCCATGCAAATATGCTTAGATGGTGGTGACTGGTATCGCAATCATTACCAATCCAGAGCCTGGCTCTGGCGGTGTCTCCGTCTGCAAGTCCATACAAATGCCCGGATGCATCCACTCTTCTCGGTCGGTCAGTCAGCTTTGCGTGACCGATCGAGAAGTGGAGACCACATTTGTTGTGGGTAAGACCTGCCCTTCTCATCTTGAAACATACCTCGGGGCACCGAGGATGAGCTTCTCCGGCTGCATGTCTGTTCTCGCTTGGAGGGGACTCCTTTAGGTGCTCTGTTTTTGGGTCTTTGAGCGCTAAAACCAAGACCCACGCAACCTCCAAAACAACACCCCGCAAAGCTCATCGTTCCTCGGGTACGAGAAGCTTGTAAAAAAAAGTTTCGTTTATTCATCCGGGCTACATCGGATTTATTAGTTTTCCTCGGTAGTTTCGTGCATATTGCCAATTGAGCGTGGAGGTATCGCTGATCACATAAACCATCGCTGCTTTTGACATGCGTGTCGTCACAGTAGGCCATCCGACCGCGAGCAGCATCTCTCGTGGTACATTGTTATTTCGCCTGGGCAGGTTCTGAGAGGCGTCCCTTTCTAGTGAGGCGTGCGTGTCTCTCTCTGCTGCGAGTCAAAATCTTTGACCGGGTGGGACAAGCAGATGAATCTGGGTCAAACGCCGAGGCATAGACTCAATTTCTCCCGCCGTCCATCTCTCTAGTAATGGGTTAACATTGTTTTGTGAGACCCAAACTGATGGTTGTCACCCTTTGACGGCATGCAGCGAACAATCCCTTTCTGACGAGTCGGGGTGAAGATCTGTCCCTCGAGGATTGCCTCCTGATGCGGATTAGCTGTGGCTGACGTCTTCTAGGCAAAGCCAGGTCCCACACAGACTCCCGACAGAATGTTCCTGCCAGCTGATTGGAGGAGATGCGATGGTCAGAAAAGCTTGGGCCGGGAAAGTCCCTGCATTTGTGGGGATAGCTTTGCCCGTGAATAAAAAAAGAAAAGTCGGGAGCAAGAGAGAGAGGTGGGGACTATGCCCGCTGGCCCGTTGGGTAGGCAATTGCTGCTGCAGTAGACATGCCGACCGACCATTCGACACCTATCGCAGAAAGTTGGACCGACCCAACGCGGAGGCAGGAAGGAGGCTCATCAAGGAAGCCAAGTTCGAGCTTGCAAACGGGTGCTATCACCTGTGGGCAATTGGCGTCGGGATCCTGCCACATCATTGGCGCTCCGTCTTCACCGAACCCAAGCGTGTTTTAGTGTGGGAGCCGGTGTAGGGCCAAAATTCACAAGTGCGCCTTGGGATTTGCTTCTGGCTTTTTTTCAGTCCTGCATCTGTCCGTTGCTTCCCATCCAATCGTTCCCGGCTGCCTCCAGACTGCTGGGTCCTTGTCACAGCCTGTCCGACCTGCAATGCTACCCCGCGATGCCCCGGATGTCATGCATTGGGTCATCTGCTCTGCCTCAGTCGATTTGAGCTGTGCCTGGGCCGGATGGCCGCGCCGTAGTTCTATTGAACACCAGGCGTGGGCCCTCGTAACATCGCTCGAGATGAACGCGTGACTTCGTAATCTCAGCACTCATGCCGCCCGACAAGAGTTGAACCTGATAGGACAGTCGTAGAGGGGTCAATCAAGAACGACGCAGGGCTTTGATGGCGGGCATCAAACAGCCATGAGGATGTCCGACACTGACTTGAGACTGGGCATCAGATATGACCTCCTACCTCACTAACAGGGGGGGGGGTGGCTTGCTGACAAGCATGCAGCCATGCTAGAGGGCTTAAGGGGAACAAACAGTCCACAACACACCCTTGCGACCATGCATTCTTTTGGATGGCAGTAATGATACGGTTTGAGATGCTCTGAGACGAGGTCATATGCGTCGTCTGATATGGACGGCCGTCCTAGGTTCTCTGGTCTGCCAACGGCGCTTGCAGTCCTGTGACGGCTCCCGATGGGCTTGCGCTCCCGGGGCTACTCGACGGGAAAGATGAACATGGTGCCCGTGCGCCTACAGCGGTATTACCCTAGAGGCCGCGAGCAATCGAAGTAGGTTAAAACAGTTGAACAAGGACAGTAGCTCGAGGCGTCGCCCGTGCCCGTGCCCGTGTGTCCGTTGTGCTAGCGCCGGCCACTCGCGCGTCGCTAATAATGATGCGGCATCGTCTGGCATCGTCTGCCTTGTAGCCCGTAGCCTGTTAACCAGTATTATGCAAGGAAAAGGGGACGCCTTCGCTTTGTCGTTCGACAGGTGACAAGCGAGAAATCAGAGTGCTGACGCCCGGCTGGTGGGGAGTTAATTTGAGGGGGCCAAATCCTCTCAGTTGAGGATTTGTAGCAGATGCTTCCAAGGGAAGGTTCCTGTGTACAAGAGCACGCGACGGGGGATCCACTGTGAACGGACAGTACCCATACCCACGTTCGGGGGGTTCGGGGGAGATGGGGCGGGCGTGAAAGGGTGTGATGGTAGCCTGTACGGTGGCTGGATCCGCCGAATGGCTGGATCGTAATCACGGCGACCAGCAGGGTTGCCTCGTGGTATGCAGCCCATCATGTACGAAGGAGCAGGGCTCCCATTGGCGGGCGGCACGGGTCGTATTGGGGAGAGTTGCAATCTTCCGGATGGAGTGGATGGATCCGTGAGACATGTGGAAAGTATGCTTGATGCAGAGTCTGACATGCCTCCCAAATGAAAGGCCAGGGAACGGGATGCATTGACTCGTCGGGGGAGTTGCGGTCAGCCCTTGCATGCTGCCAAATCCGCTCGCAAGTGGATGCCTTAGGCGATGTTGTTGGCTTGACCCTGAACAGGGCAGCTCGACGGCGCGAGTGACCAGCGTGGCAGCCCTCGCAAATGAGAGAATCTCGAGGGACTGGTCCCGCTGTTGGAGTTTGGAATCCTGCGGCCTGTCTGCTCGCTGACTGCCCTTGGTGATTCGCTGCGTGCTGGGGCGCATAGGGCTGACGAGACAGGCAGGACCTGCAGGCCCGCTGTCGGCTGCCCGTGGCACCAAGTCACCACGATTGGTGTTGTGAGCCGGCCGGTACGGAGTACTCTCAGGGGACGGCTCCTACGAGCTGCCCCAGGGCCGAGCAGATGTCTGGAGAGCTGCGCCGCACCCTTGCAGGTTCCTGTTGACGCGCTGCGCTGGCGTGCGGTACGATGCTGGCTGCTGTATGGCGAGCCAGCAGGAACACCAAAGGAGATTTGAAACGCGGGAGGGTGGTCCGGATCGCGACAGCAGGACCAACGTCGTCTGCGGGCGTGCAAGGCCCGCACAACAATAAGCTGCTCTTGCGTGGACCATTGCCCTCTGGACCCTGGCCCTGGTCCCTGCCTCTCAGGATTCCTCCCTGACACGAACTATTCAGACAAGACGAACGGTATTAATGTATGAAGTACCATGCGCCCTCTGGTGGTGGCTGTCATGTGGCTCCCGTTTCTGCAGCCAGGCATCACGACACAGCGCGCAGTAGAGACCGTAGCCTGGTATTGTTGGCCGTGTACAGTACGGATGTAGTGTAGACTGCCTCCCAAGTACGGTAGGGCCTGGCGGCGCTCCCCCCCCCCCCACACACACACACATGACCAAGGCGGGAGGGAGGTCATGTACGGAGTACATAGTGCAAAGTCTTGCGGTCTACTATAGTGTAGCCTGTCAGTCTGGCAGTCAGTCACTTCGGCATTCGAAATGGTCTGGGCGGGTCTCTGAGTATCTCGTCATTGCGCCCCACAGGCGTTGCGATTGGGTGCAGCGTGCAGAACAAGAGGACCCTTTGGGAAATTGAAGACGAGATACGATCATCGGTCCCGAATCGGGGCCTACAGAGAGAATGCCCCCACCTGCCCACTGCCCAGGTGCAATTGATGCCGTCGCTCTTTCCGGAAAGTGACCAATAACATGTAGGCAGGCGCGAGGGCGGGATCGCCGGGCACAGGCTTGTCTGGTCTGCTCCGCAATTTCGAGTTAAACTGTATTACTAGTCCACCCCGATAGAGTGAGGATGTCCCCCCAGACAGGCAGACAGGCTGCCAGACTGACAGGAGCTGCAGACACACGGGATGAGCCTTCCCAGCTTGTCTTGTACACTAAGCCTCTCCCTCTCTCCTCAGGCTTGGGGTTCTTGACCGGTCGGTCAGTCATGGCTACGTGTCTGTGTGTGCGCCTGCCAAGCCAGTCTTATTTGGGCAGTATACCTCGGGTCCTGCTTTGGCTCTTGGGCGATCATCTCTCGGTGTCCATCCTATCGACAAGAAAACCACCCCAATCTCCCAACCTCCTAGGTACCGAGTATGCATTGCGCGGCGGACTCTGCGGGCTTCTTGCCCTTCCAGAAGCCCGCCCTTGGTCGTCACAGGTCGGTGCTTATCCTCACCTCGAAACCTGTTGCGACGGTGAAACTGTGCTACACACCTGTCGAGCTTGCAAGGTTGTGCTGTGTGCTGGGCTACAAGTCGGTAGGTCGGCATTTCTCCCGCAAGGTTGAGCTTTTTTGTTGTGGGGGCCGCCGCCTCTCACAAACGACATTGCCGTGGCTGCACTTCGGCCATGGCCCATTCTCCCCACCAAGCCGCGGTACCCAGTGTGAACTGTACATACGACCGAGCAGACAGATGAGAAGCAAAACACCCCTCGCAAGCAACGCCCGATCCAAGGCCCTTCTCGGTGCCCCTCCAAGAAGCATGGGCTCCGGCCTCGTGCAGCACCGATCTTGTCGTCCTCCCGCCTCGACGCCGGGCGGCAACCAGCTCCGCAAGCCCTAGCTTTGCCAGGCCTAGCTTGCGCGGTGCGGTCGGGGGCGGGTGTGTCCGCTGTCAGGACCTCCTGGGCGGAGGCGGATGCAAGTTTCCTCGAGAGCTTGGCCCCCAGCTGTGCCGTCTCGCCACAGTGCCGCTAGGAGAGAGTTGTTTACGGGTGTCAGGCAAGTCGATGATGTTTGCACGCCCACCAGGGAACGGAACATTCACACACGTAGGTTGCACTGCCGTGGCCGATCTGTCCCTGGAGAGGCTGGCAGCATCATGCGGGCCTCCCAAAAAGACTTGGTGCACTGCAAGAGGGGAGCTGACAAGCACAATCGATGCCCACAAAGACCCTCCCTCCCTAGAGCCTTGTATGGCCGTGTCACCGCGGAACATGCTCGATCCGATGAGGAGGCCTTATGAATGCAACCAGGCATGTAACCTCTATTGGCTACGACTGGTCCCGTCGCGGCGCCAGCGGAATGAGCGTCTGCACGCCTGGTCCACACCTCAAGCAGCGATGCCATGCCGACTGGAGTGTGTTCTCTCTCGAGATCGGCAACCAGGAACCCTGACGCAAGACAGCGCGGTAGATTACCTTGCAGTTCGGTCACGCAGCGCGACATCCCGGGGAAAGACACCGCAGAATCCCTGCCTGCTCCAGCCCCCACCAGAAGAACCTCAAACTTGTACCCCACTCCAGAAACACCATTCGCGGTTCCAAGAAGAAGTACAGGGTTTTGCCTGCAATAAGGTTAAAAAGGTACTTCTACCCTAATGGTAATGGGGGCCCTACTATAACTCACACTCTATCAAAGAACCAAAAAATACAATTACCTTTACTATAAATACCTAGAAAAATAAGTTAATTCTAGTAGACTTACATTAATAAAACGGTAACTAGGCTAATGGGAGAGAGGTACCATTTTAAACTTAAAATAGGAGATTCTAATTGGTTAGTAGGGTGACACTACATGTATTTACGCTAACAAAGTGCAAGGGAAAATCCTGTAGGTGCTGCATCTAAACCAGCCCGACCACCATGCCGGCATGATGGTGCGTTCTGGCGAGAGGGCCCAGATCGCCGGGGCCCTGACAGAATTGAACGTGACAGGAATCAAGGTTTTAACACAAGTCTTGACAGCAAGGATACATCTTAGGCGGTGGGCCCTGCGATCTTTGCCAACGCTACTGCAAGTCGTAGGCTCCCACAGACCTAAATTTGGAAATGAGTACGGAGTGACCTAGGCAGATGTGCTGACTGTTCCAGTCGCATGCTGTTGGCAAAAGCGGTACGTATCTTCGCTGCTACCTAGGTGGTGCCGGCACCCTAGCCGGTGCAGATGACGGAGGACGGGATCCATGCTCGCAGAGTCGATAGCAGCTCCACTATACCTCCCTCTCAGACGATCCCCGGCAAGTTCGACGTGGTCCCCACCGCTCGAGACCCGACGCTCTGGCACCGGGGACCAGGGAGTGCGGGTGATTGAATGGGGGTGGCTTTCCTATCGCGGGCGTCGTCCCACTGCCAGGACGGACTTACCAGCGCCTCGGGTCCAACCAGCATCTGACAACTTGCATGACTGCCAGAGCAAACTCTTCCAAATGCCGTTCTGATCACCGGCGGGCCATGGCCGCTCACTTCCATGCTGGCCCGCGAGCTGCACGCACACAACAAACAGCTCGAGGCACATCTACCGGTGCTTCTCATTGCCACCTCGATCGTGGGCCTGGGGAATGAGCGCAAAGCTAGACATTGCTACAGATGTCGGGAGTTACATCCAGCAAGGTGATTACTTGACTAAACGAGTCATCCCTTGCTCCTCACCGTGTGGGGGAGGCAGTCCAGATCCCATCCAGGAATCAGAGACAAACCTGGCATCCTCGTGAGTCGGCCTCGCTTGGCGTCAGCTCATTTTCATGGGGTGTTGGAAGACGCGGCACTGTCTAAACCCCAGTGCTGCATTAGCCACAAACAAAAGCGTAATGTCGCAAGGTTGCAACTACGGAGTACCTCCCTCTGGCTACAGAAAAGAACTTGCGCACTAGGCGGAGGGCTCGAGGGGACCAGCAGGGTTCGGATGAACGTGGACCAGCCGTCTTCCGCGACACCGCCAGTCTGGTAACTAGTACTGGGAGCTCCCGCATGCCGCTCAACCCAGCCTTGGAATGCGTTGAGATGAGATGGACCCTAGGGATGTCGGCGCCGGGGACATTGCGCCATCTGACGGCATGCTGGCCGCCATCAACGCCCTCGACCTCCAAGCAGGGACTGCGGTCCCGGGGTGTCGGTACGGGAGACGTGCTGTCAGCTATCGTCCATGCCTGATGCTTGTTGCGATCTTCTAGGCTAACGGACATAGTGCAATAAAGCATATATTAAATGTTGACCATTTGCCTCCCGGCATTCTGATTGCCGCCGATTGGCAAGGGTTAAGCAGCATGCCAGTACCTTGTCCAGCATACAGGATTTTCCCTTGCACTTTATTAGCATAAATACATGCAATATCACCCTACTAACCAATCAAAATCTCCTATTTTAAGTTTAAAACAATACCTTTCTCCCATTAGCCTAGTTACCATTTTATTAATGTAAGTCTACTAAAATTAACTTATTTTTCTAGATATTTATAGTAAAGGTAACTATATTTTTTGGTTCTCTAACAAAGTGTGAGTTATAGTAGGGCCCCCATTACCATCAAGGTAGAAGTACCTTTTTAACCTTATTGCAGGCAAAACCCTGTACACGAAGAAATCCCTCCCCCGGGGTAGAACTTGGCTTCGGCGCCGCTCGAGCTTCACAGGGATGCATGGTGGCAGGTGGCAGGTGGTGTAGTCTCCCTGCCAGCTATCCGCAGCCACTAAACTAAACGAGCTCGGTGAAGGTGATAATGGCACGGCGCAGAAACTAATTGATCCTTCGCTATCACATCACATCACTGTGCAGCCCAGGCCCTAGAGGCACGCCAGATTGCACCGACACCGACAGTCTGGGTCGACTAGCCTTCCCGCAGCCCCTGCTCACAACCCTCAGACAAGATCTAACTGATGCAACACCGCACGCCCGAGCTCACCTCTTTTGGTTAACCGTGCCCGTCATCTTCCCCCGAACAGTACCCACATTTGAAGCATTTCAATCGATGATTGATTGATTGCACTGCAAGACGGTCAGCTTGGGATAGATCATGTTCTCCTCCACCCCTCGCACCTCCCCCGACCTTCCCTCCGCGGTCTGGTACGTCGAGCATTCCAAATAATAAAGTTTGGCTCCATCGACTCTGTCGATCGGCCGCCCCATCTGGCTGGATGTCGACGCCTGGGCCCACGCGCGTACATAGATTCCCCCCGCGACCATGAGGCCCATGAAGACAAGGACCCGTATAATACTGTTTTGGTACGGCGCCTTTTGCGCGGACAAGTCTTAGACCTGGCTCGGCACGTATGCCATCCGAGATGAGGAGCTACCTCCCATTGGAAGATTTGTTGAAGATCTCGGGATCCTCGTCAATCTAGGTCGGCGATCATAAACATCTTGCACAAGGGGCCAGGGGGCTTGAGTCAGCATCGGACACTGAGTAGCAAGCAGTTCCGCATCGACATTGTCTGCTGGGCGACGCCGCCGCCGTGGTACCAATGTGTCAAACAATGCAGGGCCTGCGTCAACCCACCGCCACAAGCAATAGCCATCACTTTTGCAACATATGTGCGTCCGTACCACCTACCGCGCAAATTGACGCCGCTCAGCAGTCGGCCAGCGCTTCAAGGCGACGCCAGGGGAGAGCCGCCCCGCCCCAACAAAAGACGACTGTTGTGTGGAATTGGCGGGTGGGCTGTGGTCTCCACTGCTGTTCCCATGCGACGAAGGACTTTCCTCTCGTCCGAAGTCCGGATGTTTGCGGCAAGGCCCAACATGACCAAGCTTGCCCCATGATGGCCCGTCCGACCTCAGCACCCGGGGGCCGAGATACATGCCCATCTAGGACTGTGCAAGCAATGGCCGCTGCCTGTGCCCGCGCGTCCCAGGTCGTTTCCGGGGTGGAATGGCGACCCAATGTGATGCGTTGTCGACCTCCACCCCTCCCAATACAGGCGCGCATGTTACAGTACAGAGCAAATACCACAGTGATAACAAAGCACTAATGGGCATGATAAACAGAGAGTGGAGGAGCCCGCAATCCTACTACCACCACCCCCTGCGCACCCTTGCCCTGGAGGGCAGCATGGACCCTCGCTTGGGCGCGTGGTACCTTTGGAGACTTGGCACACACCGCCGCCACCACAGGGGAGCAAATGGGGGACCCACGGCGGGACAGCGCATGCGGAAGGATTCGCAAGAGGTTTCGCCCAAGGAAGCAGGGCAAGGTGCGGCCGCCAGGATTCTTCGCAAGGGGCGCCGCTCGCCTCACGCGAATCGGCGGAGGACAACACATCCTCTCACCCACGCACATGCACCCCCTTCCCCCCCGGTCGGCAATTTTGAGCCTCATCCCCAGTGCTTTCAGGGTGTTCTGGACTCCCCAGTGGACGTGGGACGGCGGCGGCACCTTGGTCAGCAGCGGACAAGGCCCATCGGCTGCCTGACTTGCTGACCTGATTGTTAAAACCGATGGCCTCTTTTCGGGCTTGCAGTAGGCCGGCGACTATAGTGCGACGCCCCGAGGTTGTTGCCCCAAGGCCTAGCTAGCACCCCCACCCCCGAGAGACTTTTGGCCCCCAATGGCTGTCACGGCATGTGTCTGGTGACTGGTTGCACTCCTATCTATGTTACCTTGTCTAAGGACGCGCATTAATCGCACCACATGGGCCTCTAGTGAGCATGCACATGTCATCTAAGTCTACAGTGTCTAGCATCAACTTCGCAGTTGTGTCTGGGTATATCGCCACCTCGAGTTGCTTTCTCGCCAGCTAGCAACGCCATGCCCATCCCAAGAAAGTCCTAGTCCTGGCCCGCTGCGGGACGGAACGTCCGCCCTCCGGAGCACGGGGACCCGAGTCTTGGGCCGTCCGACCAACCTTGTCCTGGCATCCTGGTTGGTCGAGACCTCAGGCTGGGCCCAGGTCCGAACGGCGGCGAGGCAGCAAGGCCGTGTCTTGCTGGCGACGGCGTCTTTCTAGAGGTCCTGTACCTCGGCCCGCCAGCCCCAGCAGCCAGGAGGGTCGTCGGCCGTGAGCAGGCGCATGCCCGACGCCCGGCAGACCTGGATGGAGACCTGTCTCACGGCGCGTACCTGCTCAACGCTTGCGCCGCCGTTCAGGGCGCCCCTTAGGTGCCCTTTGAGTTGGGGGTTTACCTGTTGTGCCCGCATTAGCTCCGGCGCTGCTTCCCGCTGGCTCAGGCCCTGCACCAATCCTGTCGGGCCTCTCTTCTGATCTGTCCTCGCCTCAGGCTCCCTCGCGCGCCTCCAGGGCTCCAGGGCAGCGCCACCGCGACTTGTTTTCCTATTGCGCTTTTTGTCTGACGGGCGGGTACCTCGCAGGCGGCGCCCAGCGCGCTACGTGCACCCACCCGGTCTCAACCCCCATCCCCGTATCCCTCTGCTACTAGAGGCGCCACGGAGATATCTCGCCCCCATGCCTGACCATGCCCGCTGGGAGATTTTGAGGGTCGGGGTTGGACTCACATCCTGCGGTACGAGGCCCGCGATCATGACGAAGGAGGTCTCGGCCTCTGACAGCACGGAGGTGGTGCTGAGGAGGTAACCGTAGGCAAGGCGCACGGCGAGGCCAAGGTCCTCGGTGCCGCAGGTGTCCAGGGACGTCATGACGCGAGGGGCGACCTTGCCGTAGCATCCGTCAAAGAAGCGCCTGCCGCGGCCGAGGACGTCTGGCACGGGCGTGTCGTATAGGTCGCGACGGCGGTTGGTCGGGGACGAGCCCTGCGGCTCGTCGATGCACCCCGGCGGCACAGCCTTCTTGAGCTCCTGGAGGGCGTTGATGGTCTACGCGCACACGAGGGGAACAGAATAGGGTCAGAGCAGGCAGGCCAAGGTCATGACAGACAGGTCGGGTCGGATGGGTCGGGAGCAGAAGCACGCTTCAGGGGGGATGGGGACGGGGACAGCAGGGCGTTGTGGGAAGGGGGCATAAGGAAGGAGGAGGATGGTGCGTGCCGCTAGACGCGGGCGTCGTGGTTTGCCCTTCCATCTCGTAACGGCTTGTCGCGCCCTGCCCTGTGATGCTTGCTTTTTTTTACTTTTGCTTGCTTGATTGATTGCTTGTCTGATTGCTTGCTTACCTTTGGCAGCCCGCCTATGGCGGATGTCTTGAGCAGAGCCTCGCGCAGGCGCCGCGCTATCCTCAATTGTCGCGCGTGATGATGGTGATCTGCGACCACGCCCGTGGTACCTGCGCCTGCGCCCGCATCCGCGGCTGCGTCTGCCGCCACGGCGTGCCTGAATACGTCCTGGATCTCGTCGGGCCTGTTCAGGACGCACAGCGTGGTCGCGACGACGACGTACCACATGTCTGCTGGCATGCCGGGCTGGCTGCGCAGGGTGTCCAGCACCCGCGGGGTGAGGGGGGTGGGGCGGTTTCCGGACATTGTATGATTATGCTGTGGTACTGGAGGTGGTGGTGGCGTGGTGGTGAGGTCGCGACTTCATGTGATGGAATCCTTCCGGGACCTTCCAGGAGGCCTTGCCGGGTGGGGGCTGTTTCTCTTCTTAGCTCTCTGGGCACAAATAGTCTGTCTACAATGTAGTCTTTGTGTTTCGGTAAGCGCCGTCGGCTTATTCGGGGGTTCAAGCTTTTGTCGGCAATTAATCAGACGACAGAATGGTCAGTGGTCACTATATTGATCCCTCGTTAACCCCCCGTGGGCCGCGTGGGACCCCGTAGGAGCAGGATTCACGGGAGGAGGTGCGCGGAGTGGACCTCGATATGGAGACTAGATGTGACTCCCGGCGCGACAGGGAAGGAAGGACTTGACAACCCGTCAGCAAACAACGCATAGTCTACTACTAGACACGACAGCCAGGAAGAAGCGCATCATGGCCCCCAAAGATGGGCCGTGGGGAGCCAGCCCTTGGTAACCTGGATCGATGTTCCGGTGGGATTGCCGATCGAAGATTTGGTTTCTTGGATGGAAGGGGGGGAGGGGGGCGACACAGAGATCCATCGTGCAGCAACAGGTCAGTTATCGGATGGAAGGATGGAAGGGTACTAGGCGAGAGGAGGCCCCCACCAGAATGGCCCGTTGGTGTCCCGTCCAGATTTCCATCCAGTCCGGCCAGTCTGTTTGCCGCGAAGGGGGCGGGGCCCGGGGCCCTGTCCTCGATGTTCTCGATGGTTGGTGAGCAAGGTCAGCAAGGTAAGCACCCAAACCAACAGACCAAGGAAGGATGCTGCTCCCACCCGAAGAAAGCATGCACTGCGCGAAACAGATCGTGTGTGTGTGTCTGTATGCATGGGACACGAAGCAGAGCAGCATTGGGGGCCCCAGGCCGCATCGGAGACTCTCTGCCGAGCCGTGTTGCGCGCGTGTTGATGCATCTTGACGGACGGGTGTGTGGGTGGGAGGGTGGTGTGGGTGGTGTGGTTTGTTGTTGCACAGGGCTGCTGCTTGCTGTTGATCAGAGTATGTGTGCAGAGTGACGAAGGACCCAAAAATAGTGACCCTCTGCCGACAGCACACAGCCATATCATGCTGCAGGCACAGGGGAGGCACCGGGAGCGCAGGGCGTGGCCGCATGGGGCTCATAGGGCACTGCCAGACGCCCAGGGTGGCTATGCTACCCGTGCGGCGGAGCGTGCTTGCTTTTCGCAGTAGGGCTGTGTGGAACGACCACGCACGATTTTTTTTCCCGCGTTGCTGCAGCTGCCGCTGCTGTTACTCGCTCGAAGCCGAACCAACTGCTGGCCTGCCTTGGTACTTTGGACCCGAACCTGCATGCAGACACGTTGTCGTGCCCTGTGTGCCTGATTTATCGATTGTCAATTGACCTGTTGCTTTTCCTTCTTCGTCATCATCCCTGTCTGTTGTTGTTGTAGCAGCCTCGTCTGCCTGCGGCCTCCTGGACCAGAGGCTCTGGCGTCGAGGCAGTGGGGAGCTATTTTGAGCTGTGCCAGACGGGATACTGGCAAGCAGGCTGGCAGGCTGGACGGCACGAGGGAAGACAGCTCGGAAGAACAAGAGCAGCAGAGAGGAGGATTGGTGGTGAGCTGGCTGACAAACCTGAGACACTCGGCACGCAACCAAGCCGTCAGACGCACTGTGGAGATACCGGACAAAGGTTGAGATGGCGTTGACCTCTCGCATCGCCTTAACCGGTGCCCCTGCCGAGGACCCAGAGGACTTCTTCGGCTCCTCGCTGGGCGTCATCTTCCCGGATGATGTGATGAACCAACGTGAGTGTGTCTCGACATACATGTAACGAGGTACCCAGGGGTGCGCATGCGGTTGGTTATGTTATGCACATGTTGGGCCAGTGGGGCGGGCGGTTGAATGGCGTGGTCCTGCATCTCGCCCAGTACGGTACTAATTCAACTCTGATTGTTGCTTTTGCTGCTGTTGTTGCTGCTCCTGCCGTCATAATTATCTGCCGCTCGGCTGCGAACCAACCTGCCGTGCCAAAGAACCCCTGAGGGCCCCATGCACGCGAGCGCTCCACTGCCCAAGAGACAAGCGACAGGAACAGGGATGAAGAGATGAACACTATTGCTAACACCTCACAGATGGCGATGCCGAACACGGGCTCCTATACAAGTCCCCCCATCTGCCCAAGCCCCTGCACATCACCCTGGCAGACCCGGTGGCCGACGCCGACCGCAAGCTCTTCAGCCACTACCTCTGGAACTCCTCGCTGCTGCTGGCCGAGTTTGTCGAGTCCGGCACCTTGGGGCTGGGCCCGGAGCAAGGCGGCGTCGAGAGCCCCCTCGGCCCGCCCCTGTCCTCCTTCAGCGTCAAGGGCCGCTCCGTCCTCGAGCTCGGCGCCGGCACCGCCCTGCCCTCGCTGCTCTCCGCCCTCCTCGGCGCGGACCGTGCCCTCCTGACCGACTACCCGGCCCCCGTCGTCATCTCAAACCTCACCGCCAACGCCGCGCGCAACTCCCGCTCCGACATGTCGCCCTCCGCCGCCGTCGCGCCCGTCGAGGTCGAGGGCCACGCGTGGGGCCAGCTGGACACCCCGCTCGCCCAGAGGGGCCGCCACGCCTTTGACCGCGTGTTTGTGTGCGACTGCCTCTGGATGCCCTGGGAGCACGAGAACCTGCTCAGGTCCATCGAGTGGTTCCTGGCCGACTCGGCTGACGCGAGGGTCTGGGTCGTTGCCGGGTTCCACACGGGCCGGGACAAGTTGAGGGGGTTCTTTGACGGCGAGCGCGTGGCCGGCCTGGGGCTCGAGGTTGAGAGCATCTGGGAGAGGGACTGTGACGGTCTTGAGAGGGAGTGGGTCCTGGACAGGGGCATCGAGGACCCTGTCGGCCGGAAGAGGTGGCTTGTCTTTGCTGTGCTGAAGAGGGCTGCGCCTTGAAGAGGTGGTATCCTGTTGGCAAGGGGGAAATATAACAAGAAAGTGCGGTGAAAATCACGGCCGCGAGTCGTCCCGGCCCGCGGGCGATTGTCACCGGGTGTCCATACTTGTTGGGGGACCCGTGTGTGTTTGTTTGTGCGAGTGTCGCGAAGGGTCAGGAAACCTTCTGTCCAGGCCGATGATCAGCATCCGTCGGGGCACGGATCGCGCATCCATCAGCGCCGCATGTCCCAGCGCACACACAGCCGCCGCTTAGCGACAGCTGATGGTTCTCTCTCGCCGTAGCAGCGGCGCAAGTGGTGGCATGCAGATGGCTTTGGCGCCGAATGGGAGCTGTGTTCATATACCATCCAGTATATAAATTCATAAAGTCTATCGGTCCAGGGATCTTCGCGTAGTCGTGACTCTGCGAGCTTGGTATAACTCTCCCGCCTGGTTGCCGATGATCCTCATACTCACCGGGTCGTAGCTGATCGGGAGCTGGTGCAGTGCTACTTCCATGGGCACCACCGCTCCGCGTCTGAGAAGGCGCGTGGGAGATATTACGTTGTGCCAGTCACCTGAGAGGTCTCTGGAAAGGAAGGGCGTTGGCTGCTGCCGTGATGGGCCCATATTCATGCACATGGTGCGGATATCTGATCCGGAGTTAGATCTCTGGTGGATGATGACAATGATTTTCCGTCAGTAGTTTCCAGTCACGCTTCTTTGTGAGGACTTATATATTCACATAACCGGTGGTGTTCCTTTCGGGCAACTCCGGACGGGTTCCTTGAAGCCACAAGGCATTTCTTCCAGCACAGCTGTAGTATGTCTCGTGCCCACCGTACTGGTTCACATCATTTCTCATATTTTTCTAATTTCTCCATCTCAGACGAGCATCATGCTCACTACTTACCACACGATCACCACGTATTCCCATGATTTCCAGTCATTGGTGGTTTCACTACCAAGACTGTCATCACTGAGACACAATCACATCTCCAAGGGGTCTGATAGATCAGGTCGCACCACATGGAGTCGACTCGATCGAGGCCTTTCTGCCTGTCTACTTGTGAACCCCGACCAGCAGCAGGCCCCAATCGATGGGGCAACAAACCTCGATGGGACGATAATCCGGATGGTGCCGGGATCGCTGTCTAAAGAAGCCCCAGCAACGATGGCGAAATCACAAATTCAGAGCGAGATTGTCGGCGTGTTGTATCAGCTGCGTTGACTGGTATTGGAACAGGGAATTGTTCACTGACGATCCAGTTGTGCCCCTCGCCAGATTGCTACTCATCACAAGACTGACAGCACCACAGGAAGAATGGGAGAGAGGAAAAGAGAACAGTGAAGAGGAACTTGAGGGCAAGAGGCAGCCGGCGGGTGTATCCTTGTCCCTGGCATCGTTTCACAATCATCATCACGATGCAGGAGGCGTCAGCTTCGGTTCACGGTAAATGCTGTACATCGGATTACTGTCGGGTATCACAGCCCTCAGACTGACCTCAACCTCCTGTCTCCACCGTGGGCCCCTTCTCGTCCATCTTTGCGATCAGGTCCCAGCTCACCCGGAGGTTCTCCGCCGAGCTCAGCCTGCTCGCGATGTCCGTCTCGTGCCTCTCTGCGACCAGCCTCCTCAGCGCCGTCGCCAGGAACCCGGCCACCACGTCGACTGACCATTCCTCCGGGATGAGCTCCAGCACGTCCATGACGTCGAACCAGCCGCCGAACCGCTCGAGCAGTGCCCCCGTCTGCTCGACCCTGTCGCTGACGTCGTCGATCGCGAGGAACTCGCCCAGCAGCGCGCGGAACAGGCCTGCCTGCGTTTCCTCGCTGGGCAGGGACTCGCGCCGGCCTGATTGCGGGATGTAGATGCTCGCGCCGCCGTAGAGGCAGTACGACACCGCCGTGTCGAAGTCCCCAAGACGGTGGACAAGGAGCCGTAGGGCCTCCTCGTGCTTGCGCTCCCTCCCATCGAGGATGATTGCCTCGGGCACAAGTAGCTGCTCCTCCGCCTTGTCGGCGGGCAGGGCCTCGCTGATTCTCTTCCTGATGGCCTTGAAATCGTACTCGTGAGTCTCGCCGAGTAGCTGTAATAGACGTAGCCGACTGTGCCAGATTTCGTCGTCTTCTGGTGCATTATCCTTGAGGAATTGTTTGTACGTCGGCTTTGGTGCCCTCAGCGCCCTGTACGCTTCGTACGTGGAGGCTATGGCCTCTCGGGCCTGGGGGGAAGACTGAAGCTCGTGGATGACGATGTCAAGGTAGTATGTAATGAGCTCATTCACATACTTCGTATGCCCTTTTCCGAACACCAGATGCTCGAGGTAGTATTTCACAGCATCTGGTGCTTGCTCACGCAGGATTCCGACGACATGCGCTGGCTCGAACTTGGGAGCACGGCCCTTGTCGTCTGCAAAGACCTGCACACCAAGCTTCGGATTGCGGTTGGCAAGCCATACGCCGAATTCCTGCACAAGAGGCTGACTGCTGACTTTGGAGAGGTATTCCCGCACGCGCAGCTCGCCGTCCCGGAATTCCCCTCCAATGTCTTCCTCGCCCTCAATGATGCGTCTCCACGTTGCCAGGACGTCGGCCGACATCTTACGGCTTTGATAGAGTCGGCTCAGCACGAAGAGACGGTTGTAATGTTCGAGCAGATCCACGGCTCGATCAAAACAGTCCACGCCCTTGTCCACTAGCTCATAAAGCTCCGACCGGATGCTGCCGTTCCTTCCTATACCCTTTGGTGAATCTTTGTCAAGCTCTAGCAAAACCATCAACAGGGCAGCATCCACGGTTCTGAATACCTCACTGGCGTTCGCCGTGCTGGCCATGCCTTTTTTGCGATGGACGCCCCAAAGGTAGGATTTGACAAATAAGAGGGTAGTCTGTCCCAGACTGTCAAGAGCTTGGCCGCCTTGATTAAACTTCTCAGAGGCCATATACCTCTCAACTGTGGCCTTGACGCCCCCGAAAATCCAAATACCCTTCCTAGTCTCGATTATTTCATTCCGTAGGCCCGGGACCAGACCAAGGACCACCCTTGGATCTAAGCTGGAATCCAGGAGAACCTCTTCCATGGCCTTGAGCTCAGGCGGGAAGGGTGTCTCGTTTGAATGCAAGAAGCTTGTGAACAACAGCACACTTGCCCTCTGCTTGATGTAGCTGAATGTCATGAACTCGAGCTCTGTTCTTGCATCTCGTCCTCTGATCGTCGCCAGGACGGAGAACAGTTGACGACGCTCCTCAGCCGTATGAGGTGCCTCATGTGCCTCCATGGCTGAACACTGAATCTTCGCATCAAGTTGCAGGAGTAGTGGGTTCCTGACCGCCCACCATATATGATTACCGGACCAGACGGCGAGACGGGAGGTGGTTCTTGCAAATCGCTTGGCGAAATCCTGCTCCTCTTCATTCCTCATGGCTTCCCAGCCATCAGGCAGTGGGGATTCGTCGTCATCCCTCTCGAATAGCTCCCTTTCTTTAGAAACCCTCTCCATCGAAATCGCTGTCCGAGAATCCAAGCTTCTGAGTGACATTGCCGATGACTCAAGCTGATTTCCAGAAAAGGGAGAAAACTTCTTTTGGCAAAGCTTGTCCACAACTTCTTGAAGGTTGGATTCTTCTGTTCCCCTGAGAGACTTGATGCCAAGTGGGGGAGTCCTGGCATCATTTGGGGATTTGGAAGGCTCGATTGGAGGAGCTTCGAGCCAGTGCTTGGTAGGCATTTCCTCGCCAACATTCAAATCCCAGCGCTGTATCTCAAGTCCATTGTGAATGCCATCCTGAAATTCTTTGGTCATCGATGCTAGAACGTAACCCTCCTCTTCTTCACCCATGGAAGGTCTTGAAGATGACAAGTCCGCTCCTCCTCCATCAACGATTATCTCCTTAGGATATCTGTCGAATTCCAAGGTCGGTCGGGTCGGGTCACCATCGAGGTTCACAAAAATACCTATGCCAGGGTCATGAGGGCCAGTTCCCGTGACAAGAAGAAACTCTTCGGACGTGGGCGACACTATATGTGCCTTCAAAATCACCGGGGCAGCGGCGGGGGCCTTTGGGGTTTGGGCGACTCCGCCAGGAGGGCTGGGTAACGATTTGTCCGCAGGGACTTGGCTTTGAGTGGGTTGCTGTGCAGGGCTTCCTGTTCGTTGCGGGGTGTCGGATCCTTGTTGGTGATCGGAGTCATAGCCTTCGCTATTGTTCTGCCTTTTCATAGCCTGGGACATGAAATTCCCTAGACTTGTACTCCTACTATGGCTGTGACCATCGTTGGTGCCTGAGCTCGAAGGTCTGTTCTGTGCCGAAGAGGCGCTGCGCAAGATACCAACCTCAGAATTCCCAGCAATGTTCTGAGCCTGGCCCATATTCGGCTGCGAATCGTCGAGGGAGGAGATGGCCATTAGAGGTATCTTCAGCTGACGGTTGACGTCCAAGAGTGCGTAGTTCCTCGAGTCGGCGACGCATGCGATTGAATCTCTCCGGACTGAAATCGTGCTCCCGGCAAAATCAATTTGCTTGAAGAATGTCAGCACACACACGCGTAGAGAGAGATATACAAGCCTCAGTTCGCTCCTAGGGCGCCGTGCTATCTCACCTTGAACACTCTGGCATCCTCTCCAACCCGAACAACCTGGATCTTGCGGGCCAGTGACAGCAAGATTGTCTCTCCGGCGGGACGCCCGTCATCACGGTCATTATTATCATTCTCCGTAAGGTTCAGATCCAAGCCTCCAATCCAATAGCAGTTCTTAACCCGCACGGTGCCGAAGACGGGGCTGAGCTCTGGCAGCGAGTAGAAGGTGACGGTGTTGTTGCATAGAACGCATGCCTTCTGGACCCTGGACAGCAGGAGGATCTGCTGCACCCCTGGTTTTGCGTTTCCAGCAAGTGAACTCTCGATATATGTCGGGCGCAGCCTCGAGGCGAGGATGAAGACTGGCTGGCTGGCGCTGTCGGCGGGATCGGGCGGGATCTGGACGAAGTGGAGGAGTTCCGAGGCAGAGGTGCCTATGTAGAGGTTGCCGCCTTGAAAGAAATAGTCAGCATGGGCCAATCGGTAGGCGGCAGCTACGGGGCCGGTCTTACCAAGATACTCGACGAAGTTGATCTTGACATCGTCGTTGTCCCCGTCTTCCGACAGTGGCACGTCCTCCAGCAGCGTGCGCAGCACGAATGGCCCAGTCGCAGGTTGGGGCTGTGCGCCGGAGCTGACAGCTGCTGTGTCCTGGCTCTCTCGGCCGTCGAAACCCATTTCCAAGCCGCTCATGTCATCGCAGACACTCTGTATTCATTATCAGCGCCGGTGGCAACAGACAGGCGTGGAGCTCGTCGAGCTGATGGGTGATGAGTGTAATCCGAGGTGGGCTGGTAGCGCGGGCTGCACGGCCAAGCTACCGCTGCACTGTGATGCGGAGTACAGCTGCCTGCCACTAGAAGCTTGGCCCGGCTGGGACAGGAGGGACCCCTGTGACGTTCCCCGGATCGGCCGCTGGCACGCAGCTGCATGCCTGGCCAGTCCAGCAGGCGTGCTTCCGTACTCCGAGCAGACTAGAAATAACACATCACCCTTGGCCTGCCTCCTTCAACGACGGCGCTCGAGCCCACATTGCGATCCCCGCGCGCTGCCTCGAGCTTCAGCTCCTGAGCTGCTGACATACCCTCCCGTATTTCATGATCGCAACCCAGCAATAATGGCTGAGCCATCGAACCTTCAAGCTGCCTCCGGGCCCGGAGCTGCTTCGACTCTGGACAACACCACCAACAAGTTTCAGGCCGCCATCTCAGCATGGAGGAGTACGTCTTGTCCCCACCATGCTGCTCCCAGATACCACATGCGCATAGCTAACTATTTGATCCCCAGATATTGACATGACCACCCTGGTCTCCGGCCTCGACAACACTGCTTCCGAGATCGTAACATACCAACGGGATTCAACTGTCCAGAGGAAGGACTTGGCGCAGAAGACTAAGGATTTCAGGAAACTGGATGATGCTACCAAGCTGTCCGAGATCAAGGGGTTGCTGAAAGGTAATGGAACCACCGCGCCGCCGTTCTCGGCCTGGTCCTGACATAATGACAGCCTACCAAACGTTCATCGATCTGTTGACCAACCACTCCAAGTCGGTCAACTCGGCATTCCTCCATGCCTACACATCACTGTCCGACGCACCGGATCCGTACCCACTACTCGAAGCGGCCGTCGACTCCATGCTTGTCTCTGAGGAGACCCTCCCGAGAGTCACGGAAGAGAACGAGCGCCTGCAGGGCTCTGTGGCGGGGCTCACAGCGCAGCTGGAAGACACAGAGTCGAGGTTGCAATCGGAGAGAGAAGCTCGAAAAAAGCTTGAAGACACGCTCGAAAGCAAGGTCAAGGAAGTTGAATCGTCCTGGATCGCAGTACTGGACGAGAAGAAGGACAATTGGGCCGCAAAGGAGAAGACCTTGGAAGACAAGGTCGAGAACCAGGAGCGCCTGCTCAACGAGGTCAAGGCCAGCTACGAGGTTAACCAACGTCTCGGGAAGTCTGAAGATGACGAGGAAGAGCCCAAGGGCCATGTCACCAGCGCCGAACTCGAGATGGTACACTCAGACCTCGAACGAACCAGCATGAGGTTGGCCGAGGTCGAGGCGCGCAATGAACAGATGCGGCTCGAGCTTGCGCAGGCCAAGTCACAGGTACCTAGCCAGCAAGCCACAGCACTAGAGGACGATCCGGGCTACATGCGCATGAGATCCGAGAACTCGTCTCTGATACGGAAGCTGGACGCCTCGAGGGTAGAGAAAGAAACCCTGAAGCGAGACCTGGACGCGAAGCTGCGCACGCTGGAGAGGGAAGTGAGCTCTTTGAAGGAGGATCGGGACGCATTAAAGGCGAAGGTGCAGAAATGGGGCGACTATGACGATATCAAGCAAGAATTAGAAGTGCTCAAGAGCATTGAATTCTCGACAGGCGACGATGATGAGGTCAAGGATCTAATAGACGACCAAAACGGGGACGCCGCGAAGGGCAAGGGGGATACGCTGGAGCAGCTGCTACTGGCGAGAAACAAGAAGCTGAGTGAAGAATTGACGATACTACGGGTTTCTCACCAGGACCTCCAGGGCAGACTATCAGATCTATCCGAGGAGATGTCCCGGACCAACGCGGAGCTTGAGAAATCTCAAAACCTGAACGAGAAGTTGGAGAACGACCTCGCCAACATCCAGTCGGAGCATTCGAATGCTTTCCCATCAGGAGCATCTGTGGCGGGTACATACGTCAGCAGGTATGCGCCATCAATGGCGGCCGGCCGCAGGGGTGGGGGAGGCCGCACATCGCCCACGTCGTCCATAATCAGCGGTTTCAACCCGCGGGACTCGGGCGGCGAGCCCATGGGCGGTGGCTCTGGGATTCTCCCCATGATCACGGCGCAAAGGGACCGCTTCAAGAAGCGCAACGCCCAGCTGGAGCAGGAGCTCTCCGACACCCACCGCAGCGTCTCCCAGCTCCGCCAGGAAATCGCGGCGTTGCAGAAGGACAACCTCAACCTCTACGAGAAGACCCGCTACGTGTCGTCCTTCAACCGCAGCAGCAACAGCACCGCGGCGGTGACCTCGTCCTCGTCATACGCCAACAACCCCAACCCGTCAACAGTGACCATTGGCGGCAACGGCGGCGGGTCTGGCGGGATGGACCGGTACCGTGCCGCCTACGAGTCGAACATAAGCCCGTTTGCGGCATTCCGCGGGAGGGAGTCTGCGCGGGCATACAAGCGCATGAGCTTCCCTGAGAGGGTGGTGTACTCGGTCACCAGGATGGTGCTAGCGTCCCGGACGAGCAGGAACCTGTTCGCCGCGTACTGTGTTGCGCTGCACCTCTTGGTGTTCTTCTCGCTGTATTATATGGGGTCATCGGATGCGGATCAGCAGGCCACCAATTTTGGGCAGACGGCTGCTGCTGCTGTGGTTGCTGCCGGCGGTAGTGGGAGCGGTAGTGGGGCTGGGAGTGCAGGGCACGGGAATTGGAAGGAGGGCGCTTTTGATGATAAGTCATGAGAGACGGAGAGATCAGTTGCAGAGAGACAATATAAGAGGTATATTCAGGGACAGTGTCAAAGAGTGGGTGCTCGAGGCTTCTGTCCACAACGAGCCGTCCTGGAATCAGGCTCTCTCAGCGACCTGGGAGACACCGAGGAGCCGGCTGCACTGCAAGCCCATGCTCCTGAGATCCATCTATCCTGGTGTCCCGGTGTTGTGGTAACATGCACGGAGTACGTCAGTTCCCCCATAAATATTCCGGTGTGGGAGAATGCTAACATTTGGCTTCCGAGTAAATGGACGCTAGTAGGCGCTAGTGGTTGGCATGCTGTCGGCCCGTTCCCGGCCTGATTAGACGGTCGCCGGAAGCGGGTGCCTCGGCATGGCCGACCTCTTGTGACTCACTCTTCAGAAAATTTCTGCCATTCACCCCCATACTTAAGCAATCAATAATAGCCCCCCTGCAACAACAGCTACATAGCTCAGGGGAAGAGTGAGTTGACTCATATCCATCTAAAACCTGCAATATGTACTAACAAAATCAGGCGCCGGGCTCATAACCCGGAGGTCGCTGGATCGAAACCAGTTGTAGCTACAAAGTTGTCTTTTTTTGTTGATCTTTTTTAGTTTTTGGTGACAGGGTCTTTTTTTCTGGGGCACTGCCACACCCTGCTTGAATTGATTTCAGACCAGGTTCAGTGATCACCTGTGTGGATATGACTCTTTCTGCCTTGCATCTGTCCAAATCTGAGGGATCGTGGCTGAAGCCTTTGTTTGTTCAAACATATGCGTTGTGCTGAGGCTGCACATGTGCCACCACCAACATCAAGATCATGCTTTGCCTAGCCGTTCCTTCACAACTGTGCTGGGGATGTCAGATCACAAACTTTAAAAAATTAGGAGATTATTGCTTTCCTTTTGCCAGTTATCATGTATGAGGTCACAGGCGGACCCCATGAGGCACAAGTATCTTACAGGGCATAGCCACCCAGGCAATGATCCCAGGAATGATTCTCCCAAGATTAAACTCATAAAAAATTATCCCCTTAGGCATAATCCTATAAAACTTCTATCATAGGAGGTGCTGCTAATGGGTTCATCCCACAGGAAGCTTTTCTATAAAGAATTTTATCTAATGTTGTGATAACACTCACTAAACTAACCTTCCTTATTATTAATAAGATTTACTACTTTTTATTTATAGTAGTTAAATACTTTACTTTCTTATTCTATAAGCACACTTTAACTTAGAATAAGTAGTATAATTTATATATTATTATTAGTTAAAACTACTATTAAATAAAATTTATAATTAGATAAAATTAATTAAATATACTTATATTCTTTTATTATATTATAAACTTTATTATTAATATTATATCTTTTAAATATTAAGTTTTAAGTATTTATTATTATATAAAAGTATTATATATATCTTTAAATATATATAAAATAAAATTAAAATTATATATATTTTTAAATATATATAAATTATTTAACTTTAATTATATTATATTTTCTTTTATATTATATAACTACTTATTTCTTCTTTAATTTAAAGCTTATATATAAAGTTTTAATAACTTTATATATATTCTTATAATTCTTTTAAAAGAAACTTTAAATTTACTCTTTCCTTTATTTTTATTATATTTTTCTATATTATTAAAAGTTAATAATTATTAATAATAAAAGTATAAATTTAAAAGAATAAGTTTATTATACTTTTCTTTTATCTTTCTATAAATTATTTTTAAAACTTTTTTAAGAGTTTTAATACTTTATTATAAAAGTTTTAAAGGTAATATATTATAAATTATTTCTTTATTTTAAGTTTTTAAAATTAATTATATATTTAAATAAAGAATATAATATTAACTTTATAAACTTATTTAATAAAAGTTTTATTATAAAGTATATATATATTTAAAAGAATAATTTTTAATTAAACTTTTTAATATAATTTATTTATATAATAACTATTTTTAAATTTAATTTTATTATATAATTCTTTTATAATAATTAAATTATAAATTAATTTTATTTATAATTTTAATTAATATTATTATTAAAATAATACCCTTTAACTTTATTTATATATTATAAAATTAAAGTTATAAATATTTATTATATTATAACTATTATTATTAATATTATATTTTTTAAATATTAAATTTTAAATATTTATTATTATATAAAATATTATATATATTTTAAATATATATAAAATAAAAGTAAAGTTATATAATTATATATAAATTATTTATATTTTTAATTTTATTATTAAATTAAATATAAATAATTAAAGTTTTAAAAATAAAATATAATATATCTTTTAAAAATTAATTTAATTAAGTTTATTATATAAAACTTTTATAATAACTTTATAATTTATATTTATAATATTATTTATTATTAAATAATATTTATTTATATTAATATATTAAGTTATATTTAATTTATTAAAAGTTAAAATTATTATAAACTATTAATTAATTTTAATATTATTAAATATTATATATAAAGTTATTATATAATTTAAATTATATATAAATATAAGTTAATTAAAATAAATAAAAATAAAGTTATTATTCTTTTAATTATTATATAAAATTAAATTAATTATAAGGTTAATAGCGTTAGCTTAAACTAGTATAACCTAGTGTATTAATATAGGAAGGTGTCTTTTAATAATAGATAGTGTTGTAGATAATTATAAAGTTATTATAAAAAGTCTTATATAATAAACTTAACTAAGCTAATTTTTAAAAGATATATTATATCTTATTCTTTTAAAATTATAACTATTTACTTTTAGCTTAGTAATAGAATTAAAAAAATATAAATAGTTTATATAAAATTAATTATAAATTATAAAGTTAAGTATTTAAATAATTAAATATAATTAAATATTATATTAAATATAAGTTTTTATAAAATATATATAAGTTTTAACTTTACTTTATAAATAAATATTTATTTAATAAGTTTAAAAGATTATTAACTTTATTATATTATAAGTAAAAATATTTAAAAGTAATTACTTAACTTATTATATAATTTATTAAACTAAGAGATAATCTTTAAATAAAGTAATTATATTTTATTATTATATATAATATTATTTTAAATTTATAATTTTAATAATTTATAAATAAAAGAAAAATAACTATTAATAATTAAATTTATAATTATATAAAATAAACTTTTACTTTAAAGAAAAGTTATTAATATTTAAAATAATTAATATATTTTTAAAAAGATTAAAGAATTATAAACTTAATTTAAAATATATTAAAATATATAAAACCTTAAACTTAAATTTAAAAGTTTTAATTTAAAATTTATATTTATAAAAATAAAAACTTTTATAAAGTTTAAAAAGAAATTTAAATAAAGTTAAATTAAGTTATAATATAATAAAATAATTAAATAAAAGTTAATTAAAATTTTATAATTATAAGTCTTTTAATTTTATATTTAAAAGAGCTTTAAATATATATATAAAATATAAGTAAAACTATATATATCCTTAAATATATATAGAATAAAAGTGAAACTACTTAAATAACTTATAAAAAATAGGTTAATTATTAACTAATTATCACCTAATAAGTAGTTTTCAATAGTTTTTACATGGCTTATCACTGTGAGCAGAATATGTATGGCTCACAGAAGGTGTGTGGACAGTTTATGAAGATCACCTTGTGACGGTACTCATGTGATGTCTAACTTATTTGGAACGTTGTCCTAGTTAAACCACCCCAGTAAACTACCTCCAATAACCATAGCGATTGGAACAGCAATGCCATGCTTCCAGACGTATCGTCCAAGCTGTCTGTGACTCTGCACAAGATCCGTCGCTGTGACACCGGCAGCGGCCAGATACATCCAGCCCAGGCTTTTCCATTCGCCAAAATACCACACTGCTAGCGTTGTGACGCCTATGTAGAGATCTCGTGAGCCCCAAAAGAGAAAGAGATTGGTTGCTAGTTTGTGATCCTCGGGATTCGTGGGCGGTGTGAAGTCAAATAGCTTAAATGCAATGCCCGGTTGCAGCGTGCCGGCAAGGCCAAGGGTGAGTGCGAAGATGGAGCCGACAGCCACCGCAGTGGACAGTGGAGCCAAGTCAGAGGGCATGGTATCCAGAGACATTTCTAAAGTTCATTAAGAAGCTGCTTGTAGCCGTGTTGTGCTGGTGAAAGTGGTTTTGTGGTCTCTTACATACCTAGTTCCTGCTTGATTGTCATGAAGTTTGTTGATACACAGCCATCCATGTGTAGGGGCGGGGGAATCGCGACGTAGACAATCTTATAAACCAACACACTCAAGATCAAACCAACATATTGATTATCGCTGCAACCTCACAGACATGATTCAAGGTGCAGAGCAAATTTTGTAACTAAGCCATCCATCGGGTGTTCACTGGGTAATTTAAAGCAATCCCTACCACCCTTACAATCCATTAGGGTAAACTACAGTCATCCTTAATATAATTTATTTATACTATGCTCTGTATACCTCTTTTAGATAATAAGGATCAAGATATAATTCTAGTAGTTCTTTAAAAAGAATGTCTATTTAATATTACTATATTATAAAATTTATAATAGAATATTCTAAGATTATTATAAAATATAAAAGTTATATTTTAAAAGGCTTATATTAGTATATTATTTACTATAAAAGCTTATTTTATTTTTAAGTTTATTAAAAGTTAATAATTATTTTTATAATTATAATAATAGTTAATAAAATCTATCTTTTATCCTTTTAAATATTATATAAATTAGAAACCTTTTATTATATAATCTTTTAAATAATATATTATAATATAATTAAAGTTAAAGTAAATATAAATTTAATAAATTTATAAATTTAAGTGTATAAAGTAATCTTTATATTTAATTCTTTTAAATATTATATAATAAAAACTATTTTAATAATTTATATTAATTAATTTTATATAATATTATTTTTATTATTATTTAAAATAATTAATATATTTTTAAATAAATTAAAAGATTATAAGTTTAATTTAAAATATTTTAAAATTTATAATAATTTTAAATTTAAAGTTTATATTTATAAAAATAAAAATATTTATAAAGTTTAAAAGAAAGTTTAAATTAAATTATATTAAAAATTATTTTTAATATATTTTAATTTAATATTTTCTTTATTTTTAAATTTATATTAATTATTTTAATTATATTATTTTAATAATTCTTTTAAAAACTTAATTAATATTTTATATTTAAATTTAAAATATAATTAATATAATTAATATAATTAATATAATTAATATAATTAATATAATTAATATAATTAATATAATTAATATAATTAATATAATTAATATAATTAATATAATTAATATAATTAATATAATTAATATAATTAATATAATTAATATAATTAATATAATTAATATAATTAATATAATTAATATAATTAATATAATTAATATAATTAATATAATTAATATAATTAATATATAAAGTTTTAATATAAATATAAAATAAAAAATAAAAAAATAAAAAATAAAAAAAGAAATAATTAATTAAATATTTAAATAAAGAATAAAATAAAATAAAAGAAAAAAAGAAAAAAAGAAAAAAAAATTATTTATTTATTTATTTATTTATTTATTTATTTATTTATTTATTTATTTATTTATTTATTTATTTATTTATTTATTTATTTATTTATTTATTTATTTATTTATTTATTTATTTATTTATTTATTTATTTATTTATTTATTTATTTATTTATTTATTTATTTATTTATTTATTTATTTATTTATTTATTTATTTATTTATTTATTTATTTATTTATTTATTTTATTTATTTATTTATTTATTTATTTATTTATTTATTTATTTATTTATTTATTTATATTAATATAAAGCTTTTAATATAAAGTTAAAACTTATAATTATAATTTTTAATTAATTTTTATTTAATTAATTTTTTATTATAATTTAATTTAATTTTAATTTAATTTAAACCTTTTTAAATTATATAAATATTTTTATTTTTATAAATATAAATATTAAATTTAAAATTTTATAAATTTTAATTTCTTTTAAATTAAGTTTATAATCCTTTAACTTTTTAAAAATATATTAATTATTTTAAATATTAATAACTTTTTTAAAAATAAAGATCTATTTTTATATAATTATAAATCTAATTATTAATAGGTATTTTTCTATAAAGCTATTAAAATTATAAATTTAAATAATAAAGTATAATTATCTTATTTAATTATTTCTTAATTTAGTAGTATAGTAGATTAAGTAATTATTTTTAAATAGTTTTACTTATAAAGCTAATAGTTTTTAAGTTTATTAAATAAGTGTTTATTTAAGTAGAGCTAGAACCTTTAAGGAATAATAACTTTATCTTTACTTATTTTAATTAACTTATATTTAAAAGGTCTAAGTTATATAATAAATTTAATACTTATATATAATATTTATTAGTATTAAACTAACTTATAGTTTATAATAGCTTTAATTTTTAATAGATTAGTTTATATTAAAGTTAATAGTATTAGCTTAAACTAACTAAGTATAACTTAGTATATTAATATAAAAGGTGTTTTTAATAATAGATAGTATTATAAATAATTATAAAGTTATTATAAAAAGTTTTATATAGTAAACTTAATTAAGTTAATTTTTAAAAGATATATTATATTTTATTTTTAAAACTTTAACTATTTATTTTTAGTTTAATAATAGAATTAAAAATATAAATAATTTATATTAATATAAAAGTTTTTAATAATAAATAATATTATAAATAATTATAAAGTTATTATAAAAAGTTTTATATAATAAATTTAATTAAATTAATCTTTAAAAATATATTATATTTTATTTCTTTAAAATTATAATTATTTATTTTTAATTTAATATTAAAATTAAAAAAATATAAATAATTTATATTAAATAATTAATTAAATAATTAAACTTTTTTTTATTTTTTTTATATTTAAATTTTAAATTTATTATATTATATATATTTATATTAAAAATCTTTATATTATATTATATTTATATTAAAGGTTATAATATTAATATTAATATTCTACTAATAAACTTAGTGTGTGTAGTGTAGTATATAGTAGCTTTAGGATTAATAGATGTTATATAGCCTGAGATTTATAGCGCTTCTATTCTCTGTGTCTGGCGATGTGGGCAATTTTAGGTAAGTTAAATATGCTGCTGTATGCAATTCCTAAAGTTGTCAGCTCACTATCTCCCACTTCAAGGCTGAGCACCATTGCCAATGACCTAGCACCATACATTCAGTTGGAATCATTGCACTTGCGAATCTCTGTATATTAATTGTCCACAAGTACTAAAAACCTTAGGTGGATTGGAGGAAACATTCAAGCTGTGTGAGGTATACTGTGATCCTAGTGGTTTTGTTTCAAATCCCTATACTAATAAAACATACATACTATAATCCTGTTGTGAATAGTTCTACTCCCATATCAAGCTAAATTTCGAAGTAATTGGAAATGCCGGTGGCTTCTTTACTGAACTACTAAGTACCTAGGTACTCGAGCTACTGGGGACTATAAGTACTTAAGTACTTAGTACCTAGGTATTTAGCCATTCGGCCAACTGTTCCCTTTCACTGGTGCTTAGCATCTCTTGGTCAGGTGAGTCGGCCCTGGCCACGCTAAAGACCATGGCGTTTTGTGACCTGGCACAAAAGAAACAGGCTTCTCTGGAAAGGACTTTTAGCTGCCCTAACTTCCGGTTTGCTCTCACTATATGTTATATGTCTTCCTAAACTTCCACACCAACTTCAGAAATAATTTGATTACACTTGATGCGCACATTTATGTATTACTGTGACCCTTACTCAAGGCCACGATACTTAATCACTTCAACCCAACATCCATCATGGCAAATTATTGGGCCTCATTGCCACCCGGCATAATTGGCCTCATCTTGAGCCACGTTGCCCAAGAAGCAGCGTCGGATCATACACTTGCCCGATATGCTACTGTCAATCAAAACTGGCAGTACCTATTCGAGCAGCTTACTTTCAGGAGCCTAAGTCTTGGCCCAGATGATTTGTCTGATTTTGAGTTGACGGTATCGATTAATTCCGAGCGCCGCAAATGGCTCCGGGCAGTGTCATTCCATGACCGTTCCGATGGCGACAAATCAGAAACACTGGTCCTCGAGCACGACCCATCCCGGACCGTGTTCTCGCTGTTGTCCCTCCTCAAGAAATGGGATCATGATGGGAACCTACATCTTACGCTCTATCTTTCCGCTCACACCACCAACAGTCTTGATGCACAGAGAGCTGCAACACTCCATGAGAATGGCTCATTCTTGCACTCGACCATCCAGCCTCGTCTGCCCAAGAAGGACTTCCCCGCTCACATATTCGGAGATATACCAGCCGTGAAGAGCTTCTCAATTCGATACGAAGGGAAAGGGGTAACAGTCACTCGGGCAGCCATAAGCCTCAGTTCAGCATTCCCGGGGCTGGAGGAGCTCTGCCTCCAAAACTGTGATCATCACAACGAGCACACCAAACACATCAGGATTGCAGAACTGGTCCCTCAGCTGCCCAAAACTTTAAAGCGCCTGCATATCCTAGGCCAAGGCAGCAAAGGAGCCCAAAGTACAAGCGCATGCCGATTCCTCGTGCAACGCTTGGTATGGTTTGGCATGACGACACAATTGAAGGCACTCTCTGTAACTACAAGCGGGAATACCGCAGAGGAGTTCTTGGAGGCTTTCAGGAACCTGACATCCGGTTCTGTGCCAAACAGTGGGACCTTACAGTGGCCGGCATTGGAGTCTCTGACACTCACCTGTTCGCTGCTCGGCCAGGGCACCCCTCGGTCCATTGTCAATCGCTTTCTCCATCAAGCTGGAATCGCAGCGTTGGGCCTGCCGAGATTGCGGGAGTTGCGGTTCTTAAGCTACAGTTCTAGAAGACGGGGAGAGGTTAATGGACTCTTTCGATATGTCATTAGAAGTTATGGGGAGGCTACCGCTGCGTGTTTCGGTGAGTTGGACAAATAATATGGTGGGAAGGCATGCACATTTTTGCTAACAGGTTTCAAATAGTCTCTGAACATATTCATGTGGGAAGACTGGTCATGGACTCATGGAGTCGTGTTGCATGGCATACCCATCGGGCAGTGCTACGGTTCTCGTCGGATGTGTGCCTTCAGTCATCCCTTGTTACCGTTGAGCGCCTCGTCGACGAGCACGACAGTTTTGAGTTTTGGGACATAAAGTTCCCACGGCCCCACTGGACAGCGAACGAGGGACTACAAGATTTGTTAGGCGCTGTTGTATTCTTCGTGACGTTGGCTACGTTCCTGTCATTTTTGGTCAGACAGGCTTCATTGAAAGAGCACGTCATATAGTAGGAGTTCGTGTCGGGCAGCGGTCATGATGATGGCATTCTTTCATTTGTTGCTCGGCAGAAAATTCCGAAGAACACCTATAGTATGTACAACTTAGTAGATTCAGAAGGCCTTATATTGAAAGAGATCGGAGATTCGTGCCTAGCAAAACACAGCCCTAAAGGGTGCACCCGAGCCCTACGGGATAATCTGCGTTAGGAGAGCTTCCTATAGGATGATCTCCTACAGGATAACCTACTACAGGATAACCTACTATAGGATAACCTCCTATAAGACAATCCCACCTATCCTATTTTTACTACTGTTATTAATACTACATGTTTTTTAAATACTGGGTCTTGAGTGTTTATCACTGTATGAAGGCGCCACATATGTCTTCGGGCGTATGCGGAATAGAAGCGAAACCAGGTAATGTGGCCTGAGGGACTGCTTGGTGGAAGTCATCCCTGCTATACTGGATGAGGTCAGATAGTAGGTTAATTCAGCTGATGCACACGCCAGTCCCATACATTCCTCAACCCTTGCAGTCATGCTCATCCCACAGTAGCGTGCTGCTCATTGGAGATCATTCTACATTAAATTACCCACAAAGGTGCGCTTTGAGTACACATGTATGCTTATGCGGTTTACAGGATACTGTACCTATATAGCGGACAGCTAGACGAAAGTCAGCACTCAGGATCTTCAGGAATAGCAGACCCTATCTAGTGCTATGATGTCCCAATATCATTGATTAACTGATATTGTCGAAAAAAAGCTTGAAGACCTTGAATCATCTAGTAAATCGCTGTAGCGGTCGAGTCTAGGATTATTTCGATTGAGTCATAGCCGTGAGGCCAGCTCTTCTTAGATTCGTGTTTTACATGGGTTTGGCATGTTATTCGCTCGGATATTTCAAGAAACAGACCATACGCAGCTGGGGCTATTTCTTAACACCTCTTTGTCATAGTTTTTGGGCCACAATCCATATTCACTCGAGTGTGATGCATTATTCCTCAATTTGAAGAGGTGCTCATTCAAATGCTCAAATGCCTCAATGGTACTAGAGGCAAAGTTGGCCTGGTGCCAACTGGTGTACCTATATAGCCTCACTACATTTATTTGGCTTATCTCGGTTGAACCCTATGGCATGGAACTGAAATAGGTACTTCCAGGACACTTCCATGGACTGTGCATGGTGTCATAAGCCGCCGACACAAGAAGGGCGACATCACCAGTGTTCGGACACGAAGGGTCCTTGCCATCTCACCCAGCCCAAAATCTCAGATTGCCAATGTGCTTAATTTGGCAACGGCAAGATTTAACCAAGTGAAGTTTTACTGGAAATTAAGGGCTCTAATGCCTCATATAGATTGTACCTAACATACTTCACTTGGTTAATTTTGTCCGTGGTTTTCAAGGCTGCCTTTAAATGTTAAGGTATCTACTAAACGATTAAAATAGTCGCTACTTCCGGAAGTCCGCCTGGCATGGGGATGCTTTTGGTGAGGGTTGTCTTGAAATAGAATGTCATTACACTTTCAGTCAATGCATGGGTCCTTCAGCTGTCAAATCTACAGCTGTCAGAACCTTGATTTCTCTCGGCGCTGGTATATCTGAGACCGCTCAGCCTTACCAACCTTGGAACCAGGCGCAACCGCTACAGTCCACCCTGTACTGAGTCGGCTAGCCCATCCGAAGATGTTTCAAACAAAGAAACATCGTACGTGCCTTTACCCACATACTTGCCGTCACGATGGATCCGGGGTCGTCGAAGAAAACCCACCACTGATGGCCAGCGCCACCAGCTACTATATCCGTGGCGCTAGGGGACGAACTTAGAATACATGCCACATATAGAATTGGCTCGTGCGAGCCCGTATCGTAGCGGAACGTCAGGAATTGCTAGGCCGGATATAAAATTATTTGCATTGCCAGGCGAGAGTACGCGAGACCCCACACCTCGCGCAGTCGGATGGCGCAATGTCGAGCTGAGCAATTGTGGATGAGCCCATTGCAATTGGAGCCGCTGCGGTGCTGATCCTTCATTTGGGACGGCGTCGCGAGGACCCTTCCTGCTTTTAAAATGAACAAGCCCGCGCCTGCTATCGTGACCTCTCCGCGACTCGGATCGGTGGTGAGTCGTGGGGTGATAAAGGCATTGTGTCGAGTCAGGCCGGCCGAGTAATAGCAGTCGCCAACAACACGTGGGGTTCTGGGCGCGCGCGAAAGCAGAAAGGCAATAGAACTAGTGCCAAGAAAGGGCTCGCCCGGGGTCCGGACGGCATTGGAGGATGCCGTCGATAGTCGTCGCCGGCGAGGCTGAAGGTTGCGCCTCGTGTGGAGCTGGAGGGGAAAAGTAGCAGCCTGGTGGTCGTGACGATGATGATCGCTCAACTCACCCGAGGAGCAGAGCTTGTTGCCCGCGATAAGTCGTCAGCGCGTCGATCAACCGCGCGAGAGCGTGGCGGGGGTTATGCAGCTCAAGATGAAGAGCGGCAGGTCAGGTGCTCAGGTGCATCTGGAGGAACAGGGGCACACGCTGGTTCACGATGATGATCTCTGGTTCGCGTACCTCCCCCCACATACATAACACCGGGGGGCCCACTGCCCTTTCCTCTCTGTGCCTCCCTGCCCGCTGGTGATGTCGACCGTTTTGCCAGGACCGTCAGGAACCGTTGTCGCCAAACCGGCTCTACGAAATCCGGGCCTACACTAAAATCAGTACCATGCAAAAACCTCCGAACTGCAGGCTGCAGCAGAGACCGAGTCAGTCTGGCGATCCCGAAAGATGGACCCATATCTCCACCAAGCTTCATCGTGGTCGGCTGTCCCCGGCGGTTTGCAAGGGGGGCGGTGGGCTCGAACTGTCCCCATGGGACGGACCCCAAGGGCGGAAAAAAAAGTTGCTGTCCCTGTGGCTGGAGAGAAAAAGTGGCCGAAAGAGTTGTGCTGGACTGAGAAGGGGATTTTTCCGAAGAAGGTAAAATTCCAGATGGTCTCAGAGGTTGTCCTTTGCCCGCGCAATAACTCATCTCCACCACGTAATGCATATGCACAACCAAACGCAAAATCTGGCCCTACGGGCAGACACAAGCTTTCCTCAAGCCTGTCGAGTACCTAGGTAGTCTGCAGTTCGTTTGATGCAACATCATGTGCACGCACGCACAAGCCTATGGATCCTCCCAAGCCAGGTATCTTCTAAATCCCCAACCTATGTTTTAAGTACGTACCACTTTATACCCAGACCTTAAGCAACCACACCACCTAAATCCAATATAGAGCGTACTTAGTAGATAGAAAGGATAAAGTACCTCTCTATTTACATTTTTAATACTATCACTAACTTTCTCGTCCCTCTAAACATATAATTTCCCCTTTTTTTATTATTTATTTTTATTAACTAACCTTAATATATCTAAAAATCTCTACTATTACTAAGAGATTATTTAAGAACTTTATATAGTGAGTAAGGTAGGAAGGCCCTAGGGTTAACTCCTATCTTTAACTTCCTCCTCTTCTCTTCTTTTTCTCCCACTAAAAAACATTAAAACTACTAAATTCTCTCTCTCTCTCTCTCTCTCTCCCTACTTCTCTCCTTAAAGGTACTAGTTGTGAAGTGAATGGCCCTAGTAAAGGCTATATAGCCACTAGTAACCAACCCTCTTAGATAGAGCCCCTCTAATCCCCTAACTAAAGGCTATTACCTTAAAGTTAAGGTTGAATTTAAAGTTAAATTTAAAGTTTATAATAACGGTTACTTAGGAGTAACATATTGGATACTTTTAAGTAAAAGTACCTTACTCCCCTGTCTATTATATCACATATCCTCGCATTCATACATAAGCGAGGGCCCATCGGGGATATAGAAGGGACCCCCAAGCCATACTATGGTATAGTGCAGTGTAGTACGGAAAGGCCCACACCACTATAAATAACAAGGCATGGGGTAGACGAGATGTTGTTTGTCACCGCTCTTTGCGCGGGAATCGTGTAAGGAGGGGTGGGAGAAAAAAATTTGCAGCTGTGTGTACGTGTCGGGACACGGTATCTTGATAGGTACGCGACGACTGGTGCAATGGATTTCCGTGCGGTCGGCCCACCACCGACAACGGCCCACGCACGGCCCCATATAAGCACAACACGGGATTGGCCCGCACACTAGCGCAACACCAATCGGGCCTAGCGCCACACAACAGGCCAAGCGGATTCAGCAAGCTTCCTCCGCCGCAAAACACACCAGAATCATGGTTCAGCTTTCGCACCCACCCCCAACGATCAAGGCGTCGTAACAGACGCCCGGCTAGCTCAATCGGTAGAGCGTGAGACTCTTAAGGAACCTCACGATTCTGACAGAGATACATCTCAAGGTTGTGGGTTCGACCCCCACGTCGGGCTCAATTCCCGGCGGCAATCGCCTTCATCTTTTGCTCTTTTGTTGTATATTTTTTTCCCTTTGTTCTTGGGACCTCGCAGACGGTGTTGGCTGTGGCAACGGCCTTCTTGTGTTGATCGTTGGAAGCTCACGCAACCCCGGTGTCGGGTTTCACAGAACTCGCATCCCGGATGATAGGTGTCCGGGCTATCATCGGAAAGTCCTCACGAGTAGTGGTACTTCTCAGTGTCATTCTGAATCCCGGACCACGATCACACCTTTCTTTTTACACTATA